TCCAGACCCGCTATCAGCCGCGATTACACAAGGGGTCTGTTCTCACATTTACGTACATGGTTGGCTTTTTTTCTTTGTGCAATGTGCAATGGACGAGGGCAGGGGTCTGGGGGCCAGATCTCTCTGGAGCTTTGAGGAAAGGTAGAGGTGTGGCATGCAGGTTCGCCAAGGTTGTGCAGATTGAGGACCTTGCCAGAACGAACTAACTGATGACTGATGACAGGACAAAAAGTAACTTGCGTGCGTGACTGGAGTCTATATTATTGGACTCTGTACCACATCCTCCATACGTGCATACATGCTACGCTGACGGATGTAGGTAGGTAGGGCGATGGGTAGGTAAATAGGTACCTTTGTGTGACGTGCGAGAGTGCTGCTAATGCAGCTGGTTCTGCGGATTGGCAGCTCGGGCGTTCGGGCAGTCTGTGTGTTTGACCTGCGGACGTACGTACTTATAAGCGACGAGCAGGGCGAAATAATAAGATTCGCGAATAGTAATGGCTGACATGCAGACGGAAAGCAAGCCCTGCTCGCTTGCTTGGGAGGTAAGCTTGCTGCGCTTTTAGTACCAAGGTACATACAACTTCCGCGGAAGTTGAAAGATAAGGGCGCCTGTTGGTCTGGCTGGACTCTTGCTAAGAACTGCTTCGATGTTCTTCTCCAGTGGCAAGGCCGGTTCACAGACCTCAGAGCAATAAGCCCATGCTTCTGTCCGTCTTGTCCGGAGTAATATGCGCCGGGTCGCGAGTCGGAAGTCGCAACTTGGCAAGCGAGCAACGCAATACGCAAAATCTAACGCTTGCCTATCTTCCTATTTCACTGGCTCATCATCTCACCTGATGGATGAGGACACTCACGGCTTCCGGACCAGTCAGCGAGTCACCCGAGCACTCACCGGATAGGCTTCATGGTCCATGCTACCCTGTTATCAATCCTGCCTTCTTGATTCTGCAAAACAAGGAAAGAGAGTGAAGATGCCATGGGGTCTTCGGCGAATTGCCAACGAATGTGTATTATCGGCGGCTAGTAGATGCGACGAGTGGGGGCAGAATCCGGGGAAATGAAAATGACCCCTGCCTCACCAGCTTCAATTCGTCGTTTTGAATCTCACGCCCTGATGGTTGGGGATCTTGCTGCGAGCCAATAATCTGGGATAAGCAGGTGCTTCGGTTCTCCAACGTTCGAATTGTCGCTGGAGACAGTTGGAGGCCTTATCTCTTGCGCCATCCGCGAATATCACTGTCCGCGTCGCTGAAACTGACGGGGGGAGATTGATTATCTCAAAAGATAAGGTAATAAATCAACCGAGCAATCGGACCCCTCAACACTGGAGAAGGCACTGGCAGAAACTTACAATACCGTACTAGACGGAGTCCCGTAGTGCTACCCCCAACTCCCACGTCCACTGCTTAAACCCACGCACCGCCCAAAGAGGCTAAAAAGTGAAAAAAAAAAAAAAAAAAAAGCCCCTGCTCCCCACAAGGCACCAAGACCAGCGATCGGGGATCCACAAACTTCTGGAACGGGACGAGCGAAGCTATGGCCCAATAGGACAGGGATTCTGTATCATGCTGATATCACTCGTTCACAAAGGGAAACCCGTTCCCCCAGCCTTGGAGACACGACTACCTAACCTCAGCTTATCGACATTCCTCTGCGCTCGATGCGGGCCGCGAATCTTCCGGACTGAACATTCGGAATTTGGAGAGCATCACCCACGGGACTCTTACCCTGAGTATCATTGGGGGCCGGTTAATTTTCTATCGGGCGTGACGCCGGATGGTGACTGAGGCTTACTCCAGCTTGACATCGAATCTGGGGGTGATTGGCGGAAATAACTATTTCCCTGCGCTCACCTCACTTCATAATAGCCGGCAATCATCAATGTCACCTCATCTATCAAGGTTCATTCTGAGGGCTCTGTGCGCTCCCCAGAATCCAGGTTATAGGAATAGTCTAGAATAGAGGGGAAGATGTTCTGGACTGACCCCTGGAATTTAATCCTGGAAAATAGCTGACCGTGAAAATAGGCTGATTATTTGCGGCGGCGACGAGGTCGAAACACTTGAGCCACGGAACTTCTTCCGAGGTTTGTCAATCCGCTTTTGCAGGTTGCTTTAGCCTTTGCGAAACTTTCCCCATACACTTTTGCCTAAGCATCTTTGCGCTCGAAATCGGCTTGAAGCGAGCGAATTTGCCCCCCGGATATTCTAACCCCGGACAACGTCCGCGACAGAAGAGAGAGTAAATGCGGAGCCGAGTCAGAGACTTGGCAGGCAGGTATCAATGACACGTCGCCTCAAATGGCACTCTCCAACTTCGCGGGCAGTTGGCCCGAGAAAAGCGAAACCCCCATTTCTCGTTTTGCCACAGTTGAGCTGTGGCCGAAGGTGTTCTCCCCGGAGATTCCCCGGAGTCAATCCGACGGCTGGTCGCTGGTCAGGTCGGGAAATTGTTCTCCAGAAGCTCACGAGAATCGCTCTCCTCTTTGGAGAAGTTATCTCCGCACCGGCGCACATGATACCAGGCGTGGAGTCTGAAAGAAACCGATCGACTTCCCAAATATTGAAGCTATCCTACTGGCCTTTCGAGGTCTCTGCCGAAGCTCTGGTTAGTCGCTGTTAGTGAGGTACTAGTCTGCATGCACCATGCATCCAGGGACTGGGGTGGTCAGGAGCTTGAAAACAGGAACGATAAAGAAATAGTCTGACTTCAAGCTCCCCATTTTGATATTTCCTGAGCCGACTCAAAAAGGGAACCTGGCCAGTGCCGGTATTCCGCACCCCTCGAGTATCAGATTATTTTGAGGTTCGATGCGAGTCCTGAAGAGATGGAGAGCTTGTGAAAGTCATGATGAGAGTGCTTTCACATGCTCTGACCTCATATCACAACGTAGCAAGTCGACTCTCTCTTTCCCAGGCGATGCTCCGCACACATGCCTGGCATAACAGAACAATTATTACGCCACTTTGCTTCATTCAGTGGCTTGAGCTTCACTTTGTGTAATAAATATGCACTCAACCTTGAGCAATCCGCAAACATCAGGGATGATTGCATTGATACACCGACTCCAGATTGTTTGGAGAAAGCTGTGGGGCGAGGAAGCCCTAATCGCAGGGGAAAATGCCCAAATTGACCGCATTCGCGTGCTATAGCCTCAGTTCGGAAAAAGGCTAAAGCCGCTAAGCAAAGTGATTCGATGGCGTCATGCCTAGGATTTGCAGCTAGCCCAGGAATCGAGACATGGTCTTGCTTTAGTGGCGTGCTCCGGCCGCGTTTCGCGATGCCAATCTCCCGCGGCTGGAGCGTGGATCACGGTCCTCCGTACGTAACCTTTCCTTCAACTACCTTGAAGATTTTTGTGGCAGGTAAGAACAGGGATGAAAGTCAAAAAGTTCCCGTCAATTCCCCGTTGTCCAAACTGCAAGACTCAAGGGTCGATGCAAATCCTACTAGGAGGGACCATTCGTTCTCGATCCATGAGCATCTCGACCGCTCGGTGCAGAGGCAGAAAGCAATCGAATCGGATAATCCCGGGACAATGTCGGGCAAGGCAGGGGGGCGTGATGCGACCGCCACAGCTCACTGGCAGTTCATCCAAGGCCTTACCTAAGCGCGCCCTCAACTGGGTTTCTCGGTGAGGGGGGGCGAATCTCCGCCTCCTCCGGACATTGTCCGTAACAAGGCGTCTTCTCCATCTCCTTCTCCTTCTCTGAGAGGGAGAAAGGCCGCAGGCGGCAGGCGGCAGGCCCGGCCAAAAATTTCCTCGGTATCTCTGTCCCGAAACCGCCCCCTCTGCCGACCCTATCCCGAGTCCCGTGGTGGTGGCCTGAGCTCACCCTGAGAGGGAAACTGAGCCGGCGTCATCACCAAACATCGGACAGGGGACGAAAGGCGAGAGGGGTCCAGATTCCTAAACCCCTGACTTTCTGCTTGTGATTGTTCTTCAGGCTCGGATTGCCGCTTTAGGCTAACTGTGTAACTATCCGCTGCATATCAAGACAAGAGACCGGCAGTACCTCGGTATATGCAAATGTATTCGAATTTTTATATCGTCTCTGAGCCTCTGGCCCTGGCGTTTGGACGGGGTCCAGGAGGCATGCCCCATTGTAGAATATGGGGTCCCAACTTCCAAGTTTTGAGCGGAGAGAGGCATTTTCAGCCCGCCTTTGAAAAATTTTCACCTTGAAAGTTGAACTGAGTCGATTCGGAAAGACCGTGAGATGGGTCGGTGTGGATATCACGACTGAGATAGCGGTGAGCTGAAAAAATCAGTTGGCTCAACGGAGTCACGAGATGGCGTGACAACCTGAGGACCTGCGGGAAATAGTCCCGCGAGTGTGTAAATCCGACACCAGAATCGTTGATTGTCCTGAAAGAGACATCCCACGAACATCTCGGACGTCCGTTTGTCTCTTCAAGAATTGACTTACTCGGACAATCCGAACAATGGGCTTCAAAGCTGGAGCCCTCGAAGTCAACGCAAGGGGCTGATGGTCTGAGGTTGCTGTCTGCCAGATGTTGTTACTCCACATTTTGGCGGATAAGTCATCTCTCGGTTCCTGAACCGCGCCTCGACCTTATCTATCGATTTATCCTGTGATGGCTCGTCAGCAGTCAACCATATTTTTATCCTTGAAACCTCATCCTAGACAATGCACCGCTTGTTCCATGAAGACTGCCACAATAGACTGTGACGAGGGAGTGCGAAGAAGAGGTGCCGATAAGCCACGCGAGATGCTCGTCATATTACCGGATCGGGTGACGATGATGTCGCGCGCTTGGATTCTGCCGCGTCTTGCCGCCTAGAAATGCCTTGGGGCCGAAGCCAAAAAAGTTCATTCAGGCTTGCACCAGCCATGAATGCCACATTCGCTTTCCATTCGCTCCAATTGTAGCTGTTGCTCTCAATCTAACAGTTGTTGCCTCATAGACCCTGAGGTCGCTTCGATTTTATCCTCCCTTTACCACCTCGGCCCCTGCAAAGCACCCGAATCGCCATGGCCCCCCCGCGCCAACGAACCGCGGCCGTCCAGGACGACTCACGGTCTGAAGCTTCAAGCACAACAACCAAAGAGCTCAAGGCGGCAGCAGCCAAGGGACGAAAAGGTGCTAATGGTGTCGTGACGACGTCCATTTCCCGAGAAGTAAAAGTCACCACAAACATTACCAGCGCGCCCGCTGCACAGGGAGAGCAATTGGACAACCTTCCCAGAGTACGTTGTCGGACAAACTGGAAACTTCATATTTTATGAAGCCAGCAGCCCAATTTTATCAGAGCATCATTTTCGCTTCATGTTTAGGCAATCTTTGCTGGTTCTAACGGTTTCTCTTGTTCTTAGATCTCCTGGTCCGACATGCCTCTCGAATTCCTCCACTCCTACCGACACGCCTACAAATTGGCCACACCGAGCGCCTTCTCTAGCGAATACGCACATAACCTCCTCTCACAAGGAATCGGCCTGCGATCACCGACAGCCATTGCCGCTCAGCGCGCGCAACTCTTGAAAAAAGATTCGCACCAGACGAACGGCTCGTCAAGAGCCTCGCAATACCATACACATAGCCGCAACGGCACCAGCAGCGGTGACCGTCACAATCGCTCAAAGAACTCTACCTCACACACTGGCAAGGACGCACTACACCATATCGTCGGTCAAGAACGAGTGAGCAAAAACCAGCTGGCCACCGCCGTCCGCAAACACTTTAACAGTGCCGGGCTCGTCGAGCAGGAGGCGATTGCACGATTTCTATACAAAGTCCGTGAAGAGGGTCGGGGACGACATTTCCGACTGAAGTTTCAGCCATGAGACTCGCATCCATGCAATGACCCAAAAGTACTCGGCAAAACTTTGTATATTCGTCTATTTCTCTTATGTTTCGGGTGGTCTCTCGTCTGGCGTTTCCTTTTTCGATGACCCCGTGTAAGATAACTAACTGTCTGGCTGGTTGGATTGCCTTTTTTCGGCTTTTATCAGCCATATATTTATGTCCCCCTATTTTTCATGATACCCCATTTTTGGTTCCGGCTATTTGTGTCATTTCACTTTCGCTTACATTCTCTATATCTATATCGTTCTCCCTATTGGTGTTTCGGTGTCCTGTGCAAGGCCGCAATCTCAAATCATACCTGATTTATCAACACTACACAAGTATTTATCGCTCCTGACAATGATGCTCTGAGCTCGTGCCCGTAGCAGGTGACTATATAATAAATTGAAGAATAGCATTGATGCGAGAAAGGATACCAAAAGACTTAAAAAAGGTATACTCAAAGCACGACATAAAACATACTGACTGAAAACGCCTTAATGCAAAACATACACATGAGCATAAACATGAACATTAACATAAAATACCGGGTACATCCATACGTAAGATCTATCATAACTCTTCATAGTCCTCGAAGAATAAACGAGCGCAATCCAACCGAGTCCAGATGTGATGAGGGTTAAGGGGGGTGGGACGAGAGTCAGGGGAGGCGCTCATTTCCAGGCATTCAAGCCAGCCCAGGGATCAACGGCGGACGAGGAAGATGGTTGACCTGATTGCGGCGACGACTGCGACTGGACCTTGTGGTGCTGGCTGGAGCCGTATGGTCTGGCCTGAGCGTAGCCGCCGGGGCCGGAGGGGAATGGACCTGCCGACGGTGCGTAGGTGGTTTGCTGGGGTCGGGGAGGTGGTGGAGGGGGAACGTAGCCCTGAGGCATATACTGACTTGATGGGACGGGTGGGGTAGGACTGGTGTAGAAAGGAGTAGGTGTTGGGGAGTAGAAGTGTTGGCTAGGGGGGGGTGACATTGAGGACGCGGGGATCGGGTATGCCATCGGATTATAGCCCTCGGACAGCGGTGCGGCCGCGCCTTGCTGAAAGTTCTGTGATGGGAGGTAGGACACACCAGTTCCTGGTGGCATGTACTGGCCGTAAGGGGATGGAGAATGGGAGACAGGCGTGCCATGCTGTTGTGGAACGGCGGGCGGGAAGTGTGGTGATGCTTTTGGAGGCGCAATATTCGTTGGATAAACTGGCGCTTTGACAGGTGGCGGTGGGGATTTGGCTTTGGCCGGACCGGTGGCCGATGAGGGAGGGGGGACTGACGGAGGCTTGGGCTCTGTCGAAAGGCGCTCCATCAACTGCCGCAATTTCTCTCGCTCGCGCTCCTCGTGATCGGCTGTACCACTCGCCTTCTCACGTTCAATCTGGCCCAGAAGCTGGGCGCCCTCGGACCTGCGGTTGTTTATGAACGTATCAACATTCTTTCGGAGGCTGTCCACAGTCTCCGTCATCTCGCTATAGAAGGTCTGTGCTTGTGTTATGCCTGAGCGCAGGCTGTTGAATGATTCGTAGATCTTTTTATACCTGGCCATCACAGAATTGCGTTGCCGGGTGATGCCCTCGTACTTCGATTGCTCAGCTCTCACTCGCTTATCCTGCAGTAAGTCTCCGTAGGTCTTTGTGAGCTCCTTCATCAACGCGGTTTGCTTATGGTTCGCCTGGAGTAACCGGTTTTGATGGGGGCGGAATTTCTCTAATTCGGCCTCGAAAAGCTGACTTTCTTGTCCGGTGATGGACTTTTTGTTGAGGATCAGGACGTTTGAGATATCGTCGTTGTGGACCTATAGTAGCAGGTGTTAGCACTGTCGGAATTATTGTTGTTATATATCCGGGTAGGAATAACCTTCTCCTTCAGGTCCTTCAAGACCTGAGCTCGCTCCCTTTTGACTAGGTTGAGCTTCTTCAGAATACCCTCGACTCGGGAGATTTGCTCTGCCACAGAGGGGACTCCATCGTCGTAGACATCATCTAGTAGATTGCCTTCTCCAGCTGAATACGGACTAGTCACGCCGTTCTTGGCTTTGCCCTGCTTTGAACCGGCCTTGATCATGGCTCTGTGGAAGAGAACGTCGGCTTCGTCTGTCTCTCCAGCGGATCGCATCTCGTCAAAATCTGACTCGTATTGTCGAAGCGTTGCGGAAAGTTGAGAGTCGCTGGCGCTTGCTTCATGGATGGTATCCCGATATGTCCGGATATCGCTACGGAGGGTTGTGTTCAATCGTCCACTAGGCTGCTGGCTCCAATCAGCCCCATATTTAGAGCGCATCTTCTCGCAGACACTCTCCTCCAGATCCAACTGTTTCGAGCATTGGTCTAGCTGTGCCAGGACCTCCGATTTGCGATTTTGCAGACTATCAAAGGCCTTCGAGAAAGAATCATGGCCGGCCAGCTCCTGACACCATCGTTGAAATTCCTCGTCAACTGTCATCTCCTGGTCCATCCCTCCTTTCAGAATGTTCAAGCTACCTGGGAGCTTGAAATAATCCAAGCTCGCTGCCATCTCTCCATTCGCCGTCTCGACCTTCTCTGTCTCTGCTCGGATTAGTTTCGCCTTCTCCTCATCGTAGAGACTAGCTGTCTCCGTGACGGACATGGGAACGAGCTTCTGGAAGATGTCTGGACCAATGATCCGCTGGATATCCTGGCCCTGGTATAGCTCACTAACGGGAATTGCCTTCGCCGCAGGTAGCTTCGACACAGCGGATAAGCCCGCTTCACTGGGAACTGGCTGGTGATAAATGAAGTCATTGTCCTTTATGGATGTCGTGAGCTGGGCCTGCACATTGGCGAGGTGGAATTTGACAATGTCCACAAGGTTGGGTCCAGCCTCGGATGTCAAGTTTGTGTTCGGTGCGACTGACGAGGGAAACGATTTCGCCCAGCTCAGCGCATTTGTTGAGAGCTTCTCCGCTAGCTGCAGCCTAGCGACAGCTACTCCATGCGAACCTGCCTCATCGTCGGCCAAAGCCTGGTAATAGGACGCTACAGAGCCCATGTGCGCGGATTTGGCTTGCAGGAGAATGGTCCACGACTTGTCGAAAATGCCTTTAGCATGCTCTTGTGTCCCTTCAACAGCCTGTGCGTACAGGTAGGACGCCTGACTGGCGAGCTTCGCCAGAAACCCCACCTTCTTATGGTCGGCAACCTGCTTTTCAAGGAACACCTCCTGTCCCTGGGCGAGACTGACACTGATGAGTGTTTTGACAGTTTCGCGGTTTAGGTCGATGGACGGAGCGTGGAGGAAGTTTTCGTTGATGTAGGTGAACATGCCGGCCGCTGCCTGGAAGTTGTGATAAGCGGTCTTGAGACCGGTATCGTCGGCGCGGTTCTGGTTTGCGGCATGGCAGGAAAGAACAGCAGAGATGTTGAAAATGATCGAGGCTTTTTCGAACGCGAGGGAGTATTGCGAGGTTGGCTTATGAGTGAACGCATCGTACCTAGGGGCAGCATGACACGGTTAGCAAATTTTGGGCCACTTTAAATTGTCCGGAACAGTACCAAGTAAAGGAGATCTTGATATGACTCTCATCAACAGGGAATCTGAGGTCCAAGAGCTCAAGTTGTCCGTAGTATCGATAGAGTAGGTCCCGTCCTGTCGCACTGTCCTTTCCGGCACCCCTCATATCCTGGCGCAATCGGTTGAGTGTAGCACATTCCGAACTGTAGCGCTCCGGGTCTTCACCATAGCTCTGACGGATGTAGTCTTTCAGGGGTTGGATCCAATCAATTTCGTTGGTCTGCTTGAGGGGGCATGAGATCATAGGCGACTGAACCATCTTGCCGACTAGGAGCGGGGAGCTCCCATCTACCTAAGGCGAGAGCGGGCGGAGGTGAGTATCCGAGAGGGGAGTGAACCAGGGTTTGCAATGGTAGGCGAGAGGAACGAGAGACAGATGGGGATGGTGGTCGTGGGAAAAGGAGAGGGCGACTGTGGGGTAGAAAGGAGGAGCGGGTGTGATTGATGATATTCAGCGGCGGAAATTGCAGAGGTTGGAGTTGAGCTGATTCGATGGCGGCGGGCGTGATGATTTGACAGCCACGCGGGGGATCAATAATCCTCTAGGCTCTGAGGGCCTAAGGCACTACTGAATCTTGTTGCCCATTCTATTATTATCCTCGAATTAAACCTCTCAAAACGTAGGAGTATATCCGGAGGAGAGATGTTGTGTGGCTCTTAAGTAATGTACATGCAGCGATGGTTTCTATAAACCTGCGACCACCGCTGATATAGGTAACAAATGGATAAATACAGTGAAGAGCTTCCCAACATGCAAAATGGACAAATATCACCTAAATCAAAAGAAGAAGACCCCTCCCATAACTCGCCGGCGCTATGAAATACACAAATGAATTATAAGGCTAGTCGGGCTTGCATGTCCGCCTACGTCGAGTCGGACTTCTTGTCATTGTCGCTCTCAGTGCTGTCGCTCTTAGTCTTGTCAGTTTTGGCGCTGGAGTCTTCTTTTGTCGAAGCTCCCTGCGAAGGTTTAGAGTCAGCCGGCTTCTTGTGGTTCATGAGTTTGTGCCATGCGGATTTGAGGAACCCTTCGTTCTTGGAAGCTTCTCCGGATGGCCCATCGGATGATGGAGGAGGCCTAGCACATATGTCAATAAAATGTATGGCTTCGGAGTGGTGGAGCAGTATCTTACCCTTCCCGTGGAATGTCCATAATCCGCCGAGCGGTCTTGTCGCCCATCTCATCGGCGAGGACTTCAAGAATTGTGCGCTGGTTACTGGTCAAATATTTGGGCATGGCGACCTTGAACTCGACCCTTAGATCACCAGTTGGGGTGAAGTTTCTAGACCGGCCGCCCAGCTTCTTCATGCCCATTCCTGAAAGTGTGATGCGATCCCCAGTTCCGGTTCCTGTCGCAACCTTGACCTTGACCTGTCCATCGAGGGTTGGGACTGTCACTTCACCACCGAGTAGTGCTGTGGTAAGAGGAATCGTGGCCGTGTATAAAATGTCGGATCCGGAGCGACTGAACCGGTCGTCAGGAGAAACACGGATCGATACGTAAAGATCACCGCGCTGCGTTCGCGCGCCAGGCGCAGCCGAAATTCCCCTTGGAGGTTCGTCGCCCTCGCCTGATATCCTCAATCGCATACCATCTTCCACACCTCCGGGTATATCAACACGAACAGTCTTTCGGTCGCGGACCACACCGTTTCCATTGCAGGAACCGCACTCCGAGCCCCGAGGCACGATGAGACCCGCTCCTCCACAAGCATCGCAAGTGGCAGCCACCTGGAAGCCTCCCTGCATGAAATGTACTCGAGTACCGGAACCATTGCATTGGCGACATTGCGTACGCTTTGCGCCTGGTTTGAGACCGTCTCCCTTGCAAGAGCCGCACTCTTTCAGAGGAGTGATCACGACGTCCTGAGATGTGCCTTTTGCCGCCTCCATAAAGGAGATATTCGTCTGAACCTCAATATCTTCGCCGACCAGTACCTCCTGGAAAGGACCGCGCCTGCCACGTCCAGCACGGCGAGCACCACCCGCAAAAGCCCCGAACAGATCTTCGAAATTGATATCCGCCGCAAAGCCGCCAGGGAAGCCCCCGCCAAACCCTCCGCCGAATCCACCACCAAAACCACCACCAGCGAAAGGACCTCCTGGACCCGCGCCGCCGCTGGGGTCGAAGCCACCACTCTGATCAAATGCAGCGGAACCAAATCGATCGTACGTCTCGCGTTTCTTCTGATCCGAAAGCAACTCATATGCCGACTGAGCCTCTGCAAATTTCTCCTTGGCGTCTGGGTCTTTGTTGGTATCCGGGTGATACTTTTTCGCCATTCCATAGTAGGCCTTTTTGATGTCGCCCGCGGAGGCGCCTTTGTCCACTCCTAGAACCTTGTACGGGTCGGCAATCGCAAGGACATTCGTGACATGAAAAGTCTAGAAATGAGAAAGAACGTCAGTTGTTGTTCGCCTCTATCACGTATATCCGGAGCTAGAACGACTTACCCTAGTGGTGATGAAATCTGGGCGTTTCTTCGTGAAAAAGCTGTCCCTTCGACGCCTGACAGGCGAGTGAATGGTGGTGACATGGTATTGACGCGCCGAAGGGGACGACCAAGCATTGACTGTCTGGTTATGTTTCGAGCATTGTCGCGAGGTGCGCAGGATACAGCCGGGAATAGCCGTGGCCTTTGGCACCAGGACCGAGGACGGGTTCATCGTAAGAAATTGAGTACGACCGGACTGACGATATAATAGAAGCAAAGCGTAGTATACCCATGCCAGAAGGGGATGAGTCCTGATTGCTGTCGTTCTCCAAAAAAAACTTTTCCTGTTGACCGAATCCTGATGGAGCAGAATCGAAGCTTCTCAGTTGTTCGGCGCAATCTAAGTTTCCCGATCGGATGAATAATGATCCGACCAACTGCGATGATCGAACTGCTTGCTTCGGTAATCAATCGCCTGAGATCTCGCCATCGCCTCTCTCCTCATCATTGCTTTCCTTTACTGCGATATTGTGCTCTGCTCGTTGGTCTCCTTTCGGACCTCTTGGGCTCTGTACATTATCTCTTCGCCTGTTACTTCCTAGTCCCCCTTTTTGCCCTGTTACCCTTCCTAAACTCTAGGAGCATGCTCCGCGGCCAGAGCCTCCGCTGGAGTGCCGCGCTCCAGGCACCGCGTCCTTTACTCCTTCGACCCCTATTTGCTTCGCGCGGGCATAATGTCGGTACACGATCACTCCTAGGGTCATCACGCCGTTTCCGCTCGCTTCCATCGTCTCCTCGCACATTTTCCTCGAGCACCGTCCGGCGGAGAGAAAAGCCCCCACCCGGAGATGGAAAGGAGGATCCGGATCAAAAAGAAAATAAAGGTGAAACCCAGGACAAGGAGGTAGAGCGCGAGACTCGTAGGAAGCAGCTTGATGCATCTGGGAAGCATGGTTCATCAGCAGATTCCGGGACTCCGACATCGGGCGTTTCAAGGCGAAAGGACAAGTCGGCGGACAAAGAGCAACGTGGAGTCGAAGAAGAAGGGAAGAAAGACGCTGAAGGACGGAACAATTCTTCAGACACTCCGGACCCTATTCCCGTGAGCGGGGCGGATTCGAAGCCCAGCGGCTCGAGCAATGGAAGCGACGACGGTGGGAAGAAAGGCAAGAAGGGCGCAAATGATAAAGCTCTGCAAAAGCCCTCAGTCCCTGATGTTTACCCTCAGGTCATGGCGATTCCAATCGCTAAACGCCCGCTCTTCCCCGGTTTCTACAAGGCTATTACCATCCGCGATCCGAATGTGGCTACAGCCATTCAAGACATGATGAAGCGCGGACAACCGTATGTAGGAGCGTTCTTGTTCAAGGATGAAAACGCGGATGGCGATGTTATCGAGAACGTTGATGATGTTTATGACGTCGGTGTATTCGCGCAAATCACCGCTGCTTATCCCCTCCGGGGAGAGCAGAGCGGCGTGACTGCCGTTCTCTACCCACACCGACGCATCAAGATTTCCTCCTTGCTTCCGCCAGGCGACTCTGCAAAGCCCGCCACACCCGAGGACAAGTCTACTGAGAAACGTGGGGATGTCGTTGCGAGCTTTGAGGAGAACACTGCTGAGGTTGTGCCGAAGGATCATTACGAACCTACATCTTTCTTGCGGAAGTATCCCGTCAGCCTGGTAAACGTCGAGAACCTGGCGGAGGAGCCCTTTGATAAGAAGAGCGCACTCATCCGTGCCGTTACGAGCGAAATAGTCAACGTCTGCAAGGAAATTGCGACTTTGAATCCGTTGTTCCGTGACCAGATCTCAGCATTCTACACCGACCAATTTCCCGGAAACCTGAGCGATGAGCCTGCCAAGCTTGCTGACTTTGCTGCGGCGGTCTCCGCCGGAGAGCTGCATGAGATGCAAGAAGTCCTTGAGCTTATGAATATCGAGGAACGACTACCAAAGGCGCTGGTCGTGTTGAAGAAGGAGCTCATGAATGCTCAGCTGCAATCCAAGATTTCAAAGGACGTAGAGGCAAAAATTCAAAAGCGACAGCGAGAATATTGGTTGATGGAACAAATGAAGGGCATTAAGAGAGAGCTGGGAATCGAATCGGACGGTAAGGATAAGCTCGTGGAGAAGTTCAAGGAGAAAGCAGGGAAACTCGCGATGCCGGAGGCTGTGAAGAAAGTTTTCGATGAGGAGATCAACAAATTAGCTCACCTTGAGCCTGCTGCGTCCGAATTCAATGTCACCCGCAATTACCTGGACTGGCTGACACAGATTCCTTGGGGTCAAAAGAGTGTCGAGAACTTTGGAATCAAGCACGCTACCAACGTATTAAACGAGGATCATTACGGCCTGAAAGACGTCAAGGACCGCATCCTCGAATTCATCGCCGTCGGGAAGCTCCGAGGTACTGTTGAAGGGAAGATTCTCTGCCTTGTTGGTCCTCCAGGTGTCGGAAAGACGAGTATCGGAAAGTCTATTGCCAGGGCTTTGAACCGGCAATACTACAGGTTCTCGGTCGGTGGCTTGACGGATGTTGCGGAAATCAAGGGACACCGTAGGACCTACGTGGGTGCTCTTCCTGGTCGAATCATTCAGGCTCTCAAGAAGTGCCAGACCGAGAATCCTCTTATCCTTATTGATGAAGTGGACAAAATTGGTCGCGGCCACCAGGGGGACCCGTCCTCTGCGCTACTTGAGCTTCTCGACCCCGAACAAAATTCTTCATTCTTAGACCACTATATGGATGTACCCGTCGACCTATCGAAGGTGCTCTTCGTCTGCACTGCCAACGTTACTGACACGATACCCCGGCCCTTGTTAGACCGTATGGAAATCATTGAACTGTCTGGTTATGTTGCAGATGAGAAGATGGCGATTGCTCAACGTTATCTTGGTCCCGCTGCCAGAGAACTTACTGGCCTCAAGAATGTCGATGTCACATTGAGCGAAGAGGCGATTGAAGAGCTTATCAAGTCTTACTGTCGAGAGAGTGGTGTACGAAACCTGAAGAAGCAGATCGAGAAGGTCTATCGAAAGGCGGCCTTCAAGATCGTGTCCGATCTCGGAGAAGACGTGCTAGCAGAAGAGAAGGCCCTCACAGACGAGGGCAAGGCGGCGCAGGAGGAGTCGAACAAGGAGACGGAACCTATAGAGAGATCGAGTGAGCCGGAAAATGCGACCACAGAAACCCCTCGGGTGGCACTCAAGGTACCCGATAGTGTACAGCTCAACATCGGCAAAGACAGCTTGACCGACTACGTTGGTCCGCCAATCTTCACCGCTGACCGCTTGTATGACACCTTCCCGCCCGGTGTCACAATGGGCCTGGCTTGGACGAGTATGGGTGGTGCGGCTCTCTACGTCGAGTCTATCTTGGAAAATGCATTGACGCCCGAGTCGCGACCGGGTCTTGACATTACGGGCAACCTTCAGAACGTGATGAAAGAGTCAACACATATTGCGTATTCCTTTGTGAAGTCGGTGATGGCGAAACAATTTCCGGAGAACAGGTTCTTTGAAAAGGCCAGACTACACATGCATTGCCCCGAGGGCGCCGTTCCCAAGGATGGTAAGTTAGCTAATGAGGTAATCAAGGCTTCAGATGAGCTAATCGAACTCTAGGCCCGTCCGCTGGTATTACAATGGCGACATCCCTCCTGTCGCTGGGATTGAACCATCCATTGGATCCCACGATTGCGATGACAGGAGAGTTGACCGTGACCGGCAAAGTACTGCGCATCGGAGGCCTGCGAGAGAAGACGGTGGCCGCGCGCCGTGCCGGTGCCAAGAAGATTATCTTCCCAGCCGATAACATGTCCGACTGGCTAGAACTGCCTGAGGTGAGTGCTTATCTTTCCGGTACTTTTGGAGCTTGAAGCTGACCGTTCATCGCAGAACATCAAAGCAGGTATCGATGGCCACGCAGTGAGCTGGTACTCTGAAGTATTCGACATCCTCTTTGCCGATCTCGATAAGGACGCTGCGAAACGCGTCTGGCAGAAGGAGCTGTCAGAGGATTCCAAGAAGAAGAAGTCCAAAGACCATGACGAGGACGATGACTGATTCAGTTCGAACTCTCGGCCGCCCCGACCCGACATGATTTGGTAGACTTCTTCGATGCTGAGCAAGCCCTTGGGATTATTGGTTTATGTGTTTCTGGTCACGTACTGGCGTTCGCTCGGAATGCATGGTCCGGAGTTGCTTTCCCATTTTCGCTGTAAAAATATCATGAATAGACTCTACCCCTGGTCCGCGACTGGACCTGGGTTAGGATATCGGCATTTTCTTTGGATCTTGTTCTCTTTGGGTGGACCGCGTCTGCTAGAAAAGGACTGAAGAAAGAGCTTGACTACTCCACTCTGAAAATAGTATAGGCACTTGTATGATGGATCTGTCTATATCACTTGCATGTATATAGTTGTACCTAGAGCAAGACAAGACAGATTAATATTCTTACCAGAGCTCGTATGATGAAGTAAAGAAGGACTTACCACCTACCTTGGGATGTCGAAAGTACACAGTTATCGACACCAGCAACCAAGCCACGCACGACAGACCAACTACCAATATAGGCAAGTGTCTCCCCGATGCTAGTAATCGCATCGCATCGCATGCCTCAAGAACACTTCAACACGCCTCCCCGTGTGTGCCACCAAACCAAGCATCCAAACAGATCAAGAACAGCCTCCCAGGGAAAGCCAAGTGCGCTGCAAGATGAGGTATAGCGCAGCCAGTAAGCGCGCGCGAAGCAACGCATTCGCTGCAAGGATCCCAACGCAGCAGGATCTAGTCCCGACAATTAGCCTCGCGAGTCGCGAGGCCCGGCGTATAGTTAAGGCCGAAGGACTGGCGAGGGCCAGACTCCCGTGATTGGGTGCATTGTTTTTAGGGGTCGTTCATTGTCTGGTGCATCACTTTGAACTGGGTACAGTAGTGTGTGGCTAGTGGGGAGGACAAACTCGTAACTGGAGATGTGTGTCCTCTCGTACGCTGTACGACTGTGTCAGAGCGAGCAGGCTTCGAGAAGGATTTTGGGCTGTGCATTGCAGGTGTGGAGTAGTTGTGGAATATATTGTGCTCTGGGAGTGAAGCGATCGTGAGGTGTACTGTAGGAGGGAACAGTTGGAGTACTTCGTAGACTGATGCTACAAACCCCGTAGACGATGGTTCTCTAGTACTATATCTGACCAGTGCTTGGGGTGTGGGGTTCCAGTAGAGATTGGGTTGGGGAAGCATAGAGTAGAAATTGCGAGATAGCTATTTAGAAGTATATATAGCAGACAGATCATAAAACAGCCTGAAGCCAGACTTAAGCATCAAGTTTCTATATAGAAGTGTCAGCACCGCAAATCGTTGCTGAGAGAAATTTTCATAGTGCTGGAGCTTCAGGCACTATCAGGCCGCAGTGCGTCCTTTGAAGGAATTGCCTTAGGATAATCATGACGACAGGGATTAAGATCTGTTGGAATCAAGCTGCTTCGGAATTGTTGATTTTGGGGTTTTCAATGTTGATATCATGTTTGTGCGTTCGCTTTCTGGTGTACTCCGTACTGCTTTACTTATCAGCTCTTCTGCGTATAGTCCAGATGTAGAACAACAGAACCACGGCTATTGATGCCAGTGACAATAACCTAGTCAACCATCTTTCTCTAGTGAGTCATAACTCCTCGAGATAATAATAAATATTGCGCGTGGCTCATTCAGGCCGATCCTGGCTAGTCACCTTGCGTTGTTGCAGCAGCAGCTTCATTTTTCATCTTTTTTTTGTCTTCCGATTTCTTTTCTTCCTGCTCTCTCCTACGTACCCTTGTGCTTTTCTTGTTGCTTCTACTTCTGTTGTTTCTTCTTTGCTTCTCTATGACGGCGTACTGAGCTTTAATAATACCTTTCTGACTCCATTCATCCCCTACTTGATACCCGCTACGACTGTTGTGTGACCTGATACGACTCTGAACCCTCACCGACTCGTCGAGTACCATTCGATGCCTTGCCTGGATCTGTCTGATTCGACTGCATCCTGCTCGGGTTGTTGAAATTTTTCCCCTTCTTTTTTTTTCTTTTTCCTGTTGTCTGTTGTCTTCAAGAAAATTTTAGGCTGCTTTGAAATTTCCCCTCTGAAACGGTCGTCTCGCCCAACGGAAGTTCCGCCGCAAGAATTTCTTATGGCCAGCGCCCTCCCAGCCCCCTCGAGTCTTCAAGCCGTCGTCCTTCATTCGGCCTCCTTGAACTCTTGGGTTGTGCTGGATGGCCATCTCCATTGCAGACAGCTCTTGTAGCTCGCCCAGGTCATCTCTGGGCTTTCTGTTGGACCCGGAAAAGCTCGATCCGCCGCGTCCGAAGCAGAGCATGTGGCATCGCCTGGGCCTTCGGCGATGGCTTGGCCGCGATGACCGAGATTTTTCCTCCTCTCGCTCGCCCGCGAGCAGCGATACCTCCACCGCGTCGAACGACCGTTCCAAGCGTACCAATTCTCCACCTCCTAAATCCCACGATAACCTCACGCGTCGGCTCTCGAGAAGGGTAGGCGTCGGGCTTCCCCGATCCACCACCTTCAAGAGACAGCAGTCCGAGCATCGAGATCAGCTCGCACCCATCAACACAGAACCTCGGCGTGCTGTATCGGCCGACCGTCGAACGTTAAGCCTCCAGCGGACCAAGTCCCCACAGTCCGTCGTGGATCCCAGATTATCCGCTCCGGAGGTTAACTGGCGCGAAGACCCGGATCCAGACCAAACCAAGGTTGACGAACCCCCGGAGACGAATGAGGAGATCACCCAGGACAACGACGTCCGGTCGGAATGGGACCACTACCCCGAGATAACGGATACTCCCGCGGAGTATCCTGTTGATTTCATAGAAATGGAGTTGGAGAAGCGATGGATTCTCAATCTGAGCATGCACTTTCGGGACCGCTCTGAGAGGGAAAAATTTTTCGTCACCTACGCCGAAGCGCCTAACCGATGGCGCCGCGTCACCATTTCCTGCGATTATCGCGACGCCGAACCAGATTCCCTCGAGCAGGACCTGAAGGAATTACGGTATCAGCGAGATAAGTGCGCCCGGGTCTACGAGTCGATCCGCGAGTCGCTTCTCGACATCCAGTTTTACGATACGGTCACCAACCTGAAGCTGGAAACCCGCGATGGCCGCCTACATGTCCATGTCACCGAAGACGTCAACGAAATCATCCCTTACCCTCCTATCTCGTCTATCGGGCATTTACCCGACGCCAGGCTCGTACCTGAACGCCGGCTACATTTTGAGGCACATTTGTCAGGCTTCGTCTACAACGTGCGGTTGGACGGTAGGTCATTTATTAAAAAGGAGATCCCAGGTCCAGATACTGTCGACGAGTTCCTATACGAGATCAACGCGCTTCATGCACTCCAGGGCACACCAAATGTGATACAGGTAGAAGGCATCGTGGTCGACGACCGACAAGAAGTCGTCAAGGGACTTCTGATCAGCTTCGCTGAGAAGGGAGCTATGGTGGATATTTTATACGAAAACCGTGGGTTGCTTGCCTGGGAGCGTCGCGAGCGCTGGGCTCGACAGATTGTACATGGTCTATGCGAAATCCATGAAGCTGGCTATGTCCAAGGCGACTTTACTTTATCCAACATCGTGGTAGACGCCAATGATGACGCAAAGATTATCGATATCAACAGAAGAGGCTGCCCGGTGGGATGGGAGCCTCCGGAGATCGCGGACAAGATCGAGAGCAACCAACGAATATCAATGTACATTGGCGTCAAGACAGACTTGTTTCAGCTGGGTATGACGCTTTGGGCGTTGGCGATGGAGGAGGACGAGCCCGAGCGGCAGCGTCGACCGTTTGTGCTGGACGAGGACCTCCCCATTCCAGAGTATTATCGAAGGATAGTCTCTTTCTGTCTCAGCCCGATTCCTCGAAACCGGCTGTCAGCTAAAGAGTTGTTGAACTTCTTTCCTCTCGAGATTGACCATGCGCCAAGGATGAGCACCGGGGTGGGACTACATAATGGGGCGCTCCCGCTATATGACTCCCGTGCGGCCTTCATGTACCCGCGTGGAAGACAGATGGGTGGCTTTGGTCATAGCAATAATCACGTACCGCAACAGTTACCCCACGATGATAGCTTTGGAAGCATTTCGTCGCCAGAAACGATAGATTCGGATGGTGTCTTCTTTGACAGAGAGGAACAGGTACGGCACATGGAGATGAACGATACAGTACCTACGCAAGTGAATGGAATACAAAAGGGTGACTCAATGATATTTGACGAGCGAAGATCCGTGGACGACGTGATACCCGTGAGAGTCGAAGCCCCTACACATCCCGAAGACGGCCGAGCATTGAACACCAGCGAACCGCTACACTACGAGGATGAGATAAACGTGGATGGTCGCGATCATCGTTATCGGAATTCCTTCACCGAACCTGTTGACGAAACTCCAATCGATATCCAAGCGCAGGCCGATGAATTTTCCGTCCCTGGCCTCTGGGAGCCTGTTCAGGATCAGTCCTTGGAATTGTCTGACACGCAGGCCCCGGTCAATGAATACCCGGTAGATTCGGCCATCAAAGTTTGGCCTGTCTCAGAGCCATCACGATCAGTAACGTCACTTCAGCAGTCTTCCCTCCCGATCAATCCGGCGGCCGAGCCTTCAATGCAGGAAATATACACTAGGGATGATATGTCAAACCCCGACGTGGACCCTGAATACCGCCACGAAACAAACTACCGTCAAGGCTTTTACCTGAGCGAGTCTAACTTACCCATCAACCCAGCCATCAAATCTCCGGAAGATCCATTGCCACCTCTGGATGTCCAATCGGCCCCTGTCTATCTTCTCGACGACATTCAGGATTCGACCCTTAACCTGCATGAGTCTAAACTCCCCATAAATCCAGCCGCCGACTTGCCAGAAACCGACGTGCCAACTGACGAGCCAGCACATTCACAAGCGGAAGACCTGTCTCCCCTGCCTGCTGAGACAACTCTGTCGTATTCTCCACGAGTCACACAAGACCAGAGCGCTAACCTGATCGATTCTCAACTTCCCATCAACCCAGCAACGAAGTCCTCGCAAGATGACACTATCAAATCCGAACCGAACGCTGTAGCCGCTCTTGATACCCAGCCATCTACGATTAGTCCTGGCATCCAGGATGAGGACCAGGCCGCCGCTCTTATTGATTCTCAGCTACCCATCAATCCCGCAAGTCAATACCCGGAAGAAATACCCCCGGTAGAGACGGCATCCCCTATCACCCAGCCTGCTGTGTCTCTGCAGGAATCGGTCCATGCCGATGAACAAAATTCCCTTCTGATTGACTCTAGCCTGCCAATCAACCCAGCGGTCAGGCTTTTGGACGAAGCTCTCGACCATCAAACCAATTACTTTCGCGCTACCCCTATACTCGAACCTACCATTGACCAAGACGACATCCAGAACCAAGACCGAACCTCAATTTTGAGCAATTCCCACCTACCAATCAACCCGGCTGTCAGGCACTAAAGAAAGAAGGAAAAGTCCAGTCGGCTATCGAATCCTTACCAATCATTCAACCTCAGAATAGCGTTCAGGTACTCAGCTACTCCCTGACCGATTCCCACCTGCCGATCAACCCGGCATTCACCGACAAGGCCATACAACGCGTATGACCTATAGTAAAGCACATAACTCATCTCTCGGCATACTGTTTGTCCACGGGCCCATACCAGTGACAGACCCTCTTGCGCAAGGGATCTTGCGCTGTACACTTATTACTTAGCTTCTCGCGTTTCAGCACAATGGCAGCGGGACATGACGGCGAAACACGGAGTTCATTTGCAACAGCTCATCATTTGGGATCCATCTACTTCATCATCTTTGCGTTTCTGTTCTGATTCCGACAAAAATTTGATTTTCGTCAGCACTTTTCTAGCATGTTTCCCTACAGCATTTCCTTATTTCCTTTGTCTTATTTCCTATTTCATTTTTCTTCACGATGAACACGACGGATGGCTTGTTTCTTCTCTCTTGTTGGATGTTTTAGATCTTGTTGCCTCTTGTTGGTTTTTCCTCTTGATTCTTGCTTGGTCTCTTTTTTCTTTTTGGGTGTGCGCACACAATCAAATGTATATTGGTTTAATGTCTCCTTTTTATTGGACTCGGCAGCCTACTACTTATATTCTTAGCAGCGACTGTATTAATCGAACTTTCTTCCCTGTTTACTTGTTCTTTTCATCTTATGGATTGTAATCAGATAGTCACTCGCAAAAATATATAGTCGTCTCAGAGTATAGATTTCAGTCAGAGATCATGACATTCCCCCAAATATGTATCAAATGCATAACACATCTCACTCTAAGACATACAAGCCAGCCATCGGGCCACAGCATATATAGAAGGTAGTCTAAGTGTATGTCTACTTACTCATCCCTTGTCACAAACTCCTCAAAACTCCTCTGCCAAGACTCTACATCACCCAGCCCCCTCCCAATCAAAACAAGCTTACACTGACTCTTCCGCTCATCATCCGGAGACCGTTCCTCGTCACGGATCTCAAAAACGTCCCGAACAGCCTGGATGATTTTGGTGCTCCCGTCAGAGAGGGCCAAGATGCCCTTAAGACGGTGGATATCGAAGTCAGGACGCTTTGAGGTGGGATCAGAATTTGTTGTTTGTGACGCCGGCCAGGGGAGGGTCGAGTCCCAAAGAACGGATCGCAGCCACTCGTCTACGCGCGAGATTTGGGATGGTGAGAGCGGCGGGTGGTTTAGGGCTATTGTTGAGATGGCCTTTTGTGTTTTCTTGTTAGCACTCTCCTCGCAGGTCTAGTGGACGGAGGATAAAGAAAAACGTACGGGGTCAATGTGACTATGTCCCTTTTGACTAAAGTCAAGACTATCAAGATGATCATACGCATGCAGATCCAAGACAACGCCCTCGATCTGCGGCGTACGGCTGTGGTCTGTTAGATGGATTTTTGCTGCGCTGTTGATGGCCGTGACTCTGTCACGGACGGCTTCGAGTTCCTCCGCGGTAACAAGATCAGTCTTGTTGAGGATAATCACGTCCGCATGGGATATTTGCATGTGTGCCATGGAGAGGATGGGACCTGAATGGTCATGCCCGTGGTCATGGTCGTCCGGAACGATTTCTTCAGGTGTAGGCTGGTCGAGCAGGTGGAGGATGTTCTTTGCATCGACGAGGGTTACAATTCCGTCGAGATAGATTGAGCTCCCGAGGTTATCGTCTACCCAGAAGATGGGCGCGATGTTACCTGGGTCGGCGAGACCCGTGGTTTCGAGGAGGATGTAGTCGAATGTGCCGCGGCGTTCCATGAGGGATTCAATGGCCATTACGCCGGAGTCTCTGGTGTGTGTTAGTATACTCTTGGAATAAAGGTCTTTGGGGGGGGTTGGGTACTTGACAGAGCAGCAGATGCAGCCGTTGCCTACTTCGAGCCATTCGGTTACTTCTTGGCCGTCTTGGTTTACCGTCATTGGTTTCTCGATGTCGGATGCTGTGGCATAACTTCGTGTAAGCGTTTAGCCAGGCTGAGCCGATCGCTTGACTTACAGTCTCCGAATTCTGGGCTTAGTTAGTGCCATCTTTCAGAAAGCTGTTACCCTGGGTAGGTACCATTCATAATCACAGCGATCTTCTTGCCATGTTTCTCGGTTAAGATGTAGTTGAGCAATGTCGTTTTACCAGCACCAAGATATCCTGGTAGGGTCTGATGTTAGCGATTATTATGGTGAAATTTGTATAATCTACACGGAATCTATACCCGTTACAAGCGTGATAGGCACCCGTTGCTGTGGTGGTAGGTCCGCTTCGGATGTCTGAAGTTCGGACTCTGGAAGCTGGGAAACATCCACAAGATCAGGGGGCGCATCGTCGTCATCCATCATGTCCAGCTATAACCAGACCAGGGGCTCAGAATGAGAGTTGTACTGCAGATGCACGAGTTTACGGAATCTGGGGAAGAGATCGATGACGTTACCCGAAACGGTAGTCAAGTAGGGCGTAGGGCAGGGGCGGTCATGGGCCTCACACTCACCGCCCGGCGAATTGGGGTGGGTTTATCGTTAGCTGCAGCTTGGTTGGAGATGGCTGGGTCGGGTCGCTATCTCGTCTTCTCCTCTTCCTTTTAGAGTGTTCTCTACGCCGTTTGGCTTCCGTCCGGTCATTCTTTTCTACCTTCTACCACTCTTTAACAATGACCGCTGCGGGAGTCTCCCCGTCCAGCTCGCCGCGACTACCCAGTCCGCCGCCGTTCACTGAAGTGCAGATCGGACCCCAGTCGCCGTCAGTTGGCGAGTCGTTTGGCGGCGATGCGGACCTTCAGCTCTTGGGTGTCTCTCCAAGCACAGATGATGGTCCGACGCGGAGGATACGTCCGGGCTCGAAGGCGAGCGAGATGTCCGCGGGTCCTCCGTTAATTCCTCTCTCCCAGGTCAGTAACATGTCGCTGCCCAACCCTCAAAAGTGTTCTCCTCGCGTCGACTCACATTGCCCCGTGTCTGTATAGCTCGACTCCCCTTTTCAGCTCCAAGAACACCTGAAAGCACTTTACAATCACTATACGCGACCCGAGGGCGCCGACACTGTGTACCCAATCCAACGAGAGGTCGCCCGTCAACTCGCAGAACCGCCCGAGGGTGTCGAGAAGTCATTATGGCTCTACGAGCTTTGCCGGTTCTTGACCATGAAAGCGAACAATCTCATCATCGCCTTTTTCGCCGAAAACCCGCCTTGCTCTGCACAGACCTGCCCCGAGATGCGCGCATCGGAATGGCAATACCTCTGTGCGGTGCACGACCCGCCGAAAGCCTGCTGCGCCATTGACTATTGCTGCCACACCCTCGATTGGGCCACCAACATCCTTACCTCACCAAAACACTTTCCGAGTCGCCTGACACTGGGGTCGGAGTCTGGGGGCGGTCCTCAGGCGGGTATGAGACACCTCACCAATGTGTTTCGTCGGCTGTATCGCATCTTTGCGCACGCGTGGTTCCAGCACCGGGACGTCTTTTGGCAGGTCGAGGGCCACGATGGGCTTTATATGTTCTTCAAGACCGTTTGCGACATGTACAACCTCATCCCGTCTGATAATTACACGATACCCCCAGAGGCGGAGGGAGACGAGGCGCATCAGCCGCATCAGGTACAGGATCATGGCGATCCTCGACGATTGACGATATTACGCAAGGATAACGAACCCCTACTGCCTCCCTTGGACCAGGTCGAGCCTGCGACAATCAGTACTGGAGCTACCACTCGCCGGCACAAGTCTAGCCCATCGATCGGGTCTCGCGTTACGACTATTAATGAGAGTGCGGAGGATAGTGAAGAACCCGAGCCACTACCATCACCGGAGGTCAAGGAACCAGCACCAGAGCCGACGGAAGCTGCAAGTGACACGACAAGCGAGCTGGTTCAGTCCCCACAAAGCACTGAGTCCCAGGTGACTGTCGCCGAAGTCGAACTAGAAGACGAAACCCCATCAACAGCTGAAGCGCCGGCTATCGAAGAACCCGAAGATAAGCAAGAGAGTAAGCCTGCAGAGCCCGTTGAAGGGGAGGCCCCGGCCACAGCCTCAGAAGAAGCGAAGCCCGAGCCAGCTGCCAGCGCCGAGCCTGAAACTACTCAAACTACCGAAACCGAGCCCGAATCTACGAAGCCAGAGCCAGAATCAGAATCAGAGCCAGAGAAGAAACCTGAGCAGAAGGAGACAACAGAGGAGCCGGCCAGGGAGACCTGACCTGTTCATTTCCCGGATGTGCCGTGATGGCACTCTACATTGTACGACTGTAACATGTCCCTGCCTTTGTTGATATTGTTACTTTTATTCTCAAGATTCTACTTGTAATATATCTATCTCCAGAGATAATGATACCCAGATTTATTGTGTTGTTAACGTCAGGCAGTCGTATAGATGGTTATTTTTGTCTTCGCGGCACGTGCCCATTCGCCTTCTTCCGCTTAAGCATCCTCAACGCAGACATCTCAGAATATCGTGTACTCATTCCTGTTGAGACAGAAAGCGATCCTCAAACCGCCATGGGATGAACTGATTAGTTCTTCCACCACCTGCAACCTCGTCTAGTGCCTTTCCTGGTGCTGAAACTCAGTCAAGGATCTCTGCTTGCTTGTCTGGCAAGAGAATGGGAGACAGAGAAACAGTCTGTGAGTGTCAGGTGGCTGAGACATTGTGGGCTAATCAGCCTTTCCATCATGAACTCCAATCCTTTTTTTCTCTTTCCTCTCGCCATCCGACAGGAGAGCCCCTTTTCATCTCTGAACACGTCCACGCCGGAGCAGCTTTTGACGCAAAAATGACAGACTCTCTAGCAATCACACCTCTCGCATTGAGGCTTGCAAGGCCATCGTACGGTATTCCGATGGATGGAGAAGCCATGACGATGAAATCGAATGCATCAAGATGAAAGCTGGCGGGCTTTTATCTACACTTCAGATAATCAATAGGCTCCTGAGGGAAACGAACGCAACACATCCAGAAATCGCCGCCGACATCTCTTCCAAGATCACAGAGAACGAGCATTGGATAAAGAAGGTCAACGAAAAGGTTACAAAATGCTCCATTAATCCTAAGGACACCAGCCGTAGCCACAAACTACGGGTCACTGCGAAGAAGGCCCTGTATCCTTTCCATAGGGATACGTTGTTGAGCACGGTGATTTCTTGAAAATTCTCCAAGAGAAGTTACATACGGTACTATACTGTGAGTCTCCTTTCCTAGACAATGTCCAGCTGTTCGCCGTTGACTCCCGAGCACGATAAACTGCAAATTCAGCATATCTCAGCTCTTGCGAAGCAATCGGAGTCTCTACCGAAGACGGAAGCCTTGGGTACTTCAATGATGTAGGGAGAGATTTTATATAGGAATTGCCTGGTTGCAGAGCTCCAGGATGAGTATCTTCGGCTCGGTTTTCCCCTCTGGGATTTTATCCATAGTCATTGGAGTAGCCGAGTGAAAAAAATATCTCATTGGGAATGGCGAATATCTCAATCCTGGTCGGTTGCTTTGCGCCTATCTGCGAATGGAGATAGTGGCCCGGGAAGAGATTGGAGATGGTACTAAGGATGATGAAGAAGAGAGAGGACCTGACAAAGCCTATTTGCGGTCTATGCGTCTCTGGCAAAAATCCGAGTCTAGGGCCCGATGGCGTCTGCGGACGATGTTTCGTTGCTGTCCCTGGTAATTCTTGTTCTTATCAATGCGAGGCCTATTTATTTCGGCACATTTATCCTTTTGCTCACTCAATACATCATTTCATTTCCGCTGAAGCACTCGCGATCAGTCATCTTACCCATCATATATAAAACGATACTCTCCCAATACAAAGATCGATAATTTATCTGCGACAGGTATTTAGTTTACAGCGATGTATGTCCCTAATCTAAGCCACAATGTAGAATCTTAACCTAGTAAGATTTTTTTGGGGGCAAACCAATCTTTCTTAACAAGATTTCCAGTAGTAGTAATCGTACATCGTAGGATACTACTACATAGTACTAAGTACCTACTAATTATCTCATTGTGGGTCTGAGAAGCCTAGTGCTATCTACAGGAAGCTCCACTCTGTCTGCCCCACGAGTCCTGTCAACCTTGGCACACCCGTCATCAACACATCCCAAGCAAACAACAGCTACCACTGCCATCCCCTCCAATAACTGTACTATAATCGTCTATCTTATACATGTCCACCGTCGCACCTCTAGATTCCGACCCCTCCATGCCGTTAAAACTCAAAGGCGGCCCGATCCACTTCGGCCCCTTCCTCGTAACCCCACAAGTTCGTCCAATCCATGATTATCCATCCCCCTGGCTCTCCAAATCTCCGACTCCAGTTCCCTCCGTGATAACCACGTCTCCAGGTCTTCCACCAATCTCCCCTCTCCTTCGCCCTCGTAAACCTCAAACCCATCCTCCCCGGCCACGTTCTCGTCTCCCCACGGCGCGTCGTCCCCCGCGTCTCCGACCTTACCGTAACAGAAACATCCGACCTCTTCCTAACAGTCCGGCGCGTCGGCCGAATGATCGAGCGGGTGTACGGTGCCACAAGTCTAAACATCGCGATTCAGGACGGCAAGGAAGCTGGACAGAGTGTACCGCATGTCCATGTGCACATTATTCCGCGGCGGCGGAGGGATCTGAGTACCGTTGATGCGGTTTATGACAAGTTGGATGGGGAGGAGGGGGATTTGCGGAGGGGGTTTGAGGAGCGCGAGGGGGCGTTGAGGGTTGATGATGAGGAGAGGATTCCGAGGACTGCAGATGAGATGGAAGAGGAGGCGAGTATGCTTGCGGCGGAGATGGAGAAGGAGCCGCTTGACTAAAGGCTAAGGGAGGTACATATGCGGATTATAGAAGGTTTTTGACTGGGTTCAGCGGTGTTTCTGCAAGGATATACCCTGTGCGTTGCGGGACTGGGTCGTATGTGATGCGTGTGCAATGTATGTCTATTGTGCGTGGTATCTATCTACGTGACCGACCGTGCAACGCCTCTAATTAGAGAAATAGAATAGACAGGAAAGAGAAAGAAAAGGGTGCCGGGTCGTCAGACATCTCGCCATCAACATCTCAGTCATGCAAGTTCCGCCGACTCTCATGATGACTCCTTCGTCGCGGACTGCGCCTGTCTCGTCTTCCACAGATCCTCCCGCTCTTTCAGCACGGTGGCAGCCCACTCCTGGATCTCAGGCAGATGGATCCTCTTCGCGACACCCAGGAACTCCTCCAGGTCAATCTCATAGCTCCGCTCATACTCCACCATTTGTAAAAGCAGCTCCATCTTATCGACGTCATGGACAAACTGCGCCTCCAGCGTCTCATTCGCCTCGTACTCGTTGAAAACGGCCAGGATATCGTTTCCGGACAGCATGCCCCCAGGCACTCTCCCTAACAGCGACTTCGAAATATATTCCATCACAGCAGCCTCACGGCGGGCCTTTTCGGTCTTCTTGATCGGGTCAACAGGTGTAATGTCGCCGACGAGGGACTCAGCCATGTCGTGCACAAGGGCCATCTTCATGCAGTGTGGGAGGTTCAAGCGGGAGGAGAGAGAGGGCGGAGCGAGCATGGTCATTATGGACATGCGGTACATGTGGTCTGAGATGGATTCGCCATGGTTGATGTCGAAGCGGCGCCAGCCTTCGCGCTTCGTGGTCTTTAGGCGCTCGAGGAGGTGGAAAAATGGGACGGGTGAGGTGGAGTGTTCGTCAATGGGGTAGGGGAGGGTAGATAGAACTGGAGATTATATTAGTTATACGTCAGTTGTGGTAGGTTGCTGAGATTCACTGACCCGATTGAGGGGTCCAGAGGGGTTCGGACGGAGGTTGAGAGCCCATTTTGACGGCGGGTAGGATTAGGTAGAATTAGGTTAAGCGAAGAATTTCCGGAGGTGATTAGAAAGATTTAAGGAGAACAAGAAGAGAGAAAAGAAGCGGTTGAACAAGAGGAAGAGAGGGAAGAAGGGGTGGAGGAGTTGGAGAGGGAAAAGCAAAAAACGGGGATGAAGTTTATCGCCGAACCAAACAATGAAACCCCATCCCTCTTCCACTGTAAACATTCAAGCCGCATCCCACCACTGGGCAGGCTTGGTTTGTCAACCCAGGGTAGATAACCCGGCTGCTCATCCTTTGTCACATACTCACAAGCGGCCTGAAGAAATGCAGTCATCCAAACCCCCACGCCAGAAATCATCCAATTGGCCTCCCCAATCCTCCCACACCGTCTTGATCCGCAATCTCCAACTGCTAGAGCTCGACCAGCTCGAAGACTGGCCCGACGTCACCCTCCGAACATTTTCGCCCTCTTCACAAAACCAGCGCCAGCGAATAAAAGCAGTCGAATGGATTCTATACCGCCTGGTTACTCTCTGGAATCCGGAGACCGCTCGGGATGTAGGTTCAGCCTTGTGCTGATTTCACCACTGAGACGAACTGAGATGAGCTAAACGATGTCCGCTCCAGAAACTTCGGCCGTTTTTCCCTCCCCTCGAACCTCTACAGTCGGTCAACCTGCGAGCTGCCCTGTTCCGTGTACTGTCCGATTTGAAGAAGAATGGCGACCTGGGCCGCGAAACTATATTACGCAAATCCATGCTAGACGATTGCAAAGGCGAGAAGTTTGACGAGCTTTTGGCCGTGCTCTCCACCAGTGTGGTTCGGAAGAAGAAAGTTCACGAGCGCAACCCTGCCGTCAACCTGTCTCTCGCCTCCGGTCTGTCTCCGCACGATCATCAGCTTCTTCTACCCCTGATCCTTGCTCATAGAGTCTCGTTAAAGTCGTTTGGAGAACGCCGGGACCGAGTACGGGATACCCAAGAGAAGTTTGTGCAGCTACTAGACAGAAAGAAAGACGAGTTATCTTCTCGCTCTACACCCGATCATCATGGCCTTAGCGTACAGGAGGCTGACCTCGAAGCTCTTGCCCGTGAGGTTAAAGCCAATTGGCAAGGGAGCGTCGAATGGGCGGATACTCTGCTTTACGGTGGGCTTAGCAGCGGCCGCGATGCATTTCTAGAGCTGCCATTCGACAGTGCCTGGTCTCGAGCGAAGGAGTCAACGGTCGACGACCTCCGCACAACCGCCTCACGCCCAGACCTGGTGACAGACCTGGAGAGCCGGGTTTTGCGACAGCGAGCACGTTTGCAGAGATGGCACCAGTATACGGAATCCCTCAAGGGCTCGAGGGCAGCATTACCCTCAAAGCCCGCAGGCAAAACCGCGCCGCAGCTGGTCTTTCGGGGCCACCAGAATCTCAACATTGCCAGTATCTCTAGAGCTGTGAGGCAGCCTGAGGGCCGAAGCGTCCTTTCCGCCAATGACCAGAACCTCCTACGCTCAATCTCCGAAGTGATGAAGCAGATCAACGGAACAGCATCGGACGGAGACATTCCCACTACCTCAATTCCCGAACCAGATCTGGAGCCGGAGCTCGAACCTGAACCCGAACTTGATTTTATACCTCTACCTGAGCCTACACAAAGGCTTACGAGACCAATACCATCTATCACTCGGCCCGAGATATTCGAGCCACCGTCAGAACCACTCGGAAGCCCATCCGACGAGCTCACGGCAGACGAGTACCCAACAGAACAACCCCTTGAGAGCGAGCCCACAAAGCGCTTCACCCTCACAGAGCGCACGCGCAAATCCATGTCCCTTCTCCCACCCCCGCGCGAAATTCCGCGCTCCAATCCACGCTCACGGAAATCCCGTGTCTCGTTCCCCGTCAACCAATTCGAGACCCCTCCAAGAGCTTCTACGGCTGACTTCCCGAGCCGCGCTTCGACGCCTCGGGACGAGCTCTTCGAGGAAGAGGCTGATTATGCAAGTGTGTTCAAGTCCCGGCCGCGTATTGCGCTGAGCCCTGTTACCTCGCCGGCTGTACATGTCAGTCCGATAGGCAATTTTGACCTAAGCGGAGATGTTGATTGGGAGGAAGGGTGAGGGTTGTCTCGCAGAAACTGCTTGATGTGGTACGATTATGCTTGGACAGATATCATCCTGTGGATGTTCTATAGACTAATAACAATAATCGAGTACGCTGTTACAACTTCAGGCTGCGCCTTAACCCTGAAGAGATTTACACCTAGTAGTCTTACACAATCTTGAGAAAAACTAATATACCCAGGCGACCTGGAACTTAGCACCTATACGCATTTGAAGAGGCTTCGTGGCTACGTGTGGGTCATGAACTGCGTGTTTTTGAAATGATAGCCAGCAAATCGCTCTATGCGTGGTATTTTTAGAGCTTAATGTAGCGTACCACATGCCACAGCACATCTTATCCGGCCATAGCCCTGGAACCATTATCACTGCAAATGAACGCCGTGTCTATCTTTGCCCATGCCGGAACTCCGAGAAAAACATACCAGGCCATTATTCACGCCGATTCGTGTTCCGAGTGCGCCTGCGCTTTTGCGGCGGAGGCGAATCCTCCTCGCTAGACTCCAAAGAAGGCTCCGGCTCTTCGTCTACAGAAGGAATAGGAGACTCATCTCGAGAGATGTTCGGACGCCGCCTGAGGGGAGGCTGTCTCTCTTCTACTACCAAATCTCCAGTATCGTTGTCGTCATGGCCACCAAGGAGGAACCCGCCGCCACGGTCAACGTCGTACTCCTGGCGCTGCCCTTCGTCCTCATCGACCAGTCCAGCGGGATGCTCCGTCGGCGTCTGAGTCTTAGCTTGAGTTGGCATTCTCCGGCTCGCAAATGGGTTATGAGCGTCAGGCAAGTAATGGGTTTCATCTTGGGCATACTCCTCTTGCACGCGTTGAGCAATGCGCAACCCGAATAAGAACTTGCGCCATGTCTGGAGGATTTTAGCTTCAGCTTTGCGCTGCTCTTTCTTGCGTTTTTCTTCATTCTCGGCGCGCCAGGCGTCCTTGACGAGATCCTTATTCTCGATTGCGACGACGACGCCCTGGATGACGGGGACAGCCATCTGTGAGCCAAATTCAAATCCCGTGACGGCCTCGGCGTAATCAATACCTAGCTTCTTGCAGACGCGCGCGGTCCCGGGGAATGGAATGTGTACGGCACCCTCGGGGACCATGCGCGGGACGAAGCAGTCGATGTTGCCGTAGTCGTTCTTTGGAATAATGCCATCGACGATCGGCGGCGGAATGATTTCCTGGGTTTGTTCAATAGAATACAGTCCTTGGAGGGGTTTTTGTCCCGTCAGTCGGGCTTGCTCGTCGACCTCGCGTTTACGGAGGAGGGTTACGGCGCGGATGGGGACGCGTTTGAGTGGGATTTCGGATTCGCGGGGTTCGCGGCCTTCCTTATGCCAGCTTTCGGCGGATTGGCATTTGACGATGTCGGAGCGGCGGTAGACGTTTTCTGTCTGGGGGGTTTCAGTGCCCTTGGCCTTTGCTTTGTTCTTCCCACCAGGGGTAAAGGTGCGAACGGGTTGAGAGCCTGGTCGGAGAGCTTCTTCACGGCGGAGAAACCGTTCTAAGACGAACTCGGTGGATGTTCGTAAACTTTGAAGGGTATCAACGGTCTCGGTGGTGGGTTTGCTCTTGGTAGGTCGGTTTGGAGTCAGGTCTTTAGCATCTTCAATATCATCAACGGCGGTGCGGTCTTTGTACGGCCGTGCGTAGACACGCATAAGAGCACGAAACCAATCCGAGGGGTCGTCATCAGGGCCCTTCTTCCCAAGTCGAAATCCTTTGGTCTTTCCAGGCCATGTCCGTCGGCGGAGGTACCGAGTGGTAACATCTTTGGCGCTTTTATCGGCTGAGAAGGCAACGACGTAGCAAATCACCTGCTTGCTTTTATCAGCCTTGGCCCCACGAGGCTCCCAAGCAGACTGAAGCTCTTGAGTAGCTGCCACTGCGTTGGAAAGCACCAGTGGATCGACGGAAACAATCTGGTGGGTGATCGGGGAAGCCACCTCTGTCCAGTAGATAGGAAAAGGGAGGTCATGGTCGTATCGCGGAGTATTCTTGCGCCCACGAGATGGCTTGGCCTCTTCTTCGTCCTTCTCATCTTCGTCGCGAGTAGCAGAGCTTTCGTCGTCGGTTTCTGGGTTCCCTGTGGCTTGCGGTTTTTCTTTCGACTTGGGAGCGGTGTATGACTCTGCTTTGGTCCAACCGAAGCCTAAAGGCTGTAAGCTAGCTACGAGTCGAGCTTCAATTGAAAGCGCACGAAGTAACGCCGTGAATAGCTGGGCCCCGACGTCACGCGAGCCTTCCATGCGTTCGGCAGCCTTTCGAAACTCTTCAACGCCGTCGATCCTCTCTCCGAATTGTCCCGAATCTTCCTTGCTATGATTAAAAGCAGCTATCTGGGTCTGGAGCTGGGTCATGGGGCGGTATCCATTTTTGCGAAGTCCTGGAGCAGTAATTTTGAATTTACTCTTCCAGTATGCTGCGAGGACACGCATTAAATGTATGATAGGGTCTCCATTGCTCAAGTCAGGCTGTCCAGGTTCCTGACGGGACGAGTCTCCACCCCAGTTTCGTTGCGCCTTGGTCTGCCGCTTGTTCTTCCCCTTCTTCTTTTGTGGAGGCTCTTTCGGAGGCTCTGGTGGATCGAGTCCGGATGCACGGCGCCATTTTTTGACCTCGTTTTGTATTGCAGTGGGCAGCTTGTCACGGAGAATGTCGTGGCATTTCGAGTCGTTGGCCCAGGCATTGCGGATGGCATTATGCGCAAGTAAACACTGCACGTGCAATCGATGGATCAGAATCCGAATCTGACGCTCTATCTTCGACGGTGCTTTCTGACCTTGTAGAATGTCTTCCAGGTGCACCTCGTTGCGATCTAGAGTCAACTCCAAGTTTTCCTGCGGGGAGACAAAGCCCGGCGCAAAGGTGGGAGCGGATTGGATCGCATCCTCCCAATCGACCTCGTCGGATTCTGCGCTCTCAGCTTCAGAAAGATCTTTCTCATCGTTTTCCACTTCATCACCGTTATCATTCTCGAATTCGGTAGGAAGAGGGGTCAAGTCGGAATCGGAGACGGGGGTTAGAGAAGAGCTGGACGACGGAGATGCGGGAGTCGGCTTCGCAAAAGCATGGCGTTTGGGAGGGGGAGGTTCCTCGGAAGAGAGACGCTTAGAGGGTATGAAAGGGGGCATCCAGCGGGATAGTATGATCAAGAGCAATGAGCGCCGACTGTATGGGAAGTCACATTTGAGGAAGATCGAGAAGATTGCGGAGGTTTGGAGATGACAAAGTGTTTGCAGCGTTCCAGCCTTGCGGGCGATGACGATCTCCCTTCAGTCTCCACTACTTCCCTTCTTTGCCACGGAGAAGACAACCACCATATTTTGTAGAGCTGGGGGTAGCTGTCAGATGCCTGGTGCAGATATCCAGTTTCCTTGTACATGCCTATGTAGTAACTTTTATTGATCGGGAAACATTAGCACTTATATAGAGGTAAGAGTACTAAGAAGACTGCAATTCAAGGCTAAAATTACCGATGTACATGTTTTTGAACTCCGCATTCTACAGATTATGCGGCGTTGGGTGAACTGACATAACTATTATAGCAAAGCCCCAGGATATGAAGAGAGCCAGAGCTCCTCCACCTTGCACATAGTAAGGCACGGTAGATACAATGCGTAAGAGATAAGGATCGGTGTATAGAGCACCTATTCCGGCACAGGGATGATGAAATCGAGGACCCGAGGTATATTCGTTGGTCTGCCCCTCCACTCGGTTCTCTCTTATTCTCTGTTAAACCACTTCAACTTACGAACACAAGGTCAATACCATCCACAATGGACGCTGTCAAACGCTTCTTCTCGTCGCCTCGGTTTGCTGTCGCTGGAGCCAGCAATGACTCTCACAAATTCGGTTATAAGAGTATGAGCCTTGAATCCGGGATGGGATCAAATATTGACTTTCACAGTTCTTGCCTGGTATCATCAGCATTCTCTGCCGGTGACCCCTCTGAATCCCCGGGCCCCGAGTATCGACCTATCACCTTCACATTCCTACAAGACCGTCGCATCACCCTCGGCCCTGCTATCCCCTGCGCAGACGTCCTTATCGGTGGTGACTCCTCCTGCAGTCACCCTCCCTCTGTTGCAGGAGGCCCATTCTGTGGGTATTCCCGCCGTCTGGCTGCAGCCGGGAACATTTGATAATGCCGTGCTGGAATTCGCGCGATCGCACTTCGAAGCAGTGATCGCGGGAGATGGAGGGCGAGGATCGGAGGGTTGGTGTGTGTTAGTAGACGGAGAAGAAGGATTAGATGCTGCTGGCGTAGAATGGACGAGCCAGAGACTGTAATGCCTTAGTATAATGAGGGAAAATATTGAGCCGTTGAGAGTTGTTGAGATGGAGGGTTTATTTTGGTGGCTGGGACTTGAGGATTTCCTCATTTCTGCTGATTTGGGGAAACTCCGCCTTTTTCTCTCTCCCATCTCCCACACATCATCTCCATCTTTTCCACTCATTTTATCCCAACCGACCTTCATCTCATGAATTAACGAATCCGTAAATGACCCAATAATCAATGATCATGCAGTCCTCCTCCTTCCTCTTCGACTCGCCTATCCCTCCGCAACTCGACCTCGTCGGTGCTCCCTCACCTCTCTTTCAGGTTCCTCCGACGCCCTCCGCTTCGTCTGCGTTATATCGGTCCATTTCTATCTCCCGTCATCGCAAAAGAGGATACCCAGAAGTAGAGCATACTCGCGTCAAGGTCGCCCAGACACCCCATCGCCCTCCGCCCCCGGTGCATGACTACTTCGCCGACCTCGACGAGTCCTACGATCACGAGGACCATGACTTTCACCGACCAAGCCGCTACCGTGACTACCCTCGAACCCCTCTCGATGAAAGCCTCACAGACTCCGGCAAAGAGCCCGATGAGTTTCGACGTAAACGCTGCCGCCGTGAGGATCCGTCCCTTGTCATCGCTGCCTCGCCGTCCGGCATAGACGAGAAGGCTCCCATACCACCCGAACAGATGCCGACTGTAGCTGGGCCGCTGCGCTGGAGCCGTGCGGTTCTGAACGTTGTTGGAAAAGTCTGGGACTTTTGCTGGTCCGGTCCGTTTCGCGGGTTCTACGCCGGCGGTGGACGAGGCTATTCTATCGACCCCCCACAGCCCCCGTCTGCATCGGGCCTTGACGAAAATCAACCACCTCTTACCTCTTTGCCTTCATCCTCCGCCATTTCTATCCCTTCTACCGAGAAAGAGACGGTCTCTTTGCCAGGCGAATACCCGCTAGATGCTAGGGAGGGAGACATCAACGGTAACTGGGTTCTAGTTTCTCCGCGAGAGGGAGCGACAAGCTTCGGCAGCCCGTCAACTCGTCCTCGTTCACGACGAGCGCATGTCCCACGCGGCCGGGTTGTGCATCGCCGAAGCCCATCGAAAAAAGCACTTGCCTCGCATCCATCTTCAAATTTCTCATCCCTTGCTCAGCCACATGAGAGTCCAGTTTCAGTGCAAACGCAACGCTATATTGTGCAGCAACGTCGGCGAGAACGTGAAGAAGATGCGAGCTTACAACGCTTGAATCGACAGCTTCAAGCGATGATCCAGGAGGGCAAACAAGCATTAGGAACACGCATCGAGGTCGACGACGTCGACATGGAAGATTGAGAAATTCCTTTCACCCCGCTATACATTATACCCACACGCTCACTTTGTCTTTATAACCTTTTGGTTTCCCCACTACTGTTCGGATTATTTTCAATCCTTGACGACCCATTCACGAGACATGATTATGACAACAGCAACAACTTCGAACAAACCCGAGGGCCTCATTTTTACTTTGCAACGATTAGCTCAACGAAGTGACAATACCTTAGCGATAGCCACGGCCCACGAGCCTCAAAACAACCAACCACAGACTGAAATGAATATGAACATCAATATCATCAAGAACAGAAAACATTCCCAGCTATTTCCATCTTCAATCCTCCAGTATCCTCAAGACCAGTATCCTCCTCTCACTGCCCCAAAGCATCTCCCGCCAACGGCAATTTTAGAGACTTGAGAAATTCTGAAATACCACCTGCGTTCGACAGCGCCTCGGGAAGCGTTCCGCCTTGGAGCTGACGCGGGACCGGTGTGCTAGTGCTCATAGTCTGTTGTTTTAGCGTAAGGTTAGTCTTTCCATTCACCCTCCTAGCGTAGAGTAGACATGGCACCATGAAGCCAAACATAAAAGGCAGTGGAGTAATTCACGAACCGATTTAGGTACTGGGATTGGAGCCGACATCCCGACGGTGATGAGGAGGGGCACGATGAGCGTGGATAGGGCGAGCTTCATCTTGGTTTATTTTGCTAGGCCTGGATAGCGTCCGATAGAAATGGCTTTAAGAGTGGTTTCAGGTCTTAATTGTCGGTGGCCGAGAAGTCCAGGTTGGTCGACCGTGCTTAAGTTCAAAAGAGATGGGGATTGTCCCGGCTTATAAGTATACCTAGGTAATCAACTCCTACTGTAGGTCCCCCCTGAGAGGGCTGCATTCTCGGGTCGGTTCTGTCCTGTTTGCGCATTCTTCGCGTAGGGGCTTGTTTCAGTGAATATTTGAGAAAACGCGGTCTAGCTTCGCCGCCTTCGTTGAAATGCTTGCATTGATTTCTTCAATGAGGTATTTGATGAGCCCTCGTGGTTTGTGGTATGCTACTAGGAGGCGTAGAGCTGGATTGTATACGGGAGTATCTACTTCTGAGCCACCAACAGCACAACTATGCAAAGGAAACCTCTGTTCTTCATGGCAGTTCAATCTACCACAGGGCTAAGTAAACATATGCACAATTTGAAATCACTCGTTATCAAACGGAAGCCCAGCCTCCTTGCGAATTGCCCCATAAACACCCGCAATATCCCCCTTCTCTCCCTTCTCCTCCTTGACAACCTTCAAATAGTCATCCGTAACCTTCACACTCTTCAGCGTCATCCCCGACGACTCCGCTAAATTAGCCGCATGCCTCAGATCCTTCCTCGCCAGATCAACCGCGAAAAGCGGCTCTTCGCGCTTAAAGTACTCGCCCGACGACATGCGCTCCGCGTACTTTGCAAACGGTCCGGGGAACATGGTCGACACCCACTCCGAATAGGCCTTAGTCCCCAGGCCGGATTTCTCGGCGGCCACGAGACCCTCTGCGAGTGTTTCAACGGTGTTGAGGATGAATGTGTTGCCGAGGACTTTGAGGAGCGTTGCGCGGCCGACATCCTTTTCGCTCTCGGGGCCGAGATCCAGTGTTGCCTTTGAAGTTACGCCGTCAAGGAAAGGTCTGATTTTGTCAATGGAAGCAGGGGAGCCAGCGGGGATGACGACCATCTGCCCTGCATCTGCGGCATTGGGGGCGCCGAAGACGGGGCAGGCGATGAAGGAGGCGCCGTGCGAAGCGAGCGTTGCGTGTGTGCGGCGCGAGGTATCGGGGTGGACGGTGGAGCAGTCGACGATGATTTTGTCCTTGAGGGAGATGGAGGTATCAGAGGTAATGGTGTCGATGATCTGGTCGAGGGCTGGGTCGTCGCCGACACAGATGAAGGTGATGTTTGCGTCCTTGACGGCGGCGGAGGGCGAGTCGGCCACAACCGCTGCTTGGGGTTTTTCGGCGGTGATGGTCTTTGCGAAGGCGGCTGCTTTGGAGGCGGTTCTGTTGTAGAGGATCAGGGGTGATGTCTGGGGGCCTTTTAGAGCGATGTTGCGGCTCATTCCCTGGGATTTTGTTAGTTGTTGATATAACTTCATAGAAGCTTGATCTTCCCCGCATTGAGGGGGAGCATTGATATGACGCACGCGGCCGATGTTTCCCAGGCCAATCCAAGCGACTTTTGCTGATGCCATTGTGACTTGATTCGTGGTCTATACGCTGAAGCTCTAAGTCTATGGCTAGATAGAATTGAGTATGTGTTGATTGATGGACGATGCTGGAAAGCCGAGCGATGTCGGGGTCTTTAATACTGGCGGTTGATTCATTAACCGTCGCTTACAAACGGCGGAATTGGTGTACATTGGTAAAGGCCTGCTATTCCGCGACTGACTCACGCTGATCGTCTCCACACCCGGCATAGGGCAAGAAGCTTGTTTTGGAGTCAACATCCCGAGTCCTGTTCTAGAACGATTGATAATCCCATCTGGAGACTTTGGAGACGAGATTTGACCTCATTTTCCTCGAACTAAACTATGGCCGGTTTGGCGCGGGTCCCAATGCGGGTGCGAAGGTAGCCGGTTTCATCCGATGCTCTACACCGAGGGGATTGTAGGGTTAGAGCTTCATATACATATGTTCAACATATGAGTCAGGGACATCGAGGAAGAGAAGTGTGCTCTACACCGAGGGGATTGTAGGGTTAGAGCTTCATATACATACATCCAACATATGAGTCAGGGACATCGAGGAAGAGAAGTAGTGCTGTTAGCTTGTGTTTGAGAGGGCTAGATACTACCTAGGGAGGCAGGCAGAATGAGCAGAATTTTGAGGTAAAGTGAGCAACTTATAAGCAGGCCAAGTGAGCGGATATTGAGGGACAGATTGAGTAAATAATCTTCATGCGCTTCCTTGGATTTGTCGCCTTGAGAGGTCATTCGTTTGCGATTCCCATCCACTAAAAATGACCAAGAGAGCATAAAAGGACTATGCTATACTAGAAACATGGATATTGACATTTCATGTAGTACAGCAAACGAGGCGATCTGTACTATGACTCGCTCGAATTTCGATGGACCCAAGCCAGATGACCCAATTGGTGACTTGGCTTCGAGACCTGTCTCTACCCCGTGGCATCGCTCAATACTACCCAAAAGCTCTACCAAAGACCACTGCATTGGGGTAATGTTGCTGCTCTTGAAGCGACTTCTCTACAGTCAGGAGCAAGCGCGTGGTGCGCACCAGGAGCTCTGTAAACACGATTAGCGAGCTGGACACCCATGAAGGGCGCAGGGTCATACCATCAATAACTATCTCATAGGTCAAGAACGATTCTTCATCACGATGTATTAGCACAGGAAGACTGGTGTCTAACCTGGTCACTTCCCGGACCCGAAATTTGAGGCCAACATTCTTGCTCTGGGTAACCCACAACGTATGTTGGTCTGGAAAGCTTTGCGGATCATTTGCTTGACTCTTTAGCCAGCCTCGGAACAACCTAATCACGCCATCCTCGACGTTAACTGCACTGAGCAGATGGGTAGTGCCCGGCAACGCTTTGACTACATTCACAACCACGCATAGCTGGGAAAATCCCTCAAATCCTTCCAGATTAACTGGGCGTCTGAGAGCCGGTGATTCTTCGTCCGGAGACTCCGGTTTGAATCTTGAATATAGCGAGCCAAGTCTTCCGAGTTTCTCTGCTGTGTCGAGGTTCTCGTACAGCGAGCCATCGCCCTCGTACTTGTCACTCAAACCTGGTGTACCGAGGTATGTGCAGAAAACGTGAGGTTCAATCAGTTTCGATGTCGGGTGGAAGCACTCTAGAATTAGTTTGTACTCTGCCAAGTTCGCAGAGAGCAAGAGCCTGTAGTGCAGCAGACGCAGGACTAGGGCGTGGAAGCGCTGGGAAACGGTGGCCAATGGGAGGAGTTCGCGAGTGGTGAACGGTGACAGTATCTGCACGAACACCTGTAGAGTTTTAGCATTGAACTCCTCAAGAGGTTCCAGAATCCGGATGTCTTGGAGGCTATCATACATACCTCGTTCGGAAGCGAGTAGAGATGGAGCCTTCCAGGGGCGTTGGGCTCCATGGCGCAGTCTCACTCACTGAATGCGGGGTAAGCGCTGGGAGTTCACCTGTCTGACGCGGTGAACTGAAGACGTCTCATGCCATCAACGATGGTGTATCTCAAAACTGATCCTGGTATATGAGGAAAAAAATAAGCCCACTAGCCTGCGATAAGACAAACAAATGGTGAGGCCTGGATGAGAGCGCGATAAGAACCCCTCGTGACGTCAGCGGGACTTCAACCTGAGGCATACATACTGTCCGGCCCGACTTGGCGGGCAATTTTTCGATTGCATTTCGGCGAGCCGCCTGGGGATTCAGCATATCTCTGCAGGCAGTTGCGAGACTTGGAAGCCTGCATTAAGCACTTTGTCGAGGTCGTGCGCCTTGCGAGAACTCCTGCATTACTCTAGGCCAAATTCTAAAGTGAAAATGGCTTGCCCTCTCTCGCAATTAAATATCCCGAAGGAAATTACCCGGTGCCAGTGGATGAGGCATGGAGGTGGTAGTGTTTCTAATAAAAGTGCCCCTCCGCGTCCGGATGAATTCCCCTCTTTGGTTCCCCGCGGCCTGCCACCCCTCCACATGTCCTCTCCATAAATTCTTTTCCTGCTTCTTCTTTCTTCTTAACACACCTGACATACCTTTGCTCTAACTTCGAGTCTTCTGTTGATCGACAATGGTTGAAAACGTTCTCGACGACATCTCTCACCGGAGATACAACCCTCTCCGCGGCGCATACGTCCTTGTCTCGCCCCACCGAACTAAGCGTCCCTGGCAGTAAGTCTCTGAACGCGAACGTCAGTGCTTTGCGCACGAGTTAACATCTTGATAGAGGAGCTCAGGAGAGCCCTTCCAAAACAACCCTACCTGCCTACGATGCCACCTGCTACCTGTGTCCAGGTAACAAGCGCGCGCAGGGCGACGAGAATCCCAAGTATGAAAAGACCTTTGTTTTCGTGAACGATTACAGCGCCGTCAAGGAGGAGCAGGCGCCTTACCAGCCGGAAGCCGCAGATGGTACGCCACAGGCCACAACCCAATTCAATTCAGCAACTCTCTAATTGGTATTCTCCCAGACGCCGAATCATTCTTCCTCCGCGCCGACCCCGTCACAGGAAAATGCTACGTGCTCACCTTCTCCGCCGCGCACAACCTCACCCTAGCCGATCTCTCTGCGGCCGAGATCGTCCCTGTCATCGACGCCTGGACGCAGATTTACGCCAAGCACCTCTCTCCCAACTCCCCTCTCGCGGACGCCGCCTCTAAGATCACAATCGCCCCCGATTCCCCAGCGGCGAGCATCACCAAGCCCAAAGAACAATACCGTTTCATGCAGATCTTCGAGAACAAGGGTGCAGCGATGGGCTGCTCGAACCCGCATCCGCACGGCCAGATCTGGACGACCAGCTCACTCCCCGAGGAACCGGCTGCCGAGCTCGAGCAGATGAAGAAGTACCGCAAGGAGCACGGAGGCAGGCATCTGCTGGCTGACTACGCAGCTCTCGAGAGCAGAAAGCAGGAGCGCGTTGTTTTTGAGAACGATGCGTTCCTTGTCGTTTGCCCCTGGTGGGCTATCTGGCCGTTTGAGACCATGATCGTTAGCAAGACCCATAAGCGTGCCCTTGTCGACCTTGACTCTCAGGAGAAGGCACAGCTCGCTGAGGCGATCGCGGAGGTGACGAGGCGGTACGATAACCTCTTTGAGACGCATTTCCCTTACAGTATGGGTATCCATCAGGCGCCGCTGGAGGGGACGGAAGAGGAGCTTGAAGCATCGTACTTGCACTTGCACTTTTACCCGCCGTTGTTGAGGAGTGCGACGGTTAGGAAGTTCCTCGTTGGGTAAGTCTCTTCTTTTGCTGACAAAGATCGAGCCGTGAACTGACGTATCATAGGTATGAACTGATGGCAGAACCCCAGCGTGACATTACCCCCGAACAGGCTGCTGCGCGGTTACGGGGTTGCGGCGGCGAGCTCTATCGGAAGAAGCTGGAGAGCAACTGAGCGAGCTGTTGACGGCACCTAATGTAAATATGTAGTAGTAATATGTGTCATAGAATGAACGAAGAGACGAAACGAATTGTCAAAAAGATAGCATCAACACAGACGGCACGAGACGAGATAAGTTGAGAGGAAAGCTACAGGGCCGTGTTGTAGGGATGAAAGCCGCACTACCTTGTCGGCAGATGAAAAGGGATATTCGTCAAGAGACCCGATCAGTCAGAGTCATATAATATTCTTTTTCGATTTCTAAACGTGAAATCCTATTTCATTTCCATTGCCAATATCATATGCTTTCCGCCGGAATAGCAGCGTGCAATGCAGAACCCAGAGCCGAACAAGGAAATCGCAAAATCAGAAGACAAGAGCAGCACCCTTGGTCTTCTTGTCACCACTATAGCAGCAAGGTTAGTACATGATCTGCCAAGAACAAGCACCACCGGTGGCGGTCGGGTATTATAGGTAAATGGCGATGGACGTACCCAAGCTCGAAGTGCTTGCAACGCTTCAGAGCGAGCTGCTTCTTGGTCTTGCACGCGGTGCACTCGAGACGGAGGACGACCTTCTTGGTGGTCTTGGCCTTCTTGTGGAAGACGGGCTTGGTCTGACCACCGTAACCGCTCTGCTTACGGTCGTAACGGCGCTTACCCTGGGCGAACAGAGAGGCCTAGAATTATCGCAGTCCGGTATCAGTATTCGCTCGACTTGTTTCGGTAGAGAGCGGTAGTATTCACCTTTCCAGCCTTGTACTGGGTGACCTTGTGCTGGGTGTGCTTATGGCATTCCTTGCCCTTGCAGTAGGTCCGGCGGGTTTTGGGAACGTTGACCTGGTGCGAGGAAGTCGAGTCAGCTTCTGGCGTGAACATTCATTGGAGACAATCATGGAACTCTGTCTCGTCCGTCCCTGGCATTTGAAGAAATGATGATTCGAGAGGTGGAAAGTCGAGAAACGAGTCGGAAAGAGTCGGACAATGCGTATTTTCGATATGAACCGAGCGAGAACATTTTTTGCCCGATCGCGCAGCTGTTCTTGCAGAGTATTCCATCCCACAAACTCCGCGGTGTTTTGCCATAACATGTGTTCATCAACTCCGCAACCTCTCGTGCAAGCGATTATATGGATGGACGTTCAATCTTGACTGCGCAGACCACTGCTTGTCCAATCGTATCGTCGTCATCAATCGCGTTCGTCGTCGGTGTCATCGCCGTCCGCACGGTGGCCGCACAATAGGTTCGTTTCTCGTTTTTCGACTTTCGCGCTCGATCACATTTCTTCGAATTCCAGGAATCGATAACAAGGATTGGGATAACGAGGTCTCATCCTTACCATTTTGACTGATTTTGCCGGCTACCGGGATGCTGGTCGTTAGATGTCTCTTGTCGGGGAGATCAAGTCGGGTCAGGCGTGGGTTGTGGGATTTCGTTTCGCTTAGCCCGGCCCTATCTGGCATTGGGTGGACTAGGCCGCTTTTGGGCTTGCCAAGATATTTCCACCATCGTCGAATATCCGTTTGTGCCTCAGGCACTTATCAACCACTGGTCTCTCACTGCCATCTTCACTTGTATGTGTCTATGTTGTCTATTGCGATCAAGATTAGAGAATCATGATCACTCAAACCCCTCCCCAACAAGTATCTTATCCCCACCTCCATACCATGACGTCCCCTTGTTCATCTCCAACCCCTCCTTTTCCCCAATAACCCACTCTCCCCTCAGCGGCATTAAACCGTCCGCCGGCCAATACTTTTCCTTCAGCATCCCATTCACCTTCTCTATCCTCTCAACCAATCTCATCACATATTTCGCATCACTCCCATCCTGGCTCACACACCTCGCAAGAGTAACATGCGCCGAGGGCACAACATACCTTGCACCCAATGTGATTCCGGTCTCCAGCACCTGATGCGCGAGATCGCGCCTCAAATGGTGATAGCTATACGCATCGCTCAGAGATGAATGATTCGTAGGCTCATCGACGGCAGGCAGGAAACTCAGAGCCATCGCAGATGCATCGTAGCTGAGCATCGGTTTAACTAGGCGCGCACGGTGGTGCGGAGAGTTGGTGTAGTTTACTAGCTTCGAGGCTGCGCCGGTCTTCTCGTGGAGGTGTGCAGCCAGGGCATCGACCTCTTCTGCGGTACGGGAACTGGCGACCTCCAATACTGTGATGTGGAGGGATTCTGGGGGTGAAAACCAGAGAGCTGCGTGACAGGTTAGATCCAGCTCATTGCGCAGCAATCATTCGAGTATCAAGGAAGGTGGATAGTAGAACGTACTCGGCGCAACATCCCTCAGCTCCGCCTGGATCTCAGTGACTATTTCGCGAATATGCTTTGGTGGGCGAACATAGAAATTCAGATTATGGCGGTGGTCGACGAATGGCGCTTGGATGCCATTTCCATTCTCATTAGGGGTGCTGTGTGCATTCGTCTTCGCTGTCTCCTGAGCGAGGATCAGATTCCTCAAAATCTCATCAACCTGCCAGCCAGAAAAGTCTTTGGCAAGAAGTTTCTCCCTGAAAAGGGCGTTCCTGTTGCTCCGGTGGGCATTGTATCGGGCTTGAATTTTGTTCTATAGAGGGATTAGAATGTATCCGCAAAGGCTGGCAGATTAGGTACAAACAGAATCGTTGTCGCAGTCGATAATGAGCTGGGAAAATGGGTTTGTTGCTGCCTGTGAGGCTCCAGCCATAGGGAGAGTCATAGTAGGTTCCTCCTGGTAAGTGACAAATGTTGTGATTTTGAGGATTGACTCCTTTGCTATATATCCCCAAGACGGCTTTCGACTACTCATGCAAGTATATATTTCTTTTTTCCAGCAATGTAACCGAGGGGAGTAGCGCGCATAAAAGCCAAATATTTCTCAGTGAACATATTTTAAAAACTGCTATATCCTTCCAGCCTCTATACTTTGTCTCATAAAATGTTTTTTTGATGGAAACCTATGCTCGGCATTCACCACTACTTCGTCCTGACTCTTTCATAGCACTGTTGCTAAGCCCCACCAAAAACCCCGCCACGGCGAGCTTTCCGTCATCCCGATCCTCTCGCTCTCCATCATCAGCGACAACAACCGAACCTCCTCCCCTCACCATCACCTCCTTCGATCTTGTCGCCTTGTCACGCTCAGCCCACACTATAGATCTCTTCGTTTATAACGACAGATAGCTCAACATGTTGATCAAGTGAGTGAACAAAAACATCAGAGCCACAAACTTGCGGCACCCGCTAACGGGAGATCTCCAACACCCCAGGGTCCGAACACTTACCGGGAAGGAGATCGAGCTGGATATCGAGGCCGACTACAAGGTGATTACATACCCTTCACACTGAGAGGCGGGTCTCGTCGCTGTCGCGCCAGGGTGCTGAGTCTGTTTCCGCCTGCCAGGTCTCTCGGATAAAGGAGCGTGTTGAGGAGAAAGAGGGTATCCCGCCTGTGCAGCAGCGGTTGATTTTCGGTGGAAAGCAAATGTACGTTGCTCTCTTCTACTATAGCCTTCTGTCGTGGTTCGTTCGGTCTGTACTGTGCTTACCTGTCCATGTGTTGCAGGGCCGATGACAAGACCGCGCAAGACTACAACCTCGAGGGTGGTGCCACACTGCATCTTGTCCTTGCCCTCCGAGGCGGCTGTGACGCTCTCTAGACGTCCCCCCCAACACTGATACTCGAATGACTCACCTGGCCGGAAGCGCGAGCGATATGTCTTCCCCCGCAACTGAAGGGACAAGTTTGAACGTCGGAGAGGCTGTACGGGAGAACGATGAGATATTCGGAAGGAGGTTGGGGATGGTCTGCGCTTATTATGCCCGGTTTTTTAAGATGAGCATTATCTCCATCCTCTTTCGATGCCACAGCTCCGTGAACTGGGTTCTGCGTATGCGATAACCTCGGCGCGAATTAGCACGCAGTATCGCAGTGTGTTGCACCCACCTCATGTGATCTATGAATGCGATGATGATATAATAAATCCCCCATCACGCACTCAGCATCAACCACGAGGACGCAAGCAAACTTGGTCTTTGAAGGACCTAATTGCCGCAAACGCGTCAGTGAAACAATCGTAGAGGTGAAATGTAGGAGGAAATCGTGGCATCGTTGAAACGACAATGAATTTAATCCGGCCCTGCCTTGAAGTCGCCATAACCGTGTCTATAAACTCCCATACGCCCCACTCCGGCTGTCGAGCCCGTCAATATACCCCAAAAAAGACAAATGATAATCTCGCAAGGATAAAGTATATACCAAACCAACGCCAATCGCTAGTAATAAATAGGCAAAATATCCTGTAGAAGAAGAGCAAAGGGGCTAAGTCACCTTTTTCTTCTTTGGTTGGATGAAAACATTGGGAGCAGGTCGTTTTCGAACCATTGCACGTGGTGGTGACGCTCTCGACGCTTCTAGACCCGTGTTTGATGCGGACTCCGAGGATCTAAAGTCTTCAGCAGCGGCCTGCGCTGTTCGAGGTTGGGACCTCGCAGTTGTTGCTAGGGAGCCAGGGGAGGGTCTGGCAGATGAAGACGAGGAGCTCAAGCCCGATCTTGCCGAGGAAGACACCTGCGGTAGAGGGCGAGGATGCGTGCGAGACGGCGAAGCAGAAGCCGTGGTGCGGCCAGATTTTAACGCTCGTAGTCTAGCCTCCCTTTCTTGTAAGGATGAATTGACCACCACAGGGCTGCTATGACTCCTTCCGGCAGCTTGCGAGCCCGACCGCCCAGGTACTCGCAGGGTTGGTCTCTGAGGAATGGCAGACTCAGGAGGCCGGCGATGCTCCTCTATCAGCGAGCGTGGGGCTTGCCGGACCTGCGTGGCCCGATTGTTGAGTTGCTTCGTGGGGACAGCTAGAGCGGGATTTCGCTTCGTCGCGGTGAAGATGTTCTTCTTTTTTGTCTCCCGAGGCGCCGACGGCCGCCCAAAAGACCAGATAGGAGTACCCTGGGGGTCAGATGAAGAGCCCGACCGATTCTTTGAAGAGAAAACCGGTGCGATGCCGCCCATTTTTCGATCGAATGAAGCATACCGCTGCTTCGCGGTCGGGCGTTCCCGGGGAAGGTGAAGGGATCGTCGGTCAACGAGTATAGCGCTGTGTTTCGCACGCTCCGAGCTGATTCCATCGAGGGCCATTTTCAGTTTCTCCGCATCTTCATCCACGGCCCTTTGTACTTGCTCTCGTAGGTCGCAGTATACGTCGTACCAGCAGTCCGGCTGCTCTGGTAATTCTATCTCGTCCGACCTCGGTATATCTCGTTTGATAAATTCGAGCCATAGCTCAACATCATCTTTCATGAGATGGGGCGACTGCAGTTCTAAGGACCTCTGGACTTGCGAATTAGGGACCAACTCGGGCGGTATTGTATAAATGGGCGTCGGCGGCAACTGACCAGTTTTTCGGGGCTTTCAATCTTCAAAAGGAACGGGCGGGCGAGCTCATAGGGGATATTGCCGATATCGTTAAGATCTAGCATGCGTCAAGACATTAGTACTGGCAGCAAAATATTTCGTATACGTGGCTTACACTTCACGTTCCGAATCGCGGTTGCGGTGCAGAGGTGTCGGAGACTCGGGGCTGGCATAGTCGCAAACTAAGAATGGAGCCAAAAAGATACCAAAAAGAGGGCATGGACGGATTAGAACATATCATACTAGCAGAAAGGCATGTAATGATAACCCGGAATTCGAGATCCAACTATAAACTAAAGATGAGTTCGAGAATTGGTCGACACCCCGTGGCCCTTTTATAGGACGGCGGTGTCGACCCAGCCTGCGGATGACGACATCACATGATACGAGCTGACTGGCTCAAGGGATGCTTCAAAGAAGATTCATTCAATTTCTTTGTTTCTCATCTTCACTTTCAACATTCACTTGGACAGGATGGTGGACTGATTAAAGATATATCAAGGAAGATGTTGAATTGAAGTTCAACGACGCTTGGGCTTCAAGAGCGAGGTGCCAGACGTAATGTGCTCATCCAATGACCACCTTATTCACTGCCAATGCATCCACTCCCATTTTTTCCAAAATGCACTCATTAATTCGGCAGAGGCCGAGGCCCATTATCACTTCCAGGCCCCCAAAGATATTGCTGACCAGAGACCGTCCGACCTTTCGGTTCGCTACACATATAGCGCAAGAAGACCGAAGTCGATCGCATAGCGTTCGAAGGAGTCGAGAAGTCATACAGCTCGCCAACATACACCGAGAGACCACGCTTGTTGAAATGAGCTTGTAGAATCCGCCCTTTCATGCCTCCAAATGAGAAGACCATCACCTGGACGAGTTCAACTTTCCTGCAGGGAGCTCACGGATTGAATATAGAGCTCACCGGGAATATATTGTCTTTGTCATAGCTGTTGCTGTCAAGGAACATGCCGATCACTTGCATGATGGAGAGTAATTCTCCGCGCAAAAGCCGGTTATCTTCACCTTCGGTCTCATTCACAAGCGAGTACATGGCATGGGGCCTTTCCCATCTGCGAAGATTGTATGCGCTTTCGATGTTCCACTCCCTTGGGCAGGAAATGCCTGGGTTGAAGCTGACGATTCAATGGTAAGCTACATGAGACCTGACGCAAGAGAATTCAATTAGAGAAGGAAGATTGAAAATGCATACGCCCTACTCCAACCGGACATCTCCATCAAGGAAGGTTTCCGATCAGTGTCGATTGGGATTTTGTACATCGAGTACACATAGTCAATCTTCGCGCAAACAAACTTCGCAGATGTAATGGTATCCCTTGACGGGAGGTCCTCTGGCATATAATTCCATAAGCTGTCGAAGAAGCTGTCGTTCTCGATTAATCGGGGCTCGAAGAATTGTTGTCCACCCGGGGAGGGAGGGATGGTGCTGGTGGTATGCAAAGGTAGCGCAGTCGCTTGAATTGCGTCCAGAATGGTCGTGTCAATGTGCGTAGCGTCCCCGCGGGATTTAATGAGATCATATTGGGTTGCTAGGGCTTCGAAGTAGCTTTTGCGGGCGTCGTTGACCCTATACATAGTGAAGGGGCTTCATGAGCTTTTCGCTTGAAAGTGACTAGGGACCTCGATGAGCGAGTTGTGGACATGATATGAGAATGCGTGAGTAGTATAATTTGGGAAGACTACGAGGAACTAAGTCATTGAGTGCTATAAGAAAGTTCGCAACATCTCAGGTCAGATGCATCCCTCGTCAACGCAGTGGCGGGATATGTCTCCGCGACTTAGGACGGTACCCGTGGTTGTCTGAAGCCAAAGCAAAAGCATGTATGGTATTACTCAAAACCTGCCAGGTGGTATCAAACTTAAAGCGACATAGGGTTGTGGTATGATGTCTAAGACAGCAGCGAAGAAATGCTCAGAAGGGGGGATATCTCGAGGTTGATAAACTATACCAACAAGCAACCAACCATCTACTTGTTAGCGAGCGTCTTGGTAGTGCCACCATCATGGTTATTTTCTGGCATCTGAGCGAACCATTGCGGTGGTTTAATGCCAGTCTGGTCGTGGATCGTGCTGAGAAGAGGAGGGAGACCCTGCATAATATTGCGGATTGGACCCAACGCGTCACCAGAACCACCAGAGCCGTCTGTTCGATATTAGCTGAAACTCAAGACTTTGGACAGATGACTTACCACTGCCAGTGTTCCACGTAGTGATCTTTGGTTGAAGGCCTTGGATGGCTTTGCCGTTGGCCAGAGCCAGTCTCTCGTACATGCCGGTCTCAATCATCTTCCACTGGAGGAATGCTTCAGGGCCACCGAGGACATCAATCAAAGCACCGTACGCCTTGGCCATCTCGAGCACCCCCTCGGCCTCGCGCTTCTTGGTGTTGAATGCTGCATCTGCGTCTTTGGATGCACGGTAAACTGTAACTCTGTTAGTATCTCTACTTCTGGATCGGCATAAATGGTAAACGTACACCTCGCATCAGCCTCCATCTTCTGCTCGTATAGTTTTCCCTCTGCTGCCTTTGTGCTGGCATAGTATTGGGCATCTGCCGTTTCCTGAGCGGATTCTCTCGCGACCTTACTCTTGGTAACGTCCTTGGCCCTAAGGCGCTCAAGCTCCGTCTCAGCTCGCTTCGTCTCGACTTGTTTCTGCAGTTCCGCATCTCTCACTTCCGTCTGGCGCTGGGCAATGATCTTGCCCATCTGGACTTGGGAATCCAGCTCAGTCTGGCGGTTCATGAGCTCGGAGTCAGCCTTGGCCTTTTCAGCCTTGCGCTTCGTCTCGAGGACAGCGGTGTCTGCATCGATCTTGGAGATTTCCTGTTTTGTTCGTCCTTTCTTCTCGGCTTCTCCAATCTCACCCCTCATGCGGGCCTCGGCCACATCAATCTTGGCCTGATTCAGAGCGCCCTCGTGAGCCTTTCGACTAAGGAAAGCAAAGTACTCGCTGCCTTTGGTATCCTGAAGTTCTTTGACGTTGGCATTGTAACTGTTTTAGTCAGTAAAGCCCAGGGCAGACGAAGCGACAGAGACGGAAGGCTTCGAACGTACATCTTCAGTCCGAACTGAGCAAGTTCGTTTTGCACATTGCTGATAACTGTTCCACCATGTCAGAATAATTACCCGCAAAGCTGGATGGGTGTAAGCAGACCCTTTGACTTGAACACCTGGCGCTCCTTGAAGATCTCTTCCATAGTCATGGAGGAAACGATCACTCGGGTTTCACCCTCAATAATGCCTTTCACAATATCCTGCACGTGATTCCTAGTCGCGGGTGTATTCAGATTTGCGTCGGTTTTCTGAGGGGCAGGCGCACTTCCGGCGTTTCCAGATAGCAATAGTGCGTATTTCTTGAGGGCCGACAGCTCATCGTCCGGACCGATGGTAAAAACTGCGGGCAGAGAGAACTGTAGCTTTTCGATCGTCATAGCCTGGAGACTGAGGGAGAAGTCGAAGGGCATAACAGAGATCCTCGCGCACTAGAAACATCAGTATCACCTGCGAATATGAGCCTTGTATGACAGGTACATACCCGCTGCCATGGCATCACCCAGGCCTTCTTGCATATTTCGATGTCTGCGATACCGGCTCCGGTAAGCACAAGGTACTCGCTCGGTTCAGCAATGGCGTATCTATATAGCATGTGAGAAGAGTGTCTGAGCAGATCATATGTGGTGGCGAGCAACGTACCTCATATTGGTAATAATGATAAAGTCTAAGTAGTTTCAAAAACGAAGTAAAGAAGAGAAGGAAAACTAGGTAGCTACTCTGGGAAAATACGGCCTTTTATAAGCCTTGTAATTGCTAATAAGACTGATGGGTGAACTTTCTTTGCCCTGCTGGGCGCAAGTGAGTCCCGGGAGAAACAATGTTTGACAACAAAGTCTGCAACTAACCCCGGTAATCCATGCACTGCCGCTGCACGCTTTCCTCCTGCTGCCGAAACCAAGCAAGCGTTTGGCTTTAATTCGTGCCGCATGTTGCGGCCTGCGGGCACTTGTGCCGGGCAACTTCTGGCGAAGAAATACGGCGATGCGAGTGGCTGATCGCAGCGCCCGACAGAAGGATTGCGGGGAACCAAGCAGCGATGAGCCTCATGGTCACCATTTCTCGGCGCTGATTGAAGAGTCCTTGAAGGACAAGTCAGAGTGAGGCAGCCTCGGAATCCCAGGGCGTATCGCAAGGCGGAAACTGCCAAACTGGGGCTTATTCATCCCTTTCACATTGCTCAGCCTTGCAAGTCCATTTGCAAGACCTGAAAACGACTACCCTTGCAATCGATGGACCCATATGGGGAGATCCTTCTGAGAGGAGCCGTGGCAGTTTCTGAAGCTCCTTGGATTGACAGAAAATGCCCAATCACAGTGTGTGAAGATAAATCACGTGTGATAAAGCTATTGTGCAAACAGCGCAAACATACTCTTGTCGCTCAGCGGCGCCGTCATGGAGGGGCAGAGATGGAATGACGCTTCTACATCATCGACTGGATCAAAACTGGCGATATTGAGAAAAAGGAAAGCTTGACATCACAGGTAAGCGCTGAAGATCTGTTTCTTCTTCTCAGAGCCGCATTTCGTGATATGGGGACCTACACAAAAGCTACTAGACATACTGTTGTACTTGTGGCACCCCCGCAATTATGTTAGCCAGCTCTCCTGTATATCGTGTCGAATATAGGTTAAATTAATCTCTAACCATGAATACAGAAGAAATACATTTACAATGGCACCACGTTCTCAACTGGAGATTGCCACAGGCTCAGTCCAGCGCCTGATCAAGGAAGAGCAGTCGTATCGCCGCGAGCTGGAGCAACAGGAAGCAAGAATCCAGAAGCTAGAAGCTCAAGATCCTAGCGAGGATGAAAACAGGGACTACATGCTCAGGCAAGAGGTAAGTGGCGTTACTGACTCTGCTGTGAGAAGCTAAACATGCTAACCGACAAACAACAGCGCCTCGCTGTTGAAGAGACTGAGAGGGTCTTCCCGAACTTGAAGCAGAAGATTGAGGAGGCTATTGCCAAGCTCAACGGGCTGCTGGTGAGTTATTCATAGACAGTGGGTGGTATCTGGCTAACAATTCAACAGGTTGAAGAGGGCAAGAAGGGCTCCGAAAGCAATGTTGAACATATCAATGCTGCTAAGGAAGCCATCGCGAATGCCAGAGTTGCCGAACGGGAGATCGCTTGAGAATCTGATCGTATCCATGACGGTCAGACTCGCTGATTAGCAAAAACCGGTAAAGTCAGTGATGAGAGAAAATATGTAGATTATTGAATACTTTTCTCAATGTGACCAGTGCGAACGCCGCAACCATGACTCCTGACCGTGTATGCAAAATATCATTCTATGTTGTATCCATCCTGTCGGCGGCACGATCGTCTTGCTCTTCCCCTTCTTCTAAGTCATCATGCCGCTCTCCCTCATCCCCTGTCACCTCACCCTCGTCCACCATTGCTGAATCCTCCTGTTCAGCATTACCCTTCTCTTCTCCAGCCATAGTAACTTGCCGTAATGGCGTTGCAGCGCCTGGAGTCACTTTGTCTGCGTGTATGGCAACAGGCGAGCGACCTGCCTCATCTTGGCCTTGCGAAGGAGTCGTGCTGTCGTGGTCGGGTCGAGGTGTGTTGGCGCCACTCAGTTTTCCTTTCGAGACTTCACCGTCATCTCCATCTTCGTCTTCTTGCATACCCTCGCGGCGTTCAACCTCCTCCTTTTCGTCTCGGATGAGTCGTCGAAGCTGCATCCCTTCTTCCACAATGCGGCCAAATTGCTCTCGCCTCTCCGCCCAGGTCTCTGCATAATCTTTGCTCTGCCTTTCCAAGTCCGCAATCTCCGTCTGCAGTTTCTGTAGATTCGCCTGTTGGTCTTCTCGCGGTTTTAGGAGTCTGTTGCTCGTAATCTTTTCCGTCAGCTCGTCGTAGCCTTTTCGCAGCGCCAAAAGTCGTTGTGCCTCTTCCAGTTGAACGCGTAGCTCGGTTGTGTTTTCTCGGACAGCCTGCATCGTGGAAAGGATCCGCTCTTTCTCGGCGACATAGCGCTCGCGCTCTTTTTCGTTGCTAGTGAGTAAAAATTGGATGCGCGCAATACTTCCATCGAAGGCGGTAAAGTCTAGCGACACATCTTCACGGAATTGGCGCCATTCCTGAAGCCCTTTCTGCTTCTCTGCCTCAGCGGAGGCCGCGGCCTCTTCGTCGGTTCCCTCAGGCGGAGGAGTGGGAAAGAAAGTCGCGTTTGAGATAACGATCGAATCGGGATTCAGAAGGCGCTTAGAGATGCGCTTGAAAGGCTTTTCCTCGACGTTCAAGAGACGCGACTTGTGGAGGGCATCTAGATTGGACGAAAGTTAGCTTTGAGATAAATCTGCGCTGCTAGCACAAGCCAACCTTCGTCCGCCTGATCAAGGAGCCCGTAAGACGTCATGGCGGATGGACGTGCTTATTCCTCCTACAACGAGCCTAGGAAGTGGTGGACTGGACGTTTCGCGTGTTCGGCGGCCGAGGGAATGGTCGGGTTGGATAAATAGTAGTCGAGTGAATGGGGAGCGGCAGTCTGAAACTGTGAGGGGGAGAAGCCCCCAGTTTGGTGAACGTCCGGCACGCAGTCACGCTAAGGCGGAAAGTGACCCTCTCGTTTCCTCTGTGAACCCCCCATTGCGGGTTGCTTCCTCGAACTATTACCGCGACTATTGCTGCCACCGTCACCACGTTCCCTGGAAAGTCCGAAAGCTGCGTCTCTGCTGCTCCCACCTCTGTCGGCGTCCGCTGGCTCATTTCGAGTTTCGGCTGTTTGACTCGAGACCGTTGAGCTCGGCCCGATACTCGCGAAAGCTCTTTTGCAACAACTGCTTTGCTATTCAACTCTGATCGCCCGAAATCGCTACTCATCGCCCGAATCTACGTGTTTTTCGCTGCATGTATACGATGCGAAATCGACCGTGCAAACTCCTGATCCAGCAACAACGTATGGGACTACACTGATGGAAAGTACCGTTGTTATCGAGTCGCTGTTCGCTTCGCGCCGCTTTCCCTGATCGACTCTCGAGATGACAGAGATTTATTCGGGCCTCCACGTGGGCCAGCGGTTCTCCTCGTTGGAGGATTTCAAGGGAGTGGTACGGAGTATCTCTGTGAGACAGCATTGGGAGCTCCGGGTTACGCGGAGCAACAAGAAAAGCGTGGTGATAGGCTGCCGGTCCTCCAACAGCTGCTTCTTTCGCGTTGTCTGTCGCGCGAACCGGAACGCGACCTATATCAGCAGTCTTCAGGACAGTCATAGCTGTCGGCGAAATGCGACTTCCACGACCAAAACCCCAGCGCGATCAGAGGCCTCACATGTACGGTTTTTGCTCAATGAGATACCCAAACTCTTTGATATGGAAAAAGAAGAAGTCAAAGCGCAAAAGATCGTCGACCGGGTCAAACGCTACCATGGATATGATATCTCGACTAGACAGGCCCAGCGGGCTCTGATCAGATTGCAGCAGCGCGGTTCACAAAACCAAAGTGATGCGGCCAATTCGTCGAGCGGGGAGGGGGAGGACCGACAAGAAAGTCAGCCTCCGACGACTGTTGAAGGGCAAACTGAGAGCCCAGCCTTTAGTGGAATGCCAGGCCAGCGATGGGTGCCTGAGTCCGCACAGCCAAGCCAGATGGAAGGGATCCAGCAGCAACCGCCGCCGCCCCAGACCGAAGGCGTCCATAACCCAACTCTCCAGGCACCTCCTCTACACGGACAACCCGCGCAGCCACAGCCTATCCAATCAACTCCACAGCTACAACATCTGCAACGCGTGCGACCTTCAATACAAGGGCAACCACAACAATCCTTGCCTCCGCCCACCCCTCCTATACAGCCCCCGGCGGTTCTGAACCATGAGGCGGTATCTATGAATCACACACTACACCCACAGCCTAACGCTCAACCACCATCGTTCCCTCATCATTCCCCAAGTCAACCACTCCCACAACAGCCCGTGCGGCCAAGGTCTCCAACGCAGACTCCGCAGAATGGGCATCCCTCCGCTCCTCAGTTAGTGCTTACAAACTTCAAGATCGAATTCACGTGTACGACCTGCGGATCGCTCAATCAGAGCTTTTTCCCTAACCAGGGACACGTAACCGGTGGACACTACATGCCTCCACGTCCGGCACACGACCATGCTGTGATTCCCGCAGGTGCCGGCCCACCAGTGCCAGTTGGCACTGCGCAGGGTAGCGCCGAAGGTGCAGCCGAACGCATGAACGAAGCGCACAGATATGACAGAGCTCGTATGGCTAATGTGCATGGAGCTCCCACCGGTTGGGCGCCAGCTGGGGTGGTACCGTTGGATGTCCCAATGGCGCCGCCGCATACTCAACATAGCCCTACGTAGACCGGGGCTAACGATCATGGAGAGCAATTGCTCATTCGCCCAACACATTTGTCTCTTATCAACCCATCACCTCCTCTGCCATTCTTTTTTTCAACCCCGAACTGGGTAGGTAATCTATGCCTGAAGTATCATGCGTTGCTGACCAGTATCTGAGCCTGGAATGAGCCACCTGAGCTAGTTCACTTTCCAGACGACTAGTTTATTCTAGGCAGCCATTCATGCTTTGAAATCGAGAGACTGCTCGTATCCGGTTGCCTCGTTCGTTTGTTTGTTGGCACCTCCTCTCTATTACCACCAGCTCATTATCTCTCCTACTATGGCATTTTTGATGTTTCTCAAGCTTTCGCTCATCTGGTCTCTTCTTCTTGCATTTTCTATTCCCCATACGCACTGTTGATCTCCTATGAGTTTGTATACACTTCGGCAGCCGACTTGCCCGACCACCGCCGGTCATCACACTATCATTGTTTGGTAGGATATATTTTCTATATTGTTTCATTATTATCTGCTTTTATAGTGGTCAGAATACATAATCTCGGGACATTGGACAACCTAGGATCTCTGATCAGAGCTCTTCTCCAATTCGATAATCCCACTTTGAAGATCCACGGGTCGCGTCTTGGCATTTATCCTCCATATCATGATTCAACACTCCTTCTCCAACTGTCCAACGTTGTCGGCTCCAACGTCCACAATGACTGGTTCACCGTATCGTCATGAATCTCTCTGACCTATCAGCCCCTCAGATCCGGCCTCCTTCGCCATATCGAGATCATAATCCCCGGAAGCGCGGGAGAACAGCATGCACCAGATGCAAGACCCGTAAGCAAAAGGTCAATTCTATTTGCGCCTGGACACTACACCCGCTAGAATCTCTGAGTTCATGTGTCCGGATCCTGACGATTCTCAGTGCGATAATGAGTACCCTGTTTGCTCCAACTGCCTCAGAGCCGGTACTGAATGCGACAAGGAATCAGTCAGGCAGGAAAATGGCTCCCAGAGCGAGTGGGTCTTGCGATCGACTGTATGCAATCCTGCCGCTGCTAATGCACAGACAGGTACACCCGCGCTTTGGAAGAGCGCATTGCATATCTTGAAACGCGGCTGGAGTCCAGAACGAGCAGCCGTGCTGGGAGCCATGTCGCTCCTCCGGTAGCTGCGCTTTTGTCGCCTCACAATCAAGAGACGGGAACTACAGTCCCTGGGGCAGGCCATGCTACTGGGAATGGTATGGACCACAACGCTGTCGGGGAGCTTGTTGGGTTTCTTGCCATTAACTCCTCCGAGGCCCCCGCGTATATCGGCTCCAGCTCTGGACTCTCTCTTGCGGCGAATCTGGGCGAGATGGTACAGGCCACGGTGTGGAATCAGGTTTTGTCTCCATCGCGCAACCGGCCGTCTTCACCTAGCGGAGGGAGAGGAAGTGGTTCTGCACCTTCTGATCATGAGATGTCAGGTCTTCCACCTCAACCTTCGTCGTCAGGTAAGGGTCCTGCTATGGATCGTCCACGGACGTTGCGCATGGAGGAGCTCCTCGCGAAAAGCACAGAGCCGCCAAACGATGAAATGGGCGGACGAATTCTCCATGCATACTTGACCAGGCTTCATATTCGTTACCCATTCCTTGACCGCAAGGACCTGTGGCGTCTGCACGAGAACCGATGGCGATTGGCAAAGGCCAAAAGGGAAGAGCTCAGCCAGTCCGAGCGATTTGGTATATTCAAGCTGTACCTAACGTATGCTATTGGCGCAACAACAATGCAACTGAGCGAGAAATATGATTATGTTCCGCCAGAGGTAGGGCTCTCTAGCTAACGTTACATTCAGTCTTGCTAACATGATTATAGCGCTTTTATATCACGGCCCTTCAGCAAGTGCCAGCCATGTGTGACACTCGATCCGTGGAAAACGTTGAAGCCATGACGCTCTTGGTTGTATATCACCTTCGCTCTGCCTCCAGTCAGGGCGTATGGTACATGATCGGCCTTGCTATGCGCACAGCAATTGACCTTGGACTACACCGTAAAGCAAACGAGATCAACCTAGACCCGATCACTGCACAGATGCGCCGCCGTCTCTTCTGGACCGTATACTACCTCGAACGTGTCGTCTCCATGTCCCTCGGACGCCCTTTTAGTATTGCCGACAGACACATCGACCTCCCTCTTCCTCTCGACGTCGACGATGACGTTCGCGACCCTGCCCTTCTGCCGCCCCCTTCCCCTCCCGTGCCTTCCTCTTCTCCGTCAATCAACAACAACCCAGATACGACCACGGACAATCACCGCATAACAACCCTAACATTCTCTAGATATTTGATCAAACTCCGGCGCATCGACTCGCGCATTCAGCACAAGATTTACCGTGCCGACAGACCACTCCACTCCCTCCGCTCCAAAATGGACGCCCTGTTCCTCGAACTCGAAGAGTGGAAAACCTCTGCTCTCCAACGCTTCACAGGCTCAGACCTAGACTACCCAATGCTCCACTACAACCGCGCTCTCCGCCTCCTCATCCAGCCTTTTCTCCCTTCCCTCCCACTAACAGATCCGTACTTCCATATTTGCCTCCGCGCCGCAGGCGACATCTGCCAAACTCATAAGCGCCTCCACCAAACCATCGAATACGGACACTCCTTCCTGGCAGTGCAAACCGTCTTCATGGCGGGTATCACCCTCCTCTACGCCCTCTGGACACACAGTGACCGGGTCTGGTCCGTGCGCATAAGCAACGATATCCGCGCGTGCTCGACGGTCCTCTTCGTCATGGGCGAACGCGCAACATGGGTAAAGAAATACCGCAACGCGTTCGAGCTCCTCGTCAACGCAGCCATGGAAAAACTCCAGGGTAGCGAGGCCGCAAAGACAGCCGGCATGGCCGAGCTAATGACCGCTCAGCAACTCGGCGTCGATGTCTCTGGCGCCGCGGGCATCAGTCTCGGCGGCCCGGGCGTTGCATCCGGGTCGACGACGAATGGTACTGGCCCTGTCAATAATCTCGGTGCTAGTGCTAGTTCTGGCCACACCAGCAACGGCGGTCTTGATCCTGGTGCTGGTCCCTCGGTCCCCACGATGACACCGGACTACGCTGCTACAACTACCGCAGCCACAAACCCACAGGCAACAGGCCTGCAGTATGACTTGAACCAGAACCAAGCGACATCACTGGATGCAGCGAGCCAAGATCATGGCGTGCGCATGGCGATGCAGCTGGCGCCGTGGATTGATCTTGAAGAAGGGAATGGGCCGTTTTGGGTTCCTGATTTTGAGACCCTTGAAAGCTTCTCAGGAGGCTTTTGGCCCGCGCCGTTTGAACCGCTATAGCTGGGTCTCCTGTTGTGCCTGTCGGAAAGAGAAATCAAGGGAGAACCCGAGGAGCTGCATCCATATATTAACTTATATATACCCGTGTTGTTCGTGTGCTTGAATTATACACATAGCTAGACATTGCGTCACTGGAACAACAGCTTCCATCCGTCCTATGTTCATTATCTTATCCTTGAATTTCCATCATAACTATTCTACCAACCATGCTGGGCCCCTGTTCTATTCAAAACAAATTAAACGGGTAAATATGGCCTCAAGCCCTTCGCAATCCGCTGTATCTGTCTCGTATAGTATGACTATAAAGAGACACATTAGCCACATCATTCTATACAATGACAACCAGAACCAAAAAAAAAACGAAAGAAGGAAAAAGAAATCAAGGAAACGTACAGTCTCCCACCCCGCCCCAACGGCGGATAGCGGAACTAACTTAGCCCAAAACGGCACAGCGACCCTTTTTAGCACTAGCTGCGCTTCCTCCTCAGAAAGATTATCGTCAAGTAATAACTTTGCGAAGCCCGGGTCGATTGCCGCCGGACGGCCGATTCCGACCAAATCGCAGGCGTTCTGGGAGAGAGCGTACTCGGCGCCCGCGCGGGTGCGGAAACCGCCTGTTAGCATGAGGATTAGGTTCGGATATCGCGTGCGCACTGCCGAGGCGAATTCGAGGAAGAAGGCTTCGCGGGCGGCGGTGCGGGCACTTTTTTGTTCTTGGGGTTGTGGTTGTCCTGGTTGGCCGGCCGGACCGATCATCTGTGTACTGCTTAGTATTTTGATCATCATCTTGAACCCATTGAACCAGGGGTTGAGGCGAAGAAGGAGGCGGGCTTGCAGACCTTCGGATCTTCATAGGTACCACCGCTGATCTCGATGAAGTCGATGCCTGCTTCGGCAAGGAGACCAATCTGGATCATTGTGTCTTCGAAGCTGGCAGAGTTGTAGTCGGCCGAGTTGAACTTTATGCCAATGCAAAATGTTGGAGGCACAACGGCGCGGATCGCATGGAAGATATCGAGGACGAACTTTGCCCGATTGGCTGCGGAGCCGCCGTAGGCATCTGTTCGGATATTGGACTATAGGAGACAGAGTACAGTGAGCCCGTGATGCCTTCCTTCTTGCTAGAGAGGAGTTTAGGGGTGATGGGCTCGTACCTTAGGGTTGAGGAACTGATCTGGCTGGAGTTAGCCTTTGTACAAACGGCGGATTAAAGGGGACATACCAATCATATACCCATGCGCTCCATGCAATTCCACACCCGAAAACCCAGCATCAGCCATCAAACGAGCCGAATCAACGAACTGCCGCGTGACCATGTCGATATCTGCCTGTGTCATTTCCCTCGGCGGCGGAAACGCCAACCAGCTCATCCACCGCTGCAGGAAACCATCCCCCATATCCAAGGGAATAGCGCTCGGCGCAATGGGAGAGGCAAAGGGTCCTCTCCGCCCCGCCATGCGAAGAGACTGCCGACCTGGATGGCAGAGCTGGACAATTGACGGTGGCCCGTGCTCCTGGGAGGCGGCGGCGTATTTTTTCCATGTTGCCACAAGCTCTTTGTTGCGGTTGGGGTCGGTGTACTCGCCAGCTAGGGCGGGGTCGAAAGGGGTCCCGAGGTGGTTTACGTCAACTTGGACGTTTCCTGTGGATGGTTAATGGATAAGTATAACTCCGCGTTGTTTTGATAGAAAAAGACGAACCTGTGAGAATGCCGCCCCAACTGCCTTTGCCCCATTGTTCGTAGACTTTGAGGAGGGATGGTGTAGGGGTGTTCCAAAACCCGCCTAGCAGCTCGGCCATTGCGGCCTGTATAGGGTTAGTACATAAGGGGCATTATTCTGCAGGCTTTTTCATACCTTCACAAGCCGGTTCGGGAACACTAGCCCGGATGGAAGCTTGACGGGATCATTTAAGGACGGCATCGCGGCAGAGAGATACTTGCACAGAGAGTGGAATGAGGCCTGAGAGCAGGACAGATCACTCAAGATATGCGATCATGCAAGCACGTAACACAGAGAGCAGCCTGGTGAAGCTCAACGGCCCGAGAAGGAGCAGCCGAGGTTTTCTGCTTCCACATGAGAGGAGAAGGCATGGCGAGTGGGGACGGGCCAAAGTTCGTCCATCAATCATGAACCCGCGAAGTGAACGCCAACCAGCGATTTGTAATGTTCTGAACGACTGTCACGATGGTTCGAACTTCGAAGTGTGCAGAACAGCCGGGCGAGCAAGAGGCGAGCTAGCGTGGGAACTGGACGAGATCCGTGGTTAGACTCGGTCTCGGATCAGAGGCGTCCGGCTGGTCCTTGGACCCTGCAGGATATGACAACAGCTCCAGCTCGCTCCGTGGAGACTGGGGACTCCATGGCTACGGGAGGATCTGGATCCGACGGTCTTGCAGAAGCTTAACTCCTAGCCCTGTGAGGCTGAGAATGCAAATCAGGGATTCTCAGGCGCCGCGTGAGGACCCAAGGTCTGGTCTCCGCCCGATGATGGGAAAGCCATCCCCCGCCCACTTGTTACACCACCGCTCTCGCACACCAACCACACACAGTGGCACACTCGCCACTACAGTGTGGCTTGACTGAGTTTTTGTTCAATTTTCGGTTCAAAAAGAATAGAGACGTAATTCTACTGCAGGACGGTATAGAGAAAAGGTGCTAGTCAAATCATTGAATCATCCATTTTTACCCAAAACCCGCAGTGTATGAGTGTATGAGTGTATAAGCTAAGTAATCCCAGTCCCAGAAGGGGTATGCAATAGTGAATAGAAAGGATGGGGTATACATGAATCACACACATCCTTTCAAGCAAAAGGAGTGTATCAGCAGAGAAACGCGCGCTTCAAATCAAGCTCGAACAAGCCTGGTCATGCCAGTATTAGAAATGGAAACCGAAACCAATAAGAATAATCCAGGTGTGATGTATCGGTTGCACCGAGAATCACAGGAAAATAAGAAAACAGGGAAGAATGCCAGTCCTTACAGCTTAGCATTCTTGTCCAGGTCTTCTGGGACGCCGTTCAGGCTGAGGCCTCCAAGACTGGACAGGATAGCACCGACTTCCCGCTCCAGAGAGTGGACTTCGGAGTGAGCGTCGTACATGCGAGCCTTGATCCAAGCATCAAGAGCCTCGTCGTTCATGTTGCGCAAAGCAGTCTCACGGTCGACCTTGGCGTCCTGGGCAGCCCGGATGACATTGCGTGCCACGACGACACTGACATCACGGATTCGGGTCAAGTCAGGGTAGAGGAGACCGCGCTCGACCTCCTCCGCGGTGAGAGCCTTCGAGAGGGCTTCACCGGAAGCATAGATCATGCTATCAGTGACCTTGACGGACTTTGACAGGATTGTGCCGAGACCGATACCCGGGAAGACGTACATGTTGTTACCCTGGCCGGGGTAGTACATCTTGGTCTCGCCAGCGGAGTTGGTGAAGGACATGGTGGGGAAGGGAGATCCCGAGGCAAAGAGAACGCGTCCATCCGTGTGAGTCACAGCAGACTCATAGTCACATTCAGACTTGGACGAAGGGTTGGACAGAGGGAAGACAATGGGGTGAGTGTTCCATTCCGCAACCTTGCGCAGAATCTCGGGGGTAAAGACACCACCAAGGGTGGAGAGACCCATGAGAATTGTCGGCTTCACATGATCGACGACTTCCTCGAGAGTCTTGAACTGTTGACCTTGGTTATCTGTCCGAGCGAAGTAAACCTTGTGATCGGCGAGCCTGTCGCCCCGGTCCGCTGTCACAAGCCCCTTGGTGTCAACGAGGTAGAAGCATGATCGAGCCTCATCCTCGGTCATACCCTCGCGCATGAAAAACGCGACAATCTGCTTAGCGACACCAACACCGGCACTTCCCGCACCTAGGAAGACAGCACGGTGATCCTTGCAGGGCAGCCCGGAGCGCTTCACGGCATTGATGACACCACCGAGGATAACGGCACCTGTACCCTGAATGTCATCGTTGAAGCAGGTGTAGACGTCCTGGTACCTTTCCAAGGCAGGGAAAGGATTCTTGAAGTCTTCAAACTGGATCACAATTCTGCATGGCGTAAAGCATCCCGTTAGCTTCCGACGATCTCGGGATATATTGGGTTGATTAGGTCCATCGATGACTTACCCAGGCCAACGCTCGGTAAGAGCGGTCATCAGCTCGTCCAAGAATTCCCGTTCCTCGTCGGGGCTGACCTTATCACGGCGGCTACCCATGTAAAGCGGGTCTTCCCGGAGAGTCTTGTTGCTCGTACCCAGGTCAAGAGTCAAGGGCAGAGTAGCCTCGGGACGAATACCAGCGCAAGCAGTGTATAGAGCCAGTTTGCCAATGGGAATGCCCATTCCGTTGATGCCAAGATCACCTAGACCGAGAATTCGGGAGCCATCGGTAATGCATGTGATCTCCACATTGGACTGGGGCCAGTTGGCAATGACAGCGGCCAAGTTACCCCGGTCTTCCCAACTTAGGTACATACCTAGTTCGAAATGTTAGAAGCTCGGTTTCCATTTCGTGCTTGTGGATTGGCTCGGAATTCTGAAACTAACCTTCCGGCTGCTGGTAGATCTCGGACCACCTCTGGCAGGCTTCGCCAACGACCGGGGTATAGATGAGAGGCGTCAATTCCTATTCGACGATCAGCTATCTGATCGGCATAGAGCTATGACTGCAATTTTTGGGGGAATCTACCCTGAGATGGTCTGTGACCAAGCGGTAAAACAGATGCACATTGTTCTTACGAAGGGTGCTGAGGTAGAGGAACTTGTCAATGGGGGTCTGCTTCAGAGCCAGCTGTGCAAGACCTGCAGCCTGGTTAGCTTCCAAGCCATGACAAGAGTTCGTCATCTCGACCGCCCTCCTCCAGTATAGGTATACGCACACCGTGTTTTCTGGACTTCATAGCTTTCGGCGCGGGGAGGAGTCAGGCCGTATGTGCGGAGGTATTTGCGAATGTAGGCAGGGTTGGCAGTGTCATAATTTTGCTCACTATCGAGACGACATATCCGTTAGCCACAGACACAGATATAAAGGACAGATGGAGACAGCGAGGCAACGTACATTGGTCCCGAATGGTTCACATACGGTGTCGCATGGACCGGACGGTTTTGTTGTGTGGGAAATCGAGCCATTGTGGAAGTTTTCTGAGTCACGGCACGAGTACTATGACAGCGAGCTGAAGAAGATGAAGGTGTAGAAGAGAGAAGCAACCGGGATGGCGAAGCCACTGGCGACGGTCTTATTTTATGTAGTAATCCCTGAGACACTAGCATTGAACCCCCCTGAGAAGGAATCCACCTCATTCCGAGATTGCAAAGTCACGATGATTGCTCTGCGAGCTTCAAGGAGGTGGTCGCGAGGACTATGAACTAAGAACCAGGGCTGTAGCTGCGACCAGACGATGACTCTGGGGCTAGGAATCGGGAAGAGTCGGGGAGCAAAGAGCCACTCAGGGAAGGCCGGGATCGAAACGGTGGATATCTCGGGGGGGACGATGGTTGCATGGCAGCGAACCGTTGCTGAGAAGGAGTGGAATTCGATGGGAAACGAAGCTTTTCAGCAAATGAAAGCCTGTTCGGGACGGACGTGGAGAAAACGGGACGTTTCCGACAGTACCTAAGGCACCTAAGCCTCTCAAGGAAATAATAAATGCGGAGAAAAAGAAACAAAGCAACGAGGGCGAATGAGAGAACAGATTGGGGCGATGGAGGTGACGAGGGAGGTTGAGGCCCAAAAACTTTTGGTGAGGTATTTCTTTCGCAGGACTGTGGCTACGATGTAGGGGGCAGAACGCGGCAGGCGAGCTTGGAAGTTGGGGGAGAGCACACGACCTGCTGCTGAGTCGAATGTTGAGTCGGAGTTTGAGCTCTGCGATTGATCGCTTCGGAGTCTAGACTTGCTTTCGCTGTCTGACTTTCCGTCGCAACATTCAAATCTTGAACTGTGTGTCCTAGCGAGCTCCCTGAGACTTTTACTACTGATGATTTAGACCAGCCACCGTGGACCAGTCTCTCAAGGCAATAATTCAAGAATCACATCCGACATGGCATCCCGAGATGTCTTTTTTTCTCTCCCGTGGAGCAGTCTCCAGCCGCGCTAGAGAAGGAACAGGACTAGGTCTACCGAGTAGTTTCACGTCCCAGTCAAAGGGCCCTGGTGGATCGGGGGCTCATGTGGCATAATTAGCCTAAGATGGACGAGCTGACTGCGCAGCTTTTCGCAATTCCCGACAGGCGCTAAGATAGTTTGTCGGACTAACCTCTAGAGGAAGGATTCTGGACCGAGACGGGGGCATCGAACTCTGGTCCACGGATTTAGTTTTCGTGCCTCTCAACGAATTCTTCATCGTTTCGACCTCGACCATTTTGGGCTTCCCCGCAGCCACACACGCGGCTCGGAAGACGACCGAGTGTCGGAGTGTGTTCTTTGCGCCTGCAAAGACCTGATTTTTGATGGTCCGGGGCTCAGTTCGTCGTACATCGAGATTCTACATGAGGCTGGAGTGGCATGCTAGATACTCATCATGCGTGAGAAAAAGTACGCAAGTAATCAATGCGCAGGAGGAGGCGGAAAATCACGCATTCTGGCGAGTCCCAAGCACTTCTCAGCATCTTTTTGTCTTGCGCGTCGCCCAGGCTCCAACAGCAAAATCATCATCAAACAATCTCCAACATTCTTTGAAGCGGCAGTTGGGGGAAGCCGATCGGACCCGGCCGAGAATAGCATCGGAAGCTGGATGGAGTTACTACGGAGTCCTGAACTGGGCTTCTCCGCACGAACTTTTGAAGTTGAACCCGCTGAAGAGCATCGTCAAATGAGATTATCATTGTCGGCCCCATTATTGGTGGTCACGAGAATTCGGTCGGGTCGAGTCGCTTCTTATTATTAATGAGTAACTCTATTTCTGGTCCCTTTCATGATTTGATTCGAAATGTGAAGCAATTTGGGGGTGAGATTGAATTCCCAGAGTCCGACTTGGGCTCGCTTCTGAGTTCTCAGTTCTATCTAACCCCTGAGTTGGGCTCCAATTATCGACCAGGCTGCCAGGCACCTTATTTTCATGCTTCCGGCGCCTGCAGGATCTCAGGGTTATCATTTTGAAACTGCATCTTTCTTGGAAATGAATCTTACCCGAAGATTTACCACAAGCGATCCACTATATATCCTACATTTGTACTTGGTAAATGTCGCCATGTTTCTCTAGAAACCACTGGAAACACTGGGCCTTGCCCGATGGGGACGATGATCATGGCGGCTCCTTCAGCCTTTGCTGAAGATTTTCGACTTCTTTGGCTGTGGGTCATGATTTTGTAAAGACCTTACTCCTTCCGAGTTGGTAGAAGCACAGAGCTTTTCCTCCGAAGTATATCTCATGAGTCACCTCAAGAGCCCGACAAATCTTTTCAAAAAGCAATCTACACTAATATGCCGAATCTATAAGGCCTACTGTGGCTTCTGGAGTTGAGTAACTCCAGAAAAAGCAATTTATCCGCGATAATCGCTCATCCTCATGAGGGTGCCTGATAACCTGTCCTGCAGAAACGGCAAAGCTTGACGATGCCGATCATAAAGTTTGCTTTTCCTCAAACACAGATCCAAGTCGGACATCCCAATTAGTATTCCTTTTTCTAGTGCGCGATTCACATTTGCCTGTCTGTCAGGTTGGAAGATCATGTTCCCGTACTTCGAAGAGTGCGGATCACCTGACGATAAAGCGGCGGCAGTGGTGACGCAAGAGTGAGCTGGCCCAGACCGAACAAGCAAGGAGCTCCAAACAGCTCCAGGGTGATGATCCAGGATGTCTCCAGGCTACACCTGTCATGCAATTACCCCCTCATTCGCATCCCCGTCATCGTCCGGTCGGGCCCGTGCATTATCCCATCGTCGACCTTGTTGTATGACGGGCGGTTATCTTCATCCCAACACAGCACTTCGGTGAGCGAGCTCTCACTTCCACGTCGTACGCAGGCCTCGATCCATCGCCCATCATGTCGCGGGCAGAAACGGAACCGCTCCTTCCCCGCTACGATGATGACACCAGTCGTCAGCGTCGATTGCACCAGAAGATCCATAGCTATCAGATGCTCCGCGCCCTTTCCGAGGGTTACATGCCATCTACGGAACAAACCATCGCCAATCTTCGCACTCTGCTCGCTTTTGACATCTTCAACCCCCGCAACCCGGATCTGGGCCCAGTGGGCCGCCAGCTCGTCCGCGATAGCCGCCTGTGGATACAATTGTTGATCGAGTTCTTGCAGGCCAAGAACGGAGATGATCAATTGCAGGAATTCATCTGGCATCTCTCCCATGGCCGGGCTACCGTGCACACCAGCCAGCTCGCAGAGCGCGCTTCCCGTACAAAGGCGAAGGCAGATACCAAAGCTGGTACTTATCCCGTTGATATTGCTCAGCCCCTTGACCACACGATATCGTGTTGTACGCTAACTCTTGTGATCAGCATTTGATAGCCTCCGTGTCGTCGGAAACCTTCTGCTGACCAACTCCGACTTTCGCCTATTTGCGGAGGACCTTACAACAGTTGGGCGTGAGATATTCTCGGACACGGCCTTTTCTCTGTCTGCTGCGTCGCAGAAAGTGGGCGAGCAGCTCAAGCCATCTGAGGAAGACGAGGCAGCCTTATCTGGTGCCGGTGCAGATGAAGGCCATACCCATTCGCAGGAAGAACTCCGCGCAGAAGTAAATCATGTCGCGGACGTCGCCAAGAGTGGCCTCGTTCAGACTGGGCGAGACGCGAAGGAATCTGCCAAAGAGCATATCTCAGGAAAAGAGCAGGAGACTCTGATTCATCGGCTGAAGCAAACGGTCCTTAAGCTCCGTGAGCGCAGAGACTATACCGACTCAGTTTCGGTTCTAGCACGGCTGTTGGAGCGATATGCCATCATTTACGCGAATGCCGCGACGGATGTCGCATCGACTGCAGAGGAAGAGTCTGAGATAAACGATGATCTGAAGCAAGCGATACAGAAGTTCTGGGCCCTACTCCAGACTCTGGGGGATCGTAAGGAGTGGGAGGCGTTGGAGCAGCGGCTCCACGCAGTGCTACGACATGCCAATGGCGACCCTGAATTTGAGGACCTGGTAACAGAGATTGGGTCTGCAGTGCAGGAGATGATGACGAATCCCGATTCCCTCGATTCTGCACCGGAAAAGATTGGCGAACTGAAGGAGAAATCCAAGCACGTCGGCGCTGAAACCAGTCTCCGGCAAGACGTGGATAGCTTTCTCGCGCAGGCAAAGCGGGCTCTGCAGTCAATTTCTCGAGATGAAGCAATTTCCAAGCTACTCAGTGCAACTCGCAAGCTCTATAAGGATGCTTTAAGTGGATACCGTAACCGACGTGCTAATCTACCCGCGGACTTGCTAGAGGTTTTTCTCCCCCTTGTCCTGCGCAATATCCAGTACATCCCGATCCCTCGTCTTGAGATTTCTGCTCCGGAGGTGGATCTTCTTATCGAAAACCTTATTCTTGAGCCTGGCCACACTGTCAATTATTCATCTTTCCTTCCTTACCGCATGCACGTTACCACGCGAAACGACATTGACGTTGTAAAACGGCATTCGAAGAAGACTACGACAAACCTCAAGACGACATTCACGGTGTCAGTCTGTGGCTTGAACGTGAGTGCTCAAGAATTTGGTTACTGGCTTCGCACACACAAGGCGCTCTTCTTCTATCTCAAGGACCAGGGTATCGCCAGCTTCTTCCTCGACAGGCGAGGAATCGACATTTCACTAGACGTGGAGGTCGGTCGAGAACGCTTGGAGCAGATATTCACTCTCCGCGGCGTGCGTGTTCGTATTCACAAGCTTGACTACAAAGTGCACCGAGGCAAGTGGAGGTTCTTGATCTGGTTGACGAAGCCGTTCCTCAAGCATATGATTCGGCGAGTCCTCGAGAAACAAATCGCAGAACAAATTGTTCAGGCGGCCCACGCGCTGAACCGCGAATTGGTATTTGCTCGAGAGCGTCTCCGGGCTGCCCGCATTGCCAGCCCCCGTGACCTTTTCACCTTTGTCCGAGCAGTTCTGGCGCGCTTGACGCCGGCTCCGAACCCGGATATTGAAGCCCGTGTCGGTATTGACGCCCCGGGTGAGGGTGTCTTCAAGAACGTATATGCTCCTGGAAGTCTCGTGAAATTGTGGCACGAAGAGGCACTCCAAGCCCATGATTCGATTGAAGAGGGTGAAGAGACTCCAGGGCTGCACAGAACCTGGCGAAACACGATTTTTGATGTTCCCGTGTAATCCATGTACACCTAGTTGATACTCTGTATGCCGCTATGATTCACGTTTGCATGCCACCTTGCGATCGACAAATTGTCTGTCACTGTTCTATTATTTATGTGTGTATCGAAATTGACGTCATCTGTTGAAAAAAAGGGTCGATTCCTCGTCTTCGAGTCAATGTATACAGTGCTTCATGGCATTTATACAGTGAGTCGAGATTCAAGAACCTCCAAAGCTGATTCCAAGCACCTAAACGGTATACAGTACACCACGTCTCCAAGGCGAAGGAATAATATTTCCTTTAGAGGAGAGGAGACCCGCCTGCTAGCTTTGCAGGATAGTGCCTGGTATCTTGGATCGGGCCAAAACCTTCCTTCTAAACTCGCCTTATGGCAGGCTACCCGTACGCGATTGCCAATCCATCTCAAATCCCTGACTCCGGAGCTGCGAAACTGTTGATCAGTTTGGCGAGTGTGGGGAGTGGGGAGTGGATCCATATCAGTGGGGGCATTGATCTCCTGGGCTTCGACTTTTCTTTCTTGTCACTCTGCCTTCTATCCCTTTCCGACTCTTGCCGCTACTGCGAACGCCGGTAATATGGCACGGACTGTCATTTTATTAAAGCTACGCCCTGCCCCAGGCTCTCGCCCCGCTGGCCTCTTCAACAAAATCCAGCAATTTCCAGAAAAAGTCCCCTATGAGCAGCGCTTCCATTCTGAGACCGGAAAAGAGCAAGTCGATGAGCAGACTATGGTTCTTTGAATAGAGGGGTTCAGTGATGCCTTGAACCTGGATTCCGATCCTCCTCTAAAGTACTACACCGACGAGGACCACATGTGCAATCGTGACTCAGGGACCGAAGAGCACCGCCTGTAGAAAGCCACCCATGTATACGAAGTGATTGGCAATCACCCAAGACTTGTTCGATTCCTCGGCCGCGATCCTTGGACTGCACCTCCAACCCTGGAGAAGCCATACGCTACGCTTGCTGGGTTTCTCAAGGAGCATCACTCTACCATGTATGCTCCTAGAGGCAGAAGTGAGAATGGCCGCGGAAGCACCAGTGAATTTAGGAAAGGAAATGGAAACGGAAAAAAAAAACTCTACCTGACTCCCCCCTACCGCCCATTAATCTTCCAATGGGCTCTGCAGTTGCTCTCTGGGCTAAGCTTCATCCACTCCAAGGTGATACTTGGTGACCTCCATATACATACCTGGTGGCGCCAATCGCCCGAGTCCCTCTCTGTCCTTGGCTTTCTGGATGCTGTATATATGGAACTAATACATGCCATAAGATACACTAATAATACCTGGGGCTCTGAATATAATTTTCCTTTCCACCCTGCTCTATTCCTAGGAAAGGGACAGGTCCTGGCGGCAGGTGGGATTAGGACACCGCCACTATACAGACTGATTTGTTCCTCTGGGCTTCCCTTCTTTACGAGCTTTTAACTAGCAGTTGGCCTGCCACTGGTCAGAGCCTTGATAATGTGAAGACTATATTAACACACAAGCTGTAGCTGAAGTTGGATGAAGAGGGCTTGGAGGAGATTATGAGGAAGTGCTGGGACTATGGGTATAAGAGTACAGACAAGGTGAAGGGAGATTTTAAGAAGTACTTGGCAGGGAAGTGAGGTTAAGGGCGTGGAAGGTGATGAAATCAAAAGCTTGGATGTTGCTCAAATTCTGGCAAGATGAGTTCTAGATTGACTGTTGATTATTGTAGGAAGTCTGGCGCGTAGGCTTTGTATGATGAGCTCTACTCTGTGACCCTTCCTGGTCCCGTTATATACTTTCGTTCTTGAAGAGACAGGCGATTCTTCCAAAGGAGACGAAGTTTCGCTACTAGGTATACTGGTTGAACGGTCTCTTCGATGCATTGGATGGATCAAGAACAAGGAATAATGTTCCGGATTAGGCTTTATATCAGCTCGTAAATATTGCTATCCTCTATCTCGAAGCTCTGGAAGTAGCCATGATCTATGACAGAGTCTATATAATCTTGCTACCTATTTTCCAAGAAAAAACTCATAGTTCCTGCTGTTGACACTCTATATAGCAAGCCAATTTTTTTGTTGAGTATTATATATTCAAGAAACATAAGGAAGAAAGGAGGCCCGTCTGACCGCTGAGTACGCTGCTGCCGGCAGGCGTCTTGAGACCTATAAGAGTCTCGACGAGAAAATAACACCTAGCCAACGTATATACCACTAATATAGTAAAGAACAGCGGGGCAGCAACGATGTCAAGATCTCCATTGCTGATAAACTGGAAAGCTCGGTGATGAGACCGCACAGCCCTCCACCATAGAATCCAGAGAACTCCCCACAAGGGAACAGTCACAAGACCCAAAGCTGATACCCTCCATAGCCAACGCTCTACGTGGGTTAGGAAAAAGGATGACCAGGCTAGCAGGTGTAGGCCACCGTACAGGACGTTGAACAGCGCATGAACGGCTTTTTCGGCACTCGGTTCGTGCCCTACATCAGTACCCCAACCGCCCCATACTCTCCGTACACTGAGGCCTTGGCTGCTTTGACGCACGAGATTCAACCTTCCGAGCGTATCCCCTCGGAAATCATAGCAGCTGTTGTGTTCCAGTAGTTGTAGTCCTTCCGAAGCGCCCGCTGCAATGGCGCGTAGTGTCTTGCTTTTTTCGTCCGATATATATCCCATAGGCTGTTGGGATTCGTCCAAGAGCTCTGTTATAGACTTCGGGATTGGGCGCGCAGGTGGTGGCCTAAAGTCGACGTCCCCCGAGTCGAGTCGATGAAGCGTTTCTTCCAGTATGCGATTCGATCCTTTTCGTATTTCTGCACCTCTTCAAGGTATACCTTGTGACTGATATCGTGGAAGTTGAAGAGCGCTCCGATGTAGTCAATGTTGGTTCCTCTCACAACAACACAATGCGACAGGTTGTATGGCTTCCGCATCCATACTATGTAGATAATTATTGCGCAGCCCACATGAATTGCGGTGTGTGTCTCCAGCGGCGTCACAGATAAACATTGGAATAACCGTCCTGTGACCTGAAGGGTAAGCCAGAGACACTGCCCGACGACGACGGCTTTGGCGAAAACATCTGCCTTGCTCCTCTCTTCTATCTCCTGGCTTTCGATTATGGGCAGGCGTCCGGCTTTAGCGAGGATTGAGATAGCCTGCGGTGTGAGGATGCGGCGGAGGACATGTTTCTGGCCAGCTTCGTCAATCTGTTGGGTCTCTGTCGCAAACCCGCCCATGACGCCAAAGATCGCGTGCTCGAAGGACCATGGTGGCAGTTCTCGGTGTTCGTCACGGAATTCGGAGCTGAATCTCGTGTGCAGAGGGTGATCTGGGCCTGTGGCCTGAACCAGGAGGGTCAAATCGTCGCCGTCCGCGGCTCTTCTGTGTACTGGGCTCTAGGGCATGTATGGCAGGGAACTGTAGTCCAACTTTCCCTCAGTTAGACAACATGACGCTGTTAGTGCTTCGGATTGATCACCAGTGGGGAACTCACAGTCACGTCACTGGTCGAATGCCCAAGCAATGTTTTGACCTCCAAGAAAAGAGCATTAGCCTGTCGTCGCTCATCCCAGGCACTTGTAAGAATGAATTCAGGGAAGATTATTGCAAGAAACATAAGCCTCAAGCGCTCCAAGACAGACGTCCAGAAGCTATAAACAAGCGGGATATTGCGATGAACAGCCGTCCACACGCATAACGCCATCGTTGCAAGGCAGGTCCACAGGATATTGAGTGTTCCTCGCGAATCGGGAGCCGGAGTCCAGCCCAAGGTCTCAACCATGTTGACAAATCTTCAGTTGGAGACGCAGAGCACTGTTCTTTCATTCTCAGTGGAATTGTTGCTGATGTTGGCTTGCTGAAAGTGATGCTGACGGGCGGTTGGATTGGGCTGCCACTGCGCGGGTGGGCACGTGAAGCAAACACGATTGTCGAAGGCATAAGGCTCCGTGATGTTACACAGTATTCCTGATCTATTTAGGTTTGGCGCAGCGCACTTGAGCCGCATTATTTACGGACGATAGTTGATCCAGCGAAGAGAGAGATTGATGCGTGAAACATGCAGGTGCCGACATCCCTAACACTTTCCATTTCTCATGCTTCAAACAACAGCCGCGGTTTGTATTCCCTACCTATCTCTTCTCACTGCCTCTTAGCAATTTCTGAAAAGAGCTTCCACGGTCAGTACTAGTATGCTATACCGACCGGACTCCACGTGGACATGGACGGCTTTCATTAATCTCCTGGCGGAAGCTACCATCATTATTACCCAAGAAACGTGAGCTCTTGTTTCCGGGCACTTCTCTGCAGAATAACAGACTTCTGACTTCTGGCCCAGGATGATATCTGCCCTTGTCGATTCTTGGGTAGACCCCAGGGGTATCAATGTGACCTCCACACGGACGCCTCCAACACTATTTAGCCTTGTGACACTGGGGTTTTTGTATAAACTCGTGATACTATATGACACGCTAGCCCAGCGGAATACAATTCAGGTACTTGGATTATGTGTGTACTCTGTCACACTGTGCACATATAATCGTATACAATACGAGCTTCTGAGGGATTCTGTCCGAGTTCTCACCGACGACGACGCAATCAGATATGATGCTTGGCAGATAATTCGTCGCATCGTGATTTCGATAATCGCAAATAGCGCTGTTTTTACGCTATGGATGTTTCTGCTTGCCTGGAAGCTGTATAGTGAATTCGCCTGGGTCACATTCCGCCAAGTTGAGGCGGATCTGGCCATGCGCCGTCGATTGTTATATTTTCAGGTAACAGACTTATTCGCTAAAACCCGCTCTGACGATTTGCTGATCTAGGCAATTAATAGTTGTTTCTGACGCTGCTGAAGTTTGGCGGATTCTACGCTCTCGGGTTGTTAGTGCAGCTTGTAATAGTGGCTGCCGGGATCAGCAACTCGGATAGTCGCGACGCGTGGTTAGTTGTACAGATAGCCCTCATCTCGACGACATGCTTTCTCCTTTTTGCAAGTGCTTGGGTTGTAAGGCATGAAAATCGAAGCGGGACGATTGCCATCATCGTGACCTGATTAAGCGGTAAGCATCTTGAGGTATACACGGATCGGTTGGCTTTGTAGCCTGGCTGGCCGGCTGCATCCAGTGTCCACTACAAAATACACAGAGTTTTGTTGGGGAAGGAATGAAGAACTGCCAGGTGCGCGAACAAACCCCACAAAGCCTCACGATCGCGAGGGAACCTCTTCAGCTTCAACATCCTTCTTCCTATCAGTGTATCGAACTTTGTTATATCCTGCATCCTCAAGACGCGACGTACAGTATTCGAGTCGCCGCTCTGCTGTCGATTGTTCTACAGTTCCCGTTCTAGATTTGTACCATCTACGACCATTGAGCTGGTGTGCAATATGGAGCCAACAGCAGCTGATCTTTCGAAGCTATATGCACTTCTTCTTGATACCGTTTGCCATGGAACTCTTGACGATCTAAAGTCAATCTTGGCAGCCACGCCAAGGAGCGTGGTCGCCCAGCTCAACTACGGTGGCGAGACGCGCACTGCGATTCTTAACAGCGCCATAGTGCGGCGGTACTACCAGCTACACGATAAGCTCGACTACGACAACACAGTCGAGGTTCCAGCAGGCCGCGATCTAGCCCGCCGCAAGCAGTTTTATGACGCAGTGAAACTCCTGTTGGATCACGGCTTTAGTCCTGACGATATAGGGCCCGGCGAGGATGATTATGGGCCGTGCACGATAAGTCCCGTGCAACTGGCCGCAGAAACGGATGATTCGGAGATCTTGCAGTTGCTCCTGGACGCTGGGGCGGATCCGAAAAGTCACTATAGCGATAGCACTGGCCCTTCGTCGCCATCCGATGTTTCCGGACCACCGCTGCAATCGGCCGCGGCGAATGGAAGCCTCGCTGCACTAGAATGTCTCATCAATTGGTCGAAAAAACATCCTGATAGTTTTCAACTCTCGGAGGGCGATAAAGCGGATGCCCTGCTCGCGTCTGCGTATTATATCTTCCCGGGCGCATTGCAAGTCCTGCTATCATCGTTTCCTTTCTCAAAGGATACATTGAGCAAGGCATTGAGTGTCGCAGTGGCGTCCAGCATCATAGATACCGAGTTCTCATCTAGGTTTCCCGTTGTGCATCCGGGGGAAGATGATATATGGCAGGCGCAAATCAAGACTGCGCAAAAGCTATTAAATGCGGGTGCAGACGCAAATCACATTACCGATCGGGGACACAGATTGCTCAATACAGCAACACGTACAGCAAAAGGCCCTGACATCGTTCGCCTGTTGATAGACCACGGCGCACGTGTTGAACAAGCCGTTGAGGAACCTTCCCTCTCAGCCCTCCGGAAGGGGAACACCGACCTGGTCAGGACGTTCCTGGACCTGGATCTCATCCCCTCACAGTTTAGTATCGATGGAGTATCCTGCACGCCTCTCCACATTGCCGCAGTCCACGCGCCGGTCGACACCCTCAAGCTCCTAGTCTCCGCGGAGCTCGACCCCTCAGCTAGAGACGCAAACGGATGGACCGTCTTCCACTACGCATGCAAAGAGTGCCGCGTCGAGAACTTGAGATACCTCCTCAGCCTGAACCTTGACGCTATTCATCAGCTAACCCCCGACGGCTGGACCCTACTCACTATCGGGTACAAAACAGACGCAAGGTATTACGATGAGGGTGCGGGGTACCTGGTCGAACAAGGGGCCGACGTCAACACTCCTATCCCGGAGACACCGAAATACACCCCTGTGCATATCGCCGCGAAAGAGGGTTACTGGGATTTGCTCGAACTCCTTCTTGAACGGGGAGCCCTGATAACACAAGCGGAGGGGACTGGCGAGAGTCCGCTTCATTTTATGGTCTGGGACGACGAGGTTCACAGTGGGACGAAGACTTTGCTGAAGCACGGTGCTGATATCAATGCGCAGGATAGCGAAGGGAGCACGCTGCTACATAAGCTCTTCAAGGTGGACCCGCGCAGGTATTACAAAGACATTGTTCAGTTTTTGCTTGAATCTGGGGCAGACCTTTCCATCAGGGATAAACAGGGGAAGACGCCCAAGGACTGGAATGATGAGCTGCCTGAATGTCGGCGTTGGAGGGGCTCAGACTGGCCTGGGGTGCAATTATAGTTTTTATGTTGGTTTACGACATATTTATTGTGGCCAATCTACGGATATCCATACGTTTGGATCTAACCAAGCGGCTCTCCACGTACTTCATGCAACACTCCAAAGACTGGAAGTTTTGGAGCAAATGGGCAACAATAAGTCACCAGATATGAGTTGACTGCAGGCACTCTATAGATATCAATTAGAGTCCTCCATCGAACCACATATCGGCAGAGCAACTAGCAAACCTAATTCATATTCTTCTTTCCCAGTATAGTCAACGCGTCGAGCGTCACTTGATTATACAATATCAAAAGCGCTTACAGCGGATCATGCTCCCCTATTTCACTCTTCGCCAGGATCAAGATTTCACTACCGTTGATCATTCTCTGAAACTGTCCATGGCTGTACAAAAAGGTTGGGACCTTAATAGTGTGGGTCTGGCCGAGGTGCCGGCTCGCGATGTTCGCGGCGACCACGCCTCGCTGATTCGCGATATCGGTGCCAGTGGGATTGCCCTGCTGAACAATATCAACAGCACATTACCACTCAAATTGCCGGGGAACATTGGCGTCTTCAGCAACGACGCGTCCCCTCCAACCAACAGTCTCGTGTTTGAAAGTTACTACCCCTCTGAGATTGGGACCCTGGACATTGGGGGCGGTTCTGGAACCGCCCGGCCGGCACACGTACCTGGTTTCGCCGCTGGAAGCCATCCTGCAACAAGGCACGGGAACTGGGATCGCGCGTACAATATCCCACAAACAACACGATCCTAGCCGCCCAACGATTTCCGAACCATCTTTCCCACACCGGACGGACGTCTGCCTCGTCTTTTTTGAACACGTTTGCGTCGGGGACATGGGGATCGCATCGCACAGAGTATGAGCTCCACTGGACCTCGACGCTTGTCGTTGAGAATGTTGCCTGCCAGCCGCTGCTCGAATACAATCGTGGTGACGACGCACTCTGCCAGCGTAAACACCCCACACACCCTGCCCTAGGCACACCACTCAAACGTAACCATAATCCTCGCAGCGCATTTCCCGGGGGCAGGAAGCCAGCTACGCACTTGTTGATGTCCTCTGGGGGAAAGGTCAACCCGTCTGCGGAACTGCCATACTCGATCCCGTGCTACAAGGAAGACTATGACATGACATTCCGATTGTTTTGTCTTAACTCAAGCGAGATTACCTCCCTGGATGCCCACCTGGCAGGCGGACTTTACCGAGGGTCAGTTCATCGACTGTCGTCGCCTGGGGAACCTAGGAATCGAGCCCCTGGATACCCTATTAGCTTTCTAGCGCGTGCTTGTATAATTATCTAATACTTTCGCCTTTAGTGTTCAGGTTTGTAAGGAATTTGGATAACAAGTCTAGTAAGATCTATAAAAGTCAGCGCCTGCTCCATAATTCAGAACATTAAGAACAATATCGAGGTGGTTACCTACAGAGGCAGCTGATATACGATGATGCCCCTAGAATAAGGATTCGTCCTCTGTAGGTCTGTAATGCTTTACATATCGTTAGGAAGATAGATTTTCAAGACAATAGGGTAACAAGAGCACGAGATATATCAGGTAGGGTATTATACATGAGCTTAGACAAAAGTCTTTCTATATCATATCTAGATCGCCTTTGTCCCTATTCTGCAGATTCTACAGAACTTGTTTAAAGAAAATTAGTGTCTTCACTCTAGGTCAAATTAAGCATCTATATCTATATAACCACCTCTATCTAGAGTCTCGCCTGCTCCGCATCTGCAGCAGCAATATACCCCTTCTAAACCTGCTTAATGTTATTCTTATAGATATAGTTATAAAGGTACTTGGCCTTTCTAAGGTTTGTAAGTAGTGTAAGAGGTAGTAATAAGGGTAGATAGCTTATTATAATAGTTTAAATCTAAGAATAAGGATTAAGCAGTATTTTAAAAAAGGTAATATAGTTTAAAATTATCCTAAAGCTAAATTATAGGTTATAGTTATAACCACCAAGCCTATTACTAATTATTTTTATGGCGCGCGACCAAGAATTCGAGGCCTGGTCACCTGCAACCTCTAGAAGACGGCAACAATATAATGGCAGATTTAGAACAAGAAGTGGGAGAGCCCTTCCTTATTTATCTGCAGGAGGTAACGACTAAATATATCGCTCGTAAACCAGGGGAAACCACCCACCCACCAGGAGTGAGCAACTCACTTGTTGGGGTGAGCGACTCAGGTCTTCGGGGTGAGCGCCCACTGCACTCAGTTGCACCCACCTAAAATTCCGGCGTAAAGCAGCCAGACACTCAAGGCTATTTGAACTATCATCCGCGTTCAATATGTGGCTTAAGTAACGGCTAAGCGGATGGGAAGCCCTGTTCTCCACACCCTGTGGTCGTATGTGCTAGAGTTGGCTGCAGGGCGGAATATATAGAGCATAACGAACACCATGTCTGCCTTCATAGTTCTTTGAGCGTAGGGAAGGATCTGCAGATGTCTCGAATTTTGTGTGGACAAGCATGATACCGAGTTCCGTACTCCGTACTTGGCGCTATATTATTATACGGATGTGGCCACCGGTCAAACAAACTTGGAAACTTGGACGCCGGGTAGTTTCACTATTTTCAATTATCATGTGGAGTACCATATCTTCTCCCCTACCATGTTCAATGCCAAAGACAGTATCATGTTAATTGGGAACCTACTCTTCCTATACCTATACCAGATTGACGCCATTTGGCTTCCCGCCGTCCACTCCTGGTAAACCCGCGAGAGGTAAGCCCCACACCGATATGATGAAGAACCCTTCTCAGAAGTACAATTGGCAATTGTGCTCCCCGATCGCATTCTAGTAGTGGTCTTGAAGCCGAGATCCGGCAGTCTTGTCCCGCATGCGCCTTGTTTCATAATCTTCAAGTGCCTGGAGGGCGGTGGGGCATGGGCCCAAGTCCAAATCAACCACAACCACACTGGTTCAAGTGTCCTGTCGGCATGCCACATGGTGGCTTGACGCCACTGATCACGTGCCTGCTTCCTAGATAGCTTCGTCTTCCGCTAGCTAGCTCCTACGAATCGACACACACACACACACACACAGACACACATCTCACGATGTCTCCTTTCTCGCACGGCTTTCATGCCGATAAGTCCGAAGGCTGCCCAGTGCCGGGGCCTTCTCCCGACCAGTAATTTTGACACGGTGGATATTGGGGCTGGACCAGGGCACTTTTAGCTTGGGACTAGCCGCTTTAGCCAAGGGTAAATTTAGATCCAACCCTGTTGCCCCTGACCAGGCGCCCGCCGCCGAAGCCACAGTTTAAAACTGGAGTGTTCCCTGTCGCCTCGTCTTTCCAAGGTGGAGGCAGCGAAAACTGTAAGAACTGGACAAAATGGGCCAACTTACGCGTCATTTCAACTTCTGGACAGCAGCCTTGCTCTCCGCCTCTGCTGCGGCTGAAGGATCGATTCCTCTTGTCAAGAGAGATCATCCCGCTGTGATCTCTGCGAAATTGCATGCGGCTCCAGCCAAGCCGATCCCCGCGCTGCAAGCCAGGGATACAATCTCAGCGCCAGCCTTGAAGGACCTGGTATGCGCTCACATTCTGTCTCAAATATTCACTTTCTGACCAGACAGGGCGGCTACAACCTTAATGTGTCGATCGGAACGCCCCCGCAATCACTGGCCTTGCTGGTGGACGCCCAGGCTACAGGCATTCATGTTCTGTACCCTGGCGCCGACAGCATGGCATGTTCCGAAGAACGTTATTGTTCGTTCTATGGACAGTTTGACCCTCGCGGCTCATCTTCTTTCGCTTCGGATGAAGAAGATTGGCGAGAAAGCCGCCCCGAATCATTCACCGGCCTGGACACACTAACACTCGGAGATTCAAAAGTCACCAATGTCTCTCTGGGACTTGTCACTGTGGATGGCATCTCTAGCTGTGGGTCCCACCTCTGCCACTTTGCCCTCGTTGGAAACCCCCTAGTCCGTACTGACATTGCGCAGACAGCTCCATTGGCATCGGCCCACACAACACCAGCTTCGTTTACCAGCTCGTCGACCGCGGCCTGATTAGCACCCCATCATTCAGTATGTGGCGCGACCCCGTCGCAGAGGTGGATGTGGAAGCAGACCCAAACGACACTCCTGGCGGTATAATCTTCGGCGGCATCAACGCCGCCAAGTTCAATGGTCCTCTCCACGCCTTCTCATTTAATGGTTCTGTCCCAACCATGACCGTCCCCGTACGCGGTGTCCAAGTCCACGTGGATCCTGCCGCCAGCTTTGTATCCACAGCAAATGCTAGCACCACAGGTACTACCCCGATAAATGCCACCTTTGACGAAACTCCCTTCGATCTCCAAACCAGATATGTCACGTCGTACTTTCCGCACGATACCGCAACGGCCATCTACGCCGCCCTCAACATGACAACCACCCGCCGCGACGATGGGTACTACCCTCCCCCGGAAATCCCCTGCAGCCGCAGCTCCGAGAACCACACCATCACCTTCCTCATTGGCTCTGCGTCATTTGAAATCCCTTGGACCGCCTTTCTCACCTCTACCAACATCCCCAGTAACGGACAATGCTATTTTCAAATCCAAATCCGCACCGAGGACACCGAGTCCCCATCTCCCTACAAGGGAACATTGGGGAGCACGATCCTGAGCTATTTGTACATGGCCGTCGACTACAACAGCATGATGGTGGGGCTTGCGCCCGTCAACCAAAATCCTGGTAACGATGAGATCCTGGAGATTGGAACCGAGGCGCCGCAGCTCCCCGGTGCCGAGGGTGATTTCCCCGAGACGGTTTCGGCCTATACCCCCGCGCCGACGACCGAGACGGTGGCGACTGAGACTTCGGACGGGTGGGCGGCGTCTATGAGGACTGCTGCGCCGGGTGTGTTGCCTGCCGTTGCGGGCGCTGTCTTGTTTGGGTTGATTTAGGTTTGTGGGGCTTTGTATATTAGAATTCTCCTGTACATATAATGCTTTGTGAAGCCGTGCTGGCTGTTCAAGTGTATATATATTGGCTGCTGTAGTAAAGAAAAACAGGCTGGACAACCTGGCGCAATTGTTCAATGAAAATGTGTCGCGTCCAGCATCTATATCCCCCCGGACATCATAGTACAGGATATCCCACACTGCTGTGCTCGGCAAGTGAGCAGACCATTTTCGGATACTCAAGTCTTCTCCTACCTTGTATTGCACCAATCAACGAGTCCAACACTTTGCCACAAATGAGAAAGAAGGATATTGAAATTAGCAATAATCTGGTACGTGACGAATACTGCGATTGAAGGCGCCCGGATGCATTGGCAAGCTTTCGTCCCAATGGACACTGATTCAACAACAACAACAACAACAGTAGTAATGACAACAACGATCACAACAAAAAGACAATAGTTTAACCTGAATCCCATTCAGGCCAATCCTAAGGCCCACCAGACTTCTTCCCCTTCCCACATCCACAAGAACCACCACCATCCTTATCACAGGCATTCGCACACCCAAGCTTATACGCACTGTTCCAGGCCGGCGCAGTAATCGGCGCAGCACCAGAGTGCTTCCCGTAGTAGCACATCTTCGTCCGGCTCGACCAGTCGATACTCACGCACCGAGGAAGCTTCGCACATCCGTCTAGACAGTCACGATAGGTGGCAGTTTCTTCCTCTTTGAAGGGCGCTGTTCCGTGTGGTTTGCCGCATTCCATGTGGAAGAGCTAAAAGGGAGGGAGAGAGAGATATGAGTTAGCCAGCCATGCTCTCTTGCTTTTTCTTGTGTGTTTGTGGGGTCGGAGGAAAGAAAGGGGGCAAGCTACCTCTCCAAAGTCAGAAACATATTTCTGTCCATGCGCAGCAGGGCAATCGGTCGAGCACATGTGCGTGATATTGGCTGGTGCTGGGATCGCAGGAGGATCGACGAAAAACAACCAGTCGTGCGAGCCGCTGGGGGCGTCCTCGTGCGAGAGCCCGCCGAGTTCGTACAGAACACAGTCTTGGTTGTTATTGTTGTACTCGACGCTATAGTCATGACGCAAGGAAGGAGTCAGCATACCGAACCCAACGAATATAGCGCCGTCCTACATTGATAGAGAAGAGACCGAAGCTGACTGACTTGGACGAGTGACGACTGACTTACCTGTCACATTTCGCGGTGCTCTGGCATTTATCCAGACAGTCCTTCTTCGACTTGATGCCCGGTGCCCTGCTGAGGTGGTTCACACCCGGGTGAGCTTTTGTGCAGCACTCGAGTAGGTAGTGCGTGCCGTCCTCTGCTATGACGGCCTTTCCATGGCCTATAGAGGGCTATTAGGGCCCGGCGGCGGCGGGATATGTCAGAATGGAGTATTGAATACTCACCATCAGGACACACGGGGCTGGCAGCAACTCGTAAATGTTCTGTTTCACCGACTGTCACTTTCATCAGTGGGGCTGTATCTTTAATCTCCTCATGAAGTGACTGCTCGCGTTGGAAGTATCTACATAAATCTAGTCGTTCGATCACGAGGGAAGAGATGGGTTCGTCCTCCAGGCGACTCCGAGATGCAACCCCGTCCTCCACCCTCTCTAACTCAGGCAAGGTCACAACTCTGAAAGGTAGACGCTATACGAGGCCGAGGACACTTGAAAGAAGTTTTATTGGTGTGAGATAGTAAGCAGCTAGTACTAAAAAAGAAATCATTTTTCCACGGGGTTCATTTTCCGGCGCAGAGCGTCAAGAATCTCCGTGTGATTGTTTTTCAGAGCAAGATCTTCCGCGGTACGTCCCATGGGATCCATGAGTCGGACATTGGCCCCGGCATCGATCAGGTAAAGCGCGATCTCAGTGAGCCCATGTGTCGCAGCGTGATGAAGCGGGCTCCCCATGTACTGATAGCCCTCATCCCCCGGAGGCCCCTCAATCCCAACCTCATCAATATCAGCACCCATCGCAAGGAGATGCTTGACAATCTCCATGTGGCCAAACAGCGCTGCTTCGACAAGTGCGTAACTCCCCTCCAGCCGTGCCCCGTACTCTAGCATTAGATCGACCATCTCCATATTCCCTGTGCCAGCAGCGCATGCTAACGGCCGCAGCCCGTCGCTAATAACATTGCGATTCGGATCGGCGCCGTGCTCAAGACAGAATCCCACCCAGTCTATCTTACCGCTGAATGCAAATGTTCCAAGGATGTCTCCGTACCAGGGGACGTAGTAGTTGATGTCAACGGCCTTGCGCTCGATTAGCACGCGGTAGACGGCAAAGGACTCGTTGACAACGACCCCAGTCATCACCCCGTCAAAGACCGGCTGGCCATGTTCTAAACAGTACACTGCAATTTTGTCTGCGTTCCAGTCTGCGGCGGCGCGGAACAGGCCACGGAAAGGCAGAGAGTAATCTGGATCGGCTTCTCGTTGCTGCTGGATGAAAGCTTCCAGGGCTTCGAGGCTGTTCGCTTGAGCTATGGCTTTGATTTCCTCGCTGTAGTTAGGCATGGCGCGTGATTAATTGGAATAGACAATTAGACTTTGCGACTTTGAATCAAGGTAGGTGGCTTGTGTTAGGGGGCTTCAGAGAGTCGTCGATATCTGGCAATAACCGGTGGTGAGGAGAACTTTCCAACTTGGAAGGACGCAAGACATGACTCGGTGGTGAGGGGCAATGGCCGCGGCTTGCTTACACACAGGATTAGCGCGGGTCTAAAAAGACTTGGTGTTGGCTGGAATTAACCATTGATGTCCCAAGTCCCAAGCTAAGTAACGGTGGTCATACACTACGGATACGTACTGACAAGGGTCCGCGCTAAATGCAACGAGCAATGCCTCTTTTGGGGCGAAAGCCGTCGTCTAGTGTTGTATCGAATCACGGCCCTTGTCGCTAACAGCTGGAAATTCTAGCCGACGGGCGATAGCAGTAGGGGAAGCCCTCGTCTGTACTCTAGATTCAGGAACCACAACGTCGCGCCACGCGCCGGCTCAGTACTTACATCTGGAAAGTTGGTGGTTTTGAAACATGCGATTTCAACGCGGTTTTCTCGAAAATAAGCATGTACTATGTCTTAATTTTCTTCTAGATCATGTAGAATTCTTATATATTATAGCAGTGCTATCGAAATATAACAAGATAGAGCACGGAAATAGTGCCTAGGGAGTAGAAAAGAGCAGACTGGATTCCATCATAGCGCCGTACCTGATGTACAGTTTAAGTAATGAGGTGTCTGCTTCGTGGGTGCTTACGACTTTGCGGACAAGGGGAGGTACATACTCCCTTTGAACCGCAAAAGTTTGGATCTCTGCCGCAAGAGCAACTCACCGGTGCATTTCGGATTACAGGGAAAAGAGATTTGGTTCGTCATTAGTTGGCCCAGTTCAGGTCTTTGGGTAGGTAGTTTGATACAGGTATAGTAGGAGGGATGTACATACATGTACTTCTTACCTCGTTCTTACAATATCTGCTCGCATGCTCCGCCTCTTAGTAAATAATATGTTTTATTCACATGGTATTATAGATGGCTTGATTCTATGTCTGCTGCACTGCTCATGCCTGTTAACTGGAGGAGTCTGAATAGTAAACTCCAGTCGCCAGTACGATTGGTCTCCTTTAACTGGGCATCCCCATTTAGGATGCGATGCAACTGGCTTTTCGTTCCTGCAAAACTTAGCCCTGCTGCCTCGTCTCCGAAAGCAGCCTGGTCCAGGGCATTCCGATATGTCAGTGCACCATTGCTCACAATAACTCGCCACCAGCAATCCTCATCTGTCACCATGATATCGATGATACTCGACTCGCGTGCGGCTTGCAGCCCGTCGAGCCGAACGGATAATACTTCGAGCCACTGTTGGAATGAATCTGTGGACCGGAGCCTATTATCGATGGCCATTTGCGGAGGTGGCTTGCCATGATGACTCGAACCGAGGGCCATCGACCCCGAAAGGTAAAAGTTCCTCCACGTTGCATTCTCTGCACCGAAGCCCAGCTGCCGATAGACTCCAGCGAGAGCCTCTCTAGCTGCCTTGTGCTGTGGCTGAACTGTAACAGCATGACTTAACAATGTCGCTGCAAACCGTAGATCCCCACCCTCGACGTAGCTCCGCGCCTTTTGGACGACTGCATCCACCCCACCAATACAGTCCACATACCTTCGTGCGCTCTCAGCAGCCGGATGCTCCCACAGGTGCGCAGGGTCCCCGTCAAACCACCCCATATACCGCTGGTAAATCCCCTTGATATTATGTGAAAGTGAGCCATAGAAGCCCTGCGCATGCCACGCCTTTGCCAGGTTCGGCGGCAAGGTCAGCGCCTCGGCGATCTCGACGCCATTCATGCCGAGATTCATCATCCGCACCGTCTGGTCATGCAGATACGCGTACAAATCCCGCTGCTCGCTCAGTAACCTTGTAATCTCTGCAGTTCCCCATGTAGGCCAGTGGTGTCCCGCAAGGAGCGCATCCGACCTCCCACCAAAGAGAACCAGCGACTCATCCAGATAGCGCGCCCACGCCTTTGCGTCCCGGACCACCGCCCCGCGAAGCGTGATGATATTGTGCATCGTATGCGTTGCGCACTCGGCGATATAAAGCGCGCTCTCCCCGCGGTGTTCCGGGAAAAAGAAATTCATCTCAGAGGGCGCCTCGGCCCCCGGTACCATCTGGAACACCACCCGAATGCCGTCCACGACCCTCTCCTCGCCCGTTTGGCGAATATAGTCTGTCGGCGGGATCAGCCCGCTTGATCCCGTTGACACTGCCATTCCGATCCCGCAGCCGACATGGCCTTGCCCCTCTGCGTCTCTCGGGAGTCGGCTTCCGTACATGTATGCTGCGCGCCGGCGCATCGCGGGACCCAGGTAGATGTTTTCGCTCGCGGCTTCTTCCAGGAAGCCCTCTGGCGCGAGGATGGGGATCCTCTCTCTTTGCTCCCTGTCTGCGGGGAGGACGCCCTCTGCGCCGCCGTAGTGGTCGATATGCGAGTGTGAGTAGACGAGGCCAGTGACCGATCTGTGCTGTCCGCGATGCGTGCGGTACAGCGCGAGAGCAGCGGCAGCGCATTCACTCGAGACCAGGGGGTCAATGACGAGAACCCCCGTCTCGCCCTCGACGATGGTCATGTTGGACAGGTCGAAGCCGCGGACTTGGTAGATGCCTTTGGTTACCTTGAACAGGCCGTGTTTGGAGGTAAGCTGGCCGTGGCGCCAGAGTTTGGGGTTGACAGTTGGAGGGCAGGGAGAGTCCGTCTTGAAATTGCCATTCAGGAAGTTGTACTCCTCCGCGTTCCAGACGATACGGCCATTTTCGTTGCGAATGATGCAGGGTTGAAGGGTCCTGATGAAACCCCGAGCGGCGTTCTCGTGGTCGTCTCCGTCGGCGAAGGAGGGCTGTTGTTGTTGCTCCATTATATGATGAATATGATCATGAATTATTGTTCTTGCCACTTCATAGCATACATGATATATATACTCCTTGTTGTTGCTCTTGGGGCCTTTTACCAACACTGCATTCCTGACGAAGGCGCGTTAGTCTAGTAGTTAGGGCTAGTGCCGTTAACGCCGATCGGCCGTGTCGGAAATCGGCGTTAGCGATTCCAACCTTGTGCGCATCCAAGAATCAGACCAAAAGCTTAGCCCATTGCTTGGGATAATTCATGTATGAGGATATAGCTTCACGGGTAAAAGAGTCTAAATTTTGTAGTTGGAGGTTTTGTTCGACTATACAGCGACGCAGCCAGGACTCTTTAAGTTTTTTTTTTTTTTTTTTTGGAAAAAGGACAGCAAGTAATTTTTATTTCTTCTAAGCTTTAGATTCTTTTTCATGTGCCTATTACCCGCAATCACAATGGCTCATACATCGTAGATGCCCAATCCCCATGGGACAGCTTTCCGCCCTACCATATCAATATCTCAAACCAGGCCCGACCACTACTCGCCGACTCAAGCACATACATGCGTAGATAGCCTAAAGCGTGTACCGAAACCCTTCAAGCCCCTCAATAACCATCTCCCCCCTCTCCGCCCTGCGATTCCTCAAGTGCATCCGCAACGAAAGCAGCCCAACAAAGACCAGAATCAACCCGGTCAGCCCGATGCACGTGCAGATTCCCGGTCTGTAATTGGGCGCGTCCTGCTCGCGGAAGACCAGCGACCCTGTCATGCCCCCCGAGGCGCCGAGGCCGACGAAGATGGCGCTGCAGATTGCGCGCTTCCACTGTCCGCGGACGTTGTTCGCCTAAACTGGCATCAGTTTGCTGGGTTGGGCCCGCGTGGGATGGGATGGGATGAGCGATAATATACGACTTACCTGGTACGCCATCGCAGCGGGGATATTCGAGTTTGCGCCTATGGTGGTGAAAAAGCACCCTACTAGCCTGGCACCATTTCCCTTTGCAAAACCCTTGATGCAAGGAAAGGCAATTAGCATACTTCAACCCGAGGAAACTGCAGAGAATTCGCAGTGGGAGGTTAGGAAACTTGAAATCGACGAACCATCAGCGGCAATCCAATCAGCGTCAAAACGGTATTGAACACGATAATGGCCCCTCGGACACGGTACCGATCACCAACCCACGAGCCCGCAAACATGACAATCCCCGCCGCGACATACGGCGGCGCAAACAGACATAGCGATGCGCCCGTCGAGAACCCCATCCCCTCGCGGAAGATCAGCGACAGGAAGTACGCGAGCGCGTAGGCGGTCGTCGTCGTGCAGTAGTATATCAACCCGAAGCCCCAGACGTGCAGGTCCAGGCCTGCGGCGAGGTACTTGCGGAGGTTGAAAGGCTCGGCGGTGACGTCTGCGCGGTCGCGGTGAATGCGCTCGGTGATGAAGGTGTATTCGGCTTCGGTGAGAAAGGAGGAGCGGCGGTGGCGGCTGGTTTTCATTTTGTCTGGAAAGTCGATGAGGATGAAGTAGCTTATAAAGGCCAGAACGCAGGTCAAAAGGCCCTGGATTACAAAGATCCAGCGCCAGGCTGTGAGGCCGCCCAGGCCGTGCTTTTGATAGATGAGCTATTAGCCTAAAAGTGCATAGAATTGAAGGTCAGACCAACCATAAATGTAATCCCGTAGGACAGGATGCCCGTCGTCGCAGAAGCAACGCAGCCAAGCAAATAGAAAATGGCGAAACGTTTTTGCATTTCAAAGCGCGTGTACCAGGTTGCGATCAGATACACCGAGGCTGGGAAAAAGCCAGCCTCGAGGGCGCCAATAATAACCCGGATTCCCAGCATCTCCGACCATTTCTTGACAAATCCTGCAGATAGCTTCGTTTTCTCCATCAAAAACTGGTTCTGTTTTTCACTCCCGACAGGGAAACGGGAAAGAGTCCAGCAAGCATACCATGACCGCTCCCCAGGTGAAGCACACTCCAGAGAGATAGTATATAGGGCCTATCCTCCGCACAAGAAGAGGTCCGAAAATCTGCAGGCAAATATATGGCGGGAAAAAGGCCACTGCGATGGTACTCTACGAAAATTAGCAAACATAAAGCTTTGAACTTGTAATTCAATAGCAGCATACGTATTGCGTTCCCACGAGATGCAGCTCTTGCTTCATTCCAGCTACTGCGGCGGTCCCAATGTTGCCTCTATCAATCAGAGCGACGGTATGCAGCAGCCCCAGAATAACAATCAATCGCCGGTCAACACGCCAGATGATCTTCCGCTGTTCTTTTGGAGTGAGGACCATGTCGTCAAGGCTCTCTGTGTCGCCCTTCTGGAGGTCAATGTCATTAACCGGTGTGGCTGTTGGTGTGCCCATTGTTGAAATCTTAATGGAGTAGGAGATGTTCGCGTTGAAGAATGTAGGACGGAACTTCAATAGTGGAATATCACTTCATATATACACTTTCTAGCAAGGCTGTGGTGGCTTTACTATAGCTCTCGTTGGCTCTGAGCTATGAAGCTGCCAAGCTGAGCAGCGTTTGTTTTGCTGATTTAACAAGTCATCCCCGCATTTCGGCGTTAAGGGTTAGGAGTCTGCTGGGACAATCGCCTATCGCCGATGAAGCGCAAGCCTAACGACCAGAGAAGAGAAACAAGGACAAAACCACTACATCTTGGCGGCATCCTCCCTTCGAACCTGCGCGTTCAACAAGCTCAAGAGTACATCAGGCGCATCAAGCCTATCCATAAAAACTTCCACCATCCGTAGCCCTTTGCCGTCCGCGAGCTCTTCATCCTGCAAGACCGAATTGAAATCCGCCCAGGTTCGTATCTGCCACGTTCCATTCGCGTTGCGCTGTCCCCGGCTTTCCTCCTGGTTTGCCCCAAAAAACTCTGGAGCTTTCAAGTATCGCCACGGGGCAATATCATTATATGCTTGCTTTCGGCCATGGATGCACCGCTCAATAGTGTACCCGTCATTGTTGATCAAGAAAACAATCACATTAAGCCCTTGATGGATGATCGTACTTAGCTCTTGGACAGTCATCTGAAAGCTGCCATCACCAATAAATAAAATGGTTCGCGGGTTAGAGTGGCCGGAGGACTGATCACATGCTACTAAATCCCTCTGCGCGTGGCTCGCTCCTAGTGCTGCTGGAAGCATGTAGCCAATTGACAGCCAAGTGACCGGTTTGAATACATGGGTCTGGGGCGGGAGCATAAAGTCGTTGGATCCATAGGCCGGTGTTCCCGTCTCCGCAAGTATAATGTCCATGGGGCGAAAAAATGGGGATAGCCGCTTCCAGAATCCCGCGGTCTGCGTCACAGGGTCGGTAGGAGTCACGTTGGGAAGTGATCTAACACCTATTGCAGGGTGCAGGAGGTCATGGTGGTGGGCCGGAACCTTGTGCACATCGGTTCTTTGTATCAGCTGCTGGATGAGATTCTTGACTGGCAGGTCCCGAAAGACATCCTTCTGGATTTGTACGGAGCTGGAACCCAGTACGATAGATGTCTCGTCCCGCGGCTGGAGCAAGAAGTTGAAGGTATTCGTGTTGCTAAAATGTGGGCCGAAAACCAAAACCAGATCACAAGAATCAAGAAATGGCTTATGGATGGGCGTACAGACTCCATAGACATTAGGCAATGTCTCGTCAACCAATCCCTTGCCAAACCCAGAAGTAAATGTTGGCCAACCGGTTAATCGGACAAATTGATCAACCTCATCAGTGATGTTTAACGCTCGCGCCTCTCCGTCAACCAGAAGCATTGGCTTCCTGCTACCGTACATCCTTTCAAGGATAGTACAAAGGACCGCTTCTTCCTGCGGATGCCTTATGGATGGCGGGATCTGTTTCTGGATTTCCAAAGCCAACTTGACTGCTGGAACAGGGACGGCCACCATGTCAACCGGAATCGCAATGCGAACAGGTCGGCTATGGAGCACGCACTGCAGCAACGCCCAGTCCATCTCGGAGGTTGCCGTACGATGATCATTTAGGCTGACTTGCGCCACGGTGACATGTTCTTGCATGGAGTCGAACCGCTGGTAGTCACCGTCATTGAATGTATGGTGAATCCTTGCGTGCGACTCCTGAGAGGCTCGTGTTGGCGTTCCGACAATATGCACGACTGGGGCTCTCTCTGCATAAGCGCCTGCGATTGCATTGATTGCAGACAGCTCGCCGACACCGAAAGTAGTCACTACCGCACCCACACCTACACGGTCACTAGTCAATAACAAGAAAAGACAGCATATGATCAGGCCCTGAATTACCTTTGAGCCGGGAATATCCATCCGCCGCGTATCCTGCATTCAGCTCGTTGCAGTTTCCGATCCAATTGAGTCCCGAAGGTACCACATGGTCCAGAAGTGTCAAGTTGTAGTCGCCGGGCACTCCAAAGACAGAATGCACGCCCAACTGTCGCAGACGCTTGAACAGATATTGCGCTAGAGGTAGACTGTTCCCTTCCATTGTTTCGTTTCTTTGGCTCGGTTCTATTGTCACATGGTTTTGGTGGTGCTCTTCTTGCTTATATATACCAGAACAGGGTTGACATGGTGAACAACAGTGACAGTGTATATTCCAGTGGCATACCTCTCGCTCTCGCCTCGATCAATGTAGATTGAGTGTTCATGGCTCGTCCATGGGATTGCGCATTTCGGCGATAAGAATGGGTTACTTCACGGATGTGTCGGAGCCTCCGATGTGAATTTTGTTGGAGGCTCCGCCTGCTGCTTAACGCCGAAAGCCGATGACGAGTTGCAGGTCCTTGTTGGAGTCGATGTATTCGAAGGGTCAACATCCTCAAACACAGGTGAGTGCATGTGGAGTCTCAGCACATAAATAAGAGAAGCCGTAATGATGGACAAGGTGAGTTCCAAGTAGCAAGTACTGTTCCACCATGACCATCCCACCAACCACCATGCAGCAGCCGACTCAGCGCCAGCACAGTTCTGGCTCGCTCGATGCCTTTGACCCGGTTATGGTGACGCCTGTTATTGGCAATGAGTTTACCAAGGGCTCCTGCAATATCGTGGACGATATCCTAAAGCATCCCAATGCGGACCAGCGGATTCGCGACCTGGCGATCATGGGTCAGTAGCCATCGACATATTCTTCTGCCAGAGCACTCCGACCTCATCCATGCTGACACCTCTGATCCTTGCAGTCGCCGAGCGGGGGGTTGTCTTCTTTCGCGCACAAGACAACCTCACCAACAACCTGCAAAAAGAGCTCATCGTGCGCATGGGCGAGTTAACTGGCCGACCACGCACCCACGGCCTGCACATCCACCCGGTCACCAACGATGCCCGCGAATTCGGGGACCCAGACCCACAAATTAGCACCATCAACTCGGAGGGCCGCAAGACCCTTTACAAAGGCTCTGATTATACCCGGATGGCAGCCGTGTGGCACAGCGATATCTCGTTTGAAAAGGCCCCAGCGGACTTTTCTAGTCTGCGCCTAGTCCAGCTGCCCAAGACTGGCGGTGACACGCTGTGGGCGTCCGGGTATGAGATTTACGATCGAATCAGTAAGCCGTACCGAGCGTTCCTGGAAACTTTGACGGCCACGCACGCGGGAGTCGGCTTCCAGAGGTTGGCGCAGACAGGGAAGTTTCAGTTGTATGAGAAGGAGCGGGGGGCTCCTGTCAATGTTGGAGGGGATCTCTCGGCTGTTCACCCAGTCGTGAGGACGAATCCGATTACAGGATGGAAATCGATTTTCCCGATTGGTATGACGTGACATTTTCCCTCAATGAAGGCTCGTTCTGTTCTGACTGGCAACTACGTAGGCTCTTTTCCCACACAGGTTGATGGGCTGACTCGCAAGGAGAGCGCCAACCTGCTGCAGTGGTTCCATGATATGATTACCCACGGACATGACCTTCAGGTCCGATTCAAATGGAATAGTCCTAATGACATTGGTAAGTGTCTCTGCACCATTCCGGGTTTCTGCAGATACAGAGAGCTGACTGGCGGTTACAGCAATCTGGGACAATCGCAGCGTATTCCATACCGCGACCGGCGACCACGAAGGGTTCGGTCCTCGAAGTGGGAATCGTGCAGTGGGCGTGGGGGAGATTCCGTATTTTGACCCAGGAAGCAAATCGCGTAGGCAGGACTTGGGCATTGAGGATACTCTTGCTCCCTGTCATTGGTAGTTGTTGACTTTAACTTGCGTATCCCAAGTCGTGTATACCAGCCATGAAATCGAATTCTCTATTGCTGATAAGCCTGGCCATTCCAATCCAAACCAAATAAATCCAGCGTAGGGAGACTGAGGGTCTCGGCAGTCCAAAGATCCTCGGTGAAAAAGTCTCCGAATAGGGGATTTTCCTGCCCTTGTGTCTCCAGGATGCCCATGTTTTGTAGGTCGAGTGAACCCCCGATATTTGTGAACTGCCCTTCCACCCATGATACTGGCTGGCTCGACACATGTTGGCTCGTAGTCGACGTCTCATGAATAAAATCCATGGTTCGATTGATCATATTCTCCAATTCGTCGCGGGAGTTTCTGAAGCTGGGAATCCGCTCAGCCGTAACAAATATAGCGGACGAGCACGCACGGAGATCATTTGCCACGCTCGTCGTCCATGAACGTGGAGATCGAAACAGACAGAAACTATGTAGCCGCTGTCAGTACTTCAATGAACAAATCTTCGCTCACGAGAAAAACGATGCTTGCTTGCTTACTTACCACATCGTCAGCCCCGCGAGGTATACCGAATTAGCCAGGAGAAAAGAGAACCCCGATATGCCCCTTTGTTGAGAACGCTTGAAAATTTGGCACATTTGTCCCGATGCGTGTAGGCAGGTTCGAATATGTTCATCATCTGGGTCAAGGATACCCAGGAATGGCTGCAGGAGTACGCGAACGCAGTTATTCCAATGCATGAGCATAAAGTCATAATCGCGCGGCTCAAGAGAAGGTAAATTGGTTTTGTACTCCTCCAGCAAGGCCAACAGCGAGGGCAACTGCGGGGCCAAAGCAGATATGTTCCTGTCTACCCCGTAGAGCTTGGTATGAATGCGGGACATGACTCGTTGGAGCTGTACTGTCGCAATGAACCGTCTGTTCACGGGTAAATTCGTATTTGCCGATAACCCGAAACGGCCTGGCTGCACAGCAATGCTCGAGTCGTCAGCGTCAGCCAAGATCTGAGTATCAATATCGTCCTCTGCGATGCTAAATGGCCGCCCAAGACACCATGATACATGCCTCTCGATCACGTATACGCTCCAGAATAATTTTCGATGCAGCTGCGCCTCCTGCGGACACAGTTCCTTGTAGTGCAATTCGCGATGCATACCTAGGTCAATGCATATTCGCATTGCCATGCCAATTGCGAACCAAACGCTCGAGCTTGACTTTGATCGCAGCTGGTATATAACCATCAACATACGCCCCTCCACACCCGCAATGGACAGTGCCTCTCGCGCCGCCGTGCCATCAAATTGCAACGCAGTAGCAAAATACGTGTTTGGTGTCATTGATTCGTGCTGATCACTCAGCTGCAACATAGCCGCGCCAATAGCGTACACCATGAAGAGCTTAAACATTCCATACTCAGGCTGCTGGCCACCGCTAGCGATAGCGCCAGCACCACGCGCATCATGCCGCCTCAAATGCAGCTGGAGAATCTCCGCGCGGTCAAGAAACGGTAGTCGCTTATGCAGGTTGTTGAAATATGCGTCGAGGAGCTGCTTGCCGACAGCATCATCGGGTGGCGCAGCCTTGCCCTGCTCGGTCGTGGGAGCAGGAGAAATTGGTCCCTCCTGTTCTTCCGTGCCATGCACCAGAATCGAGCGATCGGCCCAAGTGACATCCTCCCCGACAATGCGACTCAGATGCTCTGTAATCGTCACACCGGATGAAGGGCCAAAGTAGGGCGTAGCCGCAGGTTTCGGCCTGGCCCTCTTCCTGCCTCTGGACTCCTCCGAAGCGGCCTGTTCTTCTGCCAAAACAGCAGACTGTGTAGGGGTACCCTCAGTTGACCGGATCTCCTCCTCCCCCACTTCTGCTCCGTCGGGAGAAGGTAGACCGTCATGAATGGTGGCAGAGAGATGGGCTTCCAGCACTTCGATCCGGTGAGCCAACGCACCCTTGGACATTCCATGATGCCATGATAGAGATGTCTCTGAGCGCAGACACGGTTCGTTTGCCGCGTTGCAGTTGGCGCAAGTGGGGAATCCAATGCAGCGTTGTTTTCGTCGATGGCACCGCCGACAAGATTTTGGCACTCTTTTGCGAATTCTTGTCGGTTGCTCCATCTTACTGGCTATGTGGTATTCGTGTCTCGTATACTTTCATTGGAAAGAAAACGTGCTGAATGAGGAATATTCAAGATTCGCCATGCATGTTTAGAAATGGCAGTGGTGTCACGGGCTGGAAGAATTGCGCCATTATGATAGTTAGCGTATCTCGGCACTTGTACTTGGACCTAGGCAGGCTTCCTCAAAGTGCGGGGAAACCTTGTCAAATCTTATTAATCGCCTATAACTAACTAACTACCCCTTACTCTGCTTTACATATTTGATGCAATGTAATTCCTTAGTCGTGCGTGGTCACCTGCTGCCTGATTTTACTACTAACTACGGAGTATGATTTTTAATATGAAGCAATTCAACCACATATTATTATTATTATCTCGCGATCTCTTAGTAGATTAATATAGTTATTGTAAGGAGTCTATATATATAGTTTTCATTTACTCTAAAAGTAGTATAGTAGCCAGATCTAGTAGCCTTAATAATTAACTATTTGAGGGGCTGTGAGACCACGGGGACTCGGGTGTGTATGTGTCAGATAAGTCCAACTGATCCTGCTTAAAACCAATGTGGCTTAATGGAGCTCAAGTCAAACTTCCTACGGTGTATATCGTAGGGTCAACGGAAGACGGGACTATAAGGACAGAGGGGCGAGGAGCTACTCGAACCACCAACATTACAGTATTCCAAGCACATATCCCCTTGTGCAGAGAGATAGGTACATGGACCTCTAGCTCCTTCAGGCTAACCCAGCCTATTTCGCCGAAAAGTCAAACACCTGCTTCTCGATCCTCTGATCGAAATCCAATTTCCAGCGGATGGACTGGAAGTGGTTGTCGGCCACGTCCGTGAACTCAATGAGGAACGCCTGCCGCGAGTATAGATAAGGCGAGTAGCCTTGTCGAATAGCCTCGTCGCGACTGGCAGGCAGGAACGTCCAGGTATCGCGGTGGTAGTGGTAAAGCTCGAAAGTCTGCTCTTCATTGTCGTTGATGCAAAGACGTAATTTGGATGAGCCTTCCGCGACGACCTCGAGTGACATGGCGAGACCCGTGTTGGTGTACGTGCCGGCATAACTCTGTGCTTCGCTAGGGACCGTCCCCTGGATGCGATGGGCGGTCCACTCGTGCACGAGGGTGTGCCAGCGTGCTTTTGCGTTTGTGACAATCTCCGGTGCGACGCTCAGGAAGTCGACCTGCGGCTGCAAGTTAAAGAGCGTTTGGATTAGTAACTGGGCGACGATGTTGGTAGGGTCGCCGTTGAGCTGGAAGGAGTTGCAAAGAACCACGACCGCGCTGTCCTCCTCGGAGAGTGTCCAGTAAGCCGAGAGGAAACCGCCTAGCTCGCCCGTGTGGCCGACGACGGTCAAGGGGGGAGAGGCTGCGCCGATGCGGTACGGCGTGGTGATCACGTCGGTGTTGGTAACGAGGTTCATTTCGGTTGTTGGGAGCTGGAATGTGAAGAGGCTCAGGGCGTATGCCTGGTTGGGGTCTGTAGCGAGTGGGAAATGCGGTGTCTGGCGGCCCTTAGGGCGTGGACGAGTGACTGCGGGAGGGTAGATTGCTTAGGTACTTTCTCACCAAGCGGATGCGGTGGACGGGGTTGTCGAGACTTGAGGCACGCAGATAGCCAGGAGAAAGGGTAAGAATATGGGGGAGAAACCTCCTTGTGGTCATCGAAAGAGGTTCTCCGGGCATTCATCAAGGCTTTGGCCCAGGTGAGCATATCGCTGACGGAGGATCGCAGAGACCCAGAGGCATCAAACGCCCAGCCGTCCGAGAGACCAGGAAGCTGGACAGGGTCCGATGACCCGTCGGAGAAGGCGAGATACGGACGGGCGTAGTTGTCGTCGGTTTTAGGATTCTTGGTTGCAGTGCGGGTCATGCCTAGAGGATCAAAGACCTCGTGCTGCACGAGTTGCCCGAATGTCCTCTGCGACACCTACAGGATAAGTACGCCAGCGAGGGCAAACATCCAATTGTTGTACTTCCACTCGGAGCAGAAATCTGACTCGTGCGGGTGATTGTTGCAAATCTGGATGACGTCTTCTCTGCGGGCAAAGACGGAGCCATTCTTGCCAATTACCTCGTACGGCAGTGGGGAGAGCCCTGAGCAATGGGAGAGCAAGTCCTTGACCGTCATCTGCTGGCTTACGGCGGGGCTGTTCTTCGTATGGAACGATGGTAAATAGTGCGTGACTTTCTCGTCCAAGTTGATCTTGCCCTGGTAGGCCAAGAGACCGATCGCGGTGCCCGTAAAGCCCTTTGTGCATGAGGCTAGCGTGTAGATGGTGTCCTTGTCCGGCACTCGGCTGTTCTCCTGGTTGGCATATCCAAATCCCTTGGTGTAGACAGTTTCGCCGTGATAAACTACTCCGATGGAAAACGAGTGCACCTGGAAGACTTTTCGGATGGCCTCAATGGTGGGTGCAATTGCCTCCAGTCCAGGGGCCGATTAGTCAACCGAGTTCCTTCCGGCGCCGGGGAGGACTTACCGTGACGTCGCAACAGTGCGGTCCTGCTCAGAAGGGCCATCGGAATAAGGGACAAATCTGTTCTCCATAGTGAGGCTGGAGAGGACCAGAAAGGGATCGAAAAGAAGCCAATGGTGGTGGACGGTAAGGCGGAGAAATTGAAGACTGAGGTGTGGCCTGGGACATTATAGCCATTTTATTTGATGGCGGTGCGCCATTGCTCACTTTCCTTTGTCACACGCTGGTAGTTTTCAGACAGGGGCGGCCGGTATGGAAGAAATCAGCTGAATCACTTTCGGGGAATCCGTGAAGATGGTTGTTGTATTCGTAGATACGTAGTCAGAAGGAGCAACATGAGCGAAGCAATCCACCAAGGAAGCGGGACCAGGCTTGCGATCGGTACATAGCCTCAGGCACTACGGGGATTTGGCGGCTACTAGGTAGTACATAGCTACAGCTCGCGTCTCACCACCAGAATCGTCATTGCACGTTGTACTGCTCATTTGAAAGTTGATTTTGTTCTTCTCATTCGTTACGTCAACAAAACACCTTGCACAAGCACCCCAAATTCACCATAATTCTCCCCCTGGCGGCCTCTTCAAGACTTCTCTATATTCCAGACCCCACTCTCAATACCCTAGTGCGAAAGTGGGCCAAGCCTTCCCGAGGTCTCCATTGTGAGACGGGCCGATGGCTGTGGGGATGGCTGTAGATGAACCTTCTGCTTCTCAGGAAAGGCATACTCTGGAGTATTAACGTCCTAATAGGTATCTCTGGGGAAGCTCTCTTGCTGGAAGAAGACCATTGAAATGGAACCAATAACTTGGTTATTAAATCGCTCTGAGCCACACTGCGTGGCCCAATCACGAGCCAGATTTAGTCGCCAATGTTTAGATTTCTTTCAACCAGGTCTCAACATGAAACCTGCCAAGCGCCTGCGAACTCCTGAGGCAATTTGTGGAAACTTGTCTATTTATCCTCTCCATATCTCCTTGTCTCCAAGTTCTCCCCTCGCCGACCTCTTGTCCGAGCCTAAGCCGCCCATTCTCGACCCTCTTTGCTAGTGTCAATGGTCACTATGGGGCTTGGAAAGATAGGTTTGGCGATCCTGCTTGCTAGCCGCGCATCCTCCACCTGTTACTACCGTGACGGCAGAATTGCCGAAGAGGATGAGCCATGCCCAAACTCCAATAGCTGCTGCCCATCTGGTGCTACGTGCCTGGACAATCTTCTGTGTCGCGACGAAAATAATTTCTTGAATGGGTCCACTGTGACCTTTCCTGGAGGTGGTACATACAACTATACAGATCTATACCATACAAGCTCCTGTCAGAGTCGATCCTACGATGGATGCTCAATCAAATGCACCACAAGTATGCATCCCACTGAGTTTCTCTTGTTCTCTCAAAACAAATCCTGGAATCGCTATCTGACTTTGATCACTCAGATGATTCCGACTCCGGCAAGTACATCTGGGCGTGTGATGGCACATTGACAAGCTACTGCTGCCACTCCGACTCCGAAAGCCTCGCTCAATACGATTGCTGCCAAAACGGCAGGTTCAGTCTTGCTGCGCCCAGCCAAATCACATCAACCACAAGCACAATATCAACGAGCAGTTCCTCAACCCTCTCCGGCTCAACGTCCCCCGTCTCAACTACCGCCGAGCAGTCTGCGCCAACAGCGGCAGACACCACCGAGCCACATCCATCCAGTTCGCTCTCGACAGGTGCCAAGGCAGGAATTGGCGTGGGCATATCAGTGTTGGGGGTAATAGCCATCAGCTTGTCCGGTGTTCTGGTCTGCTCTCGGAGGAAGAGAGAGAAGGCCAAGGTGTGCGAGAAGGGGCTCGCTGAAATGCCTTCCGGTCTTTACAATATACCGGAAATGGAGAATACTGCTCGTCCGGCGGAACTGGGGTCCGGGACGGATGCTCGCAGAGTATATGAACTTGGTTGAGACTGGCAAATCGCGTGTATGCTTGCTATCTGCTCTCAATCTTAGAGGTTGTTAGAAGTGGAATTGTTGGGGCCAGGGAGTTAGAATAGCTCCGGTACTACAAGGCCACCCAGAGGCCATAGCTACCGGAGCGTGGCGTCAAGGAGTCCTTATTGCATGTCTTATGTTGATATAGTCGTGTTCTAGGTTAATGTTAAGTATAGTGAATTGAAGAGAGATGGGATCTTCATTTTCAAGCGTCAACTAGGTAAGCGTGTGTATACATCACGTGCATTTCGGGGCGGAATAACCACATCCGGTAGGGCCACCTCATCGAAAGCTAGCAGCGACGAATCCCATTCGTGGGTTCGCATCTATTATCTCCAATCTGCCTTTCGACCACCTCACCCTCTACAATTTCCCTGCTCCCTTGAGATCTTCGCTGATCTTGAGGTCTACGAGTCAACGAGTCAACGCTCAACGCCATACTTTCTCGACTGACATATCAACCCTTTCAATCACCGATCCAATTAATTGAGGCCTCTGTTCCTCCAAACGCGACTCCAGTCCGCTCTGGGCTTGCGCGACTGCCACTTATTTGACAAGCGAATTACTTTGCGAACAAACCAACAGCAGATGCGGCTTTACAACTAGATTCACACAATGCGCGTCTTACAAGGCCTCCTCTTATCCTTCGCGCTTGCGCTGTTGCTTGTGCAATTAGCCCTCGCCGCGGAGGACTTCTACAAGATTCTAGGGTTGGACAAGAGTGCTTCGGAGAAGGATATCAAACGGGCATATCGAACCATGAGCAAGAAATACCACCCCGATAAGAATCCGTAAGTGAACTCACCCTACTGCGTGGCTTTTCTTCGAAACGTCCTCAGCTTACATTCCGTGCTGTGCTATGCAGAGGCGATGACTCGGCCCGCGAGAAGTTCGTCGAAATAGCCGAAGCATACGAAGTCCTATCTACAGCAACCACACGAAAGATTTACGACCAATATGGCCGGGAGGGAGTCGAGCAACATCGTCAAGGCGGAATGGCCGGTGGCCAGGCACACGATCCGTTTGATCTCTTCTCGCGGTTCTTCGGCGGCGGCGGACACTTTGGACATGCGCCTGGGCATCGTCGCGGGCCGGATATGGAGTTCCGGATTGGGCTACCGCTTCGCGATTTCTACAACGGGCGGGAATTTGAGCTGAACCTGGAGAGGCAGCAGATTTGCGATACGTGCGAGGGGACGGGATCAGCGGATCGCCATGTCACCAAGTGCGATAAGTGCTCAGGTCGTGGCGCGGTTATCCAGAAGCATCAGCTGGCGCCGGGAATGTTCCAGCAGGTTCAGATGCAGTGTGATAAGTGTCGCGGGCAGGGGAAGATGATCACGAAGCCGTGTCCCGTGTGTCATGGGCAGCGGGTTGTTCGGAAGGAGGTCGAGACGCTTGTTACGGTGGAGCCTGGTATGGATCGCGGGACGCGGCTAGTGTATGAGAACGAGGGAGACGAGAGTCCCGACTGGATTGCGGGCGACCTGGTACTTATCCTGGAAGAAAGGGAACCGGAGCTCGGCACGAACGAGGAACATCGCACGGACGGCACATTCTTCCGCCGGAGAGGGCGAGATCTGTTCTGGAAGGAAGCCCTATCACTGCGGGAGGCGTGGATGGGCGACTGGACGCGCAACATCACTCACCTAGACGGCCACGTTGTTCAACTAGGGCGCAAGCGTGGCGAGGTCGTGCAACCGTTGTCTGTGGAAACGATCAAGGGCGAAGGTATGCCTTACTACTCAGAAGGACATCTCCACGACCACGACGACCAGGAACCGGGAAGCTTGTACGTCGAGTACACCGTCATTCTGCCTGACCAGATGGAAAGCGGGATGGAGAAGGACTTTCATGCCCTGTGGGAGAAATGGCGCAAGAAGAACGGTGTCGACTTGGCGAAAGACAGCGAGCGGCCCGCGCCTCCAGTAAAAGATGAGTTATGATGTACAGTATTTAGATAGAGCTTAACAACAATTTGCACCAAGCCTTCTTAGTATTTTCCAAATCTTTACTTCCTCTTGGAATAGTGATGATGTTTGTCGCGTTTGCACCGGCAAAACTCCACACCGCCCAGTTATCAGCAGAAAAAATATCCCGACTTATCACCACCAAGCAACCCCAAGAACCTCACAACCAAAGAAGCCATACGAACCAGGTCTAACCGTCAAAATGGTCCGCAAACTCAAATACCACGAGCAGAAGTGCGTGTTCCTCAACTCCCCCACAAATCTCCAGCCACACCGCGACTAACCATCCTCATCGCATAGACTCCTGCGAAAAGTAAACCTAACAACCTACAAATCCGACCACGCACACCGCGAACACTCCGTGATAAACCGCTACTACTTGCAAAACCCTCTCGACTACAAAAAGTACTCGTCGATCGTTGGATCCCTGCGGCAGCTCGCGCACAAGCTCAGCGCCCTCGACCCGGACTCGGATCCCGTGCGCCAGAAGCTCGAGTCCGAGGTTCTGGATAAATTGTGGCGCATGGGGATCCTCAAGCAGTCGCGTGAACAGGGGGCCGGATTGTCGAAGATTGAGCGCGAGGTTACAGTTAGTGCGTTTTGCCGACGGAGGCTGGCGGTTTTTATGGCGAGGAGTGGGATGTGTGAGAATATCAAGACGGTATGCTTCTTTTCACTTGTTCGATGATTTTTTTTTCTCCGTGCTATTTGGTCCTCAATCTGGGAGCTGTGGCTAATTATAGCGGGAACAGGCAATTACATTCATCGAACAGGGCCACGTCCGCGTGGGCTCCGAGGTCGTCACGGACCCGGCATACCTTGTCACGAGAAACATGGAGGACTTCGTGACGTGGGTGGACTCGAGCAAGATTAAGAGGACGATCATGAAGTACCGCGATAACCTGGATGATTTTGATCTTATGTGATAACCTCGGTCCTTTCGTCGATATGTATTGAAGGAACCGAGGTGATTGATACCCATTTCTATTTTCGATATCTCTCTTTATATTTGTGGTACAGGGCTGCTGGGTCGCTTTTGGCGTTTTTTTCTCTCTAAAAATTCTAGCATAGACAGGTGTCAAAATGAATGTAGCAATTGATTGATGAACTCTATGTTTATCTGGGTATCACATGCAAATCCACGCTGTAGTGTATCAGAAAGCAGTGGGCACAAAGCACGCTAATGAAACAAACAATTGACTCGGCGAGTTGGTGAGTGAATGTCGAGGAGACCATAACAAGTGCGTCGAACGAAACTTGGTAGCAAACGGTATCATAAGAACTCATAACCAGCTCGTCGTCTTACTTCTGCGCCCTCCAATCGCATGCACAACAAGCTTCGGCTTCAGCTTGAGCCCGCGTTGGTTCTGCGTTTGGACAGGCTCGTCGTCAGGGAGATCCATCCGAAACCTGCGGACGCTCCCTTCGTAGTTAGCTTTGCCATTCTTCCCTTCCTCGAAGAAGGGGACACGGCTGTTGTTGCCGAACTGGCACCACCGGGGTGCGATGCGGCGCCAGAGCCCGCGGATGCCGCTGGTGGCGCGGTCGATCTCTTCGTATTCACGGCGGCGTGTGGAGGGGGATGTCCATTCGATGATGGTGGGCTCGGGCTGTGTTGAGGTGGTGATTTCGATATGTTCGGCGGGGACGTTGCTGTTGTTGGGACTGCTGGATAGGGAGGGGTAGAAGGTTGAGTATGGTCGTTCGAGGATTGGTGTTACTGGAGGGGTACTGATATCAGAGTAGGTTCGTGGCGGGCGTGGAGGTGTCCCTGGGGGTGAATGAGATCGTCGGTGGTTGGTTGTATTGCCGCTGTCTTGGAATAGTCGACATGATTCTCGGTGTAGGGCTAAGAGGTTCTCTCGGCGGACAGGTGTGTCTGGCACAGATGTGAGGGATGCGGTGGTACCAGTGCGACGATGGGAGTGAAGCGAGCTTTGACGGCTGTTGCCTGGAGAGCGTCGGGCGCTCCGAGAGGTAGGACGAGTCTCGCCAGGAGACTTTGTCGAAGGAGGGGACGCAGTGCGTTTGCGTTTGGGCGTCCGCAGCTTGTCGGATGAAGCTGTAAAAGTTTCGACCATGCCGCCTTTTGCAAAGCTTGTAGCGGTACTTGTGCCGTCGGATGTCGCAGACAGTATGTATACGCCTCCGGCGAGGTCAAAGGAGTGGCAAGAATGAGAGTTGTCGACAGCAGCTTCAGATGGAAGATCAAGAGATGGCACAGCCAGGGATGATGACGGAGCATGCTCCATGGTGGAACAGAGTGGAGATGCTGCAAGGGTCGATGCAGCTAGGTGTAGCGGGTGGCTACTACTATTATGGTTATTTCCCGCATGGGAACCATATTCGTAGCCACCGGACGAAAGTTGGCGATGACATGTGACGGAGACTGCCATACTTTCGAGACGCGTCATGAGATACCGAATTCCAACGAAAGGCACGGGAATGGCCTCACATGCCCCAACCAGATTGCGCCAGTCACAAATGGAGGGTCGATCAGCGAGGGTCCGTGAAGTAGGAATGAAAAGTATTGTGAATGGCCAAAATGATGTCCTCAAGAGCGCCACCAGGACGAGAGAAGACAATAGAATCAGGTCTATGAGAGGGGTAGTCTGCGCCAACATCCAAAGTCAGTCGCTGTTCGAGAAAGCGGGAGGAAGACCGACATACCGGTTATACATCCTTTGTAAATATGGAGCAAAGATGTGCCTTCCGGATATTTGTCCGTTGGAGAGGAAAGGCCTGAAAGGACGAAATAATACCAAAGCGCCGAATCAATCAATGAGGGGAAGGCGTGCGCCGTGAGGTCAGGCGGCAGAGAACAATCATCGAATGGACGGCATTAATTGAGATTTATAGCTGCAGCCCACCGATTTCGCTCCCCTCACCGTCAGTGCAGGTCCAGCCTGCCGCCGAGAGGGTCTGGAGGGTTGCAAGCGGCAAAGGAAACGAAGCGTGTTTGGCGCTGGAGAGGGCGATACCCACGCTGCAGAACTAGTGGCTCTCAGACAGGGCCATCCAGGGCCCATGCAGCCATGTTCTTGCCCTGAGCGGCTAGTCGCGCGCAATAGTTAGTTCCAGTCGATCGCATCGTCAGCACTTTAGTTGGCCGCAAAGGCCGCAATTTGTCATGTCAAAAAGTCTCGGAGTTGGAGAGCCTTGGAGGTGAAACTTTCTTTCCTTCTCCCCTCCAAGTGCCCCGCACCAGATGATCCCTCTCTCGAGTCCCTTACACGCTCAACTGGGGAGGTTTCCCTTACATTGTACATGAAATTCCCCACTAGATCCTGTAAAGTCACCAGATACTGGAAGCTTGGTGAGAGAAAAGTCAGATGTAAATGAGTTCATTTGTGAGTAGCTTGATCAAGTTAGATACATGATTCGAAGCCCGACCATGCACTGTGCAGAGAGAGATCCACAGTCTAGACTTCACTGTTTATAGTGGGCCAGCACCAGCCCCAGCGCTCTCCCCTCATTGGTTTGCCCCTTTCACCGCCACTTGTGACATCCACCGCCACGAATCCACCGTCTGATCGACCGGTGCGAACCACGACCATTTCCAAGTTCCAAGCTCTTCAAGACTAAATACAGGAAACAGAATCACACTCGTCGAGTGTACAACGACAAATCAACGAAAACCAGACTCGTTCGACTTCCCACCGCACATATCACCAGATTCATCACTCGTCATAACCTCTGAAACACCGTCCTCGTCGAAATCATTCAAACCTCGGCAGTCGTCACACCCAACCTGAAACCCAATCTGCCGACATTTCTCGCACCAACGGGCCTCAGAGAACATGCGAGGCATATTCGGGAACGAGACACTATTCCAGACTCGGGCCAGGTAGTTTGCAACCGAGTATTAGAACTGCGTCAACTGCCGCGGATCGGCGATATTGTTTGCCGAATACTGTCGTAGCCGAAGTCGTCTGTAAGTCTTCCTTCTCTTTTCGCGGAGCCACTCTTTCGATAATCGGGGGATACCCTTTGGGTAGGCCTTGAGCCACTTTTGCCAGTCAAAGTCGTGGTCGATAGGATGGTATAGGTCTTTGCCGAAGGCGCTGAGCTGCGCTGTGTCAAAGCAGTTGTATCGGAGTCGGAGTTTGGTGAGTTCGGAGTCGTAGGTAGCCACGGCACCGTGGTGTCGTCGGATTGTGACCAAGGTTTGATCTTCGTATGGCAGCTTCCCCCAGGAACTGGAGAACCACGTGGCGAAACGTTCGAGGCGGAGCATAGCTGCCGCTCGTCCGCGGAGAATGTCGAGTTCTGTGTCGAAGTAAAAGTCGATATCGGTGATTAGGGCATCAATATCCTTGTGTTGGCGCATCATTAAGGTCGATGGGGTCATGCTGAAATCCCGAAGTCTCGCTAGTTTGCCGAATAGAATGAGCAAAAGGTCACTATCAGCGAGGCGAGTTGTAAGCCCCGCCGTGACCTTGCTGGCCCAATACCAGGTGTGCTCGCCATGTTGTCGTAACGCGACCTCAACTGACTTGGACCCCGGAGTCTGGTTCAAGATGGCAACCAAGGCACGGACCTTCTGCCAGAGCAGCAGGAGCTGGGCGCCATCTCGATGATCTGGGGCGTATATGTTGATCACCAACTTGAGCTTCTCAAAAGGCAAAGGCAGTAGACCGTCGTAGATGTCGCGGCAGCACTTATCGGGATTAGGTGTGTGCTTGTTCTTCTCAGTTGGGCTCTTGATAGTCCAGTTGAGATGCATTCGACGGCAGGAGACACGCATCCACGGATCATCGTAGATAGGCGAGAGGTGAATGTCGAGTGTGTCGTATAATCGTTCACTAATTTCTTCATTAATGCCGTGACTCGTCCGCATGATGTTAGTGCTGCCATCTGAGAGGGCGTTTTCCCAGATCTGGAGGCGCAGCTCGTAGGGCAGTCTATCGAAGAGGCCTCCCTGTGTGGTTGCACACATAGTTATGGTTATTGTAAGGCTGGATGGATCTAGATGATCATATCAACGGCTAGTCCCGTATCAGGGTAGTTTTCATGTGCTTACCCTCTGGGCGAAATGTAGATCTAAATACATAGTAGGGTTCGCTGGCAAACCTATATCAGGTAAAGGTGATGCGGAGCTCCTGGGGTCAATGGAAAAGGGAGGCGACTTCCTTCGCAGATCCCGCCTGACGAATGATTTTTGATAGCTGGCAGCTGTCAAGTCGTATAGCGGATGTCGGACACAAGGATAAGTAGGCTGAAAGACGGGATGGAGCGCGAGGTGAAAGGTGGGTTCAAAAGTGAGCTGAATGGAGAGTTTTGACTCGGAGGTGACTTTGAGGTGTGCGCTGGAAGACGAATAGATCGCTGTGTTGATGGATAAGCAGGCAGACGAGTAGATGGATGCTTGATAGCTCAACGGTTGAGGATAGTAAGTGAGAGATGACAGATGGAATGGGTACAAAGTAGGTAGATAGAGGGAGACAGACGAGAAAAGCGAAGAAAAAAAAGCTCATGAACTCCACTACAGGAACAACTCTATCTCATGCCAAAGAAGCTTTGGGAGGCGGAACTCGTCGCCGCAGAGCTGGCATTGGTGAATGATACTCCCGAAAAGGGTAATTAGGGCAAGGGATGGGTACCGATGTTGTCCTGCCATAGTGAGTCAATGAAAACTTAGATGAACCTGTCCAGGCCCAACGGTACAACGTCTTCTGAAACGGACCAAAAACTCTGTTCAACGAACTGATCTGAAGGTTTTCGCAGACATGGAATAGTTCCAGAGTCGCTTGTCTAACCCGCAAGTGCCATCTTGGACAATGTCCTACATCATTTCATTCCAAGTTAGGTCTCATAAGCCACTCATCAGGAATAATTCCGTGGGCAGATGCCCTTGTATCCGAATCCCAAGTTAGCAGGCTGCGTATGAATTTGAGAAAAAGGTCTGTTTCTTCGCCAGGTGGAATGGTTGTGATGAAGTCTTCCAAAGAAAGTTTGGGAATTGCCGGCTCAGATATCCAGTTGCCTAACACGAAACGTTCAGTCCCATCTTTTACAGAGCAATTACAGTCGAGTAAGCAGCTCACCCCGTTCATCTATATAAGTTGGAAAGAGAGGGCTTTTCTGAATCATATATATGCAGTGGCGGAGGTCCAAGATACCCTATATACTGCGCCAACGCAATGGGAGCACGTATTGGCCGTTGGTGCGATCAATAGTGTCGAAGAGATTTTTGCCCTCTAAAAGCTCAAGAGTCTTCAAACCAAATCAGACCATGAACGAAGTTATACGTGAGCGCGACTTACTATAACACCCACCGACCAGAGATCAACTGGGTAACTCCATGGAAGCTGCAGTAGTACCTCCGGAGCTCGATATAGGTCAGACATCCACCAGTCCCAGTTGGTACTTTCCACATCCCGCACGTGGCCAAAATCTGTAAGGATTGGAATGCCGGAAAGCTCTAGCATCGGAGTTCGAGATGGGTAGACCGGAGTATCGCTGTCGCCAGTGACCGGAACACTAGGATCCACTGATTCCTGCTCCTCGATTTATTTTAGACTACTGTCATCCCCGAGTTACGTCAAAACATTCTGAGGTGATATGTCCGCGTATGATGTTAGAAAAGTACATGTCTTGCCCTATCGAGTCTAGACTTACCGGTGCGTATGAGGCCACAGATCGCATGCAGCCAATTTATCGAGAATAAGAGTCGGTGTATCAAAGACATCACCAAGAGTCTCGGCACTTTAGCGTCTGGAAAGGCCGTCTCGAACTCACGCAAGCTGTGGCCTTGTGGTTTTGAAGCAATGCAATCACGCCGACCCTGCGGAGATGTGACCTCGAAGACGTCACTGGCAAGGCGAGTAAAACACAATCCCGGGTGATCAGCTGCATCAGCGAACTTTTTCATGCGCTGAAGGGCATTGACCTCATTCAAGACAGGAGAGTCCGCGATGTCTTTCTGCTCAATACAAACTTTGATTGAGGCGTACTGGTTTGTACTATATATCTGTCAGTCAATGAGACGAACCGCAAGGCCGCACTATTTCCAGACCTTCCATCCCATGCAAGCCAAACTGTGGAACACGCGCCATAACCAAGCTTGGCAATTAAACGATATCGCTCTTTCAACGTCTGGCCGGTTTTGACCGGGTAATATCGTTTGTGTTTGTACCCAAGGAGTGTCTGCTCCTCGATCGGTTGAGCATCGACCATTTGATGGGGCCAATGACGGAATCTGAAGGGAGCTGTTGTGGAGAAGAGTAGGCCGGGATGCGCCAACGTGCGTGATGGACTTGGGGCTCGTCTCATGTTCGAATATAAAAGCAAGTCCTTGAAATTTTTTTCTTTTGGAAATTCTTTCCAAGTTGTGTTCATCGGAAACCCTCCATCATTGAACAGATGGGCGACGAAAGGCCGGGCCGGCGCAGGGTACGCCGTCGAATTGAAGGGTAAGTGAATTGCATACTTCGTGGCGATGGTTGTTTGGAGGATGCGGTAGAGTGCCGCTGTAGAGAGTGTTAGTGAGGCTCTAAAGACAGGACTTTTGAGGGTTGACTTTACCAGATGAGTTTCACCTCCGTGAACGGGAAGTTGACCTGCCGGGAAGTGTTAGTCCTTACTAGCCACACCAACCTGGCTCAAGTAAAACGTCCTCACTGTGAGCCTAAAGGAGTGCTCTGAAAGCAGCCATGATCCTTTGGAATAGAGAATCCGCGAAAGGTTATCTGTGTTCTCTCTTGACGGGTCTAGGTGATCTTGCTCTGGACCATGGATTATCAACCCGGCACCTATGGCGCAGTATAAACTAGGCGTAATCGTTAGAGGCTAGGCACAGTTAGCTATTGTCAATAAAAAACTGCTCGCACCCTCAAAAAGGCATCCAAAGTGCTTCGTGGGATACTTCTTTGCTCTACTTCGACACTCTCGGGACCGGCAGGTCGCGGAGGCTCCCACCATCAAAACGGCAGCACTGTTACAGAGAAATCAAAAGGCATATAGACTATTCAAGGCGTCAAGTGCATCATGTCTTCAAAAGATCTACTACATATCTCTTCACATATAGGTAAATATATACGCGGATATATAATCACCCTTCCTCCTCTGCCCCGCGCTCATCCTCTGATTCGATTTCAATCTGCTTCAGGGCATCTTTTTGAGACTTCTGTCCTGAGGCAGTGGAATCGCCCTTCGCTCCCTTCTCAGGGAAGGTTGTGGCTGCTGCAATGCCGGCCGAGGTGATGTACAGAAACTCGTCCTGGGGGAAATGGTCGATGTGGTTGAAGAATGAAGCGAAACTGAGAATATGATTAGCAGACGTACTGATTATGGTGTTTTGGCGGGAAAAGGAACGTACGCATGAGATTCCTCTTCTTCCCGGAAGATACGGTCGTAGATTTCACGCTGCTTGAACTCATCCATTTCCTTGGTGCTGGTTTCAAACGAGATGGCCTTCTTGCCGGATTCAACCGCTTTCTTGTTATACGCATCAAATACTGGGCGCTCAAGGAGCAGGCCGAGACCTGGAGCTTTCGGAATAGCAAGTCTGGTAGGGCCATAGGTCTCGGGGATGCGCTCGGGATCACAGCCGCATCGGACGACAAGTGTAGCCATAGCCACCATCTTGCGGATTTGATGCATCATGAAACTCTGACCGTGCACCTTAAGGCTCAGCCATTCAGTGCCGTTAATGATGATTGGTTCGGTGTTGAGGTTGAAGGTCTTGATGTGGCGTCTCGCGGACGGGTCTTTGAAGGTCTTCTGGATTGTGTAGTTGTAAAAGTTTCGCGTACCGACGTACTTGTTAAGTGCCTCTTGGATACGAGTGAGACGGGCAGCCGGAATACGGTACTCGCGTCTCCCCTTCAGGATAGCGGCCTTGACTGCCTTGACTGCTTCGTAGAGCCGTTTTCGGTAAGCAGCTTGCCCATCGTCTAAGCCAGGCTCTGCAGGTGTATTTTCGGAAGAGGGCTCGGTGGCCGATACTCCCTCATCGCTTGTGGTCTTTCCATCTGTCTTTGCTGATTCGACTTGTGGAACCTCATCTTCGTCGCTGCCTAGGTGGAGAGCTTTCTCGACTGGCTTGCGAATATCCTCGGGCAGGCCCTCGAGAACCGGACGCATGACTCTCTCGTCGAAGTCAGCCCAGAAAGTCGCAACCTCTTCCTGACGGGCTTTGTACGCCTCAAGGTCACCATGTTTCTCGGCAAGCTCAACCAGTTTACCTCCCAAGAATGTGCTGGGATGAGGTGGCAGGAAGCAGTGAGATGGAATAAGGTACTCGTAAATACGAGAGTCGCACATTTGGTAGCTGCTGAATGATTTGTTGACTTGGATGATGTCCCAGACGCGAATCTGAGAGGTGAGCTTCTCGTTGATCTTCTCTATAATGTCCGAGTCTTCGACAATCATCTTCAGGGAGACGACGTTTCCTGCGGCGTGGACACCCTTGTCTGTGCGAGCGCAACGGACGAAGGACGACTTTTTCGGGTCCGCCGCGTTGGCCTTGGAGATTGCACCGGCAGCGACAAACGCGGAGAAGAGGTCGCCTTCGATCGTTTTCTCAGTTGTGCTCCTATACTCAGTCAGCTCCTAAGCCCCATAACAGCCGGAAACGGTCCGAGTCGCACAATTGCATTCCCTTGTAGCCTGTCCCCGAGTAGCCGATCAGAACAGCAACCTTTTTCTTCGGTCGTCGCTCCTCGTTCTCAATGTCCTCCTTGGAAAACTCGGTAGCATAGATAGGTGTAACGACCTCCTCGCCATTGTCAAGCTTTCTCCGTTTGACTTGCTCCGACCTCTCGTTCCGGTCTCTTTTATCTACATTGAGGCGGCTTGCCTGGTTAGCTCTAGAGCGCGACGCAGTGGTATGCAGTAGACAACGTACCGCCATTCGTTTCTACCCAAATCCCTTCTTTTATGCTTGCGACCAGTTTCTTCTGATCCCTCAGTTCTTCCGGCGTTATTGTCCATGGTAAATGCTTCACTCCAACCAGGAAAGATCGTTGAAGTAGAGGGCGGGCAACAGGGGAGAAAAGGTAACCGTTCGAGGGTGTTGAGTGTATAGATCTTATATTTCCGTGTATGTATGATATTTGCCGTCTCAGCGATTGTCGAAACAAAAAGTGAGAGCGCATGGAGACTGTCCACAAGGTATTCCGAAGTTGATCTGGTGTTCCGGAGTCCGCATCTTTTTTGAATTTCCTGGACACTAAGCCCGATATAGATTAGTACCTTTCTGCCTTAGGCTCTCTCAATTTTCCGGCTCCGCCTCAAGTCCAGGCTTCCTTTCATTTCGACATCAGTCATTCAAACCTCTCCGCTCTTTCACCATACTGCCCTTTCACCAGCCAGTTCTCTTCAATGGACGCATATATAACTAGACGATAAAACAACTCTCACTGGAAAACTCTCTTTTCCCAGCTATAGTCGGGCCAGACGGAGTGATGCTGGACTTTTTCAGCCAGGTCTAAGAACCAGAAACATTCATCGCGCAGGCTGCGCCCACCTCTTCCTCACTCGCATCAACTCTAGAACTCGAACAGATCACAAGTCGTCGTCATGGATCTCGCAAACACACTCATCCGAACGGTGGTCCGCGCCTTCTACGAGACACGCCATATTTTGGTGATCGATGCGCTCTTTATCCACTCGGTGTATGTGTGACTTGCTGTGGGGGAAGACAGGACATAATACCTTAAATTGTTGCGCTGACATTTCCAACCGGGGCAGACTCCACGCGGAGGATCTTGCATTCCTGCTTGGGATGCAGCAAAAAGACCTGCGCAAACTGTGCGCCAAGTTGCGCGAGGATCGTCTCATAGCAGTGTATGGCTTGCCTGTGTCATTTTGTGCTCTAGGTAACTATCTGGCAGAAGGCTAATATGAAGCGCATCTTGCCCGCCGATTATACAGCAACACACGAGCTGAAATCCGAGATGGATCGACCCGTCCAGTCAACCGCGAATACTACTACATCCCGCTGCACCCCGTCGTTGACGCGATCAAGTACAAAGTCTCGAAGTTGACCTCCACGATCAAGCTGCAATACACACCGAGTCAAGAGCGGAAGGAATACATCTGTTTGCGATGTGGAGCCGAGTGGACGGAGCTAGATGTTCTGAGTCTCTACTCAGACGAAGGCTTCGAGTGCCAGAACTGTGGGGCTATTCTCGAGCGCACGGAGGACGTCAAAGGCAGCGAAGGCATCGACCGCACCGGTCACGAGAAGAACAGCAAGCTCATGGCGCAGCTCGATAAGATGCTTAAACTGCTCAAGCAGATCGACTCCGTGGAAATTCCGCCCAACGACTTTGACACCGCCTGGGACCACAAGGTCGACGTCATCCGCAACCAGCACACCAACCCGACCAGGGCAGCGATTGTCGTACAGTCCAAGAAGCAGGAAGCCGTCCGCGGCAACCTCAAGACCGACGCTGCCGCTCTAGAGATCTCGTTGACATCTACGGAAGAGAAGACCGCCGCTGAACAAAAGGAGGAAGCCGCGCGTAAAGCCGCTCTAGAGAAACAAAACGCTCTCCCCGTTTGGCACACACACTCTACAGTCACCACCACCGCCGGAAATGTCGGCGCCGTCAAGTCCGGCTCGGACCTCAAAATCAAGCCGGAGATCAAGGAGGAAGACCAGAAACCCAATCTCGCGGATCTCGACGACAAAGTCGCTGCATACTACGCAGAGATGGAGCGCGAGAAAGCACTCCAAGCCCAGGCAGATGCTAGCAGCGCGGAAGACGACTCCGACGACTTCGACGAGTTCGAAGACGTCGGCGGTGTCTCTGCAAGCGATACCGCCTCCCCGGCTGTTGGTGGCCTATCCAATGGACCTACCAGCGCACCCATCAGTATCAAGCGTGAGCTGGATAGTGAATCCGGCTCCAGCGCCCCTCAAACAGCAACGGGGACCCCATCGACTCCGGCGGATGAGGGACCAGCGGCTAAGAGGATCAAAACGGAGCCTGATATCAAGAGAGAGGAATCTGACGAAGATGATGAGGAGTTTGAGGATGTTTGATCTTTTTCTTCTTCTACCGAGCGCGGGCGCTCATCTTTACAACAACACTAGATGGACAAGTTGCATTTGCTTATTGCAGGCAGCGTTCCTTGATTCGCATTCAAAACCTGATAGATTAACCCTATGTTCCCAGATCGTCCTCGCAGTGTCCCCGTTGATGATTTGCAAAACAGATAGTTGGTATAATATGAAATGTAACCATACCTCACGCTCCAATGGTATATTGTGTAGTGTCAGAATAAGGAGAAAAAAAGTAGAAGAACCTAGAGGCGCTCCTCCCACCCGCCATAAACCTCCACCCCATTCAGCGAACCACCCATCCACCCCTCTAGAACCCTGAAAACCTCCTCCGCCTCTCCCTCACCCAAAATTCCCATGATGTCCGTATCCATAACCTGCTGATACAACGACCGCGTTTCCGACCCCGACTGAAAGCTGAAAACCGACGCCGCCGCAGATTGTCGTTTACCGCTGCCACCTCGCGCAAACGCTAATAAATCCTCCTGCGAACTTACAGACGAGCGTCGGTCGTTAAGACCATTCGCGATCTTCGCGAGGGACGAGGTGAGTTTGTAGAGACGTGTTGTTGCCGGGGAAGTGGACTTTAAGGGATCGAGCGTGGATACAATGTTGTTGAGGAGGGTGAGGTCTTTTTCTTTCTCTTCTTGAGGGCCTTTCTCGTTAGGGCTTGAAGTAGAGTGGCTGGCAATCGAGTGCAGGGTTATGGCTATGAAGGGGGTTAGGAGGGTCGAGAGGAGGGGCCTGGAGCCCCCAGTCAGTATTCGTATGAGAACAATCGGAATCGAAGAATCAGAGCAAACAATGACGAGTGTACTAACCAATCTGTGTACACCCCCGTCTCCCCCTCAGCCAATACTGGACGATAGTCAAGCACCTTTTGGTAAGTACGCATGCACTTTAGATAAGACTGCAATGCGCCGCGAGCCGTTTTGAAACACTCTGGCTTGATGTGCATTTGTCCAGAGCCCTGACTCGTTGTGGTCGACGTAATGTGTCTCTCAAGCCATGTCATCCGATCTTGACCATTCGAAGTCGGCGAGGCAGCTGGAGCCCGGAGCAGAGCCGTGAAGGTCGAGTGATACTTGGTCTCCCAAGTCTCCACGGCTACATTGAACAGATGGAGGCTCTCGGGTTCGTATGTGCTAGTCTGCCATTTGCGTCGTATAGTGTCAGTATGGTGCTCGTTGGTAGCGACAACCAAGTTGGAAGAGAAGATGGGTGGAGAGACATACAACCGGCAACTTTGCGTACCAGAACTGCAACTCCATTGCAAGCGTCTCGATCCTCTTCTCGCGCTCCGAGTGCGACAAGGCCAGCGACTCCTTCGAGAAAGCTTCCTTCCAAATCCGACCCTGCATCTTTGCCAACTTCACCTCTTTAATGAACAGCTCATCGCGAGGCCGGCCAGGACTCTTCGGCGCATAAATCGGATAGACCGTATCGACATCACAATCCTGCATAACGGACGCACGCCCGAAGAAGAATGAAAACTGTTTCTCAAGCATGTAGACGCTCCAAAACAACCGGCGGCTGTTCGACGAGTTTTCGTGCGTCGAGTCGTGGTTGTAGCCCAGGGTCTGGCAGTGACTGGCTGCGGCGGAGATCAAGGTACAAGCTTGCAGTGGCTTGCATTGGTTTTGGGCTTTGAGGGTTCCCAGGGTGAGGGCGAGGATGTTGCCGAAGCTCGGGGCGCCGAGGACACTGTATGTCTGGAGGAGGGCGTCGAAGCGCTGTTCGCATTTTGAGGCGAGGTCTTTGAGGTCGAATTTCTGGGTGAGCGGGTGTTGAAAGAAGGTGAATTCTTTTAGGATAAAGTAGAAAACTCCGTGGAGGCAGGCGAGATGTGTGGAGGACAGGGTCCCGGCCGGGGAAGCCGCGAGACGCTCCACCAGCGAGAGGTCATTGAGGGGATAGGAGCACAGGCAAAGGGGCCGTTTCGCTAGATGTGATTAGTGTCGTTCAATTGTATGTTACTTGCCCTGCTTACCCTTTATCTCTTGCAGTACAGCAGTCACAAGCTCGGCGGGCAAGGTTGACGCCTCCATCTTTAGACAAATGGAAGACAGAGTTGGCTCAGAGCCGAGTCTGGGGCTAAAACAGCTTAAATACCCCCAACGCTCGCATTGGCTGCTGCCTTGTCTGATCTGCGTCTCGAGAACTAAACTGGAATTGGGCATTATTTCTTTGCCTTAATGTACACACATAGCTTAATTCCCAATGTGCATAGCGAGCCAATGCAGCACCCAAGAAAGAAACATAACACACGAGACCACCTCATCGGCTCGCTGTAAAGGCTATCATAGAAAAAAACTCGTTGGATAAGGCCGTAAAGAACCGAAGAAAGACCAGGCCAACGCCATTTCACACTCGTACAAAGAAAGTCCGAAGCGGAAGTGAAAACCCATCTCTAGTAGAAGCTGATTGTGAGAAACGCCGGTTGATGCAAGGACAAAACAAGGGTTCTCCTTTTAGTTTTCGTAAATTCGTCTCTCATAGGTGGTACAATCGCGGAATTTCATAACTTCATATCTGGCCGAAGTCAGGCTCTAGGGTGTTCCTGCCATCCCCATCTCCGAGTCGCTCGCAATCATCGAGTTGTCTTCCCATTCCTCTGAAGAAGCTTTATCAGATTCTGGATCCGTTGGGTTAGATGATAGAGTGGAAATAAGGAAAAAAGTGGACCTACCGGATGGTAATTCTTCGGGGAGCTCGACTGGCATCTCTTCGATAGCCGCTAGAACCGCTATTGTATGTATTAGTGAGTGGCACAACAAACGCCGTAGAATGGAAGCTTACTCTGCGCTTGATGCACCACATTCTCATCTTTCTCATCACCATTGAAGTATGTGCCCAGGCAATGTTCAATCACCGTTCGAATTGGGTCCAATACTCTTCCCTGCGAGGCATTACCTCGACCCGAGGTATACAAAACCCGAAGTTTGCCAACGCAGGCCAAGACCAGGTCCTTGGCAATGCCCGCATGACGGGCCTGCCAGTCTTCGTCGAGGCCTGTCGTTTCGTCATTGAACAATAAGCGACGCAGAGTATCTACCGTCAATGCTCTTACTGCCCTGTCCGGGTACAAGAGCAGCCAGGGGGCCCAGTCTGGGACCATATCCATGACGCGGGATAGGAACCATTTCTCATCAAGGCCAAGGCGTTGATTATGGCTCGTTAACAGGTTCGTGAAGAATGCAAGATGCTCTTTGCCCCCACTGGTGTTGATGGTATCAACACCTTTGGCGACATAGTCAATGATGCCAACGATGCGTTCTTCATCAGGGCATGTCTTACACACAACCAAGCTTGCCTCCAAAAATGGTGTGCAGCGATCAGCAGGATCAATGCGCAGGCCTTCTTCCAAAACCTGAATTATCGGGTCCATGAGACCAGCTTCCGGCTCTGCCTCCATAAAGAGACTGACGATTCGCATGCATGCCGGGGGGTTACTGTGTTGCTGGAGGATCTTCTTCAGAAATGTGAGCTCATACTTTGATCCTAGAGGGCGAATAAAGCTGTTTTCCGTGGCGGTCAAAGAGAACTTTCCATTCAGAAGCGCCTCCCGTTCATCGTCCGAGATTGGTCGCACTGTAAGGTCGATATTGGCGAGCAGTGCTGACATGACATCCATGAGTTTTTGGTGTGAAAATTTCCGGCCTTTCTCGATTAGCCTGTAGTACGCAGCGTATTGCCGCTTTAGCCTTTTGGCATCCTCGTGATCAAGCCAAACAATCTCCAGACATTTGACAAGAAAACCATGGTTGAGTAGAATCCCGATTTCTTCTTGGCCGAAGCTTCCAATGCACAATAAAAACTCAAAATAATCTTCCCACGACCGAGCGAGACTATGAAGCGACGGCCACATGGCGTCGAGGCCAGCGACAATATGTTCAAGTCCCTCCAAGTAGTCATATTCCCGCTCCAACTTTTCAGTTGCATCCTCTGCAGTGATATGGCGTTCTCGGAGCTTTGACAGAGCGTTCACGAAAAGTCTGACTGAACTGTCACGGACGCTTGGGTTTCCGCTCTTCAAAAGGCGTGCGACGCCAGCCGGCCTTTTTCTAGCCCACTGGATAAACCTGAGGGGTCCTGTCGAAAATTCGTTAATGGCTCTGTAGAGCTCCGCAACAATAAGCTCAACACTGGGAGAATCTTTCGTCCTCGAAACCAGTTGTTCGAAAGTGTCGAGAGCGATAAATATCATCGACTGATACAGCTTGTCACCCTTTGCACTGTTTGCCAGCTTGGTCTCGTTCAGCTTTTTGAAGAGGTAGCGAACAAAAACAGCGTAAGAATTGTCCAAGAGACAGTAAGTTCTGACAAAAAGCTCATTCTCCATCACGATATGATTGGCAAGCGACACTGGGAGCGGTACACGTATTGGATACTGGTTGCTCTCTGGTACATAGACCGATCTGGCCGCATCTATGCTAGAAATGCGTTGGTAGAGGAGCATATAAGCATTCCAGGCCTTGTTGTAACGTACGTGGCCCCCAGAAGCGGAGTGGAGGGACTCGCTAAGACCGCCAAAGCACTGGTCTCCAATCCTGCGAGGGTCAAATCTACTCACGTCGGCATCATTGAATTCAACCCAGGTGCCGCCACTTCCGCCTGCCGTTGGTCTCTCACGGACGTATGAATAGTAGTGGCCGGATTCGGCGGTGCCGCTATGTACCAGGACCCCGACAAGCTCAAATATGTCCTCTTTGATGTCCTGGTTTGATTCCGACAGATACTCAACTGTGAAAGGAGTCATGTTGATTCGCTCAGGGAACTGAAACTCATCGTTGATCTTGCTGCGCATCATCGTGACCATGTCAAAGTCGAACCTTTTGAGATGGAAGATAAGATTGTCAGGAACGTCCTTCAAGCAAGCTCGCTTTACAGCATCAACATGGCGTCCGCAAGACGTGCAAGAGTATTTGTTATCTCCTTGCATGATCTCTCCTTCAACATAAGCCTGCAGGCTCTCCTCGAGACTTGCTTTCCCCTTGATCTCGCATTGAATGGCTGAAAAGGGCTCGAGGCGCTCAGAGATATGAGGACACTCTTTCGATTTGATTTGCTGAACCAGTTGACCGCCATAAAATGATCTGAATCGCTTCCTGTCCTCAGGGCTGGAAATCTGAGCCTCCCAACGGTCGAAAAGAAGATTGTAGAACTCATCCACATCCATTTGGATAGTCACATCGACAGGTTCATTGTCATATGTGCGAATCGAGTCGACAAATTCCTCCGGATCCACGCTCTTAAGCCAGGATTCTTGCATGTATGCAAACACCTTCTTCGTCTCATCAAGCAGGCGCTGAGTCGCGTAGCCATCTGTAAGATTGAGCCCAAGCATGAACTCGCGAAACTCAACATTCATAAAGAGCTGGCTTAGAAGTGAGTTCAGGTAACAGGTGTTCGACAGATTTTTCAAGCCGGCATAACCTTCAGGGGACCGGATCAATCTCTGTCGGTCAATATTCCAGCCGAACTGACATGTATGGTCTGTGGAATGTCAGCAATATTTCACATGAATGACGGGTTGATTTACGAACCTTCTGGAATGATGTCTTTCAACCTTTCGATGAGGTAAGTGTAGTTATCATCATCATGAGAAAGCTGCAAAACCAGACTATACAGTTCTTGCCGTGTCTGGGTGTGCATCACAGGTATTTGAGGGATCAGAAGCTGAGAGGGGGGCGACGGATCAGGGGAAAGATCCGGAAAAAGGTAATTATCGAGGATCTGCTCGACGAGATTGCTGTGGTCACGTTAACAAGGGTAAAGTAGAACTCAAGAAGTGAGCTTTGGTCACTTACAAAGTGTCGATCTTTATGCCCGACGAGTTCGCGATTTCTAGGCATGATCTTAGAAGACGCGAAAAGCCGAGTATGAGGTGATCTACAGGCTCGCGGCCAACAAACTGGAAAGACAATTAGCTGAGCAAACGAGGACGGAAATGGCAAAAGTACAAACCTCCTTCGTCTTGTGGCTCAACATGATGTCACTCCACTGTTTAAGATAGTCGCTGAATACTAGATCGCGGGGTGATTTCTCCGCAACCGATGAAAACACAGAATGGGCAATCTCAAAGAATTCTTGTGACTGATTCGAAAAGTCCAATACCCGAGGGAAAGTAAGAACAAAAGCATCCCATATCGTTCCGAGAATATCAATCCTGGACGGGTTTTCGGAAATCGCCGTGCTTCGTGCTTCTTGCATTTCCGAAGCTGGAAGCTTAGCTTTCTTGAGCTGCTTCGAAGGGCTGCAAACGAGGCCGATGTGGTCTGCCACGCCCTTTCTGACATTGTGGCGTTGCTCTTCAATAAGGAGAGAGAGAATGAGCTGTCCAAACTGCACTTGCTGCTTTATCGTCGTCCAAAAGCTGGAGTCGCGAACAGAACCTTCGATGAGAATGCCAAAAGTGTACCATATCAGCTTAAACCTGTCAAGCTCGATCGCATGAGAGGGAAATGCATTTTGCCCGGCAGCCATCAGACGGAGTAGTTGCTCCACCAGAGCGCCGGAATCTGGAATTTGAAGCACGTCACCTGCCACGGCTGGTTTCACTACTTTAATTAACCACAAATCCAGTAGACTAGTCTGGGTTGTCACTACTTACCCAACAATGCGTTGTAGAGACACTCGGCTAGATTGATAGCAAGTTGAACGTGAGTACGCGAGAGCGTCGAGGATCCCATAATTTCGGGCCGCGTCAGGGTAGCAACTACGACCTCGATACTGTGTGAGATGAAGGGTTCGCTCGGAGATGGCTGGCGGGAATTGTTAGCATACTATACATTAAAATCACGTGGTCAGATATCCGCTGCACGAACCTCCAAGGCTTCTGCTCGAAGACAGTCTGTAAGGGCATTTAGAGAGTACAGCAGATTATATGGCTTAGACATTGGGAGCATTGTTTCCGCCGGTTCGTTTGTTGACTTGACCAAATTAATGACCTTTTCCTGGGGAGGAAAGAGCACAAGAAACTCGAAGATCTGTCATACATGAGCCAGGCTATATGGTATACGAAGCATCGTTGTAGCGGGGTTCATACCTCTCGGGCTAATTTTTCGTCAAGATTGAGAAGGTCATAGAGATCATCAAAATGTTTCAGGACTTCAGTGTCCACTGAGGTCAGGGGTGGGGCCCTTCGTCCTGGAGTCCCGCGGCAACTTGGGTCTCGACGGACAATCAACAACCCTGACCCGAGCCTCAGGTCTCGAACTGTTTGATCTGGCTTGTCGAGTAGATCAGCCCGCTGTCCTCCGAATATCGTCATAAGCTTTGGGAAGTCGGTCACTTTGGTGAGAGCTTCGACAAGCTCGGACGCGGTAGACAAATCGCCGATCTGCAATGAGCGGACTTTCGAGCTCGAGCCACCATCAAATGCCTGGTAGCGAATATCGACAATGTCGCCTTTCAGCGGGTTGATTGGCAGGCTGGGAGGAGAATGCTGTGGTGGGCTATACTGAGGCCGGGCTCGTAAAGCCTGGAGGAATTGCCGAAGGAAAAAGAGGGAACGGCTGAATTCCAGCTCATCGGCAACTATCTCCTCAGTACGAGCTTCCAATGCCATGGTTCCTTCACCGTCATTTAGCTTATTCAAGTGTAATTTGAGGTTATGGGCCGCGGATTTGAGTTGATCTACGCAGCGATCAACCAGGCTCATATGTGTAGCTTCAACTGATGACCGTGGAGAGCGGCGAATGATGTGATGATCAAGATATACCTCTATGGCAAACGCAATGGCTTCATTCTCGATAGAATTCGGTGGGGCAGTCAGAATGAAGCTCCAAATCCGATCCATTCCTGGGATGGTTACCACTTCATTCTCATTGGCTGCAGGTGGAGGACAGAAGCGCATCTGATAGTTGAGGGTCGTCTTAGCAAAAGCGAGCACTTCAGGAAAGTAATCCGTAGGCGGCGAAAGGCGAGGGAGATAGTGCTGAATGCATTGGTCAATAAAGGCATTCTCCTTCCCACTGTTCACAGTGATATTACACAGAGTTTCCCATAAGGCTCTTCTTCCATGTTGAGGGAGAAGTCGAGACATGAAAACTCTCTGCCATAAAATGTCACCGAGTTCAGGTGTGATGGAATCTGGCGCTTCGTCGATGATCCGTGAAATCATCTGCACACGCGGCAGAAATCCATTCCATGAAAACGTATCTGTAGCATCTGGTTGGCTCCCATCCACTACCTCTGCCAAGTCCAATATCAGCAGCTGTGTAAGGTTGAACTCTGTGGTAAGTTTCCGGATTTCTCGAGAGTCGCGGCTGAGAAGAGCATTGAGGGCCTGTATGCTGCCGACGCTGAACTGGTTCCTTTCCGCGATATCCTGAACACATCGCTCGTAGATATCCATCTTATCCACGTCGCTGATGCCAATGTCCATTAGACAGGCCAGCTTTGTGGCGGCAAACTTTTGCAGGTGCGCTTTGTGGTCCGCGGCAAGGTCCTCGGAAGCAGCACTCTCACGGATCAGACGTACACATAGACGTAGCGGCCGTATATCGATGTAAAATGTGCTCAAGCGGTCCTCTCTGTCGTTATAGCTTTCAAAGAGGTTAACAAACACTTGGTGGCAGAATTCCACCATCCGGGAATCAAACCGGACAAGCGGGAGCTCTAGCATCTTAGAGCAATAGGAATGCAGCCTAGATGGATCACGAAGCCGGATATTGAGCGTCTTTTGTACCATTCCGAGCACTTCAGATATTGTTCTGGGATCTGGGCTGTCTGTGACCGTTTTCCAAATCGTGTCGGTATCGGAATCGGTATATGCCTCTGTAATAACCAAGAATCCCAGAACGTTATAGCTTCGGCTGATCAACTGGGGATGCGAATCAACGCCGACGAGGTAATCGATAATCTTACTTTCGCGCAGAACCCTGACAAGATACTGGACGAGAGGATGGGCGATCCCAGCAACCGGGTCGGATTGCATGTGGACAGTGAAAACTTGTACAAAATCCGTTTGCATTGCCTCGATACCGGAGACACGTAGCTCCATCCGGCCGTCAATGATGTGCTTTTTAAGGACGCTAAATCTCCATCCGTAATACACAATAGAGGCCAGATCTTTCAACTCGATGTTTCGAGGTGCGGTTATTGACAGATCTTCTGCTATTCGTAAGGCGAACTCATCGCCGCAGTGGCAGAGGGCAATATAGATAGCCGAAATATCACCCAGAACCAAGGGGCTTGTATCAATCGTTACCCAAGGGGATTTTTTCACAATGTCGGCTTGATACTGCTCATCCACAGCGCGTACGAGGTTATAGAGCGTTTCCATGCCCTGCTGATAGAGAAGAGAGTCGAACACGGGGTCATTTCGGTCATTTCCAGATTCTACCAGATATCGTGCAATATCCAACACCCCGATCAGGGTCTGGGACAGCTGTGAGCAGCGCGGGATAATCGCGGTGAGGCAAGAGGCGTATTCCAAGAGATATTGCGGCCCGTTGAGCGAAGTAATAGTCATCTGGTCGATGAGGCGCGCTATCGTATTCGAAGCTGCGGTGCGATATCTTGTCCGCATCGTTCTGAAGATAGGGGTTCTCTCGAGTGACAACGACCATCTAAATGCTTGGATGTAGTGTCGCGACATTATATCGAGTCCAGACAGGTCAGATTCATTGGCTGACTGCCTCAGAACAAGGGTATCCATATGCATCAGGTGAAGAGATAGGCGAATATAGTTGAGGCAGAGCTCTTCCAGAGTTGTCCAAAATTCCGCGGCATCATCGTAGTGAAATGCATCCCTGCAACTTACATTAGTGCTGATAATGACGTGTCCGAAGAGCTTCCTCTGCCTTCAGCGAATGCTGGTTCAAAAAGCAACGGTATCACTTACGCTCGGCGAAGCAAGTTTTCCAACACTATTGGGATCTCATCCCAAAATTGCCGGGATTCCATGAAAACATCGGAAGTTAAATGCTCCAACGCGTTCACCACTTCGTCGAACCACTGTTTTACTGCGCCGAAGATCATCGTATCAACGTGCGATTCTGATAAATGATTGTTTTAGTCCACGTGGTGACAATAGTAGGCTACAAAGGAATGTGTACCTTTTTCGATCGCCATACATATTTCCGCCAAATTCTCGCGTGGTTCTTGCTCAACACTAAGCCACGGAAAGATGCCCGGTAAGTCAACGGGTTCGGGGGTGCGAAGCTGCACGACGTCCGGCACTGAAGGAACCTTCAACGCTTCACCTAAAGGCTTCCAGCTTGTGGTATTCGGATCTTGATCCATATCCTCCAGCTCCGCGACCTCAATTTCGGGGCTCTGGGCAGGCGACGACGATAATGAAACGACATTTGTCGGTTGTTCGCTGATGGGTTGCGCAGAGGCGACAGGGTCCATCTCTTCGACGAGGCTCTGCTCTGAGTCTGGAGTGGGGTTGTCGGGGGTGTTAGGAGTGGGAGGCGTCGCCGGGGATTTCATGTTGATAGTCATCCTGCTGGCCGAACGTTTCAACACAGGAGCTTCCTCGTCTGTTATGGCAGGAGCATCCGGGGTAGATTCGGGGACCGTCACAATCTCGTTAACGAGGGATAAAGATTCGCAGACGCCGCTTCCACTATCGAGACGGGGGCGCTTTCGAGTAGATTGGGGGTCGATTTCTTCCATGGAATCGCCGGGAGAACGCGTCGTGTCGGTCGATGTAGTGTCAGGCGGGGTGCTAGAGCTCTCTAGCGGGGCAACTGCCATGACATTTTCCCAGCTCAGCCTTGAGAGGGCGGGCGGACTTTCGGAATGGCGTGAGTAGCTTCTAGGAGAAATATCCGGGGTGAGGAGGGCGAAAATGGGTGAATGAAGAGCTAGGAATGAGCAACTCAGTTAGGTAGAAACCGGAGTGACGGAGAGCGGAGAAGCTGAAAAAAAGTGAACTGGTGAGGGGAAACAAAGGCGACCGTGAAAACAGGATGGCCGATGATGCTATGGACAAATGGAGGGAGCAGATGCTCAGCTCAGAGCTCTTTGACAGAGAACGGGCGATGGCCTCGTCGCTGATCTCTTTATCGTGGTCTTTTGGAGGGGGGAGCTCTAAGTCTGACGTTGGCGGTGGGCCCGCGGATTGGCGCGACGCTCTCACGAGGAGGTCAACGAATCGCTGGTACCAAAGTACGCCGACAGTGCACCGAATGGATTGATTGAATTTGACGGTGCAAATACGCTGCGATAATTCAGAGGCCGCTTTTCTGTAAAGTAACTCCTGGAGCCAAAGTCTATCGCCGGCCTGGCTAGGTATCACCCATGGAAGCCTAGAAGCACCTGAAAACTAACCACAAACCCTCAGATCCGAACTGTGATTGCAGTGGGATAAGCGAGACTGAGGATTTTTCGACTCTCCCTTTACATTACCCACAACTTCTCGATCCAACCTCAGAGATAAGCCCTTATGATCCTCATCTCCTAGGTCTCAAGGCAACAAAAGGGACTTTGATTAGCTTTCGGCCCCTTACAGTAAGGCAAGGTACACTGGCGCCAGATGGGCCTTTCTCACAATCCGACAAAAGTACGATTCCAGCATGGAGCATGTTCGATAATTTTATGCCTTGACGAAGACGTTCCGAGACCTTAAATGATGGGCACCTTTAAGAATGTATGGAGCAAACAGCTGCCATAGATATGACATTCCTCGCTACTTATTCCTTTCCTCCAGAACGCTCAATCTTGCGAATAACTCTAGCTGGATTACCGATAGCGAGATGGTAGGCAGGAACATCCTGTCATCAGTCAGAATCAAACTCAAAGGGTCAACAACGCTCGATCATCGTACCTTGGTTACAACACTTCCAGCTCCAATCACTGCACCATTCCCTATCGTCACCCCTTGGAGAACAGTCACATTCCCTGCCAGCCAACAGTCCTCGCCAATATGGATCTCCTGGCCTGTCTCAGGGCCCTTCGTGCCATTCCGTAGCTCCGGATCCAGAGGATGTCTCCCACTATACAAGGAAACCTTAGGTCCAAGCAGCGTTCGAACGCCAATGGTCACCAGGCAGGTGTCGATGATGACACAGTCAAAGTTGATGAAGACACCTTGGCCGACCTTCACATTATAACCGTAGTCTACTCTAAATGGAGGCTCAATCCACGGCTCATTCTCCAAAACTGCGTCATCCTCGGCGGGGTCCTCCTGACGAGGCGGAAGAGGGGTCGTGTCCTGGAATATACTATGTGAGGCCGTACAACGTCAGCAAGGGCTTTTCGTTGAGGCTCCGTCCTCGGAAATTTGCACCGAGACCGCTATCAGATTGGCTTTGTGATCCCGTGTTTCTCGACGAGCCAAAACTCACTCTTTCCAAAGCTCGATTGAGCGTCGTCGCGAGACCTCGCCGGCATTGTTGAACCGGGTACAGGCATGTCGGCAGCGAGCTCTTTCGGCGGTTAGCTCCGGGGTAAAAGCATGATAAAGCTCGCCCCGGAGCATCTTGTCTTTCTCGGTGTCAGGCATGTTTATTGATAAGAGGTGAGTATACAGAAGCGGGGAATGTGAAGTTGGAGAGCTTGCTGATCGTCTATATATAATGGAGTCGAACCGTTGACCTTGCCCAGTTTAGGTATGGCTCGTTCCCCTATTTTTAGACTATTGTATGGAGAAACTACTGTTGTCTTCGTGTCGCAGACAAAGTGTCTTATATCAAGACTCTCGAGTCGCGATATAGGAATCAACAAGAGAGCGCCTCGAAGAAATCTGGATCCGACTACTAGTAGACTAAGAGTGGGCGAAGACAAAGAAAGCGCGTGGGTTCCTGAGGCTCCAACAATTAGTATACGGGACCCACTTGATATTGTTCTCTCGAGCTCCGCCATCCGGCTCCGATTGTCCTCCTGATTGTTTTCTCCCAATCCCAGCAGGACTTCTTTCCTCTGCTCCCGTCGCCAATCCTTAAGACCCTTCATCTACCATGATCTATCCGTGATCGAATCCTGCCTCACTTTCTCTCCCACCCACGATCATCGCCAAATTGCCCAAGAGAAAGAAAAAAAAAGCATCATGGCGTCCGACAACTCTCCCAGCGCTTCAGCAACAGAAGCCACATACACAACCTGGACCCCTCCGGCAAACTCGAGCTCAAACTCGCAATCTCAATCCCCGATTTCATCGTCAAACGCGCCCCAAATTCCCTCCATCGATACCTCAATCTACCCCAACGGCAAAAAGTCCCTCTCCGGAATCTCCCTCCGCGCCTTTCTCATCGGCACAACACTCGGCCTCTCCCTCTCACTTACCATCTCCCTCCTCGACCTCAGCAACCTCTTCGAGAACCCGCACTACCTCTGGCGCCTCTCTTTCTTCCTAGCCGCGCTCGCCCTCTTCCATTTCCTCGAATACTACGTCACAGCCGCCTATAACACGCGCCACGCGACAATCTCCGCCTTCCTCCTCTCCTCCAACGGCTGGGCATACAACGTCGCGCACTCCTCCGCCGCGCTCGAGTGCGCCGTCGCCTACTACTTCTGGCCGCGCGACTCGTACTTTGAGTCTACGGGCCCGGTATGCGGCGTCAAGGTGCAGGTTGTGGTCGGGCTGGCGCTTATGGGCGTTGGTCAGGTGGTTAGGACGCTTGCGATGGCGCAGGCGGGGAGTAACTTCAACCATACCGTGCAGGTTGAGCGGAAGGACGGACATACGCTTGTCAAGCATGGGGTTTATGCGGTGCTGCGGCACCCGAGTTACTTTGGGTTCTTTTGGTGGGGGTTGGGCACGCAGTTGGTATTGGGGAATGTGGTTTGTTTCGCGGGGTATGCGGTTGTACTATGGAATTTCTTCAATAGTCGGATTCGGAGTGAGTGTTCCTTTCATTTCTCGTCTTTTCTTGCTGTTCGTTGGGCTAACGGGTGTGTAGGGGAGGAACGGTTTCTGATCGCTTTCTTCGGAGATGAATATGTCGCGTACCGGAAGAGCACCTGGGTTGGGATCCCTGGTATTCCGTGATGCTATGAGTGAGAATTCGGTTCCGTCAATTGCTATGTACAGTATAGATTTTTATGCAGTGCCCGATCTAGACTATCTATCTTGTTTCAACACATTGTCGAAGATGCAACATGCCGTCGCGAAGCTTAGTGGTATCAAATCAAACGCGCTTAAAGCAAAAGTCCAACCAACAATACATGGTTAGGTGTTTCAAAGCTTACTCTCCGGCGCAACCCCTCCAACCGCTCCTGTCATATATGCCCCCTGCTCCTCACCCTCCGCACTCTCAGGCCCAAACAAAATGAGATCTCTCCCGCCCTTGGTACTCCACCACGTTACGCAATAATACGCTCGCTCAACATCCATCTCCCCATTACTCAAGGCGTCCCAAAACCGTTCGACACAGACTTTCCGCATCTCCGGCGCCGGAATTGCATTGATGAGGTTCGCAGTCAGAGGAAGCCACTCCTCTAGATCTTCCACGCGCAGGAAGCACAGACTGTCTATTAGTGCTAGTGTGAGAGAGGATTGTTCGGAGAGCGGGACAGTTTTCCCCATGTCGGGCCCTGTTGTGCCTTGCGCGGCTGGTGGGAGTGCTGTGGTGGAAGCGGTTAGGGCTCGGTCGTAGAGTACTTCGAGAAGGATTGATGGGAGGAGGGGTTGGCGGTTTGCGATTGGGGATGGGGGAGCGGTGACTTGTAGGACGGTTTTGAAGGCGAGGCGGAATTGGCGACCGGAGAGGTTTTCGGGAAAGACCTGAGCTTGATTAGTATGGGATTTTGAAGTAAGTAGCGATTAACACTTACAGCGAAGAGGTTGTCCAGGTAGAAAGGGACGTGCTTGGCAGCAACAGATGCGTTGTTAGGTATAGCGAATACGGCGAGAGCCAAGCTGTGAGCGGCTTCGAAGATTTCGAGGAGGTGGTTGTTTCCGCCGGCTGGAAGGTAGGGTAGTGCAGCCTGTATTAATAGGTCCTCGCTAAATTGTGGTGTAACGACGGTGGTAAAGAGTTCGGATGTATTTAGAAAGAATAGGTCTAGACATCGATCAAGCGGGTGACTGGGAATTTGACCGAGTTCGCTTGGCTTGATGCTTTTCAGGAAGTTCTCGGTCAAGTCAGGGTAATGGGCAAGGATGTCGACGGCCGCTAGCGTGACGAACTTGTGCTGGGAAGATGAATTTGAGCCGACGCGGGACGAGATAAAGTAAAGGTTGCGAAGAATGTGGAGGGTTTGCATCGAGATGTATGGTGCGCCTAACCAGCGTTAGAAACGAGGCGTCCTCATACATAATGGAGCTGCACTTACTCTTGTCCGAGGCTAGTGCACTGTCATTGATCACTCTCCCAAGGACCGCCCGAAGCACAATCACGATGGAGTACAGGCAACTGCGGAGTAGTTTCCAGAGTCCAGGAATTGTGTTCTTCAACGACTCGGGATCCAGGAACTCTGCCTCTTCCGCTCTGTCAACTTCTGATAGTTTATTCTGACGCCATTGTACCACCAATGTCCGGACAAAGTCTGCGATCTGATCAACTGATCGTGCGACGAGACCCGGATCTCGCACGTTTTCGACGGCGTGGGCTATCAATCGAGACAGCGGACCTAGCGCAGATATGAGTGGACTTGAAGAGACCGCTGTCATTCGTTGGAAAGTAGGTGATTGCTGAGGCCACGCAAATCGCTTTGCAGGTGTCTGCACAATGTCTTCGTCGACAGTACCAAGAAAATAGGCGCTTTGTAGCCCCTCCGGTGAGAGATATGTTGCCTGAGTCATGACTGGCAACAATCTGTCGTAGTTCAGCCGGCTCCTCTCGAGGTCAGATAAGAGCTCAAACGAGTAGTTCAGCACCATCGTAATACAATGACCATCAAGTCCGTCCTGCGAGGTCAATTCCTCCAAAGACAGCTGCGCAGCTGTCACAAGGGCAGACTCGAGCTTCTTCCGAACGTTCCACGGCAACCCCTGTCTGTCCTGTCCTTCGAAGCCCAGCAGAACGCCCCCAATGAGGAGGAGATGTCTCCACCGCGGCGACTTCTCATCGGCCCCGCTGACAACCGCTTTGACCCATTGTTCACGATCCAGCTTCTTACCCCCGTAAGGTATCCGGGGATCCCGCGATTCCTCACTCTGGAGGATAGCCATGGCGGCTGTGTTGAATACACTGATTATTCTCCGACAGGAGTGGAGATCGACCGACTGGTCCCATATTGCCGGAGCTGCCAGCAACTGTGAGGCAAGCAAGGTAATATTAAGTGGATTCTTGAGGACAGAGAGCAGGCTCGTTGCGGTTGGTAGCAAACTAGATTCTAAAGTTAGAAGTCGCATTCGATGAACCGAGGTGCTTATCGGAGGTGTACCTCAAGCCATCTTGGGCGTCAGACGGGGATTGAAGCGATCGTAGAAGAGCGCCCAAAGAGCGCTCTGTCGCCATAATGGAAAGCAAGTTCTATAAGAAAGGAAACGATGGCATGGACAAAGTAGTTGGGTGAATGCAAAGGAGCATCAACCGCGCGTTGCTATCAGCGGACAGTTACCGCGGACGGATCACCTGCCGAGGTTAGTCTGGGGTTGCGCAAACAGTGCAAACAGGCTCTTTCCCTGCTCCACCACATCAGCGGAAAGCTATCCTCAGCCCAGTCCTTGACAACAAGCTCCGGAGCTCCGCCAGCCATCATCAAGCCCGATATCATGGTGTCTCTGACCGCTCTACATTACCGGCTTCCTCCTTAACAGACGCCATTCTCGCAAACCGGATATGGCCAATAATCGCGTGCCAATCAACTACGTGACTCCTCCGTTTCCATCGCTCTATGATCCCTTCCCCGGCCGCAGCAATGTCGCGTTTTATCTCTACCATACTCAAGACATATGGCGTTTCACATTATACTGGACGCTGATATTCTATATGTCCTGTTACCTGGCTGTTGCTGCTTGTGCGCTCGCCCTGCAGGGTCGAAATTGGCGGATATGTTTAGCGGTGCCTATAGTCTATGCCGTCACGGGAGGCCTGGAAGCGCTTCTTGCCGGGAGTCTTGTTGGGCTTGTGTGAGTGGTGGTCCTGGGAGTTGGAAGTGATTTGAATGCGAATTGGTGCTAATAATTTCAGGATTGGCTCCGTGTACGAAGCGGGAAACTTTCGGATGTCTACGTGGATTCCTATCATATGGGGCGGCGTGAACATTCTAGTCTTGATCCTTTCGAGCTTTCCAATACCCGGGGGGCTATGAGTACAGCGTGAGATTTTGTAACCTATTTCATATCGACTAATACCTGACCCTGGCAGGCAGTCAGAATGTTGGTAGTAGGCCTTACTGAGGACATTACACCCGGCAACACATTCAGTAGGCTTCCATCAGCCATGATGGCCAATAGTCTAAACCGAATACAAGATATGACCACACTACTGGAGTCAACCAAGGTTTCTATCGTCTCACCTTTTGACCAATCGAGGTGTCTGGAACCAGGTCGGACAATAATGATAGACATATCACCTGGCATACAGAGCGCGATTCCAAATCCTTGGGCCGCCCACGGGGTGAATAACAAGTCAAAATCAACAACAGAATGTTGTGGGAAGACACCATTCACCTTGGATAGCGTTTGATTGAGTGATCAAACAAGGTTTGAGTCTGACTAAATCAATGACTTATTGTGATGGTCTTCGGACACATTGTCCGCAACCATGTCTAAAACTTTTCATCCTTCCATCCATGTGTTACTCGATCACCAAACTTTTACCTCAGTTTATTTTCACTTATTTCTCACACCGTCTTTCTCCCACTTGACTGAATTTCTCTGAAGCCTACCTATACTGCGCCCGAATCAAGACATACCCGTCACCGTCTCTTCATCAATTTTGACTAAGTCTAATCTTCCCACCATCGGCTCTCTACGGAGTGGACCTAGCAATATGACCCGTTCGTCGAAGCCGAAGCACGCGTTTCGAATCCACAAGCCAACCAAACGTCTCCAGGAGTTTGCGGGGAATCTGCAGAATGCTTTAACCAGGTGCCTTCCCACCGAGAATGAACAGCCATATGATAAAGTCTCCGTTTTGGCGCTTCACTGGTTCAACGATGATTTGAACGTAGTGCCATTGGAGCAGGAACTACTGGACGTGTTTAAGAACATCTATGGCTTCGATGTTGAATCATACACCATTCCAAAGGCCAAACCAGTGATATACCTAAATAACAAGCTCTCAAACTGGACTGTGGAATACAACGACAAGCGCACGCTGCGCATCTGCGTCTATTCCGGGCACGCCTCTCCGGCCGGGCCAACCGACGAACACTGGCACTTTGGGTATGTCTGCACAAGCCCGACGCCGAGAAGATAATACTCCGTACACTGAAAGCTAACACCTAGAGAATAAAAGTGGTAGAACACATTCCGATGGATCTCTGGCTGGTCCAACCCTAGACTGGAACCGGGTGAGAAGTACCTGTGAAATGGGCGAAGGAGATATATGCTATCTCTTTGATTGCTGCTCTGCGGGCTCAGGTGCTTTCTACGATGGCCCGGAGCTTATGTGCGCCTCCGGCTTCCAGCAAATTGCCGGGGACAATTTGATGTTCTCGTTCACCCGAGCACTGATAGATACACTGCAAGATCTGGACGGCCAACAGTGCACGATGGCTAACTTGTTTGCCATTTTGTACCGAAACTCGAGCCAGCACAATGTTAGCACAAGTCCGTTGCATGTGATGAGAAAGAACGCGCCAAGTATTGTCCTGCAAAAGCTCTCTACAGCACCTGAAGAGCGCACCTCATCCAAGACCATTTCAACACAAAGCGAGGATAAAGTCCTCATTTCTGTGCATCTCTCCGACGGTAGACCGAATTTACAGGCTTGGAAAAAATGGCTGACAGAAAACATTCCGGCCGGGGTACTCAGTGCGGAAATAAAGATTGAATCCATGTTTGAGAGCCGAAGCACCATCGCCCTCGTCACGCTTCCTCTGGAACTATGGACAGTACTGGATCCGACGGACGAGTCTTTCACCTTCATTGGCTTTGTCACGTCGAGCAATCGACTCGGAGGTGAATACGGGTCTCAGCTCCCAGCCCGCGGTCCGCCCGGCCCTCAAAGCCAGGAAAACACGCCCTTTGCGCATCACCGTGGGAAGTCGCTCGGCTAGACGTACCCACCTTGACGCAGAGTTGACTTTTCTTTTTTCTCTTTCAATATGCACTGCGTTGTTTGCTCCTCGTTTTGCAGTGGTTGGTTTGTTTTTCGGGGGGATATCTACACCTTGCCTTCATGTTCAGGCGGTTCTATGTTCAAAGCATAATAAGACAGTGCCAGTAATATTACGGATATCGTCGTTCTGAGCTATCTTTAAGTATAATGTTCCGAAATGTGCGCCGAATATGCAACTCCGTCCATGATTCGGGGACAGATAACCGCCACATGGTATGTTACAGCCGAATATACGACCACACCCTTCAGCAATGTCAAAACATCGGTCCGACAAATATAAACGTATGCGCCCACACCCAGATCTCAGCCGCAAACTGTATTACTTCTCATCACCGACCATAGTTTTTATCAGGAGGATAGCCACCCTGTAAGCCGGGCAGACCTCCACCGCCAGCCTGCGGCGGCATAGGAGTAAAGTGGTGAGGGAATCCGCGCGGCAGTGTGATACCCTGCGCAGCGAGCTGCTTCTGGAGCTCGGCGAGGTCCACGTTCACAGGCGGAGTTGCCGACATGGGAGGAGCGGCGGACATGGGAGGCGCAAAGGGGAACCCAGGGAATCCAGGATTCGGCGGGAACGCGTTTGGCGGTATCTGGCCCATAGACGCAGCCAGTCCGGGCGGCGGCGGAGGCTGTGCCCCGCCGATACCTGGGAGTAATGAACCTGGTCCGTCTGATTGAGGCGCGCTCTGGATACCAGGAAGACCTCCGGGGGTCTTCCTTTGATCGACAAGGCTGTCTGCTTCGTCTTGTAACTCCTGCTCCTCCTCTTCTCGCATTTGTCTTCTACCGAAGTTCCGGTTCCATGTCCCCTGAGCTTCGGCGGCTTCCTCCCCAATGTGGAACTTATCCTTCAAGTAGCTGGTCTCGCCGGGTCGAGCGCGCGACCAGAAACGGGTAAAGTTGTCTTTGGATCCGGACGCAAGAATGTGACCGAGAGGGTGCCAATCAAGGGTCCAAATGGTCGCACCGTGGGCGTATTGTACTCGGTGGGCCGGGTAGATTACCTGAGCGGGCGTGTTTGCTGGATCCGGACTGTCATATGGAGCAAGGGTTGGCAGCTGGCCCGCTGGCAAATTAGGCTCATCAAGCAAGTAATGGTATAATGATCCGTCTTCGCTGCCTGTAGAGATAAGAGAAGAATGGATAGGGTGCCATGTTAGCGTAGAAATCGGTTTTTCGTGGCCACGGAGAATGCAGATATCCCGCATCATGCGAAGATCAAATACGCGTGCTGTCTGGTCGCGTGAGGATGTAGCAAGGAGGTTGCTGTTCACCCGCGAAAACTTCGTCGCCGTCACGGTGTTTTTGTGGCTGTGAAGTGTCGTCAAGCAGATTGATGTTCGCGGATCCCAGAATTTGACTTGGTGATCTTTTGACCCGGAAACGAGCAGACCTTTCGTTGGGTGCCAATCGCACGATTTCACGTCCCAATTGTGGCCAGTCAGGACAGTATCGCATGTTCTCGCTGTGAAATCGTAGATCTTCAGTGTCGTGTCGTCGGAGGCGGAGAGAAATTTCGAGTCGCTCGGCGACCATGCCAAATCTCGTACAGCATCGTGATGCGCGTCATCTATCGTCTCAACGTTGTTGAAGTTCGGCCTCCAGTATTTCACATCGCCCTTTTGGCCTCCTGATATCAGCCAGTCGTTGCTATGTGACCACGCTAACGACGTAACACCTGCTTGTAATTGATCGTAGTGTGCCTGGACTTATTCAGCATTGCACCTTGTTCCGAACATCAATTCAACATACGTCCATGACAGTTTCGAAATTGAAAGCCGTTCCGTTCCATAGCATAAACTCTCCAGTATGTCCGCCCGTCAAGAGACGCCTCCCCTCTGGTGTCCATCTGATGACTGTAATCGGTTTCTTCGACTTTCCAATCGATTGGTGTAGATGTCGGACGGGGATTGAGTCGACCGGCGAATTCACGCGTGCGAGGGGAGGGAGCATCTAGACAAGAAAACGTAAGCCATGCAACCCACCTCAACGGCGTCGGTACTTACATCAACCGTGTAGCTTGCGCTTGGTCTCTCAAGCTCCATCCGGTGTCCGCCCTTGTATTTCGGTCGCCGGTTGTGCATCCATCGTACCATTGACGAGCCGTAATCCGTCACGAGTCCTAGAAGCTTTTAGCTGTTGCCGTGAAGAGGGAAAGGGCGCGGTAATAGGTGTAAAGAACGTACTCGGTCGGCGAGGTCCTGCAGTTCCACCTTGCCTTCCGAAAGGCTGTCCATCGTTTCCGGCGTCATCGTAATATGCCATCGCGACAAGCCAGGCCGCAGCTGGAGGCGCAAGTTAAGGAAAGCAATCGGCGAACTCCGCGACCATGACCGGAATAAGACAGACGGGGCGGCGAAAATACAAGGCAAGCGGGCTAGAATCACTCTCAAGCCCAGCTGTGAGATAAGAAGCAGCGATATCCACAACGTTGTGGAAGGCGTCTGGAACTTTGGACAAAGGGACGACTGACTTTGAGCAGTGCGTCGCGTGGATTGGCGGGCGACGTGATTGGGCCGGGCCAGAGCTGGCAGAACACTAACTCTAGCGGCCGACGTAACATCGCCGACTGTTCCAAGTTCCAGGTTCGCCAACGTGAGCTCTCAGTCGCTGCGTTCCAGCTAAGGCCATGCACGGTCGAGCAACGGCTCTCTCCTCCCCTGTCCCTTAGTCGAGGCCCTTGCTCAACTTTTGCGGCGATGCGCCTCTTGATAACCCCGCCGCCCTGCTCGCTTGCTCTCACTCCCTCCTGTCATTCCTCAACTCTGTTCTAGGCGGCTGCCTACCATAGCACGCTTGGCTTTCTGCTGCCATCAACAGGTCGCAAAAGATCTTGCCTCTGTCATTATCCTTATCCAATGTTCTGAGTCCATCTCCACTCTAGATCGCACAGGGCTGAGTGGGAAGATTCGGCCCCTCAGCTCCCTTGACAGCTATTGATAACAGTTGTTTGAAGTTTTGGGATATTAACTATTTATTCGACTTAACCTTTTATTTTGATTCCATTTACAACTGAAATCGCGATGGTGAATGTCGTTGAAGCCCCTTCGTCGCCTCCTTCTTGCATGACGAATGGCTCCCGGGCCAATGCCGATACGACCCGTTCTCCCAACGGAACGCATCGCACGTCCCCTCAGAGCTCCGACAAAGGGCCAAAGAATTCCGCGGTCGGGAGAATCGCGACATATCGGCATGTTGTAGCTATACACTCGCAAGTGCGGCACTCATGCCTCAGCCGAGATTCCACCACTACCCCAAGCTTCATCGGGTTTAGGAATCTCACGGTTGTTGTGCTAGGTAAAGCAACTATCCGGAATGTCTAGGCATCTTGACTAACACTATGTTTAGTTGCTATGAATCTTCGACTGGTTATCGAAAATTTCCTCAAGGTGAGGGTTTGACGTAATCTTTGCATGCGGAGCTAACTTCCGCCTAGTACGGTGTATTGATCTGCATCAAGTGTCACGACTACCGCAAGCAAGACGTCGTGATTGGGGCGATATTCTTTGGCCTGGTTCCTTGTCAGCTGCTATGTTCGTATTTCATCGAGCTAGCCGCGTCAAGACATGCTGTACGGGTGATCGGTCGAGCGAAGAAGACAGACAAGGTTTTGAACGAGTCAAAGAGGCTTTGGTTTGTTATCGCGCTGCTGCATTCTATCATCAGCTTCTTCGGGCTAGCCGTGACAAGCTACGCTATCTACTACTATGTCAACCATCCTGGGATCGGTACGCTCTGTCAGATCCAGGTGATCATAGTGTCCCTCAAGTCATACTCCTATGCATTGACGAACCGCGACCTGCGCCGTGCCATGCTTGGTTCGCCTTCGACAGACTTTGAGATCCCGGAACTCTACAAGTCCTGCCCGTATCCTCGAAACATCACTCTTGGTAATCTGGCTTACTTTTTGCTGGCGCCGACACTCGTCTACCAGCCGGTGTACCCTCGAACACCTCGCGTTCGATGGTCTTTTGTTGGAAAGCGCATGTTCGAGTTTGTGTGTCTCGCGGTGGTGATCTGGTTGCTCTCAGCTCAATACGCTGCGCCGCTTCTTCGCAACGCGACCGAGAAAATTGCGGTCCTGCACTTTGGATCGATTCTGGAGCGAGGACTGAAGCTTTCGACTATCTCCTTGGTCATCTGGCTGGCTGGATTTTATGCGCTCTTCCAGTCACTGCTCAACGGACTTGCTGAAATCATGAGATTTGGAGACCGTGAGTTCTACACGGACTGGTGGAATAGTCCGAGTTTTGGCGTGTACTGGCGCTCCTGGAATCGCCCGGTTTACACTTTCATGAAGCGGCACGTTTATATGCCACTGGTCACTCGGGGCTGGAGCTCGACTGCGGCGGGCACCGTAGTTTTTGCGGTCTCTGCGGTGCTGCACGAAGTTCTCGTCGGAGTTCCAACACATAACTTGATCGGTATGCTCGAATGATATTATAGTTTCAGAACCAAGCTAACGATCAGCAGGGGTTGCATTCATGGCAATGCTGTTCCAATTGCCTTTGATTCTTCTAACCGCGCCGTTTGAGAAATTCAAAAGTCCTCTTGGGAAAGCGATTGGAAACTCACTTTTTTGGGTGACGTTTTGCGTCTTGGGACAGCCTCTTGGCACCCTGCTGTATTTCTTCGCGTGGCAGGCCAAGTATGGCAGTGTTAGTAGGGCACAGTCGTGATCAGCAAGCGTTGGAAATCACCGGGCCTTTTTGAACAACAAAAGAACGGGCCCGGTTTCGTATGGCTCATTTCAAGTGAACAGCAGGTTTAGACGTTCATCGAAGACAATCGAAGCGGTCCTTGTGGACAAGTATACTTTTCCTTTAGCCGCGGTCCGCAGACCAACCATCTCGTTTCGAGAGTGCAGCTTGCAGGTCAACAGCTTTAGTGTAGATTGTAGAGTTCAATTGGAGTACGAAACTCGACAAATAGTACGGCCAGAAATCACCGGATAAAAGCTGTGCGTAGTTCCCGTGCTGCCTGGCCCCGGAACTGGGGCGCCCGTGCGATCGTCCGGATGGATTCTTTCCCCCGGCTTCCGATCGATGTCAAGTATATAGCTTGCCCTCCGCCCTCCCAAAATAACTTCCTCCATCACGCCATTGACATAGCGCAAGACGAATCCCTATCCAATCCCATCACTCAGTCTTTCTGTACTTTGAGCCTCATAACACCGACTTACTATACACGCCGCAATGGTAACCATCACTGTCCCCGAAGGCTATGGGTACGTCACTCTCAAACTACGTCGTACAATGCGCTCCCTCACTCGCTAATGCTATGCTTTTTCTTTCTGCCCCGCAGCCAAGTTATTGCCGTTGCCCTCGGTATAATTCCTGTCCTCGGCTTTATCCACGGTACTGTGGTTGGCAGCTTCAGAAAAGCAGCTGGTGTTCCCTACCCACACACCTATGCGACCGTCGAACAGACTAAATCGAACGTACGTCTCCCAGCACCTTTTCCTCCCCCTTGCCGCTTTCTATCAATCTATCTCCGAAACAAACTAACATACGCCCTGCAATAGCCCAAGGCCTACCAGTTCAACTGCGCCCAGCGCGCGCACGCCAACTTCCTCGAGAACGCACCGCAGACCATGCTCTCGATCCTGGTTGCGGGCCTGAAGTACCCGCAGCTTGCGACTGCTCTGGGCGGCGCATGGGTGTTCTTCCGCATTCTGTTCCTGCATGGCTATGTTTACACCAGCAAGCCACAGGGAAGGGGACGGTACAACGGTGGTCTGTTTTGGATTGCACAGGGGGCGCTCTGGGGGCTCAGTGCTTTTGGAGTTGCCAAGGATCTCTGGTAGAACTGCTTCCCAATGCACGGGATGACTTCTTGGAATCTTGGTGCGATCTGAGGGATTTGTACACTATCTATTGATCGACAGTTTTCTGTTCGCAATTGCATGAAATTGACACGCCATTGTTTTGATTGGGGTCTTGGCAAAATTAAGTGCTTATCTTACTTATCGGCGCAGATGCAGATCGGGACGGAGCAAAAATTCCACCGGGGGTGGGGGGCTTTTTTTTGACCACCCCGCAACAGCTTCATTTCACTTGACCCAATCTTGCCCTACTTTTGAGTATCTCTACCGATTGTTTCACATAGAGAGCCTCTCATAATGTCCTCGAAATCCCATCTCCCCTATGCTGCCCGCGCGGCAAACCACCCAAACCCCCTCACCAAAAAGCTCTTCTCCATCGCCGAGGAGAAGAAGACCAACGTCACCGTCTCCGCGGATGTCACGACGTCAGCTGAGCTGGTGGACCTGGCAGATCGTACGTCTCTGGCTGAACCCCTCTCTTACCTGCTTAACTCTGTCCAACTGATCTCCGCCTAACAAAATAAAACACACAGGCCTCGGCCCCTACATCGCCGTCCTTAAAACCCACATCGACATCCTCTCCGACCTAACCCCCGAAACCCTCTCCTCGCTCTCCGCCCTCGCCCAGAAGCACAACTTCCTCATCTTCGAAGATCGCAAATTCATCGACATCGGTAACACAGTGCAAAAGCAATACCACGGCGGCGCCCTGCGCATCTCCGAATGGGCCCACATCATCAACTGCGCAATCCTGCCCGGCGAGGGCATCGTCGAAGCCCTTGCGCAGACAGCCTCCGCCTCGGACTTCCCCAACCCGCAGGAACGAGGTCTGCTCATCCTCGCTGAGATGACGAGTAAAGGGTCCCTTGCGACGGGCGAGTACACGGCGCGCTCGGTCGAGTATGCGCGGCGGTATCGCGGGTTCGTTATGGGTTTTGTCAGTACGCGGGCGTTGACCTCTGTGGGGCCTGAGCCGGCGACTGTCGAGCATGATTCCGAGGACTTTGTGGTGTTTACGACGGGGGTCAATCTTTCGAGTAAGGGGGATAAGTTGGGGCAGCAGTATCAGACGCCTGAATCGGCTGTTGGCCGCGGTGCCGATTTCATTATCGCGGGGAGGGGGATTTATAAGGCGGAGGATCCAGTGGAGGCTGTCAAGGCGTATCGTGAGGCTGGGTGGAGGGCGTATCTTGACCGGATTGGCGGGGACGCGTGATTTTGTGCGTTTCTTGCATTGATCCGCAGGAGATGGGATGAGAAAAGTCTACGATTCATGCTAAACTTGTCTTAGAATCATATATATGAATGGCTACAATGCCGAGCGAATTTACCTGATGAAGCAGGGATTGCCGAAGTTGCAACCTCTAAATGCTACATGCCTATAAAAGACCTATATTACGCAACCTATCAACCAGACTCAACCCTGCCAACGCACTGGACGAGTATAGACTTGAATAACTTGAGTCCATGCCACCGAACATCGGGATCTCCACAACTTGACACCTCAAGGCATAAAAAGAGCAACGGAACAGATCGGAGGGGCCCGGACTCGTCTCGATCGCACATAAAGGTCTTGGCAAGACGTCGGTCCAACGTGAGCCATGCCGGTCGGGCTTCATACATATGTCCTGTCGACCTCTCTCTTTCAGTGGCCAATCACTGTCTTGCCCTCAATCAGCTTGAAAGTGCGCAGTCCTTCAGCGTGAGTTGAATCGAGTATAGGTTGGTTTTATTATATCCGGTGGTTCGATCTCTCGCAGGCATTGCATAACTCAGTTGGCATGATCCAGATATGTGAGGTAGCTTGCGTCGACAATTGGCCCGACGGGACTCTGCCTCCTCTAAGAGCGGCGAGTAAGAGGAATCGGAATTGGGTCCTGGTTGCCCACTCCACGCACCTGTATCTGTACTGGCTGAACCCAGCAGAACCGGGCGCATGCGATGCACCATGCGTTGCCTAGTCGACAGGAGCGTTAGATACTGTTCTACAGTGACCTGATTCGAGGGTACTCGCGCGAGAATGCGCATGGGGTGCAGGTTACCGAGGCAGATACGACGTTGGAGTTTATCGACAGCATTCGAATCATGATATCAAGGCATCTGGCAAATCTGATGATGGTCTTACCATCGCCCAGCTCTCCCTGTCATACCCTGTGCGAGGACACAGGCCGTATGTTCCTGGACAGTGCAAGATATACCAGGCTGTCAGATTCCATGTGCCTGTTTTAGGGCTTACTGCCGAGTAAGCTATACTTCTGGCACTGCCTCCTGTTGGATAATATGTCCGTCTGACAAGGTTCCCTTTGCGCTTTGACCGAAAATTTAACTCGAGAATCGGGCAGCATCCCATCTGTACGACGGCTATGCGCAAAAATGGAGGGTCATTTGGTCGTAATGGTGGTGCGCGTGTACTCATCAATGTCGGGAGAGTCACACAGACCGATCGGTGACGAGCAGGACTATATAAATAGGCGCGAGGCTTCAACTTTCAACTAGGAGTTACTTAACGCAACCACACAATATGCAAGCCTTCACGGCATTCAAGATGAATCTATTCAAGCTCACATCCTTGTTTGACTTCTCGCAGCGGCTTGGGCTGCTCCTTCCCCAAATGTCAATCTGGGCATTAGGCTAGTTCGCATTACTATCCAGCACCACCGGGCAACCTTGCAGACGTCACTCGTTATCACAGACACAACTACATAGGAGGTCCTCGCATCTACCTGCCTTGACACTCTGAGATCTCACTCCACTGATGGCCTGGTCTCCGTCGATCTCGACTCCAACAGTGCCGGGAACATTATTGTTGACGCCCAAACCTACCTCGTGCATGAAACCCCGATATATCCGGCGGCGTCACCCGCATGTGCATCTTCGATACCGAGGAAATGCTTATTCGATGCGATGACGTTCCCGTGCCGCTATCTACGCTTCCACCCACAGCTCTCGGTGTGAAGGAGGACTGCTTCGCAGATGGAGGGACTGGAATCTCAATGCGCCATCAAAATGTCGCAGACGCTTCGCTTCCCAGATTTCCGAGCACTTCTCCTTCGAGGAAATACAGAGCCCCGTGAGTACAATCGAAGACTCTGAAGACAACGACTCTCCCCTCCATGAACGCCAAACAAACCCATGCAGTATCTGGAGCGACAGTACCAGGCTAGTTGGAAACGGCGACCCGCATCAGAACTATCGCTACATGCAGATTAGTGTAAGTCAGTGCCGACCCGAAAGTCTTCTAATGGATCTTCCATACGCAGGTCACTATAACTAAATGAGTGCTGACGTACGTATCATATTCTAGCAAAACATAGCGTGCGGTACCGCCCCCTCCTTCTTCGTCGGCTACCAAAATACCAAATCCTTCACGACCAGCTGGCCCGCCTCCTCCGCAAACGTCTCCTGGATCTCCGGCGGGTTCGCCGTGACTAAGACCTGGAGCACGGGCAACTCGTACACATGTACCGCGGGGCGCCACGAGACGGTGTGTATCTGGTGAACACGGCTCATACGGCGTATACGGTTAATCGAGGATCATATAATCAGTGCAGGGGCATTTACCCTGGGAAGCAGTATATCCTGTTCTAGCCGAATCACAATAATAAGGGCGGCGGGTATCATTGTGTTGTTGGGACTTGTTGGAGCCAGGGGGAGAGATATTGGGTTAAGAGTGGGAGGGCTGGAGGGCCTTGAGTACTGACCTCTGAGCTATGGGATGGAGAGATACAGCTGAACATGGAGAGAGGGATGCACATGTTATCGCTTTTGATTTATTAGAGCTCCTGCGGACTTGTAGGACATTTGCATGTCGAACGCTGGTGTAGCCGGGAGGCTTGAGAGAAAATCTCTCAGTGAGTTGCTTACTTTCGTACTTGAGGACTGCTCCGAGTTTCAAAGACAGCATCGTCTATAGTTTATACCTAGATAGACTGCAGTCATCTTATAGTATCCTCCTCAGCTGTAGCTGGTCTGATAGCGCCATCCATGAACACTGTTTGATAGGAAGATTGGACATTGAGTAGCGTCTAAGTGAATATACAGAGATGCATGATTCAATTCTGCGAGAACAAAATCTAAGATCTAAACACACAAGCACAGTCGTCCACGTTAGACCAGACACGGCCGTGAGAACCAAAGATTAAAAAAGTCGTAGATTCTCCACGAGAGTAAAGCATATAAGAGAACAGTACGTACTTCTCCTGCAGCTTAGGGCTAGAATTCCCACCACCTGTCACATACAATATGGAGGTCAGCCGTAGATAGGTCGATCGGGAGAGTTCAACATAATCAGGGCAGTACTGCGCTCCTGCCTGATGAGGTAGCAGTATCTTCCTGTCCGGTGTTCTGGCTGGGTACCGCAACGAGCAGTAATTCGCGGTCATCTTCGATTCTGTCCGGAGTGGCAGTATTATTATTCTCGCGGCTCTGGGGGAGTGGAGTATTCTCATTGATCTGCTCAATACTTCTCGGAGTGAAGCGCTCTCTGACCCATTCGTTCCAGCGATGCCACTTTTCGAATTTCTCTTGAGCAGAGTCTGGAGAGACGAACCGATGTATCAGTCAATCACGGGTCCATCCATCGACATATCATGGAAGGAAGAAAGGAATGCACGCAACCGGAAAGAGATACTAGCCATTGAGAATAAACAGCAACTCAGCCGGGATAGGCGCCCAAATGAACAAAGCAGCAAACTGTCCGAAATTCCAGTTAGCATCCTTGAACTGGCTCCCGATCACGGCGCGGAGGTGTTTCCTTTGTCGCCACATCATCGTCCGTCCAAAGACCATGCCCGCGACTAAGAGGCCGACCATCACGACCCATAGATATGTGACCACAGTGAGGACTCCGCCGGCCATATGTAGCCGTTTCGGTTTCCGATATTTGCGCTTCAGCGACTGCAGCCAGAACACGAGTGTCCCTGCCACGGCGAATATGACAAAGGTCCATGAGGGGCAGGGCAAAGGATTGATGACTTCGTAATCCCTCGACGTATGTGCGCAGGCATCATATTCTCTCTGCTATCGCTACCAAGTTCACTATCACTCATTGCGGCGATGGTAACGGCGAAGTCGACGAGGTAAAAAAATACGCGTGCCGCCCAGCGGAAAAGCGGTTGCGTGACCGCCATGCAGAAGAAGGTGACTCCGAGGTTGTTGATTTGGAGGAAGGCCATGGCTTGAATTTCGGCTATTTCGAATGTAGGGAGGTCTTTGGAAAGGTGGGCGAGGGAGGCCATCGCGGACGAGGCGATGAAGAAGCCGTTGCATTGTGAATATGACAAATTGTACGTCCTTGAGGCTCATTGTGAACTCGTTTCCTGCTGCGAGGGTGAGATAGCATAGTCGGTATCCTGGGCCCAGGAGGATTGTGAGTTTGGTATACGCGGTCATCATATATTGCGGAAACCATGCTGTTAGCCTCACATTAAAGGCGTTTATTATCGACGGTAAACAGGACAGAATGGTAAGGTATACTCACCCCGATTCCTGACAAGTCAGGATTCCCCACTCAGAAGGTGAGAGGACAGAGGTTCTGGCAATGCCGTACCCTCGTCTGTGATATCGAGGTCTTCTGCAGTTGCATGGTCGAAGAAGTCTTGTATGGCGGTAAAGTTGCATCGGTGGTTGTGATTAACAGTAGTATTGGTGGCATTGCATCTCGTTAGATGGTGAATTTCTCGAGTGCCTGGCGTTGAGCTCCTTCCCGTCTTGAATGGCGGATGATGATATTTGCCTGAGATTCCGGCGGCGGGCGATTATTTGAAGGAGGCTCAAAGCCAGTCAGCCTCACAACCTGGTCCATAATTAGCAGAGGGATGGAGAGCGTCAGGTCACGACCGCTTCCTAAGATAGTACTACCTGCTTGGTAATACGGACCGGAATTGGAGTCAGAATAATAAAACCACGTCTGAAGCAACGGACTTTTCTACTCGTTATCTATCCCTCTCAACACATAGCATCCGCACACTTGTCGCCTTATTTCGGTAAATTGCACAGACATACATCGCAACCACAGGATCCGACTGCACCCGGGTTCTGGTGATATTACTCGAGATAAGTAAGAGGTAGTACCTAGGCAGTCCCACCTTGAGAGCTGAGCCCAGCTAGGTCCAGTCCCGCAAGTACTAGTATTGCCTCAGGCCAAGCTTTGGTGAAGGACCCGATCTTTGCCCATGGAATGGTAGGTATCTATATAGTACCTGCTTTAGAAGATCAACCACCTTTGAGATGGTGACTTTGGCCTCTAATTACTTTTAGAGATCCTAATAGTTGGATAACACTTGCTATTCTTTCCTTTTAGAAACGCTATGAATTGGCGTCAACAAGGATGAATGTACGTGGAGGACCATCATTCTCTGATGAAGGGGCGGTAACACATGACTCTTCATTTTCTCCTCTCTCTGACCTCCACCTGTTCATAACTTCCCCTTTTGCAAGAATTTCTAGATCACTACTTCAGCGAGAGTCCAACCTCCTCATTCACTCTTTCACTTTCCTCCAGAGCAAATGCTGCTCCCGTTTCCGGTTGATTTCCCCTCTCACCGACTTCTGGCCTCGGTTAGGAGACAAGCACATTTGTCCTGACGCTCAATAGGTTAGCTCGTCTGTGATGAGAATGGGACGATCTCTCCGTGCTAATCCTGAACAGCAGCTCATCAACTTCGCCGAAACATAGACTCGCCGGCTGAAACCCGAATCAGAAAGAGAAGACAATGGCACTAGGCAGAACAATGCTCTACAAGGGGTTGGAATCCTTCCTCGAAGTGACCACGAGTTAGCAAACGAGTCTCTCGATCCCTTTCGGGCAGCTCCCTGACAGTCCGCGGCCCCGCATCGGCATGGAAAAGAGTGATGGAACAAGGAATGGGGAAAGTTTACACACGATAGGTTGCTGGTCGAGATAAAGTCCGCACTCATGGCAATGCCGATTGCCGCCGGTTTGGCGTCGAAGTGCGGTTGACCTTATCTCCCCAGTCCGGTATGCCAGAGTCCCTGCAGCATCAGCTCGGGGTCGAAGTTTTCAACGGCACAACGTCTGTATGGCAATTAGCTCAACCATTGCATCTCCAAGCTACAGACTAGCTAACAAATGTGAGTGAAGAGCTCCAAGCTAGAACTTTCTATGAACCCTCTCTATCACGCCCGCAACCGGTTCTCTCGCGCCTTGCAACCTCCTCTAGTTGCTCGCTATCTCCGCTGTCTCCGCTGCCTCCGCCACCATTGCTTGATCCTTGAACGACTCCAGCTACTTGTATTCCAGTGAAGCCTGAACTTGTTCCCCTACAACCCTCAGTACTTTCGCTCACTGTTTGATGTTGTACACATAAACCCAATCGCTAATTGCATTGATAATGGCACATGGGAGCTTGCCGCCGAGCCATGGAGCTCTCTTAACTTGGAACAAGACTATGGCTAAGCGCTGGCATAAAGGAGAAGCTAGAGGTTTACAATTGGCTTGCGCAACGTTTCTTATACCGCTGCTACTTCGTGTTTGCAGCGGCTGGATGTCCAATCTTTATCAGGTGGACGTCTAGGTCAATACGGTCGCGCCGACCACCTGCCTCTGCGGCAGCCTGTGCGGCGTGGCTAGGGCTTGCCACAAAAGTGGTTAAGACATTGGATAATCTACCTTTGACGAGCCTATTATATAACTATTTGTTGGCCCTTCTCCTCGCTTCTTTCGTCTTCAACGTCTCTTATATTAAGAAGTGAGCAGAACTCCTTTCCCAAAGACTCTATCCTCTCGGGCCTTCAGATTCGATGGGCATGTCCGCAATGACGTATGAAGTGGAAAATATACTGGCCTGGAATTATACTGACCGGATGAAGCGGGACAGAAGGGACGATGGGAGAAAATACAGCTAATTAGGCAGCCGAAGCAGATGGGCTTATTGCACATTTGAATGTCCTTGAACTGTGCGCCAGCTTCCACAATGACGGCAATGGATGGGTACCTTCTATTTTGGGAAGTAACAACTTGCAGCAGGTGCCTGACCGGCCATCCCTTCCACTTGAAGTAGGAACACGAGCAGACTGGTTTTCCAACAACTCCCACCACCTCATTCCTTTTCTTTCCCCAGCTTCAACCTGTTACCCTGTCCTTGCTATCACCCTCGGTAGCATTTCTACCAGGGACTAACCCTCCAGACGACTCTGACATCTTTACTACCCGAACCTGTTACCCTGTCCTTGTTATCACCCTCAGCATTTCCACCAGGGACCAACTATCTTAACCTTCCCATAACCTGGCAGCGATCTACCGCATCGTGGCAAGATGTTGAAACGAAGCGCGGAACAGACGCTCGGAAGAAGTCCCAAGAAAGCGAAATTACAGGTATGTAAGCAACTCCGGAAATCCGGTGTACGTCAATTTTAACTTTAGGCAACAGACAGTTGTCGGAATAATCTACCGCCCTGACCTCGTCAGCAGCGGCGATTCTGACTCACTTCACCAAGACCTCATCTCGACTCCTATCAAACTACACGACAAGGGAATTTTGGGCAACGATATGGGCGAACGGCTCCTCGGGGACATGGAGACCATCATGGAGACACTGGCGACAATCAAAGCCGACCACATTGCTCTCAAAGCCGACCACACTGCTCTCAAGGCCGACCACATTGCTACCGAAGGCGACCTCTGTGAACTTAGAGCAAAAACCGGTAAACTCGAAGCCGAGAGCGACGAAATGCAGACGCTCATGTCGTCGACATTCCCAGTACGACAAAAGATACTGGAAGAGCAAGTTGGCTTTCAGGGACGCAGTCGACAAAAACTACTTGCCAAGCGAAATGCTGAGGCACATGGAGGAAACATCATTTCGGACTCGTTCATGTTGCGACTCAAAGCCGCTTCCAAAAGAGAGACGACGGAAGACGCGCAGCATGAGATGACCGCATGGAAAGTAGGATTCAAAATCTGTTATCATGTTGAACCTTGGAAAGGCCGGTACTCTCATGTTTCTGATGATAGCGTTGTTCACCGAATCCGCAGCGCGCCAAAGGCTGTTGTTGAAGCCTTCAACATGCACGCTAATTGCGTTACCTTGCAAGCCTTTCAGAAGATTTCCGCCGAACGCCGGTCAACATTCAGGGATAAATGCCGTGCCTTTGTCAAGCCATGGATTGAGCGAAGACGCATAGATACGGAGAGTCTCGACACGGAGTTGGAGGAAATCGTTGAGGAGTACGATGACATAATGGGTATGTCGGTCTAGATGTTCGCCGACCTTGCTTATCTCCTGTAAAGTATCTTTAAACGACAGCAACTTAATTTATTGATTCTGTCTGCAAAATCTGCCCCTGTAGAAAAGAATGACTGTTGGGTAGTGTACTCCGTAGACTAGTTTCTCTCAGCTCTACCTAGACAATGGTAACGCTGTTGTGCTAACCCTCCCGGTGAGACATGCTGGGTAGCAATCATCCTTGCCTTCCGACTATTCTACAAAACCTGTTCTGTGGCAAGCTCGATGGATGGTGTTGTTATTTCTGCGCAACTGTACCCAGCGTGATGCGCGGCGGTTGGACGGACTTGCGGAATTAAGACAAGGGTCATAAAACAGTCATATGGAACGATGGAGGAAATGGGACTATACTGAGAGGAAAGCAAGATTTGATTCCTAAAACTTCAAAGTGGAAAAAGAAAAAAAAGAACAAAATGCCAAGTAGCTGAGATCAGACCACGCTTGTCTCGCTCAGGCCAAGCGAAACCCAGTATGCATAAGATCAGAGAGTTCAGTGGCAGAGATAGTCGACTAGGAGACTAGGCTAAAACTTGCTCGAAGCTGTTGTTGGGCACCTTTAGCTGCTGCTCAAGTTGACTACAGTCCCCTCGAATGCTTATGAGGCAGTTTTTCCCCTGGTGCCATTGATTGAATCAGACGTTGGTACATTCGGTAACCCTGCGACTGGTTAAGGTCGCCCATTCCACGGTGCCCAACGACAAGCAGGCCATTTCTGGCTCTGCTTAGAGCAACGTTGAGGCGGTGCTGGCCCGTGAGGAACCTCAGTCCAGACTTCCCTCCCAGGCGAGTCGTCGACAATATCACAATGTCGCTTTCTGCGCCCTGCGTCGTGTCCACGGTGCAAACGGTCACATCTGGTTTCCCAAGAAGGCCTTGGATCGCCTTCTGTAATATCTTCCGTTCTTCGTTATAGAAGGTTAAAACCATTATACTGGCTCCCTTGATTTGTCCGTCTTGTGTGAGCCAAGAAACTAGGTCAACAATCGCGCGCACATATTCCGGATTGAAGAAGCTATTGCCGCCATTGCGCTTCCATAATGTCGCGCCATCAACAGAAAAGAAATAGGATGCCCCTGCTTGACAAAATCCATATTTCTTCTCGATAATCTTGGCAAAGGTGGCAGCTTGTGGGCGAGTTGTAGTGAGATCATTTTCGAGCGGGTGTTGTGAGTAGAATTCTGAGCTAACGAAAGCCGAAATAGCAGGGTGCATCCAGTACTGGCGACGGAGTACTTATTGAGCCCCGATAGGTTCAATCTTTCAAAAAGAGGCATCCGTTCGGAGGAGAGGAACTCGTTGTTTCCTCGGGATGTAACAACCGGCGGCAGTTGCGTGGCGTCACCGCTCATCACTGCTTTTCTGAGAGTAGAAAGAAATCGCATAATCGGAATAAGACACGTGGTCTCAGGGATCTGGCTGGCCTCTTCGATGATGAGGACTTGAGGGCTAAAAAGCTGCAAAGCCTTGCGGCTAATGGTGGCCGTGGTGCAAAAAAAAAAAACCTTTATATCTCACAAGTGGAAGGCCTGCAAACATTCCCACGCACTTTTGTGCTCTCGCACAGGTGTTTCATGGTTGTCTGTGGGTGCCGTTCCCGATTGTCCGGGGCATAATTGGAGATCTGCTGAGGATGAAGGAAATTCGGCCTCTTTGGCGAATAGAACGCCGGCCTGGGAAAGTAATCTCTCGTCCGTCAGGTACACCCAGATGAGGGTGTGCTCTTCCCGGCTTTGCGGGGTTGTTTGCCCTGTCCAGCGTCACGAAAAGTGGCATTGGGCTGACCAAAAGTGAAACGGGCTGTGAGATGAAGCACTGACCGTACCTAAACACTCTGAGGCTTTTTGATAGCGCATGCAAATCTCATTCGGCTCCGATTCGTGGCGGGGAAGAACTGGCGTTGGGACCACTACCCCAACCCATTTATTAGACGCCTTGGGGCCCTCACCGAAGAGGGTTCGCGTCTTCTGAATGGATTGGCGCCACGTCGACAAGCTGAACGGGTGTTCCAGGTTCTGGAACGCCATTGCCGTCGTCGATGATATTGTCAATCATCTTGTTGTCCTCAGGACGGAGGATTGCATAGAGATACTGGTCTAGAGACTTCGTATCAACCCCGAGAACGGTGGAGGCAGGATAAATATCCAATTGATAGACCCCGTTCCGTCAAATCTGAGATTAAGGAAAGTAGATAGGCTGTTGGTGATTGGCGACGAAAAAGTACGCTTGAAAATAATGAGAAATGGAAGGACGAGGGAGGCAGGTCAGACCGGGAAATTCATGGCAGTTTTATAACCGTGGAGAGTGTAGTAGAGGTGAATCTGAAAGTAATTGCATGGACCTCTATCAGATTATTTCAGCTATGAGGTGAACAAGGAGAAACAAGAGAAAAGTAATTCACCACAATTAGTCGAGACGCCTGGACTGCTTTCCAAATGGCCTTGGCACACCTCTTCCACGTAAAAGGTGGGCCTGTATAGGCCTGTAATCTTTACCGTGTCTTCATCATGAGGTTCCGAACTCTCAGGACTGGTGTCCGATTCTGATGGCGATTCTGCTCTTGGTGCTTCCTGTTTTACATCGAGAGCTCTTCTCCTGTTAGCCGTGAAGGGCGGATTAACTTGAAAAAAGAGATTATACTGCAAAGGTGTTTTATTCACCTTGCCTCACTACCTAGATTCCGCTCCGCGACCCCCAAGTTCGTCCTTGCCGCTTAAGCAGGGCTACTACGGGGTGGAAGAAACAAGTGAATCGTAGATGGGTAAACTGGGACCAGCTGGGCTACCTGGTGAATTGGTCCGGCCGACCGGACCAGAATAGCCAGGGACCTAAGAACATGATGGAAAACGGAAAGGAGGGTGTGAGGAGAAGAAAGGTATGCCCAATGTTGAAAGAAGAGAAGAGGATCTGCAGCTTTGGAATATAGTCTACGGCCTCTTGAGCAGACCCCGTTAGCCTCACAACTTACCCACATGTGTGCATGGTCTTTCCACAGCCGAGTTATACTCGAGTGAATAGAAGATAGATGCTTGGGTGCTTCTATACCTACTTGATCTAAGCCACACATCCAGGCGCCCCAACTTCCGAACGCCGTCCTGACAGCTTCTCGTCCTGCCTCTTCGTGTGGCCCCTCTCATGCCTCGTGATCAGATTATTTGGTATGCAGCCCTGTCATCGAATATTGTCCGCTTTATCCACCCGTCTGATATCTTCAGGCTGTCACGACATCACGCGGCATAGGCCCAGTTAGCATAGGCATACTTAAAGCATAAATTTAGTGTTATACTCGCTTTTCTATTGATTTGACAAGGGTGAGCTAGCGGGAATGTAACTCGCCCTACTACGTAACTGAAGTGTGTGTGCCTCTTAGCAAACTGCAGCCAAATGAGCAAGAAAGGTACTTACCGGGACCCCGGCCCCTGATGTCCGAAAACCCATGTCCACTCCAGCCGTTCAATCAAGACGGAACAGACTACTCGATTGATAGTAATTCGGAGCCAGGATGTAATATGCAGGACCTTTTAGTAACCTCGAAACCAGGACAAGGACGTGGTGTACTTACGTCGACCCCGCCACCCGGTCCACTCGAACGTCTGCCCAGTCTCCCACTGGGCCACGGTTTGATCACGTCAATAAGTGTCGCGGCTGCAAGGTAGTTCAGATTTCTTGGTGCTGACCACTCGGCCACCTTGCCTGTATGGATGAAGGGAGTGTTGACTTACCTACTCATAATGTGGCTTGTTGTCTGGCGGCTTCGTGTCGGGTATCGATCAGCCTCTGCGTCTCCACCATGTCTCTCTTGCGCTCGCCAGGTCAATGTGTAGATATTTTCCGGGTTAGCAAAGTGAACACAAAGACGTGAGGAAGGAACACACTCACAAGCTCCTCAACGACAACCTAATATCCCATGCCCAGCCCTGCCACCCTATCAAGGCACAGGTCAACGAAGTCGCATCAAGCGAGGAGCCTAAAGTAGCGTCAGCAAAATCTCCCGTGGCCGAAATAGAACCCAGAGCGGGTCACGTAGAGGGCAAGAGATGGAGGTAGATTGGACGAGATAGAGACGGATAGGGAGAGGCCGATGGGGTAGATGGGGAAGAAATCAGCATAGATACGATAGACGACGATAGATTGTAAAGGCCATGGATTGGAGTAGATGGGAAGAGGTAGAGGTAGAGGTAGATATGTCAGGATAGATGTCAGGGTAGATGTCAGGATAGATGGCAAGATAGATAGCAGATGGATAGAGATGTCCCAACCCACCCAACCACCCGACCAGAGCGTGTAAATAGCAGATAAATGGCAGATATTGGGAGCGGAGAGTGGATGAAAAGGAAAGAAAGTATCCCATGACCGAGCCAGCCGCTCAGGCAGAGCACATAAATAGCAGGAAATGGTGGAAGAGATGGTGGAAGAAACGGCAGAGATAGCAGTAGATTATAGTAGATGGCAAAGATTCCCAGGCCCATCCCTCCACCCATCCGAGCGTGTAAATGGCAAATAGATCACAGAATAAATGGCAGAATAAATGGCAGATAGACGTTGAAGATGTCCCAAGCCCACCCAACCACCGAACCAGAGCAATAAATGGCAAGTAGATGGCAGTAGATCAAGATAGATGACAAAATAGATAGCGGGTAGATGGCAAAGATGTCCCAAGCCCGCCCAACCACCCGTCCAGAGCTTAGATGGCAGTATATGATGATATATGGCAAGATATGGCAGGTAGATAGCAGGTAGATGGCAGGATATATTAGAGGTAAAAGTTGGATAGATGTCAAATAGACGGTAGAGATGTCCCAAGCCCGCCCTTCCACCCAACCGAAGCGAGTAGATAGACCATAGATAGCAGGTAGATGTCGAAGAGATGGCAGATAAATGGCAAAGATATCCCAAGCCCGCCCTACCACCCAGCTAACGCGAGAAAATAGAAGATAGATGGCAGGTAGATATCGAAATAAATGGCAGATAGATGGCAAGATAGATGGCAAAGAGATCCCAAGCCCGCCCAACCGCCCAACCGCCCAACCGGAGCAGTAAATAGCAAATAGATGGCAGATAGATGGCAGTGTAGATTGACGAGATAGAAACAAATGCCACTATGGGCCAGTACACTTGCCGCGCTGCTACCCCACCTGCTAAGATGAAGGCTCGCCCGTAGGCCTGCCAGCACTCTTAGCAGGAAAGCCAGCAACAAGGCAAGTATAACCAGCCCTGGCCCGGCCCCCACCCTCCCACCGCGGCCGGGCCCATCATGTGTGTCGGGGTTGTATCTAGAAAGATGTGGAAGCCTGTTAGCCCGAAGCTCATCCAGAGAGCAGTTAGATCAAAGACTCACCTATATCAATGCCGACGCGTAGCTCCCATGCCCGACCCAGCCATCCAACCAGGGCATGTAGTGTCGATAAGAAGGAAAAACATTACCCAGGCCGACACGCCCGCCGCGCCGACGTGCAACCTGTCAGAGACGAAGGCTAGCCCGCAGGCCCGCCAACACCTCTGCAGGTGTCACGACGACGAGACGGTAACATCCGCCTGGGGGCCCGGCCGCTCCCAGCCCGCCCACATGGACCGGGCCCATCACGGACTATGTCGGGTATCGATGTGTGCCGTTAGCCGGAGTCAGTAGCCAGGTGGATTGGAGACTTACCTATTCGACTCCAAGAGTCCAGTACCCATGCCCCCGCCCAGCCACCCAACCAAGGCACGGAAGAAGATGTCGACTGACCTAGATAGTTAGCTGACACCTAGACAGTAAGCCACTAGATAGTTAGTTGTAGCTTGGACAGTGGTAGATCACCTAGACAGTTAGTCCCTAGATAGTTAGTCTCTGTATGATAGTGTAAATCCCCTAGTTAGTCCCCTAAATGTCAGTGGCAGTATGAAAGTGGTAGATCACCTAAAGGTTAGTTCATTACAGGCCGACACACGCGCCCCGCTACGCATCCCTCCTGCCAAGGACGCAGGCTAGCCCGAAGGCCTACCAACGCCCCTGCAGGCGTGATGGCAGACGAGACGAATGCATCGACCTGGGTCTGGCCTTCCCACCCGCCCACCGTAAGGCCAGACCACGCAGGCCAACACCCTCTCCCCCGTTGACACCCGACCTGTCCAGAGACGAAGGCTAGCCCGGAGGCCCGCCATCGCCCTCTGCAGGTTGAGTGGCAACGACACGAGTGTGTTGGCCTGTGCCCGGCCACCCACCCGCCCGCCAAGGCCGGGCAATCACTGTGTGTCGGGTGTTGGGTGCTGTGAGGTTGGTTAGTATGGAGCCCTGGTTAGATGGGGGAGATACCTTTTTCGAAGCTGGGGAATGATGCCCGGGTAGCCAGGAGCTGAGCGAGAGGAGAGATGAGTTACGTGTGCAGAGAGAGTCTGTAGACGTGTTAGAGTGGCTTACCGTGCACGAGGTCTCTACAAGGATGAGATATGCCCGTCTAAACAGATCAACAGGGAAAGAAGGTAAAGTGGTGAAAACGGTGTGAGAGGAAGAGAATGAGGAGGAAAGACGAGGGGACACCAAGGGTATAAATACCAGCAGAAAACTTAGACTGTAACTCACGCTCTGAGTTTTGCCTCTCTATATGGTCATCGTGCTGTCATTGTATGCTTGTTCGGAGGATACCTGCAACAAGGGGGTGGCGGCTATATAAGCTTTTTGATGAAGGTTTTCTGCGCCAGCGAACAGCATCATTGGATGCTTGTTCGGAAGTTGCCTACAGCAAGGGGATGGGCGGCCATATAAGCTTTTCTGAAGAAGGTTTCCGCGCCAGGAAATGTCAAACCCTCTCAACACATCATCACACTAACCAGTCCTGAGAATACAGCGTTTCAATTGTCTATGTCCATATTTGACGCCGTTCCAGCTGTATGAGAGGAAAAATGGTCGAGAATATCGTCGCCGAGATGATGGGCCACACCTCGTCAGAGTCACGTGATCCAGATCTATATCAGCAAAGCCCTAACTCCGAGCAAAGTTATCCCATTTTGCCACCCGGCTCTCAACCCGCAAGGTCTGTTGTTCAAAGTTTTGCGGTCAGAAGTATCTTCTATTCATGTTATTTAGTTTTTAATTACGTTGTGTAAGCTGGCCAAGGTGCCTATCAGGAATCCCCCACTTTGTTGGATCACGATGGTTGTACTCGCGCCTTAGGCTGTTATTATGTCTAGGTCCATGGATACTGGAAGTACAGAAATCTCTCTTGTAGGAGTTTGCAAATCGCAGGTCCCATTCTTGGTATCCCTCAAATTCCGTAATGCCATTATTGGGCGCTCTTCCAATAGCTTGTCCAGCCAGTGGCAAGACCAAGGAGCGGCGACTGCCCATGAACTCTTGAACTGCTATGGTCGACCTTCTACAGAGATAAACATCACTATTCAGTCAACGCTTTACGTAGAATATATAGAAGCACTACCATAATTTTTGAAAATGTTCTGTAACATAGAAAACAGTAACTAGGAATTCCTGACCGTTCTTGAACGGATAGCTAGCACAAAGGAGTAAGTGAGCGAGCCAAGCTCAACCATTACACACCCCTAAAGCCCATGCTCCCTCGCTACCGCGCGCATGTTTGGAGGCCAAGTCTCAAAGAATGGCCGCAATAGCCGCTCGATCGTTACGGCGCCGGCATCCTACAGTATCCGGAAGAACGAGTCCTCGTGGTGGAGCATTTCCAGTGTCGGAAAGGGTTGCTGCATGGAATCGACAAACGACTGGAAGACACGGGAGCGCTCGTCCGAGTACAGCGTCAGCAGCTCGTCGGAGCGCGACTCCGCGACGATTATGATGAGGGCTTCGGATAGGGCGTCGGCGTCGAGGCCTGTGTTCAGGCCCATAAGGTTGTATGGCTATCAAGGACGTGGTTGGTTATTTATTCCCGGTTTGAATGGGTTGTTAGCTTTGAGAGGATGGGGAAGGGAAAAAAAAGGCTTCCAAACAGAAAGAGAGGGTGAGGAACGAACGTTATTCAAGTGCGCTGCATCTCCCGCTAGAACGCAACGACCGCGCCGCATCGTGGGAACTGGGCGCTGATGGATACGGTAAACGGCGCGCTGTGTGATTTCAACCTGCAACGGGCGCAGCCTTACCATGATCTCCTTGTAGTAGTCGCGATATTCTCTTCGCTGCGCAGCTCATTGTCGGATCGTGAGTCGCCGGCCGGGACCATCATGGTGTAGCGCTAGTGGTGTTGAGATTTGGCGGGACAATGGGGTGAGGATAGTTGCTGTATCTGTTCCGACGACGTAGCAGGTGTGGTAGACCAGGCCCTCGCGGTTATAAAGCAGGACGCCCTCGAGATCAGCCGTTCAGGTCAGGTGTGGCCTAGGCAGGGGATGTCGAGGAGTTTGCAGGTCTGGGTCTTGCCGCCGTCTGCGCCGCTGTGTAGACTGAGACCAGGTCGGTGGCTGGGTTTCCCGCCGTGACGAGGACCCCTTCCTCGCCACGGTCTGTGATCGCCTCGACGGCTGCTTGGAAGTGGATGTTGGCAAGACCCGTGGCCAACGCCTCGCGTAGGAGCAGCTGGGTCAGCTCCGACTGGCGCAGCTTCAGGGGGCCAGACAGATACGCGCAGCAAGGGATCGTTGTGTCGCTCAGGGGTAGGCCTGCAATCATCTCGCCATAGACCTTGTAATGGCCAGTACCGTCGTCAACCGACGGGTACGCTAGGAGAGACTGGACTCAGGAACCCGGCCTCTCGCAAGAGCTCATACAGACCAGTGTTCTTGAAAGTAACCTGCGCTGCCCCGTAGTAGTCCACGGCTCGTGGAGTGTAGGGAAGCGCGGGCTCCTTCTCGAGGATTGTGACGGGGGTCCCCTGCTTACCCAGCTGATAGGCCACAAAGCATCCGACAGGCCCGGTACCGACAACAAGAATCTTTGTGTCATGTGCTTGAGGCATTTGGTAGTTGTAAACAAGATACAGAAGAGTGAAACGCAGGTACGAAGGGATCTGGTAGTGAGTAGCGGAGAAGGGTAAACGTGTCGGGGAAGACAATGAAGGGGCCGATATGCATATACCCAGCAGGAGAGGACATTCTCACAGGATCGCGCACTGCGATCAGGGGTAACCGAGAACGCAAGCAGGCAGCCTGTCCGCGAGGCTCCCACACGGAAGGAGCGATCCCCGTAACTTTTGGAAGGTGCATGGGTACTCCACCACCAGCAACCTGCGGATTCCTCCTTACTCTCCCTCATCCTTGAACCCTCTTTTGATCCCTTGTACAATCTGTTCATGCCCTGCAAGCAGCAAGATGGCTGAATGTATCCACCCTCTTCTAGGCACCATTCGTGGCAGGCGGACAGACAATGTCGTCCAGTTCCTCGGAATCCCATACGCAACCATCAAACAACGCCTGGGGCCCCCGATTCCCATCGAGAGTCCCCGAAATGGGAACGAATACGTTGTGGATGCTACTGCATACGGGTACGCTGGTTCAATGTTCGCTGTCCGTCTATTGAAACGCTAATCGCAGTATCATATCCTTCTAGGCCCGATCTCGTTGGCGCTGGATCTTGCACCGACGAGCAGGATCTCATCCAGCATCGATTGCCATACGATCCACTCATACAGTCGGTACTGGACGTGCTGAGACTGAACATTACAGTGCCCGTCACGAAGAAAGGATTGCAGCGGTGGCCCGTGATGGTGTTTGTGCATGGAGGCAATTTTGCAGGAGGGTCGCCGGTCTGGCCCCAGAACGACCTGGCACGCTTCGTCCAAAGATCCCAGACGCTGGGAATGCCGCTTATTGGTGTTAGCATTAGGTAAAGACTCTGATGCACAGCTAGCTGTGCCCCAAGTCCACGATTGACTGACAATCCTTAGCTATCGGGTTGGGCCGGCTGGATTCTTGACTTCTGAGGAGTTGAGACACCATGGTTTGACGGGCAACAACGGCTTGCGCGACCAGGCTGCCGCACTTCTGTGGCTGCGTAATCACCTCGAGGGCTTTTGGGGCGACCCTGACAATATCACACTGGTTGGACAATTTGCCGGTGCCGGTGAGTCACACACAGGTATTTCATTTGAGATGCCCAAGTTCTCACTCGGTCGTATAGTATCTGGAATGCTGCATCTGGCCAGTAATGTACCATTGTTCAAGAGACTTGCCTGCTTGGGTGGACAGTTCCTCGCGGTACGGCCCCTCCCCGCTGAGGCGCATGAGGAGATCTACACAAGGGCAGTGCCCAAGTTGGGCCTGGAGAACCTGTCTCCCTCGGAGCGCGTTAGACGCTTCGAAGGCCTCAGCCGCGAGGAGTTACTCGATATTAGCTTCCTGCCCAGCTGTCCGATTATCGACGGCAAGGTGTGCACTGCTGCGCCGTCGTTCGCGAGCCTTCGAAACGGTAGTATACCACGAGACTTGGACAATGGTTGGTGCTCTGAACTGTTTATCGGTGACTGTGAGTTTGAGGTGAGTCTGCGGAATCTCGAGTAGTTGAGAAGGCCCTTTTACTAAGAGACAAGTTAGGCCTCAATTTTAGCTAGAGCCCTGGATCACCGCAGAGAAACAGTCGTGATAACCCGCTTCGTCGACAAGTTGAGGGCGGCAATCCCGGTCACCCAACACCACCTGTTGGACGAGATTGTCGACGCTTATGGCCTGGGAAAACATGTGGAAGAAGGCGAAGAAGAAGGCACGCACGAGAATAGGGCACGAAACGGCTTCCTCTGCCTGATCCACGACATCATGTTTTATGCACCGGCCGAAATAATAGCCAGCGCCTGGCCCGCCGGCCGCAGCTACCTGTACCACTTCAACGAGCCAAATCCCTGGCCAGGCCGCTGGCAAGGTCACGCTTCCCACCTGACGGACCTGGCCTTCCTGTGGCAGAACTACGAGGAGGCGCTGGCTCCAGCATCTCGCCAGGTCAGCCGGCACTTCAGTGCCGACCTCATCTCCTTCACCAACGGGCGGGCTCCCTGGACGGCGTACCGCGCAGCTGAGAGCAGTCCGCCGATGGCACGCATTTATGGGCCCAGCGACAACGGGTCGGTTGCTGGTGTGGCGGTAGCGCGGTCTGGGGCTTGCGGCAGGCGCCAGTCCATCTGGAAGTTCATCGAGGAGATTGGGGCGGATCTACTGTATGATGTGGTTATGGGTAGTTTGTTGTGAAACAAGAAAGGGATGTGTATCCTTTTATTCCGGTACCCTACAGTAGTGGACGGGATTGGGCTTATATGGAGGTATGATTAGAACCAACAACTGCAAGGTATCAGATATATCGAGGGCCAGGAAAACCGAGTAGTCGCTGATGTATCATTGTGAGTATAACTGTTAGGAAGTCAGACACGATGCCACCGCTACAGATAGGGTCTCAAGTCTATTATTAAGAATTGAGTTATATAGGAAAGACTATCCCCACCGTGTAGGAGTGAATCAGATCATTGGATGAGAAATCGCAGCGATAGTGCCCCAGTAATTTTTCCTGTAAAGTAATTAGCAATCATTGCAAACTTCGTCTGAGTCGGTGGTTATCTTGCCCGAGGATCGCTCACTCCCACACATCCGCACAGACCGAATCGAGTGTCGAAGAGCGGTGGGGAGCAAACTGAAAGGACACTGTTGCAGCTGTGCCAGAAAGGACCTCACAAGCGGCTATAAGACATGCACTAGTCACAGTTAGCATACTGCTGCCTTAAAGTGTCACCCGTGAGTAGGGAAGTCTGTCTTGATGCACTAACCGACTCTACTTTCGTCTGGATCAACGACCAAGACTTCACATGGCTAGCTTTGTAATGCTGCTCATGGGCCGAGCCGAATATCCAGACTGCCACAGACGAAAAAGCCAGCAGTAGAGTGGGCAGGGACTTGAAGATGGCTGGCGGGAAAACAGGGAGAGGCTTGCCCTGCATTGTACTGTTCTTATCCAAGAGAGACATGGTTCCCTGGTCGCCCTGTTTGCCAACGAGCAACAGCTGCTGAGGCAGTGTACGGGCCAGGCAAGCCTTGACCAAACATTTCTAACCACAGGAGTTCCACACATACCGTTCAATGAGATTCAATTACTCATTCAGCGCTAAGCATGAAGATGGCACGTATGAACCGAGTCGCCATAACCATCGCACAGGCCTCAGCTGTTGCTTGAGGGGGTTACAATCTCTTGGACCCTTTTTTCTGTTGACTCCACAAAATTTCATACTGCACAGAGACTCCTTGATCTACTTATAATTGAACGGAAAACAGAAAGAGGCCATAAACCTGCCAATTTGATACAATACTCAGCAATCTGTTCTTGGTATCAAGCTGATGAACGAAGCTTGCAGGTCGATATGAACAATCGGGGGCCGCATTTATGCGACAACATTCTGGACGGGAAACTGTGCCCCTTGGATATTCTGATTAAGAGAATCGGGATCCTTTATCACCTCCAATCTACAGGTCATTTCCACTTATGTTATTGAAGTCCAGGCCGTCTGATCTAATAAGATCGAAGAGTGATTGACCCCATTGCGTGTCCATTGGCGGGATCCCATAGCCCTCCAGAGCGAAGTCGGTCAGATCAAATTCAAGCCCATCGTTCGGTGCTAGGCTGAGCGCGGCTTCCGAATGATTGCTGTCCGCCACCAGTGCCTCGCTGGATGGACCGTCCAAATGGACGACTGATGATTGATCCACCTGCTGTTTCGACTGGAGGAACACTTCAGCGACCTGGTAGAACGCGTGGCAGATGCTATGTAACCGCGTAGTTCCTTCGGATACATTGGCTAGTGACTGGAGAGCATCGATGAGTGATTTGAGAAGGCCAAGATCTCCCTGGTTCAAAGAGGTCATCACGCTTATGAAAACCACAAAGAAGGGGGTAAAGCTGCTATATAGCAAGCCCCAAGTGACGTATGTGGACTGGTTTCCGGGACAATCAAGGAACTGTGGAATGGTCTTCAGGTGACAAACCACACTCTGCCGAGCAGCTTCAAGACAAACGTCGCTCACCCACAGAGATGACCCGGTTAGGCTCCGCGTGTTACCCCGGTAAAGAAGCGTGAGGATGGAGTAATATATCGGATATGTTGCAAGGATCAAAGATTTGAGACCATCTGAATGATCAGGGCCCCCTTGGCATATTTGATCAAGTTCGGCTTCCTTCCAAGTGGCCAGCTCTTGTGCCAGACTCGCAGTGTACGCCAGTCTATCTTCAGACGGCATTGCCATTGCGCGGACTGAGTATACTAGATCATATACTTTGCCTTCCAGCCGACCAAAATGAATCCAGGCATGACATAAAAGATCATAAGAGCGATATTTCCGGTCACTGGACGGCTCGAATAATTCGGCATCGATATCGTAGTCCTGTAGGTTAGATGCTCTCCCGAGATTAAGGGAAATATTCTTGTCCAGCATATATACCAGCCAAAATACATGACGCTTCGATTCCGCAAGAAGAGAGCGGTCTCCTTGTAAGGTGGATCGACGGTGGTAACCCAATGAAACACAGATATTGGCAGCGGCAGTCAGAAGGGTACGGCATAGAAATGGGCGTGATAGTCCCAAAGCTCGCATCGCACCCACTGTAAGTGCCTGGGCGTTTTCCAATGATTGTGAAGTTAATACCTCATAACTTTCAACACCCAGACAGAAGTTCCTTTCGCAGAGACCTAACCAGGTGCGCAACTCGGAGGTTGAGATTTCCGGATCATTCTCAGGAAAGAGGTACTGGCCTTGTTCCCATAAAAGCCCGTAAAACAGCGTCAGACGACCGAGGGACACCTGCTCGGACGGAAAATACACTTGCTGACATAAAGTCTCGAGAAGGCTAGGATCTCTCCAAGCACAGGACAGAAAAATATCCGTAGGGCGTGCTGCGTTGGGTCTTAGCACGTGGAGTAGCGAGCTGACCGGAGATTTTGTAAATACCTTTGAATCTTCTCACAAGTGCAACAGCGAATTCTACAGGTGGGAGTTCACGATTGTGCTTCTGAGAAGCACTCCTGAAGACAGGAAAATGTGTGTAATTGGCTGATAGTTTTGAATGATGAAGCTCAAGTGTATTTTTCAGATTCTTCAATGCATGAATCATGTGTTTCCCTGGCAGCGAAGCGTTCTCTTTGGAAGTTGTTTCGGCGATATTCTCAGCTAATAGCGCATTGCTTGCGAACGACGAATCGCCTTCGAATCCGGGGTTCAACTGTACGATCTGGGTAGTTCTGTCTGGCGGAGACACATCTATTGAGCCTAGAGAAGCTAAGCCGATATCGTTCCGCTGCTCGGCTTTTGCCGCGGAGGTGAGGTGGGTAAGATTGATCTCTATGCGATGAAGGCGCTCTTGAATAAGTTGTATTTGTTTTTCACTCCGCAGAGGTCAGCGATTGCCGTTGAAGGCTTTTGGGGTATTTACTATTGGGATGAAACATTAATGCGCGGCCGATTTTCGTATTGCGTCTCAGCTGGGACGCATTGTATCCGCAGGTGTTGGCAATTCGAACATGGTACAACTTTTTCGCACCGGATCTAGACATATGAGATGGCCATCAATACTCCGTGGAGTCACCTTACGCCTGACCTTTCTGGCACGACAGCCTTGACACTATCGTGCGTTAGCCAACGATTTCTCGCAAGATTCCCATACTAGTGTAACTCACTGCCTTTGAGAGCTGTCTAGAGCTGCCTTGTTGCATGTCCATACTATGTAATACAGCAGGAACTGTTGGATGGGGATTGCTAATCCAAATTCGTAAAGTCCAAGAGATGATGACCACTTGGACGGCCGCAACTCGACATTGCACCTGAGGGGGAAATTGATGACTCATCGGAGCCCGGCAGGCCGGCATAAGCCAACATCTGTGGTACAGAACGGACCCCGAGCGGCCGCCGCTAAGCCCTTTTCGTCTTGCCTCATCGCTTGTTAACGAGTATAAAGACAAGCGGGCATCTCAGACAATAACATGAAGCCAGACACTATTATTTGTGCTGTCTACAAACAAAATGTCATCAGAGCCACGCTTCTTGCGTCTCCGCGCATCAACACGCCTAATTATAGGGGCAGTAGCCTTTGCCGTGTTTACGGTTCGTCTGCTCATGCTCGTTCAATTAAGATTTGTGCTGACTATAGGGCTGATGATCAGGACATGTTCTTATATGGCATTGTGAGGCTTCTAAACTGCTATAAGAGCGTCGCTAACAGATTCATAACATTAGGTTGTTCCCGTCATCCCCACTGCGCTCGAGCAGAGAGTGGGCCTGGCTCCTAGGGATCGTACGTGGACCTTGAATTGCATCAGTGTCTTTTTATCAATACAGGCTGCTAATGTGCTCCAAGGTCAACGCTGGACTTCCGCCCTTCTTGCTATCTATGGGGCTGGGCTGCTAGTTGCTTCGCGTAAGCCATGCCATTCTCCTGACCACGCAAGACAGTCTTACACCATTTTGCTAATTATGCATCAGCTGTATTTGGCTTGATGGCTGACCGGACCAACTCTCGTCGTATCCCCCTCCTCTTCGGCCTGATCGCTTTTGCAGCCGCTACCGCCCTTCTCTGCGTAGGGACGAATCTCGGCCTATGGATCTCCGGGCGTCTATTCCAAGGCATATCAGCTGCCATGGTCTGGACGGTGTCTTTGGCTCTTCTTGTGGACACTGTCAAAGAGAGTCAAATTGGCAAGGCTATGGGAGTGATTGGAATGGCAATCAGCGTGGGTACAATGCTTGGCCCGCTTCTTGGAGGTGTCCTGTACCAGCACGGCGGTTATTACTCTGTCTTCGGGTTAGCGTATGGTGTGATAGCCATCGACCTTCTTTTGCGGTTTGCCATGATTGAGAAACGACACGCTGCGAAATGGCTACGCGCACCTAGTGCTATGAGCGAGGAAACTCGCTCTAGCACTGGACACCAGGAACTGGTGGCGTTAGGAGGAGAGAGAATCACTCATGACCAAGTTGCTGGTGGCTGTGAGTCAACCCAGGACCAAGTTCAGGTTGGTCACTTGCAACCTCTCCTAGTCCTCATTCGTTCTCCAAGAATGGCCATCGCACTGTTTGCATACTTTGTCCTGGCGAGTCTCATGACCGCATTTGACAGTGTGTTGCCACTCTTTGTGAAAGAAACCTTTGGATGGGGCCAGACAGGGGAAGGCTTGATTTTTATTCCATTGTTTCTCCCACACTTCTTGGAGCCTCTGGCGGGAGCGGTTCTCGATCGGTTTCCAACCTCTGGTAGGTATCTTACAGCCGGCTCTCTGCTAGGAATGACTCCTTTCCTGGTACTCCTCCGGCTCGTGACCCATGACTCTATTGAGCAAAAGGTATTGCTTTCAGCTCTGCTTGTTCTAATCGGATCAACCTTTGCGGCTGGGCTACCCCCTTTGCTGGCTGAAGTATCCTACCTCATTGATGCGAAGCAGAAAGAGCATCAAGGTATATTCGGGAAGCATGGAGCGGTAGCTCAAGGCTATGGATTGTTCAACTGCGCCTTCGCCGCTGGGAGCCTTGTTGGTCCCATTTGGGCGGGTATGATTCGCGATGCATATGGCTGGGGAACAATGAGCTGGTCACTTGGTGTGCTGAGCAGTTTCACATCGGTTCCGACTTTACTCTTTCTGGGTGGAAGCATTTATTCAAGATCATAGCAGGGACATTAAGCTTTGCATGTGCGCAGGGTCGTGCTAGATTCTTGCGAAAGAATACTGACTTCTCAGCCTGCGGCAATTCAGCGTCCGGGGTAGCATTCGATACAAGAGGTGGAGAAGCTGGGACATTTGACGAGTGTATTGGTATCCTCACGGGGAACTGCAGCGCCAAATACTTGGTGACAATGCTGGTATGTAACAGTGGAGGAACAGTGCGGGACGGGACAGGGTGGGAGACACCATTTGAGGATAGAGCGGAAGCACACTCAGGGCAATAGATAGGCACATTAAAACGGGAATGTACTTAGACTGATATTTGTTGGTCGGGTGATTGCAATTGCTATAGTAAACGAAATTAGCTCTTGCAGACGTTCAGGCCCCTGTTTAATCCTCAAGTATTTACTGGGCGTCAAATCTGCGTCTTGTTCAGTGTCTTTTACTAAACCTAAGAATATAAAACCACTTTCCATAATATTACATGCGGAAAGTAAGACGGGAGTTTATCGTCTGTGGGACTATTACCAGATCCAATAGCAATATGAAAGTGTACTCTACCAGGGCGTAATTGGAAATCTAGCGGGAAACGCTGGCCATAAGGACAATTGCTATACTCGGAAGGCGTAGTTTTGCGAAGAAATTGCCGGGACTAGGGGTGTGGCTGGAAGGGGTGCGTCCCCAAGTACCGGACAGTAACTACAGTTCTAGAAAATCAGCCCAATCAGAACCAGGGAGGTTAGGGCCAGTACTAGATAGGAGGGACCTGTCATAGCAGGCTCTATCGTCTACTTTCTTAGCAAGGGTTTCGTCACGTTGTCGGGACCAAAACCGTGCCAGCTCATGATAGCATTTAAAGGGAGGAGGCCCGGCCTTTCCCTCTAGAAGTGGGAAAATCTTCTTGTCAAAAATCCAGCAAAGTGCGGATGTTGTTGTTATCAGTGCACGTCCATACCAGTATGCCCCAGACCACCAGGCCTTTCCGAGTACAGTAGACAATGTCATGTCCCGCGATGGTCTTTTCTCCTCTGCTTTGAGGATGGTCATGAAGTCTTCCAGAGCGCTTTCAAGCATCTCAAGCGGAGTTTCATCCACAAACTGGCCTGCACTCTCACACGCGAAGCAGTGTGGCAGCCGGATCATTTCCACGGGAAGAGCACATCCCCATTCTAGGTCAGAATATTGCATTACATCTTGTGGCTCCAATCTCTCGAAGCAGGTATGAGATTTCTTATCGAATCGCCTAGCAACTCTGCTCTAGCGGACCCAGTAGCCTATTGCGACATTGACTTCTTGAACCTGATGCGTCCGTGCAGAACATAGCATGTCTCCCCCGGCAGTACCTCGCGTATTACCAGCGCATCCTTTTCGCTAAAGGGACCTGCGACTTGACCCTTTTCGTTCAGAATATTGCAGGAGACACCCTCAAATTCCATGGTCATTGGTTCCTCGATTTTAAAGCGAGCAACAGGTACATGTTCCCATTCCCCTTGCATGGCTTTTCTTCTGGGCGGAATCTTTGAGGGCGAAAGCTCCGACATAGTAGGTTGATTATGGATAGATTGTGGTTAGCAGTAGGATCTCAGTGTTTTGCTATGTAATCCAGTATGTTATTAACTATCATCACATATTAATCTACCAAGTAATGCACTACTTACCTTTAGATGGGCTGCAAATAGAGAATGTATGTAATGATGCACTTTGCTCCAGATTAGCACAGTCGAGGAGCCCCATATCTAGAGCGGGGGCATCACATGATATCAGCCAGAGCGGGGTTTCTTGACCAGGTATAATAGAAGAAATATAGATCCAGGCTCATCGGCCCTTCCCTCCATGCTTAAGCCTTCTAACCAGCTTCTTCGGAACATAAACCTTAATGTCTATTACGTTCAGGGATATTTCTCCCATATATCATCTTGTCTTACTTAACTTGTCTCAAAGGTCGCATCACCACTTTCTTGGCATCTTCTTTGGTGGAGTTTTTATGCCTGGAGAGATATATGACACAGTAACCCTTAGGGGGAATTAGAATCTCACGGGCGTGGCCGGGAACCAACTGGTACACCTGGGCAAGCACTTGATTGGAGTGGTCAGGAGTACTTTATGGTTACTAGAAATTTTGATTTTAGAGTCGAATATTAAAAGCTCGCAGGCTTGGTAGTGGCATTTGACTTTATGCGCATCTCTATGCATACCTCTATCGGCAATTCGCGTCCTAGACGGTTTGTGCGAGCCAAGCCTCATGAATTGCCTTGCTTGGCAATTGATCTTAGAATGACACTAAACCCTGGCTATTTATGTAATTTACACATGTGATTTATGCGCGCCACCTTCTCTATAGCCCCGTCTATAATTTATCTCTGATCATAACTCCACTTAAACTACTCCAGAGCAGGATAATTACCCCTTGTGATATCATTAACAGCTCATTTGCTCACGTGGCTCTTTTTTTTTTTCAGAAATTGTAGGAGTTGCCCGGGCGCCACAGCGGTAATTAGGTATAGTTGGGAGATAGATGACGCAAAAAAGAATTGTTAGGCTCCAACCCCGCCGCCTCCCTTCACCTCTAAGATACTCCGTAACCTTTGCGCCTACCTAAAAGGTAACCTTCAAACATTAGTAAGTAAGGCATTCAGCTTTATTAATGTCCACTAACATACTAAGGAAGATGTGTAGGAAATTCGTCGTTGCCACCCAGGCGACTAAATCCCTGAATATATAGCAGATGCAGATCACCATGGCTTTACTAAAGCCAAACGCATCCCTCCAAGACTTCTAGACGTATACTAAAAGATGATTGCGAACGTTCAACACTATGGGGCTTTAAGTGCCCCGCCTGATGCCCATCATACTACAATCATAACCCTGGGTTAGCTCACGATGCAACTCATCTATAAAGTCAAATCCTTATATTCTGAGGTTAGCACAGATCCCACTTCCAAAGCCTATAAAATAATAGGTGTTAGGATGATAACGAGAAGCGAGGATATCACCTAGGTAAATCATCACACTTCAAGCCTTCAATGATCGTGTTCTTTAGTGACTCTAACGTTGGGTACCCATTTATGACTCTCATACCGTGCTTTGTGTCTGGAGAGGTTACTATTAGAGGCAAGATTATTAATATTGGGTGCTACTACACCGTTTTTAGAAAAGCACAGCTTTAAATCAGGGGGGGAAACTCGGTGCATTAGTTATATTAGATGTTATTCAAGCATAGCAGATAGATAGTCCTACCCAGCATATTTCGACCATGTTGACTGCTGCTAATTAACTCATTGCATGTTGGTTTGAAGCGTCATGGGCAGGCTTTGAGGATATGCTAGTTGACTGGCTTGAAATTAGAGTCTTTCCAAATTGTAGTAAAGGGGCTGTGGTGCGGGCACCCAGTGTCACTTTGGAACCAGGGATATGATTATGATGGCCAGTGACTTCGTTCAGTCGTTCGTTCATGTCCGGTAGAGCTGATGTTTGGACCTGGTGGCGCCTCGCAATATCGCTGCCAGGAATGGAATTTTCAATGTTGAGAAAACTCCCATCTTGTGCTGTTTCTTGCAGTGTGTCTTGTGGTGTTTCTTGCGATGTCTCTTGCCGTGTTTCCTGCAGTGTTATATTAATTAATCCGAATGTCCTGCTGAAGGTTTCCTAGCCTGATTTGGGCCGACATTAGTCACGAGATCCCAAAGACCGCGGGGCAGCAGCCCCTCTCTTCGCCATTCAAAGCCAATGTTTCATGTCCACAGTCACGACATTTGCAAGCACAAGGTGAGCAAAGCAGCTATTTAAGCCTGTATCCTGTCCTATAGAGCTATTTGACAGTTTCTGTTCCGAGGAAGGCGGCTGATTCAACCAGCATTCCCTAGCTCAAGATGGCCTTGAACAGGTCGCGAACGTGCCCTGTCACAATCCTCCGCCCCTCAGATGCCTTACTATCAATAATGGACAATCTCATTCTTTTAACACAAGAAATAGTCGCGAATTCACAATCTACACACCCCGCGCAGAGGTTCGACCTCACTTCAGCTTTTGACCCAGTGGTTGAGGAGGCACTGAAGCTGTACCAAAAGGTTTGAACTAGTCTAGTTACTATTAGCTTCCATTAATCCTTTATAGGCAAAAGACCTACCAGAACCACCTAGAATATCAACTCACCTAGCAGTGCTCCAAAAAAGTTCGTACATTGGAAGAATTCACGACGCCTTGGTGGTGCCCCTCGAGAATAAGGACAGGACAGTCATTGTTCGGGATGAAAGCGGGAGCAACCAGGAAGTTGATTGGGTATGGACAAACATCCTCTTTGTTGAACGCCTTACATATATAGACGTCGCGGAAGGTCAAAGGGTGGGAGCAGTCATAGTGCATTTTCCAAGACAGAGACAGCAATAGGAGGAATTGATTCTGAAAATCTATTTGGGTTAGTTCTCTGCTATATGTGCAGATTTACCTTTTACTGTCTCAGATCTTAGCTTAGCTGGGGAGTACTCTAATTTTGAGTGAATCATCCATAGTCTCTAAATGCCTGTGGGGGTTTGTCTGAGAGTCCAAATGTTCTGCATGAGGATATGATACTGTGTGTAAATTGGAGTTTGCTATAGAGCTCATTTCTTCCATAATAAATGGCTGTGTCTGTTCAAATTTTGCCCTCGCCCTCATGTGTATTACTGCGACTAAATCCGTCTACTTGAGCCTTATAAGCTACATAACGTGGTTGTGTACTGAGGCTCTTAAATGCCAACAGGGAGATTGGATGCTGGCTTTGGCCATCCTATATAATCAGACAATTCGTCTAGCGCTGCTAGCGCACGAGAAAGGCTATGCAGAGCCTGCATTTCTCTGGAAAGAGCTAACGCTGGGTGCAGACCAGAGCGTGCAGCTCTTGAAACGAGGCTAACAGAGACCAGTACATACGTTGATTCCTGACTTGCCAATGGCTTACTCGCGCCAAGAGCTCCCTGCACAAAGGAATCAGGTCGAAACGCGCGTGGGAAAGATACCTCTCTGTGGACAACCTATGCCCACCCGGGTGGATAAAAGTTATTAATTTGCTATTTTATCCGACTTCTGTTATTGTACCACCATCGCTCTATCGCTCTTCTGGTTCTCCTTCGGCTAAATATCCTATATATTTCAGGCCAGCTGCGTGGCCTGCCCTTTCTAAGCTCTATCAAATACTCCATCTCTTTGGCGACACGGCCTGTATAGTCTTGTGTCGGTCTGAGGTCGAGTGTGCGTCGTGTACCTGGCCCAGCCCTGCACCCTGCCAAGGCCAGTCGAGTCGTGTGGTCGGCTCTCCTCTTCCTAATCACAGTCAAACTAGCTAAGACAAGCCAGGGAGAAGACTTACTAGCTCAGCCGTCGCCGACGGCTTCTTCCCCAGGCCCTGCTGCTCGTCATTCGATGGCTTCCCCTCAGCTACCTACATGACAGTTAACTCGTCTCGATCTAAGGCAACTTAAGCACAACACTTACCAGTTCAACCCGATGGTCTCGCTCCCAGGCCTGTCTCGGAGGTCGATCCTCTCTGTCTCCTCTACAGCACGTCGTATCAAGTCTACAAAAGGGCCCAAAGCACTTACCAGTTCGACCCAGAGGCCTATCTCCACTCCGGCCTACCTAAAGCACAGTCATATCAAGTCTACCCAGTTTCATCAGATCACTTACCAGTTTGACTCAAAGGTCTCTTCCCCCAGGCCCATTCCCAGCCACCCTTTAAGGCCTGCTTTGCGCGAACCGAATGATGCTGTTCCGCAGTAGCAGGACGTGCGTTGCCATCTCTTACCATCCTCGAGGCAGACGCTAAAATGACCCCGTAGGAAACAGTCAGTTAGCTTCAATCGTTGCAAACCAACTAGGATCAGTACTTACCAGTTCATTATAGTCGATGCGCCCCCAGGCCCATCCCAACCACCCAACCTAAGCCTGTCGCTCGTCCGTTCGCTCGCTTCGATGGTCTTGTGGGTAGGCCAGACCTATCCCGCCCACCACACACTAGGTCTGGCCCTCTTCTGTTCGGTTCGTGAGCCAGGCCTATCCCGCCCACCACCACAAGGCGCTGGCTCCCTCGGTCGGTCGGTCGGTCGGTCGGTTGGTCGGGAGTGGCGTGGCGTGTCGTCGTCTTCGCCCTCTCCGCTCCGTCGAGGATCTGTCGGTCTTCCTAAGATGCAGTTAGTTGGCTTTACTCCATGTCAGAAAGAATACTTACTCGGTTTCTCGTGTCGGTGCGCCCCCACAGGCCCATCCCTACCACCCTACCAAGGCCTGGTATGATGGAATGCTGCTGCTCAGTCAATTGGTCATAGTCCAATGTCAGCTAATACGCTTGTCTCCCCTCAACCCTTCACAAGGATACTCTAGCAGGTAGTTAGTTCACTTCACTCGATGACACAAGGATCACTTATCTGTTCATTGTCGTCGATGCGCCCCCAGGCCCGTCCCAGCCACCCAACCTAGGCCTGTTGCTCGATGGTCGATTCGTCGCTCGCTCGGATCGCTCTTTGGGTGGCCAGACCTATCCCGCCCACCACACACTAGGTCTGGCCGTCTTCGGTTCGGTTCGAGAGCCAGGCCTATCCCGCCCACCACCGCAAGGCGCTGGCTCTTTCGGTCTCGTTTGGTTCGGTGGTTCGGTCGGGAGTGGCGTGTCGTCGGTTTCTCAGTAAACGCTAAGGCTATCGTCAAGGACCCCTATGACGAGTAGTTACATCAGTTGCACCATGCAGGTCAGAGCGAGTAGTACTCACATGGTTTGTTTCGGTGGTCGAGCACCCAGGCCCGTCCCAGCCACCCTACCAGGGCCTGTTCGTGTCGTGCGTGTGTCTGTGCTGTGAAGGTGAGTGTAAGAGTAATAGTGAGAGGGGGAAGGGAAGTGGAGAGAGAGAAGGCGATGAAGAAAGAGAAGATGGTGAAGTGAGAGAAGATGTAAAGAGAGAGAAGACGTAAGCGTAAAGATAGAAGAAAGGAAGGGGAACTGGAGAGAAGAAAGTAAAGGTAGAAGAAGGAGAGACTATCTAAAATAGGATATGTCAGTGGATAAAACAGAGTGAAAGACAATAGCTAAGCTGAGAAAAAAAAAGGCAAAGAGACTTAGTAGACAGGCAGAACAAGAAAAACAAGGAAAACTGTCTAACGCAAGCAACGCAAGACGAGAGAGGAAGAAAGCAGAGAAGAGAAAGAAGAGAAAGTAGAACAGAAACACCAAGAAACGCTATACTACAACGAAGGCAAAGCAAGCACAGACAGGATCTACCTACAGCATAAACTAGATAGTCTAGATAGGTGTAAGAGGGAAGAGAGCGAGCGCGCTCGGGGGGCCCTCGAGGGGGTATATATGCCTCTCGACGCCCCTTCGATCTCGCTAAAGGTGCTAGCGTATCACTCTCTTCGCTCATTTCCTACTGGACGGTTTACCATGACTCCTAAATAGCTTTACAAGGCAACAGTGCTTTGTATTGGCCGGATCTATGAAAACGGTGATTAAGTTTGCGTTCGCCACCCCCTTGAACAAGTTGGGCTTTGGTTTGTTGGCCGCGGAATTAGGGTTTCGGCCAAACAGCTCCAGGCCTCGTTAGTGGCTCACTTGAAGGCTAAGCTTTCAGGGACAGTCACCATGACAGTTGTTTCAGAAAGAAGGGTCCGCTGATTCAAGCTGTTCATTCGCTGGTGCTGCTTCGGTTGTTTCCACTGATCCTCGCTGCTTATTTGCTCGACCTACTAGCTCAACCTTCGCTTGCTCTTCCAAGTTCCACCTGTTGCCTACTGATCCTGACTGGCAATTCGCTAGTGCTCCGAGATCAGAGTTCTGCCTCGCTCTTCGAGCTATCTCTTTTAATTCTTAATACTTATTCGCTATTAGACTTTTGGGCTGGCTGGTTCCTCGAGTTGTTTTCCTTGCTTCTGACTATTGATTAGCTAGAGCTACTAGCTTAGACTTTAACCCGGCTCTTCGAGCTGTTTCCACTGAACGTGACTGCCTATTTGCCGGTTCTACTAGTAGATCAAACCTTCGGCCCCCCTCTTCGAGCAGTTTCTCTTGATTTGGCCGTTCACTTTGCTAGTACTACTAAATCAGACTTTCGGCTTACCCTTAGAGTTGTTTCTACTACTGACGGCATCATGACGAGACGTCTACATCTGCACTCGAAACCAAACTCCCTCGCCTGTCGAGAGTTTTCAAAGACGGAAATAGCAACGGTTTCATTACTCGCGCCGGATGAGGCTCGTAGCTTCAAGCAGAAGCCTTGAGCCTGAAACACACTGACTATTATTAGGTACAAGTATAACATTAACCATAACCACCCACACTCTTCTCATCGCCCTTGGCAGCTCTATCTCCCACAAGGTATTATATCCCCCACTCTAAGTCTAGTTACCCTCTTCAATGTCGGTCGCGATCTTCTCTGCAATCATATAACACGCACTCTGCGGATGGCCAGGTGGCAACGTCGGGAAGATGCTCGCATCAACCACCCGAAGGTTCTTCACCCCAATAACCTTTGCATGTGGATCAACGACCGCATTTGGGTCGGTCGCCTTGCCCATCGAGCAAGTTCCAGCCGGATGCCAAACGGGAACCATGGTCTGACGCACAAACTCTAAAATCTCCTCGTCGGACTGTACCTCCTCGCCTGGCTTGTATTCGCCTAGCGAGATGTCCATCCCCGCCCAAGTCTGACGTAGGCGCTTCACGGCGGCGATGGCGATCTCTCTATCTGCGGGATGCGTAAGGTAGCCAAGGTCAATCTCGGGAGCTGTCTTGATGTTTGAGCTTGTAATTGTAACGCTTCCGCGGGAGAGAGGGGCGACGAGGGCTGCGGCGATTGTAGCATACTGTTGTCCGTCGAGGAGGAGTTGGTCGAGGGCGCTGTGCCAGCCATCGAGGATTCCGTCGAGGCCGAGGTATTCGACCTCGGGCCAGTCGTCTGGGAACTGGTTGTTCAGAGCATCAATAGTGGTCTCGCTGAAGTTGCCTCGTAGACTTTGGGGGATCTTCTCCCAGCCGATAACACCGAATCCAGGAGCAGTGAGTGGACCCGTCCTCTTCAATGCGTAGTCTGCGAGGGCTTTCACGGCGCCGGTCAGAGGGTGGACAATCAAGTTGCTGGCAGTCTCCACACCGACGCGGTGGACAACTCCAAAGATAACATGGTCCCACAGATTCTGGCCAACTCCAGGAAGATTCTTGATCACTGGAATATTGTACCGCTCAAGAGTTTGTTTTGGTCCAATCCCCGAGACCATGAGTAGTTGTGGTGACTGGAACGCTCCTGCCGAAAGGATGACCTCCTTCCGTGCCTTGAGAGTGAACTTCTTCAGGCCGGACTCAACCTCAACGCCAGTGGCAGTAGAAGTGCCCTTGTTGATGACAAGTTTCTTTGCCAGGGTGTGTGTATACACCTTTATTGACGTGGTGGCAACGGCTCTCTTCAAAAAGCTGGTCTGCGACGAGCTCCGTGCCTGTTCCTTCGGATCAATGCTAGTAGCCGCCCATGAGGAACCATTCAGGCTTCCACTGTTGAAATCAGCTCCCGGGTGAATACCAATCTTTTCAAAGCCAATTTCAACGTGCGTGGAGAACGGAGAGCCATGGTTGGGCCAGGTAACCTGAAGAGGCCCTTCTAACCCATTGTCAAATGCCTCCGCATTGTACGAAACACTGGCATTTGCCTGGCGCTTTGACATATCTGGTGGAGTGACCGTGCAGCTCTTTTTGAAAAATGGTAGGACTGCATCCCAAGTCCAGGCATCGTCTCCGGTAATGTCGGCCCACTGGTTGAAGGTGCCCTCTGTTCCACTAGCATTACGAGTCAATAGAGGTCCAGACAGCAAGACAGATTATTGTGACATACCGATGGTAGACCATATAGTGCCTCGCGGATGTTCCTCCCAGCGTTTTACCTCTGGCGTAACGAAGCCGTCTATCGTTTCCTTCCTGCATTTCATTTAGCACGTCTTTCGCCGAAAGTGTTCCCGATAACTAGGAGAAGAACATACCGTGAGTGGCAGAGTGTTGAAGTTCCAATCGATCATCATCAGGCTATCTAAAGGACTGGTGCCTGTGCCTGCAGCTGCCGCGAAGCCCGGAATAACGCTCATGAAGCCTCCTTCCATCTCATAGTATCCTCCAGCTTCGACGACAGCAACACTTACACCGGAATTCTCCGCCAGCCTGGCAGCAATTGCAAGACCAGACGTTCCGCCGCCGACGACAACATAGTCAAAGGTCGCATCTCCAAAAACAATGCCCAAAGTGGCAGACGGAAATAAGCACGAGAACGCCAGCAATGCAAACTTTGAGAGCCCCATGGCTTCGGAATCCCGTATTGCCGGTTCAACAACGACGGAATGAGTGTATGGTTCGACTGAACCTTGCGACAAATGTCAAGTAAAGAACGAACGAGCGGTTGAATCTGCAAAGGAACGACAAACCGATCAACGGCAACGGCACACCGACGAGAACGAAGGACAGTGGGAATGGGCGAGCAGAAGTAGTCCATCGAGTTGTTTCAGACCTGGGGCTCTGGATCCGCGGCATCTCTGGCTTAGGGGAATCCGAAACAACACAACACCGAGCCCGTCATGGCATTCCGATATTCGCGGAATCGCTTCATTTCGCGAAAGCGAGTTCGTCATGTCGCCAATATACAATGCGTCCGGGGTCCCCTTGCACCTGCATCGCGGCCTGCGTCAATGTATGGACGGTTGATGGGTGGCTGAGACCGCAGGCTGGATCTCATTTCCCAGCAAGAGTGAGCGAGTCATCGAAGGAGTCTGAAAGGGGATCCGTGTGCTGACAATAAGGTTGTTCGGCTCAACCCCTCATTTCCCAACACGCATGAACGGTGCCCATTTGCTGACCAGCGAACACCTGCTGATCCTGCCGCGGGAAGGATGCGCAGTGTCAACACGAGGTCGAGGCTGGAACTGACTGTTCCCTGTTCGGATCTCTAAGCGAAACGAGACATAAACGAGACAGTATAACTCTGGGCAGGCCACGCGATCCTGCTCCAGATGAGGTTTTGCTGGCTGTGTTGATGGAGGACTACGGGCCGCCGACCTCGTGGTGGGGGTGTTTAATGCAGACTTTGTGTGCAACCAATTCTAACACGCACACTGCGAATCCTCCAGGAACCATTCGAGGGCCACCCCCGCCTTTCTGGCTTAGATTACCACAATGTGTTACCTTGGCGTACGCCCCTACAGTCAAGCTTTTACCACCACCAAAGTCCCACCAGAAACCGCGAGATGTTGCGTAACATATTCTGTTTCCGCAATACCAGGAGTACAGCAACGTCTCTGGTATATAGATGCTCATGTTGCGCGTCCTCCGTTCTGACTCGACGCTGCTGGCCCTATCCACTTGTTCCCCTGATTGCGGCATCCATGTTTCACCATGTCGCTGCCCACGCCTCAAGACATGGCAGCGTGGCCCACGCCGGACTATGACAGCCCGCATGAGCCCTTGACCTCTGTAATCTATGGTGTCAACATCTCCTTGATGGTCTTGATGACCATCTTCGTGTGCGGCAGATTTTACTCGCGCATCTTTCTGACGCGCAGTAATTTGGGCGCAGATGACTGGACAATGCTGATTGCATTTGTATGTCCTCAATCACCGATGCTTTGTGGCTATAGGGGAACTAACCTTGAAAGGTAATGGCCATGGGAATGTCAATAGCCCAGGTCGTCGAGACTGAATTTGGTGTTGGCCGCCACCTGTACGATGTCAAGCCCGAGTGGTTTCCAAAGCTCGGAAAGGTCAGTACCCCAGTATACTATGTGCCGACTGTGTGAAGCTGATTTTTTTTTTGGTATAGGCCAGCGTATCAATCCAGGCAGTCTTCGGCCCCTGTTCAGCCCTCACCAAGATCTCCATTTGCTTGACATACCTGCGTCTTTTCCCTTCCAAGATCAACAAATGGTTCAACTATATTCAAATCGGGATTCTAATTGGATTCGGCATCTCAACTCTGGTTGGGATGCTGGTTCAATGTCGGTCAGTCCAAGAGCGGCTTCAAATCATTCTTCCTGGTGCTGGGCCATGTGCTCACCATTTACAGGCCAATTGAAAACGCCTGGGATTTCTCGAGACCAGATTCGGTCAAGAACTGCATCGACAAGGAATCATTCTTCATTGCGGTGGCGGCCATCAACAGCGGCACAGACTTTCTTGTCTATCTGTGGCCGTCGTATTATCTATGGAGAATCAAACTGAGCCTGGTCAAACGCATTGGTCTGATTATATGCTTCGGGGTCGGCACTCTGTAAGCCAAGCATCCACAATCCATTCGCATAATTCGTATTCTCGATGCTTATTATTCTAGGATATGCGTCGCCGGCATCATTCGCATAACCTGGCAAATCAAATACGCAGCCTCCTGGGACCAGCCCTGTAAGTACCACTCATACCCACTGCGTCTTTCCTTCCCTTACAGAACTACTTCTAAAACATGAACCGGAACTTCAGACAACGGCGCCATAATCTTCATAATCGTCGCAATCGAAGTAAACCTCGGCATCGTCTGCGGCTGCCTCCCCGGAATCCGCCCCATAATCCGACGCCTCTTCCCCAAACTGCAGAGCTCAACTCAGCACTCTGAGCGCGGAGGATATAGCAGCAATGTGAAGGGGAGTGCTGTGAGCTGGAAGGATAAAAAAGGGTTTCAGGGTATACACTCGGGTTCGATTCGTGTTACGAATGAGGTTGAGTTGTCGGTTTGGAATGCAAGGGACGGGAGAGATGGATGCCGAGACCGGGAGAGGATTGATGCTGTGGGGAAGGGGAGGGGGGATAGTGAGGAGTGGATTTTTGAGCCTTGAGATAATAATCCGATATATATATCAGCTCTTTGTAGTATACTGGGATAGTAATATCGCAGTTCAGAGTGGGGAAGAGAGAGAGGAGTGTGGTTCACAATAGCTGATTCCATCGAAAGGCTGCAGTAAATCCAGAAGCGAGGTCAACACCCGGGCCAGTTTCCGTGCTGAAGATGATCTGTAGAGAGAGGAGTATACTCCTTGATGAAACCTGAAGATTTGGTTCCTTTCATCTCCTACCTTGACGATCGGGTACACATCGTCAACGCATGCGATGAAACGTGCGGGTGGTAGGCAACCAACTCCGTAATATATAGTGGCGATTTGCCAATCCCCGAAAATCATGATTCAAGTCAAACAATTGAATTAATGGAAAAGAACGGCGCTATGTATCATTAATGTACTGCAGAGAGAAAAACCACGAAAATACATCGCTCAAGAAATTCGCCTTGGTATCGGAGCCTTGTATACAAGAATACAGCAGCAGGGTAGCGCAGCCGGGGTTAGTACAAGACCACTTTAGACTCCGACACCACGAGCACAAAAAAATCCCAAGAATAAGAAGATGAACAGAAAAGAAGTACACCGTGAAGAGCAAGAAGAGGGAAAGGAGACGAAGCCATCCAAATCAAAACATCAAAGAACGGGCCTTTTGCCGCCGAGATTCCGCGCTGCGGACGTCGGGCTGCGACTGTGTGTGCTTGTGTCGTGGTCGAGGTGGTGGAGCCATTGGGGGTGCGGCCGGCGCCGGCGCCGTTGCAGGCGGAGCCAGGTGACTAGCGTCCTTCTTAGGCGGAGGGGGTGCTGTTCCAAAGTTGGAGAAGCGATCTGCGGTCTCGCGGCGGGGCGACTTGACACTTCGCTCGCGCTTGAGCACGAGCTCCGTCCATGGCTTGACCTGGCTGGTGCCGGAGCTGCCCTTGCCTACAGTCTCGGCGAGCACCTTCATCCAGCCCTCCTTGTCAGCGGGACTGTCGGCGTAGAAATCGATCACCTCCCCGTTGCCGAAGCGGATACGGAATCCTTCTTCCACAAACATGTAGCCTTCTTCCTCCTCGGCAAAGGCAGACTTACGTCGCTTGCCGCCGCGTGCTGTGGTCTCTTTCTGTGTTAAAGTGCTGCGGTCATCAATCAGCTTGGCTGCTTTGGCCAGATTGATGGTTGCGCGAGGTTGGCGGGTAGTCTCGTGGTAGGCAGTCAATTTAGGGCCCTGCAATTTGAAGAAGCGGCGACGCCAGTACTGTTTGGCGATTAGCTTGGTTCTAGCAAGTAGGTGACATTAGGGTCTTACCGGACAGTCACCTCCTTGTTGAGAAAGATAGCCTTCGTAGCTGCGAGTGGAAGCATTCTCTGCCTCACGCATCTCCCGGATACAGGCGTTCATGCTCTTTGGCATGTCGTCGTCCTTGGCTCCCTTGGGCTTGGGGACAAACAACAATTGCAGTTCCAGCTTTCCAATCTTGTAAGGTGGGCGACGCTGGGACATGGAACTCATAGTGCTCTTCTTGCTCTTGACGCTGCTTGCTTGCTCTTCGACGGCCCACTCGTTGAAACATGCCACGTCAACGGTGTACGGACGGCCGAAAGAGTGCTTCTCATGGTCACTGAGAGCAATATATGCTCGTGCAAAGCTACCATCCTGCGCGACGATGGACTTGAGACGTTCCCAGACGGGAGCGTTGGGATCCTGTTTCTTCTGCTGCTGAGATGCCAGCTGTTGTTTCATGTCAAGCTCCTTGCGCTTACGTGGCGAAGCAAATACCCTGCTAAAGGTCGACTGCTTCTGGCGAGCCGGCGATGATGAAGGGGTGGGTTCTGGGACCTTGAACTTCTCCTCATCCACCTTCATCTGCAGGGTCAATTGGAATTCAAGATCGTTTTGCACGATAAGTTCGAATTCCTGCCCGATCGGTGCGGTTTTTCCCAGCTCAAGCCAGGCAGTGGTAACGCAGTGAAGACCATTGTCCAATGTGAGCGCAAAGTAGGATCGTTCGCCTAAGGTAGTTTAGTATCCTGAAGGAATAATGACAGTTGGGGAATGGACTCACCCCTAGGAAGCGGCAGGTCGAGATATTTCAGCCCAACAACCTTGACGAAAAGTCTGCCCCGCTCCTCACCTTCCTCAAAGGCAGTGTTGAATGTCGGTTCGATTTCTTCGATTGGGGTTGGGGGCTCTTGAGCATTGCTCGGCTGACCAGGTAGAGGAGGTACCGGCCCGGCAACGGGTTTCTTGCGAATGGCGCCGGATGGGGTACGGATACTCGCCCGGCGAGCTCCAGAGTTCCAGGGGACAGTGGTCCAGGTCTGCTGACTAACCTTACGCTGGGGAGATGCGGCTGATTTTGGGCCCTGTGCCTCACCAGACGCTTCTCCGGAGGTAGACGTTGGGACGGGCTCCTCTTCAGGGCGACTGCTCGCGACGATGACCTTTGTGTTGTGTCTCATGAGGTAGCCTCTCTGTTGGGCAACGGTGAAGTTAGCAGAATGTAAGGAAAGTGTATGGGATCCTGTTTGGGGGTTATGGGACTCCAGAGGCTGCGCGGTAGGCGCCTTTGAGGTATGTAACTGGGACAGGGCGAGGTTAAACGCAACCTTTTGGGATTCAATGACGCGATCAAATTCCTTGTCTAAACCAAATCCGAGACCTTCATCTTCTTGAATGCTGAACGGGATGTCTAGCTTCATGAAACTGGGCTTTCGCGGGGAAGCTACCGCCGGTTCAGGCTGTAGTGCGTCTTCGGGAGACTTCTCTGTCTCTGCACCGTCTTCGTCGGTGTTCTCTCTTTCTTCTCTTTCCTCATCGTCTCCTATCTTGGGCTCATCCTCAACTTGTGGCGGCGACGGAGGAGGGATTTGCCCGCTGACTTTCCGCCGGGTGGCAGCCATTTGCTCAATGTCAGCTGGGGTCAGTGATGGTCGGATCTTTAAACCAGCTCCTGGGGCCTTGACAGTCGCAATAGGGTCGGGAATGCTTTCGTCCGCAGACTCCTCCAAATCACTGATGTCGTCATCGACCGGGTGACGGATCACAGAGTCTGGAGTAGATGGTGCTGAGATGGCCTCGCGGTTCTCTGGTGTTACCGGGCGTCTGAGCGATTCTAGCATAGCCGCCATTTTGGGAGCGGTAACTTCCTCATTCTGTGGCTCTGTAGGGTCGTCGCGGGTTTCCCTGTCGTTAGTGACGTCCTGAGAGCGATCAGAAGGGACTGGTGTCGCTTCCGAGGCTGATGAGCCATTACTCTTAGAAAAGACATCCTCCATTGACTGGTTCGAATAGTGGCTTTCATCATCATCGTTCTGGTTCTCTTGCAAGGATTTGAACGATGAGTCCTTGGACGGGACCGTTCCATAATAATCAGGAATATCGTAGAGTCCGCTGTGATCATCTTCCTGTTCTTGCTTAATCACAACGCTGCTTGTGTCATCATCATCATCGTCATCTTCGTAATAGTCATCGTCGTTCTCCAGGGATGGGATCGGAACATCAGGGTCGTAATCAGAGTAACGTCGATCCCTTGAGCCTCTTCGTGGCTCGGGCTCATATGGGTCATCCAAAGAGCTGTTGCCCCTGCGAAGGCCACGCAAGATAGAGTCTCTTGAGATGCGTGGTGCCGAGAAGGTATCCGGTGTATCGGGCTTGGTGTGATCCTTTTCTTCGTCGTCCTTGCCTGGCTTGGACTCATCATCTACCTTAATTTCCTCATTATCGTCCTTTGGTTCAGGAGCCTTGCTTGTTTTTTTCTCGCTTTCCTTTTCCCGCTCCTCTCTCTGGATCATCATCAGACGGAGTCGATCCTCAAGCGACATCGAGTTGCGACCAGCTTCCGCAATGTCTGACTTGCTGTAAGGTGCGGGGCCTGGAGGTGCTGGTAGATGTCGTTGACCGCCGCTTCCAAGCTCGAAAGCGGCAGCTAACTTATCTGGAGAAGGTGCGCGCTGAGCAAATGACAGACCTTGGATAGCCGGAAGAGGTGGGAGTGGGCGCCGCTCGCCGTTAGAATCAAGTGACTCAACACGGGAGTGCTTTGTGGGCGCCATCTGCCTCGAAGACGGGCGCGGTTCTGGGCTTTGGCTGCCTTCACTTGTAAACGGATCCTCATCTTCTTTCACCAATTCAGCGTTTGCGGTCTCAGGGCTCATGAAGCGCCAGTCCTCGGGCAGGACAACTGGAGTCTTCTCAAGGTCTTCGAGTGAGGCATCGAAACTGTCATCGCGGTCGAAGGAGGCGTCATGGTCAAAGCTCATATCTCCCTCGTCTTCTTCCGAGTCATAGCTACCGTCTCGAGACTCGGATGCAATGGATGAGGGGTCGGGGGTGGTCATCTCATACTCGTTGACCTGTGGTGGGGCAGCGTCAAATGTAACACTCTTGGTGTAGCGGGTACCGTCAATGTCCGACCATATTTCGTTCTCCGGGTCGAATGCCATGTCCTTGGTACCAAATCGACTCGCTCGTGACAACGACGATTTGGCCGGAGCCACTTGATCTTTGCTGGGAGAAGGTGGTCGAGGCGTAGTCTGACCTTTTTCTGGGCTCTGGGTGGGGTGAGCTGCATTTATCTCTTGTACCTGCCTTTGAGGAGAGGCGCGGCCGAAAGCTAACGGTCTTTGCGGAACATATACATTCGTTGGGTCGTACTCTTGGTGATAATCGCGCCACATGCTATTGTTCTTTACTCGCGAGGCACGCTTTAGGTTCTCGATGGATGGCCTTTTGCGGGGAGTAAAACCTGTCTCAGGATCATAGGGCGCGTGATTCTCGGAACTCTTTTGAAACGGCGAACCAGAGTCACGGCCTTGCCAAAATAGGCGCGTCGAAGATGGGGATTCGAGCGGTGATGACTCGGTGTTCTTTGTTGTCTGCACAGTCCGGTCAGCCTCGAGTCTCGGGAAAGAAGACCGGTAACTTACTCTAGCGCCCGGGCTCCAGACTGGAGAGTTGCGACGCTGAGCCATCGGGCTCACCTCTGAAAGAGGCCGTTGTCCAGTGCTACCGCCCATGGCTACGAGACGCGCTTTTCAAAGTCAAGAAAACCAAGTTGAGAAAGAATCCAAGAAGCACAGCGGGAAACAAAGAAAAACAGGGCTAAACCGGTTGAATCAGCAATCTTGTTTCATCTGAAGTGGAGTCTCCCTTGCGGAGAACGCGCCCATACCTATTCGCGATAAACAAAAACAACAGACGTCAGACCTCTCAACACTCGAAAAGAGGCCTCAGAAAGGGTTGGATAATTCGTATTACCCGGTGTTTGCGTTGCTCGTGGGACTCGTCAAGTGTCAAGTGTTCACAAATGGAATATCATCCAAGGCGATTGCCAATTTGTGGTTGTCAGATCTGAGATGCGTCGCCTCAATTGTTGATCTTGCTGCGCCTCAGGAATGACAACCCCAATAACGAAGGACTATAAAAGTCAAATGGAAAGAGATCGTGGTTGAATCAAATTTGAAGGAAGTCGCAGCCAAATGCGCGGTGCAAATACAAGGGGGGAAACGAAAAGCGAGGCAACGTGCCATCCACCACCGGCACAAGACACACGACGTCAGATCAATAGAGGAATGGAATGGAGGAGGGGAGATGTGAAGAGGGTCACTGTTAAGTAGGCCGAGATGTCTGGCGCCGTGGTTGGAGACGGAGTGTCATGGCAGCTGGACGTGTTGACATTTTGGGTCGCGGAAGTCGCCCCAGCAACCGACCAAGTTTGGCCACCTTGTGCCTGGAAGCCTGACAGCCTGGGGCGCTCGACGATCGCGCTACTCCAGGTCAGGCCTAGCGTGCTTAATTCCCCGGTGGCCCAAGCTTCGCTCTGAGGATCTTTTTTTTCGGAGCCACGAGACGGTCGAGACTCTCTCAACCACGACCCTCACCACCAGCATCGGCAATCACCATGAACAGGCTCAGTGGGCTTTCTCTGCCGCGCAGGCACTCAATATGCCTTTTCTGTCGCGCCCAGACAGCTCTACCGGCTTCGCCTCTTCAGGGACAGGCTCTGCGCTCCCTCGCCACGGGGCGCTCCAGCAATCGGCGAGCTGCTCGCATGACACTGTCGAGGGATGTCGGCAGAACATCTCTCAGGCCAAGACGAGTCGACAGCGGTAAAATCGGCCCTTTTTCCAACATGAACCGGACAGAAGCACGAGTTCGCGATGAGCCGCGGTCGCGGTCGCCTGCCGCCCTCAAGCGTTCCGGTCTGCCAGAAGAAACGTCGAAAAAGACCGACAGCCCTCTATACAAGGCTCTGAAGATGCAAACTACATTATCGCCGATATCGTATGGTAAACGAACGGCAGTCAAAGCCAAAATCGCCGAAATTACAAGCTTCGACCAATTTGAACTCCTGCCCATCGTTCGAAACTCGATCCTCTCTCAAGCCCTTCCAGGCATCATCGACGCCGTTCCAACGCCTATCCAACGTCTTGCAATTCCTGAACTCCTCGCAGATCCTCCAGCCAAGAAGAAGTCGACCAAGGTAGATGACGAGGCGCCAAAATACGCTCAATACCTCCTTGCTGCGGAGACTGGTTCGGGGAAAACGTTGGCGTATCTGATACCATTAGTCGACGCCCTCAAGCGCCAGGAAGCACAGGACCAGGTAATTGAGAGAAGAAAAGAAGAGGAGAAAATGCGGGAACTTGAAGAAAAGAAGAACAAGCAGGCGTTTGACCTAGAGCCTGAAATGCCTCCCGAGTCAAACGCAGCTCGGCCAAGAATTATCATCCTGGTACCCACCGCCGAGTTGGTGGCGCAGGTAGGCGAGAAGGTCAAGGCCTTTTCACACACAGTCAAGTACAGGTCTGGAATGATTCATTCCAACCTGACGCCTCGTCGTATCAAAAGTACCCTTTTCAACCCAGCCGGAATCGACATTCTGGTCACAACCCCGCATCTCCTCGCCTCCATCGCAAAGACCGAGCCGTATGTCCTAAGCCGTGTCAGCCACCTCGTTCTTGATGAAGCCGACTCCCTTATGGACCGCTCCTTCCTACCAACAACCACAGAAGTCATCAGCAAGGCTGCCCCCTCGCTACAAAAACTCATCCTCTGCTCCGCTACAATCCCCCGCAGCCTCGACACTCAACTCCGCAAACGCTACCCCGACATTAGACGCCTCACCACTCCAAACCTACACGCAATTCCCCGCCGAGTCCAACTCGGTGTAATCGACATTCAAAAAGACCCCTACCGCGGAAACCGCGACCTCGCCTGCGCCGATGTAATCTGGTCCATTGGCAAGGCCGGCGACTCCGACCCCGTCCACCCTCACGCGCACTACCTTGGACCGCAGGTCAAGAAGATTCTCGTCTTCGTCAATGAGCGTGAAGAAGCCGATCAGGTCGCCGAGTTCCTCAAGTCAAAGGGAATCGACGCGTACGCTCTTTCTCGGGACTCAAGCGCGCGTAAGCAGGAGGAGATCCTCGCCGAATTCACCATACAGCCTGCACCTCCCACGCCTGATGAGATCATGGTCATCAAGCAACGGCGCCGCGAAGAGCGCGCTATCCCTATGGAGATGCCGAAGCCGACCCGCCTCGACCGCCGGACATTAGAGAATACCAAAGTCCTCGTCACAACCGACATCGCATCGCGGGGTATCGACACACTTGCTGTAAAGACGGTCATCCTATACCACGTCCCACACACAACGATCGACTTTATCCATCGTCTCGGCCGCCTTGGACGCATGGGTAAGCGTGGTCGCGCTATTGTACTGGTCGGTAAGAAGGACCGCAAGGATGTGGTCAAGGAGGTTCGCGAGGGTATGTTCAGAGGACAAGCCCTGATCTAAACTAGGCTTCGTCTGTGACATGCTCGACCTTGTACTTTTACGTTTCATATTGGCGCTGGATATCGGATAGAAAATACCCATGTGGTCTCGGTTTTGCAGGCATGGCTGTAATATATATCACTGACTTTGACGCTGTACATTATCATCAACATAACATTTCTTCTGCATTCATATCATAGACACGACTTGACTCACTCATGTATCCCTACTTGTTTTTGCCATATTACTCCGCAGAATTACCTCTATGCTCAACCAGCATTACATTTAACTGGTTACTGATCCCTGACTACGGCCACCAACCAGTCTTACGTGAGACCAACTCATCCAGGTTTGGTCTGGTGTGGGCATCGGAGGGCGACCTCTGTGTCTGCTCGCAAGGCTGGCATGGCTGGCTGGGTCAACATCGAACTCGAGATCAATAATTGGCAAGCACGCTTCTTCCCGTTCATTTTCAATCTCCTCCCATCTAACAATTACTCAACTGATATCCTCCTTGGTATCTTACACTCTGTGCTGCTGTGAAGACAGTTTTTTTTCTCTGCACACTCGAAATTTGACAGTGTTATAGCAATCCTCGATGGCGACAGACCCGCCTCTAATCGCCCCTTCTGCTCCTGAAACTACGGTTGACGTTCCCAATAATCACCAGGCGACAAGGGTCCGGTTCGATGAAACTCCAACAAGGCTGGGTCACGATATCCTCAGCGATTCCTCAGACGATTGCGGAGATGCCGATGACATTCTTCAGACTGGCCCCCCATTGCAAGCCGTTGCCGAACCACAAATTGCGGAAAGAGGGGACACCTCAGAGCATTCGGAGGAGATACCAGGGCCAGTGCCCTCAGATGGCTTCAGAGATGCCGACACCGACGAAAACCAGCAGAGTGGCCCACCTACATTGGTTGATAGCGAATCCCAGATTGAAGCAGAGAAAACAGATGGCGCGAGACATTCGGGCGGAAGACTGAGGCCAATGTCGCGCCTGTTCTTCCGACGACTCAGCAGAAGGAATACCGGTGATAGCTTACAGAGCGCTTACCCAGAAGCTACAAAACGTGTCATGGATACAGCAAAGAGTCGGATCCCCAAGGTATGGCCCGAGCTAATGTGTCCTGCCGCGGAGTCTGACCTTTTCCCCTCTCCATAAAGGGGACCCATGACCACAGTTGTCGGCTTATGCCCTCTAGCGGCGTTTCACTTGTGAAAAACCCTGCGATGTATATTATTTCGGTTCACGACATTGAAGAAGTTGACCAGCGGGACAACAGGCCACCGAGTGCGAATAGCTCAACGTCCACGTCGCATATGAACGTGGGGGGTGTCAGACGCGTCTCTCTCTCAGAAAAGCTGGCAGTCCTGCTCGACCACGACGAAAGAAACGGAGATGAGGCGGCTGCGAAGAGGACCATTTGATGGCTTGAGGACCCGGACATGTTCCCTAGCATCATGCCCGAGGCCTGCGTCTTACATTTCACTTATTCCGACCCACCAAAATGCGTAACTGATTGGAGAGGATACGTCAAAGCTGTCGCGACACAGCTCGCAGTTAGGCTTGAAGAGCATATGGCTGTGCAGAGAAAAGCACCGCTCCTCTTTATAGCCCATGGACTTGGTGACCTTGTGGTTCAGGAAGCAGCTATTCAGCGGGCTAGTGGATTGAATATCCTCCAGGAAACGGACGTGGGTTACATTTTTCTCAATACGCCATTTCCAAACTATCAAGGCTCTGATCGCTGGGATAAAGACAAGTACGGGTTCTTTTCTTTTATTCAACGCACAAGGCGATACGACTTCGTCGAGCTAGCATTGGCATCGGAGGGTAGATTTTCGAACGGAAGGCTCTGGATGGAGTTTGTAAACGCCGTAAGTGGGCGTGTGAAGCGAATGCCGATTGCATGGGTTTACAGATCGGATGAAGTGAGTCTACGTTGAGTCCTAACGATAAACTATCTCGCTTACCCTTAGTAGGCAAGCTTTATTCCGCCCTCTTTCAGCAAGCTTTTCGTCAGTGTCAACGGGCCCAGCTCAGCTGGTTTTCATACCCTAAGCCACCACGCTTATAAGTCCGTTGTCGCTTTGATCAGGTCACCAACCGCTCTACATGCTTCGAAATACCCTGAGTTGCTTGTCCTTCTGAAGCTGGCATTTGAAGCCCCGGGGTTTCCTAAGGATGTCTGCGACGGGTCGGGTAGCTCGCTTCTACATCTGGCTGCTTCATTTCATAACCAGAGAGCAGTGGAATTTCTCGTTTTTCAAGCTCGGCAACGTCGCTTGTTCTTCAAGCACAAAGATCGAGTCGGCCGGAGGCCCTTGCATACCGCTGTTATAGCAGCAGCCCAATTACTTCCAGATGGCGATCGCAAGACCTGTCAAGAGATCATAAAAATCTTAATGTCCAGCACATCGAGCATTGATCACCATGATGGCAGTCGATGTACTGCCTGGGATTATGTCAAGCCAGAAAATCCAATTATGAGTGGATCAGCATGCTGAAGCGGATGCATAGTAAAACTGATGAGGATGGCTCCACTCTACCACCATTTACGCCCCCCAAAGGGCTGCAGATGTCTGCATGCGGCAAATTTGAATCACTTGTCGCTGAGTTTCATTTAACTCGGGATGGGCGCAACAGTAGGTGGAATGATGAAGAGCATCCTGTGTGGAAGGGACTCTACGAGGAGGGGCCGCACAAGGTGCTACAACCACGTCGACCAGTGGATGCAGGCAGGATGCAGCTTAGATGAATACATTTACCTGCAAATAACGTGAGAAAACCTATGAAGGTGCCTCCGTTGAGACTAATGTTCTTTTGCAGAGAAAGTGAGTTGAAGTCCGTTATCCTTCTCTTCCCTGGCACGTTCCATACTCACTGGACAGGACCTACTCACCGGCCTTGGATTACGGGATGTCTCGATGGCCAATTAACACCGTGAAGGTTACTCTCCCAATTATGCTCCTTGCCATGCTAAAACTATCTGACTTTCCGTAAACACAAAGGTTTCACAATTCCGTTCAACTATTTCTTTGCAAAAGCAGAATAGTACGCTCAGACTAAGGTAAACTATATTGTTCAACACACGATGACCACTTTGGTTACCTCGCAAAATGTGGAGAAAGGACGTGTGATATTGATTATGCTCTAGATCATGTACCCTGACATCCACCCAGATAAATGGCCAGCAACGCTGATATCTGGCTCCTCCAAGCCTGAAAAAAGTGAACAACGCGCAGTGGCCGTATTTGTGAGTTTATGACAAAGAATTCTCGGATACAGCGGCCAAGCTGCTGATTTCAATAGATGCCCATTCTAAGCTTCAAGACAAAAGACAGTCCTGACAAACTCGACAAGTATCCAAGCCGTAGCTAGAGGAGAATTTCCCGAAGTCGACAACCTTCAGATAGAGCTTGCCAAGGCCTATATTGGACAGGAATCATACCCGCATGGATTGCACCCTCGCAGGCCTCTTGACCAGTTCTCATATACCTCTAGACGGGAGGAACAAATCATGCCGAACTTAGGCCGGAAGCCCGACAACAAGCCCATGGGAACTGCTGCTGCGCTGATGGTTGATCAAGTATGGCTTTGGATGTTAGATGATGGTATTTTTGCACTCTTCAAAAAGTCTTGTTTGCGTTATCGGGCTAACCCACGCTTATACTAAGGAACCGTGGTGACTTGCTTCCCTGATGCATGTGATACGAGGGCGGGATACAATTTAAAAGTTATTCTACGCGATGCCATCAAGACGCCGAATCGAACGAGAACAATGCAAGATTTTGTCGAACTTATCATCATCAAGTCTGTCGACTTTTTCGCCAGACCTGGGCCACAAGGAGCCACTTTTGTGGGCTGTTTTCGGCACGCAATCAACCATGTAGTGAGTTACCGCTCTGCATCCATTATGAACATATAAGTAACCAGTGCAGGCACATGCAGAGACGAAACTATTCATCAATTTGAAACATTCACGAGAAAGCTAAATGATCCTATCTCTGCCGCCGAGCGAGATCAACTCACCAGGGACATGCTCAAGTTTCACAATGAGTCCAAACTACTAATGCATATACGAGATATCCAAGATGAGATGAACATTATCAAGACAATGGTAAAGCAACAGGAAGGTGTCATTGACCAGCTTTCGCGGGCTATTTCCGCGTTCCATCAAAACAGCAGGCATCGCCATTGGAAAAGTAATGGTGATGAACTGGCAAATACTTCTCCAGTAGGTGGCAGCGTCGATCTCTATGAGATAGAAGAGGAGCAAGACATGGAGGTACGGTCTAGCCCTGTTCTCAAACAAATATGCTGACAAGGGTTAACTTACAGCCTGATGGTGACAGAAATCGCGATGTCCTGCAGTAAAGTATCATGACAAGTGTAAAGGACAGCTTGAGAGTTCTGAAAGGCATGCTGGAGTACGCAGGACAGATTGAACGCAACGTGGGTTCTTCATTCTTATTGTTTTCTGTCGAATTTATCTGACATATAATTCTTGATCGATCATCTGCTTGATCTCAAGCAAAAACAAGCAAACGCGCTTGAGGCTCGCTATGCAAGAGAAGGCTCAGACCAGTGCCACCGCTAGGGTAATGTACGCTGTGGACAATTCCTTCTAACATAGTCTGCTCTGGAACTGACCAACCTAGTTCCAATGGTCCAGATTATGTTATACTGGACAGCTATTACAATAATCTTCGTACGTACGGGTTATGGTACACTCGCAATAGGTTATGCCAACACTTCCAGCTACCGATGTCCTTTCTGTCCAGCTTCTTCACGATAAATATATCCGAGTTCCCAAAGGATGCTGGAGGGACTACATCGTGGCCCCTTCGCAACCTATCCAGTTATCTTTGTAAGGACTTACACCATTCTTTCTGGATATTTCAGCTGACAGTACTGAATAGTTGGAATATCATTTGCGCTGATATTGCCTTTGCTTCTCATCGGGTTTCTCCTCAGACTCACCCCGTTCACCCTGCCGGAAAGGACAAGGCTTCAATCCCTTTGGAAGAAACATGCCAATCACGACAAACATGGGGACAAAGTCCAGTCCACCAATGCCAGTGATGAAGGTACCAAGCACGAACGAGCAGAATCCGAAGGCTCGATTGGGTCCAATTCCAAGACTTCGGTCTCCACGTCCTTCGATAGGAGCCGGAACCCTCTTGCTTCGTTCAAAATGCCTGGCGCCGGCACCCTTCCGCCGGAAAATTCACACTCCACATCCTAAAACACCTCTGGTCACTTTTCAACCTTGTTCTTTTCAGGGCTGGACTCGCCCATGGCCACAGACCGATTCTAAGCATGCCACCCGAAAATGATAGCCGCGCCACACATTACCACTTCCCTCTAGAGTTCATTCACAACGAAGCCCAAACGCCCCGGCAGCGAGTCTCAAAGTATTCGTCTCGATTCCATCCGGAATCAGACTCGGATAGCGGAGTTCAGGCCCAAGAGACTCCCTCATCGCCAAGAGAAACGATGTCAAGGAGTCCGCGCTACCCTAAATCAATACCCAAGGAGGAGGCTAAGTCCGTTTCCTGGTTTTGGAATAGATTACCTAGACGCCGTCTGTGGTTTCGGCCCAGAAACTCGAAGGAACGTTCGCCGGGGCCTAACACAGATTTAGAGCCAGGGTGAACTCTTTCTTTCATGCCCTAATAATGGAATTTATTGACTGATATACCACTGTCCCCTATATCTCCAATGATATATGGTATAATTCCAGTCTACTATAATATGCTAGGTATGCAAAGGTCCGTAAACCGATCCTAGGGCGGGCGAGGAGTAGTCTGCTAACAACTACAGTTGGTTTAGGGTCCTCAGACATGGGCCGGCAACATGATAAAATGTAAAGGCCATATTTCAATGACTATCCCGGAGATCAACATTTGTTCCTCTACGAGACCATGCACACTGTACCAAGCTCATCAAACAGGAACCCTCTTTCCAACCTTCCGCAGGAACCCACACCTCTCCCGCAGAAGATCAACCTCAACGTTCTCAAAGCCATCCTCCCTAATCACGAACTCCTCACCACTCCTCTTCAGCTCCGGCACTCCAACCACATCGTCGCTTGTCAGCTTATGTGCGTTTGGATCCCCAGTCTGGAAGAAACTACCCATTGCGCCGGCGTAACCCTTGTACACGAGGGGATTGGTTTGCTGGACGGAGTTGATGCGGTTCCACTAATGTTAAGGTAATTAATTAGCAAGTGCTTTCCATATAGCTTTAATCAGGGGAGTATAAGGGCTGAAAAGGAAACGTACGTAAATCGTATCACTAGCATGTTTCGCAGGGTCAATCGTGTACTCTGCAAGATACCCCTTCTTTGTCGCCGCGGAAGAAAGCCAATATGCCGGACAGGCGAGCACGACATCCCTATACACGAGACCTGCGCGGACAAGTGTCGAGTTATACGCATCGAGTGTTTCCGTTGATCCGGCCTCGGGGTAGTACTTGTTCTCCAGTAGCCTGATCTCTCGTGGCGATAACCCCGGTAAGAACCCGGTTAACCAGTCATGAAAGCTCGCTGTGGAGGAATTGAATCCATCTGACGCCTCCGAGGAGTCCGCATAGTTGAGCCCTGGCGGGACAAAGTTCTCACCCTCGTGCGTGTTGTATGTTGTGAAGACATCCTCCGTCTCGATCTTGTCACGTGACACGGCATCTGTGAGGGTCTGCAGCAGGAACGTATCATCAACAACAGGAGCCCAGGTATACGAGCTCGTCGTCCACGTATTCTCGGCAGCGATGACCAGATTCGTATCACGGATCACCTGGACATCAACACTCTTCAAGCACTTGAGTGAATCCCTCGCGTGGGTACACCCCGTGAGATTCACCATCTGCTCGTAGATTGCCTCCGCTTCATCGGCATCATACCTATACGTCTTCGGCCAAAACGGCGAGCTTGCAAGCGCCTTACTAAACAACCTCTTCTCCCCCCGCCGCCCGTTCGCAAGCACCTGCGCAACAACCGACCCGCCTCCCGCGGACTGGCCCCAGATCGTGACATTGCGCGGATTCCCGCCAAACGCCATGATGTGTTTCTGCACCCATTTCAGCACGTACTCCTGGTCCAGCAGGGCCGGGTTGAGGTCTGAGGTTTGTGACTCCTTGATTGCTTTCCCGGGGAGGAAGCCGAAGGCGTTGAGGCGGTAGTTTGGGTAGATGACAATGTAGTCGTTGAGTGTTGTGGCATTTAGAATTGGGAAGGAGGAGGGCGGGAGGGTGAATGAGGCGCCGCCTTGGATGAAGGCGCCGCCGTATAAGACCACGAGGACGGGGCGCAGATTGCTATCGCGACTGCGTGATGCGGTCTCCGAGGTGACATCTGTTTTCGTATCTGTGTCTGCGATCCAGGGCCGCGAAAAGAGACCTAGGTAAAGGCAGTCTTCAGATCCGTTGACCGTTCGCTGCGGACACATGTCAAAGTCCTGGTCCGTGTCGTAGACGCCATCGGCGATTCTGAGAGGTGGCTGCGGAGCGCGAAAGCGGTTCTCGCCAGTTGGTGGTGCGGCGAAGGGAATTTTGCGGAAATATGTGAGGTTGTATGTCTCGTCGTACTTGCCTTGGAAAGAGCCATAGTCGAGATTGACGAGGGGGTCGCTGTAACTTGCAACCCTTGCGAGGGAACCGGAGATAGACAACACTAAGCCAATTAAACGGAGTAACTTCATGGCTGGATTTTAACTGACCGTAGTCAGCGACAGTGCGGTAGAGACATGGTACTGAAGCCCAGCGGCTTTTATCAGGAATCATAGTATATCGTCACTTGCCTGCAAGAGGCGGCGTGTCGGGGTTATGCAGACCGAGATGCAGTTGAACTGCGGGGGGAAGGCCGGGGAAAAGGAAGGAGTATCACGGAATGAAGCTGCCATTGGTGCAGTAATATATTCCTTGCATTTCGCCGGAATATTTCAACGGCAGAAGTGGAGCTCGAGGAGAAGTGAGGGGGTGAAGAACCGAGAAACGAAATTATAGTTGCTGAGTTGACTCTAAAATGTCAGTGTTACATGATACTATGTATGCAACAAGAAGAGTATAAATACATAAAAACCAGCCATGTGCCAATCCCCTCAAAGATGTATGTGAAACGAGGCCTGAAAATGCGACAAAATCGAGCACAGAATGAAAACGAGATGAAGGCCAAAGGAATCAATCCTGAGGTTATCCTGAGCTCCTCCTACTGACTTGTAGTAGTCATCTCCATGCCAATCGGCCATCTTCATAAAACGCCAATTCCTACCACGAATATGTGTGAACACCAATCTCTCGCCCGAAACTCCAAATCCCGACGAAAAACATCATCATTACATAGTCATTCGCAGAGCCCGGGTGTGTCGCCTGGTCACCCGTATGCTTCGCTGCTCGTCAGCCGTCTCGCTATCAGGGGTCTCCGTGCGTGGCGCCTCGGATAATTCAGGTGTGGGTGTGATGCCGAAGCTGACGCCACGGCCCTTACGTGAGATAAGCGCCTCTTCTTCAGGGTATAAGAAGCGATGCACCGTGCGGTGATCCATCACACGCTCTTCGTCATCATTGGGCCCCTCCCTGTCGGTTTTGGGCCAGCGGAACCCGTACAGCACGGAATGGCGTTCGCAGCGAGGACACTCTCTTCGGGTGAGGTACGAGTTTTGTTGGACGAACCAGGAGTTGCAGGTGTGGCAGTCTACCCATCTGTCGTATGAATGTGCTAGTAGCTTTGGGGTTTTCGTGTAATCTCCAGGGACTCTCGTTAATGCTGATTCAGGTTCGACGGATACATAGACACGCTTGCTGCGTGCTTTCCGCGGTTTCTTGCCTTGCGGGAAGACTTCGAGATTATCCTCGAGCTTCAGCGACGACGAAGCTTCGCTCGGGCAGGTCTCCGAGCGGGACTCTGCTTTTCTAAGATTCAGACGAGAGCGTGTGGTAAGTTCCCGCAAAGTTGTGTCGGCAGTATTCTCAACCTTGATTTTGATTTCAGCGTCGCACGATGTCGTCGCAGATTCAGCACCAATTGTAATTTTAACATTAGACACAACGGTGGCCTCGTCAGCCTTGATGGTTCCCTCATCACAGTCGGAGGTTGCTGCAGTGGACGTTGATGATCGTTGGGAGTCATCAGGAACCAGGGATGTGAGAGATTCCGAATCAGTACCGGACGACTGCGCATTTTCCGTGCTTGAGCGGCCCTTCCGTTGTGTCGTGGAATTGCCCGACTCGATCGAGATAGCAACCTCTTCAGTAAGAGACAATTCAGATCGCAGCTTGGAGCTGCGCGGAGTAAACTTCCCCCTCTTGCGGGGGCTGGAAGAAGGCGAAGTGTCAGAGTCGACGTCAGCGGCAGCCTTCCGCTTCTTCGGTGTGAGGAACCCCTCCATGGGCATGACCTCTGGTGTAGACGCTTTGCTGTTGGGCTCAGAGTCGGTATGTGGAGACCAGCCGTTGCGCACAGCGCGTTCGCAAGTAAGACATAAACACTCGCAATTGTCAATTCCAAAGTAGTCTTCCCCATACGAGACGGTGATTTCTTCACCGATATAGATATCCCGAGTAGCGACGACCTGCATCCCTTCGGAACCTCGAGTCACCAGTCGGCCGTTCGCATTGCAGTCGTGGTTGGCGAAGCGGGCGGGGCCGAGGAAAAAGGAGGGTGTTTTCCGGCGACTCGACATGACAATGCTGAAATCCTTCCTCTTCAAATCCAGATCCTGTTCCTCCTCCTTGGTCATTGGCACAAGGGTTCCAGCTAGATATTTGATCTCCTGGCCTTGCGGGATAAATTTTCGGGCGCAAATCGCCGCCTCGTGCTCGAAAATCGTGTAGCGGTTGGTGGTCGTCACTTCAAAGGGGCAGTCGGGCAAGTACATCTGGACGTACTTGCGAAGATGCCTTCGAAACCAATCCTTTTCGCGATCGTTCGGAAGCTTCTGTATGAATCTCCTCATCCCAGACATTTCTAGTATCTTCTTTTCAGCCTTAATCGCATCCTTGGCGACAATGACATCGTGGAGAAGGATTCGGGCTACGTCCTTCTCGTCCACGCCTCGTACCGGGATATATTTCGTTCTGTTCTTGCGGGTTTTCGTCCAAAAGTGAGCCTATTCAAATCATGCTGTTAGAATAATGCTATTCTTTCTCGGTCGCTGGGTGAAACCTACACAATCCACCAGCGCATCCGTTGCGACGTCGTCATAGCTGGCCAACTTGGCCAGCGTCAGCCGGTCGCGCCGCTCGTCGGAAGGGCTGTTGCGGGCCTTAGATGGTGGCATCGTAATCTCCGATTTCAGTCCAGTCCCATACAGCCGATATTAAGCCTTCGTTGTGGTTGTGCGGCAATTGTCCGGGATCCAGCGAGGGCGAGTGTCAGGGAAAAAGGAACGACGAAGCGGGAGAGAAAGTCCCAAGAAACCAAGATATTGCAGATAAAGAGGGTGAGTGTAACACAATTACAGAGCAATCGACATAGCGGGCAAGAGGGGAAGGATCTGAGAAGATAAACGGCGCAGTCGAGTCATGGATGGGGCTACATCCAGAGAGCAACACACAAGCAAGACAAAGAACACGGAGCGGCTGGTCAGGACTCAGCCTGAGCGTCAACTCTGTTGCTGCGGCGCTCCAGCGGCGCTCTTTTTCCGCCTTGTTTTGCAGGCCGCAACTCGTAATTGGCTCATTTGCGCTGGGGTCGGAGATCGGCAGAACTTGGTGCCGGAAATCTTTCGAATCGCAGATGTTGATCAGTCGACGTCCGATGGCCTTTTGTCCGCTCAGCTAGTGAACACATACAGTCAAGATGATTCAATTAAAGGTCGGTGCGAATGACTATTCATATCTTTGTCTCTGCTGACTAGGCGATAGTCTATGCTTAACTGCATCGACAACTCCGGCGCGGCCGTGGTCGAATGCGTGAACGTCCTCAAGAAGAAGCGGGCTGCGACAGTCGGTGCGTACCCAACACAATCCCGATCTAGCCGCCTCTAATCATTTTATCTTGGCTTAGGTGATCGAATCGTCATTGTCGTCCAGAAGCAGCGAAGTTTCGGTTCTGACCCCTCAGGAAACAGTGGTATCGCCAACAAGGTCCGTCGAGGAGATATCCGACATGCCGTTGTTGTCCGAGTCAAGAAGGAAATGCAGCGACCCGACGGAAGCCTTGTGAAGTTCGATGACAATGCGTGTGTGCTCGTGAACAAGTCCGGAGACCCCATCGGAACCAGAATGAACGGTCAGTCCAATTTTCGCTACACATATCGCCGTGGAGGTGCTGACTCTCAATACAGGAGTCGTGGCTACGGAACTACGAGGAAGGCAATGGTCTAAGATTCTGTCTCTTGCGCCGATGCATGTATAATATACCACTTGGAGCAGATTGTTTTATTGGGCGTTCGCATATCTATCTGTAACAATAGACCACCTTTCAAATTCCCCGTTATGACCTCAAAATCGCCAAAAACTCCCCGAAAATGCTGTACATGCCAATAAGAAGGGTATCGAAATAATATGATAAACAGGTGTCGTAGCGCTATACGAAGACATTTCCGCACGTGCAGCACACGTAGTAAAGTTTCTGAAACTCATCAGTTACCCTGCATCACAAAGATCGGTCGAAATGCTCACCATTCCAGTTTCCGCAGATCGTTGTTGAGACTGGAAGAACACGGCTTCCGCTTCACCGCAGCTCGGGCAGAGCTTGTTGGATCGGGGAAGCTGTACGGGACGTGCGCAGTTAGCCAATGAGTCCAACACCTCGGTTCCGGGTTCCAAAAAGATTTCAAATGTCGCGGCCGAGCACATGTCTCAGGACATTGATCCACAGGTAAAACAGGCGACTACTTCGCCACAAAGTAGACAAAGACCAGGGAGACAAACCGTAGGATCGGATCCCACATCCTGGGTTACACCAGCAGTGTCTCCGACTTGGGTGTTGAGTTTGTTCTGGTAAACGCAGTAGGACGTCGCAGGCTCGCCGACATGGCAGGTTCGGCAGGTAAACATCAAGCGGTTGTTGACGCGGTCTTCTTTCGGGTAGAGCAGGTTGGAGCTAGAAGGTCGTTAGCGACTGAGCAAACCAAGGGAGCGAGAGCCGTTGCTTACCATTCGCGACAGAAGCGGAAATGAATCTGATCGCTCGGCTTGTTATCGCCACCAGCGGAGGGAGAAGGACTGGCAGACATTTCGGTGTGAGGTGGGGGATGTGGTTGAGATAGATATACGGCGCGCAATGGTGCAAAAATCGGTCGAAGCGGCTTCCAAAATATAGCGGTGCGCAAAACAGTCGAGATCAACGAGAGACGGATAAGTGCTGAAGAGGAGGTGAGTCGTTGAGAAAGCACAGACATCAAAGGCGTTCTCGAACTCGGAATCCAGACCCGCCCCTGAGTTTGCACTGTTTGGCCCGTTTAGCTCCTTTGCAGCTTCCCCTCCTGTCACCTGGGCAATTTCCCCGCGTCATCTTAAACTACGATTTACCCCAGCGCTAGATTTTAGACCATTCGAGCTTTTCAACATTTTCACCCTTATATACCACTGCAGAACTTTTCGCCCACCATGGTTGGTCTTTGCCTCGCATCCTATCACCATTGTCCAACCCGAACTCATTCACTGACTCCCTTTCGTCATAGGTAAATACAGGTCTTCCAGCAGGATGGGAGGTCCGCCACTCCAACTCCAAGAATCTTCCTTACTATTTCAACGCCGGGACTAGGGAGTCACGCTGGGAACCTCCGGCCGATACCGACATGGAATCTCTCAAGGTATACATGGCCAAGTACCACAGCGGCGCCGCAGCCTACCCGGACGGTTCGAACCAGGGTGAGGGCAAGATTCGCTGCAGCCACCTTTTGGTCAAGCACAGGGATAGTAGACGACCCAGTAGCTGGCGGGAGGCAACCATTACCCGGACAAAGGAGGAGGCACGTGAGATTCTCCGCGGGCACCAGCAGCGCATCATAAGCGGAGAGATCACGCTAGGCGATCTGGCAATGGCCGAGTCGGACTGTAGTAGTGCCAGAAAGAAGGGCGACCTGTATGTCTTTGCTTTGCTATCTTGTAGTCTGTCTATTCTATCAACCTAATTGCTGATGTGCTTAAAGTGGCTTCTTCGGTCACGGCGAAATGCAACGAGAATTCGAAGAGGCAGCGTTTGCCCTGCAGCCAGGCGAGATCAGTGACATTGTCGAATCACAGTCTGGTCTTCATCTCATCGAGCGGTATGTTGAAATAGCTTCGACTTATAGAGTCACCAGCTAACCCGCTTTGCTCGGACAGTGTACAGTGAACTACCTTGGCCGTCTTGATGTACTTATCCCACTCGCAAGTTATATACCAAACAATGGTCTTAGATTCACAAAATTGCTTCTTCAGTATTTCTTGCATTTTTCGTGTATAAGCTTACGATATGTCGCGGGATTGGAACCAAACCTGCCATATTTTCATAATACTGGACCTTTTGAACTTTCTTAACTAAAGATACGTACCCTTGCTCTTCAACCTTTTCTAACTAAGGCATCTACCATGGGCCCTTCTCAACTTTACCGCAAAGTGAGAATTCGACTTCCAAAGTTCTGGTCCTCATCTCCTGCATGTGCACCTCCAAAACTCCCTCATAAACAACCCCATTCATACATGCAACATACCTCAATTCACTTCTTACTTTGCTTCAGATCTCGTTGGCAGTTCAACGTCTCTTCACGCCGCGCTCGATCCTCGAAGGGCCTCATCTCTCACTTTACAATGTGTGTTTACAACAATCCTCCTTCCCTATCTTTCTTCCTGTTATCATCATCATAAAAACGCCTCACAAACTGCCATGACGCCTTCGGCGCAAGCGTCTACAATGTATCCCCTCGGCGAATGCACCAACCTCACCAAATTCAAATTCATCCCCGAAAACGTCCTCATCCCCACGCATCTCGACCAAATCATCCCCGATGATCTACGCCTCGACCTCAACTTCCTTCGCATAAACGCCGGCAGAGCGTTCCGCACCATGATCACGATAGTACGCAAGCGCGAAAACCGCTACCGTGCTCTCTGCCCTCCCACCGAAAGCAAATACAAGCTCTACACACACAGCGCAACCATCAGCCGCCTGAAACGATGGCGCGAAGACCACGATACCTACGATCCCACTCTCGCACCATCAGCGAAGATCCCAGGGCCGGTCATCTACCTTAATATCTCTCGAACAGCCTACGAAGAATGGTCGAAGGACTACGCCAGCGTGCTTTCAGAGTTCAAGAACGGTCCGTACAAGGAGTATCACGACTCGGCGGAGGACTTTCTGGCTGCGATCCGGGTTGCGAGGGATAGGAGAAAAGTCAGTCACCTGGACTACCATGAGCTTATACTTTTCTACCGAACTTTTATGCGGGAGATGACCATCTGGGAGGATATCATTCCAGGGCTGGACCTACCGAGCTTTTCAGAGATTGTCGATGAGCTTTATGAGGCGGTGGTGGAGAGGGTGGAGAATGGGGAAACGATGCATCCCTTCTTCCAGAGAGTGAGAAACAAAATGAGGGACGTTGAGAAGGATGGTTGAGCGTGCGTGTTGCTGCTCTCACAATGCCCTTTCAGCCAGGGAGCTGGTTTTGTACGAGGATTTCTCACTGGAGTTGGTTTAGCATTGCATCTCTTGTATCAGTAACTCATACATTGCCACACATTGTGAATAGGACGTCAAAAGCTACGATTCTAGCATTCCATGGCAACCACCAAAGTAATCACTGGGCTCAATGCGCCGTCAATGCGCCATCTTGGTTTCAGCACCCGCACACTAGAGGGCCAAGGACTGACCTGCACTTTTTTTGCTCGAGAAGGCCAAGGAACATGCGAGAAAAAGATATCATTACTGTCTCCGGTCGCCCTTCCCCATAACCAAGCCGAGCCAACATCGATCGTTCTTTCCCTGCCCGGGTCTCTTCCTTTGGGAGGCAGGCATGAAAAGTGCCAAAGAGTCACTCTTTCCTATTAAGGTTGCAGGACTCTTCACCACATCTTCTACATCTAATCCATAAAGATCTCTAATGCCTAAGACAACCACTCCTTTATGTCGCATCTTCCTTATCAATATCGACCTGTAGCCATATTAGAGGTACCCACCCCCGCCTCCGCTAGACTTGAAAAACCCCGTCATGTCCTTGACTCACATTAAGCTGCACCGTTTCCAGTTTGGGTCGAATTGATCAAAGTTCACTCCGCGAGCTTCTCACTTCGAAACCAACAAAGCGAAAATGTCTAACATGCTTAAAGTTTTCTTGCCTTGCCATCTCGACCTTAAAATGGCTTATCCCTCTTCCATTATTTTCTGTTATCTCTTCTCTTTCCGCTACAGCACGTCGAACCGGAGTCGCCCAATCCCGCACCCACGACTTTCCATGCCAACCAAGATGCCCCCGCTGCGATTCCCTCCTTTCCTCCGACCGAAACTTTCACCGGACTTTGTCCTGGATGATACCAAGATTTGCCTCCCAGACAACCTGAAAAGCACCATACCCGAACCACTCTGTGCAAGTTACGAGAACTGTCATCGCAGCGGCCTCCGCGCATGCGGGGTGTTGAAGCGGCTCACCGATTGCCACGAAGGACGATTTGTGGCACTCTGTCCGAGAGACGATGTGGACGTGGAGCGCTGGGTAATGCACAGTGACACGATTTCCCGGTTTCGCGAATATTACGACGAGAAAAGAGAAGCAATGATCCATAACGCTCCGTCAGGTTCGAAAATACCGCGGAAAGCCATACGTCTAACGGTCAACCAGCTCGCATACGACAGATGGGCAAACGAGTTTGACGGAATGATTATCGAATATGTCGAGACGGTTTACGAGCTCTATAAGCTTGCGAGGGTGCAATTCGAGAAGCATATGCAGCTTGCGAGGAAAGAAAACCGGATTGACGAGAGTGCTTCCAGGGAGCTGTATAACTTCTATCATGAAAACTTTCGAATGGAGATGTCTAGGTGGGAGGAGTTGATCGCATCGCTGGCAACACCCTCTTATGAAGAGCTTGTGGATGAGATTTATTGGGCGGTTAGAGAGTGCGTTGAGGGAGGCGAGCAGCTTGCGACTGAGTTTGCAATACGGAGAACAACAGTTCCAGCGCACTGAAGGATTGTTTCTAAGCTCTTGGGTTATGTGTTTGAGATGGTCTCATTAAGGTTGGGGGGTTGCGAAGGGCGTTTGGTTAAGTTTGGATAGTTCAAAGAACATGTAGGACTCTGCAGCGTTAAGACACAGTTAGATTAAAATAGTTACATTGAGTGAGTCACCTTGAAACGAATACGAAATTGTCTCTGATATTTTGATCATGTAGCCACGCCCGTCACCAAATTCCCGGTCGCCATCCCCCCAAGCCACCCACCTCTTGTCACGTGGTCACAAAGCCCTATGCAAGACATGAGCGTCGGGGCATCAAAGGAACGGGGACAATGGAGTTCACGCAATGCCCATTTTCTCTGTATGGCAAAGGAATTTGCACAATGTACCACTTACCTACCATATCCTTTCATCCCTTTCATCAAGAGTGCTATATAGACCCTCTCCTCCCATGCAATCTACAATGGACTCTCAGACCCCTACTCAGAATCCCCCAGCGACATTCTGCCCTCCGATCTCCGCAACAGACGAAAGGCTCAAGACCACAATGTGCACCTTCTACACAGTAAAATACCTCTGCAACTGCATCTACGACGAATGGCTCCTCCCCTGCTTTTTCACCCGGGGCCCCTCCATCCTCCTCAGCCACCCCAACAGTACCGAGTCCCAAACCACCAGCGAAACCCAATCCTCTCCTGACTCTCCTCCCAACTCCCCTCCTGCTACCCCTTCCAATGTCAATCCTGAATTCAACCCCTGCTTTCTCAAACCAAAACCTCATCCAACAAAGAAACCCTGCTACCACACCCACATAATCGAAACATACGACGTCCTCACCCTCTGCGAAGTGTGTTTCAGCCAACTAGATAAAGAAATCCGCACGCACGGTGTGAAGACTGTCCTCGCGTCGCCGGAGCGGTTTCCACTCGCCGAGAAACTGGGTATGCTCGTCGTCGTCGAGAACGATGCGCTAGAGCAGTGGAGGCTTTTCCGGAAGGGGGAGCAGTGTTTTCTTTTAGAGAGGGGAGGCAGAATTCAGTCTTTGGGTTCTTCGGGTGCGGTGAATGGGAGGGTGGTTGTTCCTGGTTGTGGTTGCGGTGTTGGGAAGGGCCCAAAAGTTAGAGGGCCCGATGCAGATCAGGTGTGGAAGGTGGAGTCGAGTAGGATTTATCGGCTTGAGTATCAGATCAATGGGCCGGGAGAGGATATAGATACTGAGAGTGAGGAGAGTGGTTCTGTCACATCAGGGAGGGGTGGAAAGTTGGGGAGGAAGGGGGTGTGGGATGGGTCGTATTATGAGGAGAGGGCGATGGGACATCATCCCGAGCCAGAGGACTGATTGTTCGGATGATCCAGTTATGAAGATCGCTGTAGGAGGTGTTGTTCGTGTAGCATTCTAAGTGTCGTCCTTACATATGATTGAAGGGCGAGTTTGGCCCAGTTTGTCAGAGAACATACTGAAATAAGAATTGAGGGTTCGATCAAGTTGATGGTTGATTTGATTGCTCAAGTTAGATGAATTCAGCGTAGATCAACGGTCAATGCGTAAATACGTAGTCTAAGCCATATTGTATGCGAGGGTAAGTGGTCAAAGAACCAAGATTGGGAATAACATCAGACAATGGCGTTGAGCCGGGCTAAGCGTGTCGTGATAGATTCAATAACAGCAGATCTAAAGCCAGTTAGCAGCGGAATCGGCATGATTGTGGAGAAGCATACTCTCTCTCCACCATCTTCATGGCATCAGCGATCTTAGCACGTTGCAGCCGCTGGGGAACCCGTGGTTGTGCGCTTGTAGGAGAAGCCGGGGTACTAGATTCTTGCGTAGCGGGCAACCTGGCAGCAGCGGACTTGGCTTCTTCGACTAGTTCTTTGGCGATCTCCTTGACCTGCATAATGTTAGTAGATGATCAGGAAAAATCAAGGGTTTGAACTTGCATCTTGTAGTCGCTGCGAAATCCGCTGGGTGTCTCCCTCCTTGCGTTCATTGTCGAAGGATTTGGAAAGTGTTTCCACCTCTGCGATCCATGACGACTCCTTCTCGCTGAGCGGTCTTCCTCCGGAGTTCAGCACCTTATTGCGGAGAGCTTCGTAGCGTTGGACGAGTTGTGTTTGTCTGTCCTTGGCTGCTTGTAGCCTCTTGTCCAATACTTCACTGCTCCTGGAGCCCTCTTTCCTCTCTCCATCTTCACCAATCTCACTCGAGACACCCTTGATACGCTCTGCAACATCGGATATTTGCCCTAATTGCTCGCGCAATTCACCCTGAAGTCTCTCACAGCGACGGAAGAGGTCAGACGCAGCTCGTTCAAGGGCATTTGTATGGGCGGACAGGATTCGGTGCGCGGCGGCCACAAGATCAAGAGTAGCTGGGGAGAGGAGTACGGGCTCCTTCAAGCTGCTGCGGTAGCGATGAGGAACTTGCTTCTCGACAAAGAACTCCAATGGAGACTCTGCGTATAGAATGGAAGGAACCTGGTAAGGAGGTCGGTGGGGAGGGATTGTTGGGGAGCCAGCTGTCTCTGCATCTGGCTGGAGCGAAAATGACGGGAAGAAATCAGGCTTTTCGAGAATGGCAGCAGAGGGGGTAGAGGCGTGGCAGGAAAGAAGCAGGTATCCCAGGTCGTAGTCGTGATACACCAAAGAGGCTGGTAGGTGGAAGGGCTGGCTGCCAGCTGCACTGGCTTCGTCGACTTGAATGATCGGCTCCAATGTCGCCGCGTTGCCTTCGCAAAGAATCTGGAGCCGGAATCCTGACCCAGCAGTGTCATCAGACTGCAATTCAGCTTCCAATCGCTGAATCCAAGACGCCAGCGAAATGAATACAACACTGTGGGAGGTTGTCACGAAGCAGCTGTATCGTGAATGGGCATCGGGGGAAAACACAGGCCATGTTTCCGCAGATTGGCGTTCCTTTTTGACGGTGTCCAAAGCTTCCACCAGAAGTAAATCGGACCCTTCAGAGACAGGCGTTTGGAACACGTTTCTCTTTGATTTGGGAAGCCACTGTCCTTCCACACCTTCAAGTTCAAGGCAGATATACACTCGACCACTCCGAGATGAAAGATAGATCACAGTAGCAGATACCTTATCATCACCACTATCCAGAGCCAATTCATCATCTTCTCCCAGCATCAGAGCATCAGTATCAGCCTTGGCAGCAACGACCAGAATATCGCACAGATCAAGGTCATCAACCTGGTCGCCAGTATCAACACGGAACGGCCCTTGAAGCCTAGGAATCGCACTAGGGGTCATTGGCCGAGCGAGGATCTCTGACTCCGGCTCTGTCACGGTTCCGGGTATGATCTGCAACGGCTCCTGGTTGTCGATTTCCGTGAGCCACTCGTATTGTTGCCGACAGGCTGTCAATTGTTCGTCGTGATCCAAAGAATCCTCTTCTAAAGCTGTCATTTTCGGGATGATTGCAGCAGACAATGAGGGGACGGCCGCGGGCGGCGCCCTCCACTTTGAAGGCAGCAGTGGACAGAGGGCATACAGATCGCCAGGCTTCATGGCGATCCAGAGTGTCATCGCTGCCCAAGCGTCCTCTTTCTCGCTACCCACACCGCCAAAGCGAGCCGATGCAACCTCCATATCAATGTAATCTGCAGAGAAACCTTTGTTCCTCCCAAAACCCGAGGGCGCAAAGTCCTGGTCGGAAGAAGTCCCGTCGATCAGCTTGCGGAGGTCGATAGCAAGTGTAGGTCGGTCAAACGACCAGTGATTATTCCGGTCTAGCTCCCAGACGCGCACAGCAGCGTCCTCCGTTACTGTCACAAGGCATGCTCCTAGATTGCTATAAACACCAAGCGGGTGCCATAAAGCTGAGACCACCGGCGATTCTGGGATGACGTGTGTTGTTGGGCCAAGCTGGTAGGTTTTTACGCGAATTGGGGAAGTTTCTGTGGTAGACAAATGCGCGGAGTCGGGAAGGACTGCGATGAAGACGGTATGGTCTGCGACAATGGCGAGGAAAGCGCCGTTTGGAGAGGGGATAAGCTGTCGGATCTGTTCGTAAACCGGCACTACCAGGGTCTTGAATTCATCAGTATAAGCCATCATAATCATTCATCGCACTGTATCCATACCCTGTACGGCACCTGGTCATCGGCAGCGGACTTTTGGGCATCCTTCGACCTCTCACGTTGCTGCCACTCATCCTTCAATCGCGTAAGACTGGACCACCGGATCTGGTTGTCAACAACTGTGAAGATCTCATTGCCCCTCCGTGCAAGAGTCCGTAAGGGCCCGTCATATTTGGCGTCTTTGGGGTTCTTGAGACTCGCAGGATCCTTGTGTGTAGTGCTCGCAAACAACGAAGCGCCGGGGGAAGGGCGCGAGAGCCAGGGAGGAGTGTAGCTGATAACTTTGGGCATTGTCGCGACAATTATTCCATCAAGAGGTGTCGATCAAGCTCCAGAGGCTGCGACCTCGTTGTGAAGGCGTCAAATAAGATGTGAGGCGCTGAGGTTGGGTGAATCCACAGCAAACAATGAGCTTCCGCGGAAATTTTGGGCGGAGTTGAAGCAGCAACCGCCAAGACGAACCCAGCGAAGCTCTCCTGCGCTCCGCTTCCGTCTCTGTTTCTCAAACTTCCCAACACCCAACAACACTCGCTCTCTTACATTCGCTTTTATTACTCAGCTTGCGGCCATGAGTATCCCAGAGCGACGCAACACAGTTGAGAGACTCGACCGACCGAGCGCGTATTACGTGGGAAAGGTAAGCTTTGCAAAGATTCTTTGAACATTCGAGACGTCATCAACTGACCCTTCTCCCTTAAAGAACAAGAAGCGCAGATACAATGATGAGCCCGAGGAGCCAAAAGACCCCATGGAGGGATTGAGGGACGCAACCACCCTCTATGTGGGCAATCTGTAAGCTCCCTTGCGAGAGTGTGATCGCCAAGCACTCCAGTTGCTGACTGTTATAGCTCCTTCTACACGACAGAAGAACAGATTCATGAACTCTTCTCCAAGTCAGCCACCATTTTATCGCGCTCCAGGATCAGTAGCTAACGAAACTCAGGTGCGGAGAGGTGAAGCGCCTAGTCATGGGCCTCGATCGATACAACAAGACCCCTTGCGGATTTTGCTTTGTCGAATACTACACGCACCAGGACGCGCTCGATTGTCTGAAATACGTTGGAGGAACCAAGCTGGATGAGAGAATCATCCGGACGGATCTTGACCCGGGTTTTGAGGAAGGTCGGCAATACGGGTACGCAACACAAACCAGAACTTCTGTGATTTGGGCTATCGCTGACACGTGCAGGCGCGGAAAATCTGGAGGACAGGTCCGCGACGAATACCGAGAGGAGTACGATCCGGGTCGTGGTGGTTACGGACGAGCATATGCCGACGATCAACGACGACGCGAGGAGGAGGAATATGGGGCCGGTAGGTAAAAAAAGGGTTAAAATATGGTTGGACTGGCACAGTTACGGCGTTGATATACAATATATTCTGTCTAATTCCGAGAGCGAACAATGGCGCACAAAACACTGTTTACATCTTGATACTGAATTCCCGAACAGCATCTTTTAAATGCTCAATGCATAACAGACCGATGTGGTCGTCTATGTCATGAATCTCATTATAATCGTTTCACAGATTCTTCCACCTGGCGCAACCACCAGGCGTGAATTCGTTCATCACCGGTCAACTCAGGATGGAAGCTCGTGCCGAAGACATTACCCTGCCGCACAGCAACAATATCACCGGCCTCTTTTTCGGCATACACCGGGTTACCGTTGGTAGCCAAACGCGCAGCTCTTCCGGGGAGGGACGCTAACACTTGGACGTCGCGTGACATCGCCTTCTCAGCGGCTTCGCCATCGGCCTGGCGCGAAGGCGCAACAACGGTCTCGTCTCGCTTTTCCTCCTCGACCTGGACTCCGTCATGGTGCGGTAGGATCTTCTCGACAACGGGAGCGCGGATAAAAACCGCGGGGAAGGGTGTTTGCGACTCGAGGAACGGTAGCTCGAGGGGCGCCTGGAAACTCTCCGTCTGGCGGCCGAAATGGTTGCGATTGACGCGCACGTCTAGACCTCCAATCAATTCCTGGCCACCCTTCTTAGTCCGGTTGGCCGACTCGGCGAGCAGGATTAGCCCGGCGCATGTGCCCCATGTCGGCTTGCGATGGACCCTGCAGACGAAGTATGAGTCAGTTCCACCAATCCAAACCTAACAACCACATTTCCACCAAAAGAAGGGTGACCATACTTGACGAAATCCCGCAACGGATCCAACATACCCGATCTAGCCGCCACCAAAGAGATCGCCGTGCTCTCGCCCCCCGGGAGAACAAGCGCATCGCATCTCGCCAGCTCCTGCGGGGTCCGGACCTCCAGGAACTCCCAATGCGACGAGGAAAGTTGCTGAGATGTAAGCGTCTGCGCTGCCTTCTTCAGCAGCATGACATGTTCGTAGAAGGCGCCTTGCAAGGCGAGAACCCCGACGGTAATCTTAATCATTTGCACGCCTTTTAGAGAGAGGAATGATCGACGGGGGCATTGGCCACCCGTCCATTCCGACCTATTTATCGATAATAATCAGCGTTACATAAGCAGGAACAAGTGGATTCTGGACCTTATCGCCACGTGCTGCCCCTCTCGATAAGGATAAGCCTCAGGGTCTGTCTCTGAGCTTCGACAAATTCTCGAACATTGTTGATACTTGAATTTGATTTCGATCATAATATGGTGATCGGAATGTACTTATGACTATAGAACCCTCGTTACACGACATGACAACAAGAAGGCGATGACCAACCCGTCAATCTTCGCATCTCACCTCAGCCCCGCACATCGAAACATCACCCACCAGCGCCACCAGAACAGCAAACCAGTCAATCAATCAATCCCTCCCTTCCTTCCTCCCTGAAGACCTCAATCACAATGATAACTTCCGGCTCTGTAGAGTACCCAGCGCTCACACGCTGGTACATCGACACGCGCCCTCTAACAAGCACGACAACCACCCTCCCGCTGCTGCACACCCTCCGCGAACCCGACCAAACAGCCGTCCAGAAGTTCTACCACCTAAAAGACAAGCACATGTCCCTCGCCTCCGCCCTCCTAAAATACCTCTTCATCCACCGCACCTGCCGAATTCCCTGGTCCGCCATCAGCATAAGCCGAACACCAGATCCGCACCGGAGACCATGTTTCATTCCACCAGCTGCGAGCGGGGATAGCGCCAACGGAAAAGTACAGATTCCGGAAATTGAGTTCAATGTTAGTCACCAGGCGTCGATGGTTGCCATTGTTGGAACGACGATACGGGCGCCGACTGGCGCGGAGGGCGACAATGAGGAAGGGTGGAAGAAGCCCGAGGTCGGTGTTGACATTACATGCGTGAACGAGCGGCAGAGTCGCTCAAGTGAGGGTCGGAGTCTTGCGGCGTTGGCTGAATACATCGATATATTCAGCGAAGTCTTCTCAGCACGGGAATTGGCCGATATGAGGTCTCTGACCGGGGCACCGTCGGAAATACGCTCAGCTGAGCACCGGCTTGTGGACTATGGATACAGGTTATTCTACACGCATTGGGCGCTCAAGGAGGCCTATATCAAGATGACGGGGGAGGCGTTGTTAGCTCCGTGGTTGCGCGAGCTGGAGTTTAGTAATGTTGTTGCGCCGGGGGTGGAAAGCGGGGAAGGAGTGTTTGGGGAGCCGTATCGCGGTGTTAAGACGACGTTTTATAAGCAAGTTGTGGAGGATGTGCGGATTGAGGCTGTTGCGCTAGAGAAAGATTACCTGTTTGCGACAGCTGCGAGGGGCGGTGGGGTTGGGGCAGCGTCTGCTGGTGGTGATGGTAAGGATCCATGGCTGCCATTCGAGAGGCTAGATATCGAGCAGGATATCAAGCCTTGTGCGATGGGAACGTGTGACTGCCTATCATAGCAGTCAAGGAAAGGAGATGAGAGAGGCTCATGGCACGCTAACTAGATTATTTATTGACGCGATATAAGACAAAATATGGCTAACAAGTAAATGACGTCTATCATATCCGAAGGGTATGAGGCTCCAATATCAAACGCTTGTCCACCAGATGCTAAGGCGTGTCACATACATACCGCACAGCTAGGCGGATCCCCTCCACTACCGTGTTCCTGTTGTGGACCGCGGCACCTAGCCAGAACATAGCAAAACCCCTCCAAACTTCGCAGCCAGATTATAAGATTGTTCCGTTGATGTAACTAATCAAATGATGGTCTATATCTTCATCGTCGTGCTATCAGATCGAAATCGTATCGGCGTATCATCGTACAAGAGATTTTGAGAGATGTAGTAAGAGCGAGCAATTCAGCTCACTATCAGTCGAACTTATGAGGATGAGGACGTTGTCGTGTAGCGCGATCAGATCTCAACGGCGGTAGACTTGCCGTTTCGCAGAGACGAGCCAACGTCGACCTGCTCGGTGCGGGAGATCTCGAGGAGGCTCTTCAGCATGCTCTCTTGTGTTGACTTGGTGAGGTTGTCAACGTCGGCAGGAGTGAGACCTTCTGTGCTGATTGGCGGCAGGACTGTATTTCGGTTAGCGGCGATGGCAGTCCGACTAATCCTATACACATACCTCGAATTTTAATAGATCCAGCCTCAAATCTGTAATCCTTCGGAGACAGAATGTGCGAGTAGTTCTCGACAACAACCGGAACAACAGGCACACCAGCCTTGACAGCAAGGTGGAAGGCTCCCTTCTTGAAGGGAAGCAGCTCCGGCTTATCGGAGTAACTCCTCGTTCCCTCGGGAAAAATAAACACACTTTGCCGATGAACCCGCATCTCCTCTGCAGCGCTATCAAAAGCCTTCACGGCCGTCTCACGGTTTGCACGGTCAATAAAAACAGACTGGGAAAGCGACATGAACCACCCGAGGAACGGCACATGCTTAAGCGACTTCTTCGCTGTGACACTGCAGTACGGCGGGAAAATGGTTCCGAGCATGAGAACGTCCAGCTCCGACTGGTGGTTCCCGATGAAGACGGCCGGACGGGTTTTGAGGTGCTCTTGGCCCTCGACAATGTCGAACCGCACGCCCGTTGTGAATCTCATCACCCACTTGAAGCTGCGCGCGGTGGCCCATTGCGAGATTCGGCCGTAGCCGACGAGGCGGAGGACGATTGAGGCGATGACGCCGTAGATTGCGCACAGAACGAGGGAGCCATAGGCTGCAAGACACCGGGCCGCAAAAGATGCGCGTGGGACCTTGAGTCCGAGGGCGAAGAGGGAGACTGTGAGGAGGACGTAGTAGGTGACGCCCGTCGTAATATATGAGAGGAACGACATGGTTGGTAGCCGGAGGAGCTTCAAACAAGGTGAAATGCCAATTAGCCCTCCGACGTTCGGTTTACAGGCGTCCAGGAGGCAATACAAGTAAATTCTACTCACAGGACAACCAATAGGGAACGTGACGAAGTCAGGCGGCCCTTCGAGAACGTGAGGAGAGTAGGTAAAGGCGGCGAACAAAATATCTACAACTCAGCGAAGAGCATGGCAAAGGTGCACAAAGGTTGGTTGAATGAGGGAAGAATAGTCCGAGCGAATGATATAAAGAAACCGAGAAAAGATTCAGATTGCCTCCGAGGTCTCAAGATTCAACGGTTTACGATGCCCCAAAATTCAAACAAGAAATGATGGGGGCGTTCACATGACGCTAGCTGCTGAATAAGGTATAGCTGGCAGTATGCCACCGCTTCTTTCTCACCGCCTATTTGGTCCGAGGTCCATCTCAACCGGTTGAGAAGATCTCTCAAGGTATGAGTTGAGGGACATTATTTCATGTCTATAGGTTAGAAATCCTTGGTACGCATCACACTGTAACTGGTACTGCGCTTCTTGTATATGTGGGGGGCTGGGGCAGACCGAGTAATTTAAATGTTGCGAATGACTCTGTATGAAAGACAAATTGTATATATTTATCTCCACCAAAGGGGTTGCGCTCATCAATGAACTCATGTAGCATGTCATGCCTCATTGATAATAATGTAGACTAAAAATAAGCTTAATCATGCAGAATCACCGCGGAACGGACCGCCAACAAGCTCAGCGCATGCCGAGCGGCCTTTTCAGCTCTGGATGAGCCAAAGCCTCATCCCGCCTGCAAGGACAAAGAAGCCAACCCACGCTAATGTACAAAAATCAGAATCTCGACACCGTTTCGAGAATGCCGCAAATGCATTTTTAACCAACTCGTTGCAAAAACGCCCGTGTAATGCTCATGTCGCTGCCATGAAACTGACCCAGTATCGAAACGCCGAGCCTCGAGTATGCAAACCGTAGGGTAGAGAGCAAATCTAGTGCGGAAAGGGGGTATGATGAAAATTCAGGAAGGGGAGGTGCCGCGAACAAAAAAAAAAAAAGGATATAGACGCCGAGAGAAGACGGGAAAGGGTGGACTAAGCCATATCATCTTCATCCTCTTCTTCATCGTCGGGGGCTTCCATCGCGTCTTTGATGTATTGTGCTGCCTGCGCAGAAGTTAGTCATTAGTGTGCATAAAGCCAGAGGCATAGGAAGCGTACCTTAGGATCGAGGTTCAGAGCAGTGGTAAAGTGCTTGATCGAGTTGGCTTTATCATGGAGCGCCTTGTAGGCCCTTCCCAGAAGGTAGTGCACATTCGCCTCATCCGGTGCCATATCCTTAAGGATCTTCAGTTCTGTGATCGCAGTCCTAAGGTCATGCAACTTCAACAATACGCGAGCTTTGCGGAAGCGAGCAAGAACGGAATGAGGAGCTATAGAGGCAGCTCGGCTGTACTGGACCAACGCTGCCTTGAAGTTGTGCATCTTCTCGAGCACCAAACCGATGCAGCAAATCAGCACGGCATTGGTGGGGTTGATCTTCGCAGCGTTGCGGAAATGCTGTTCGGCGAAGTCGAGTTTGCCCATCTTGTCATAAACCGTTCCCAATCCGTACCAGGCGTTGTAATGCCGACTATCAGCGCTGATACCGCTCCGATACGCATCCAGTGCCTTGTCATACTCCTCGTTGGCGACATATTCGTGGCCTTGCAGCGTGAAACCATATGCAAAGTGCGGGTCTAGCTGAGTGGCTCGCTTGAAGCACTTCAAGGCTTGATCATGATCTCGTTGATGTGAAAATGAGTTGCCAACTGCACACCATGCCTGGGGCGACAGACGATCGACTTCCATTAACTCATGAGCCAGATAGGCCAATTCAACATCGTTCTTCAAATGCCACAGTACTGTCGAGTAGATCTCCATGTCTTCTACACGAGAGGGTGCCATGGCCTTGACTCGTACAAAGTACTTCTCGGCCTCTGCATACATTGCTTGTTCATAGTACGCTCGGCCGATTTGGGCAAGAACCCAAGGTGTTTCCCGTTGACCTTGGGAAAGAGACGTGAAAACCTGGATAGAATCCGAGCACCTATACCGACTGAGATAGTAGTAGCCAGTGGCAAGTTTGGAAAACAGTTCCAAAAGCCATCCTAGGGCCTCCACCGCTTTGGACCGCTCCGATGCAGAGACCTTGGAAAGTGAGTTTTGGGATCCGCTTGAAGTCGATGATGTCCCACGGTATTCTTTGGTGTCGCTGTCGTGGATGTCGCTGACAAATTTGCGATTGCCGCCGCTAACCACGCGGTCTACACCCGATGTAGTCGCTGTGCGCCCCTTTGTCCCGGTAGCTCTCACCTTCTTCACTTCTCGACCATCCTTCACACCCAATGCAGTACTCGATATTTTGTTCGACGACGGCTTTATTTGGTTAAAGAGCCGCACACTCCGCCGCTGCGCTGGGCCTTGATCCGCCGAATGCGACGTGGAAGAATGCGCAACTTGCCCAGAGACAGTTCGCTTGCGATCCCCAATCCGATGCCCCACTGTCACGTCCCTTTCCGTGGTCTGTTCATCTGCCTCGGGCTTCGTTCGCGACCTTGGCCGAATACCTGTAGGTCTCATCTTTGGTGGTGGATCCATTGAGTGATCGGCGCCAATTGTCTGTATTGTTCGGTTCTTCTTGGCCGGGGCAAATGGCGGATCCCACGAGTGTTCCGCGCCGCCGCTTCCGTTGGTTACACGAGGGTCGTCGGACTCGCTGCTCTGGCCACCCGGTGTTTCCATGCCTTCCCGCATTATGTTCGGCGCGGTCCCTGCAGACGCAACGCTAACCGTACTCCCGTTCAACTTTTCCCACAAGGCCGAGCTTCCATGAGTCGAAAAATCGTTGCGAGACATGCCAGATGTAAACGGATCCGTGCTCGGGTTCACATTCGCCTGTGCTTGTAGCGGCCCATCTGGAGGTGCAGTCCTGTCGGACGAATATCTTAAATCTTCCTGTAACCCAGCGCACACCATACTGTACAATTCCGGGTTCATCTTGTAGATATTCGAAACCCGCATATCAACCCCTTAGGGACTCGTTAGCCAAAGAAACAGGTGCGCACAACTCGCATGGCCGAAACTTACCAGTCTCGCAGAGATTGACGAACGCGTCCCACATGAAGGGATTCAGCTTCAGAGCTGCGACGTAGCATTCCACTGCCTTATTATGTTCCTTGTGGGCATCCCATAGCTTCCCTTGTAGGCATATTACCGCGGCGGCATCTGGCAGGTGTTGTCTTCGCGTTTCGCTGTGCTTGTCTATTGGAATGAACATGTTAATATTAGCCACAGCTTTCAAGGTAGTAGAACTCATGAGGTTCAAGCACTGCCAGCGTGAAGATGCTTACTCCAGTGATTCCTCGAAGCCCAAAGCGCCTTACTCCGTTCCAACGCATTGATTCCATCCGTGTATTTCCCCAAATCCAAACATGCCTGAGCGTAAACGTACGAGCACCCCAGATGTGTCCCTCGTGTGCCAAAATTCCTGCTCGTCTCCCATGCTGCTTTCACTTGACCATTCTGCAGGTAACACAGGGCTAGTAGGTACGACGCTTCTGAGGTCCGAGGTTCGTATGCGTGTAAGCGGCCGGCGAGGAAGAGCGCGTTTCGGACCATGTTATTGTCCAGATGGTAGTATATCAGCTGCCGCAGTTGGCTAGCTATGTGAGACGTTGATGGCGACATTTTGAGGTGAGGTCGAACGCAGATATACGAGGGCACAGTTCGTATATGGTATATCGACGGGTTCGTTGCAGTCAACGCGAAGAATTGATCGTGTCGCAGAAATATGAAAGGCACCTGTCAGACGAAGGAGCATGAGGTAAACTTAAACCGAAACCGCGTGTCTCGCACAAATGTCAAAAAAATGGCACGAGACAAGAGGCGGAAAGGAAACAACGATTGGTAATTCTTTCACAAGTTCTCAGTCTCAGCTGGGCAGGCCGTCGGCGAAGTCGGCCGCAAAGTTTCTCAAAGCGAGGGGAATGAGAAGAAGTATAAATGAAGGGCAACAACAAATATAGCAACGGCCCTATGGTCTTTGTGTCGATTCCCTCACCTAGTCTCCCCCCGCTGTCAGAAGCACGTTAGAGAGGAGTCGAGTAGTGAGTCCGGGACTGTGGTGGAAAGAGTGAAGGAGAATGAGACGACTCGTGACGCCCTGCAGGCTAAACAAAGTCTCAGGGAAAATCAAATCGCATGTCGACAAAGAAAAGAGCACTCGGGATTGGGGTAGGGAAGGTATTGCACGACAATAGAGCCGAAATAGAACCTGTGGAGTCTCGAACAACTCAGCTCAGCTCAATGATGTTTTGAAGGCGTTGCCGTTGACTGTCTTGCATGGGCGATTTGGCTCGTGGCTGCTGGAGGCCGCGGGCGCTTGTCCGGTTGTGGTGGGCAACGCCATTTCTACCACCACCACCGCCTGTGACGACCTGTCCCTCAGAGAACACCATATCGCTTTGGTGGTGGAATGAGCCTTTCGATTTTGAATATCGAAATAGCAGCTCATCTCTAACTCAGGTAGTTTACACAGGGCACTCCACAGCTGCAGCTTCGACTACTACTGCAGCGCCCATCTGCATCATCCTGACCACGCCTACATTCCTCTACTAATCCGCACACCATGGCCCAAGTACGTTTTCATTCACCATTACCTCACTCGGCCAATTGCTAACTCGACCCAGAAAGCAGCCAAAACCCTCGCTGCCCGCAACGCCGCCGTCCTCCTCCGCACGCACCTAATAACAGCGGCCCTGCACACTCTCCATCTGCTTCTACACTTTGTCTTCCGCCGCCCCGCCTCCCTGAAATTCTACTACCTGTTCGCAATCCCAACCCTCGTGATCGAATTCTATCTCGACCGCATCGGCCGCCCAAGCCACAACCCCGCTGATGGCTCGCTGCGCTCGCCCGGAGAGGACCTTGGCGCCGCCGGCTTGACGGAGTACATGTGGGATGTTCTGTACTGGACCTGGGGGTGCATCGGCGCTGTGTGTTTGTTTGGCGATCGCGGGTGGTGGTTGTGGATTGTGATACCCTTGTACTCGGGCTGGTTGGCGTATAGTACTGTTACGGGGATGAGGAGTGGGTTGGCTGGGTTTGGGGGTGCTGGGGAGCAAGGTGGTGCTGGAGGGGCGGAGAGTAAGAGGCAGAAGAAGATGGAGAAGAGGGGCGGGCGTGTGCAGTATCGGTAGAGATTGAGGGGCTCATCTACGTCTAAGATGCAGCTTGATATATGCCGGATTTGATAAGCGTGCGGATTTATTATGAGAAGACTTTGTTCTCAATATATATATCTTGCAAGTCAAGAGAAGCTGATACAGCTTCTCCGCAATTGGCATTTTGCCTGAAAGGAAACGCGCATTCATAAAGAGGGTCGATCGATACAAGAGGCAGGACAAGACAGAGAGATTGCCACCAGCAGAGAAAGGAAACTAATAAAACAGTCATGAAGATCGCCAAGCAGAGTCTCGTCATAGCCATATAAATCTGTCGTGAAATCATGGGGAACTATGTGGGGAATAATCAGGATCCAACAAAGCAAAAGGAAAAAATAGATATTCAACAAGTATGAAATTCATCCAGTTGGTTCGTCAGGCTTGCACCCGAGAGCTTCTTGCAGTCGCTTTTAGAGATCTTTCGGGGTAGTCTGATCTTCATTCGACTCTGCTACCTGTGTTGGCTCAGGGTTGAGGGCACTCGGTTCCAGGTCCTCAGAATCTTCCTCGGAAACTGGAGAATCAGGAACAGGGTCTGCGATTTCTGGTTGCTTCGGTGCCTCCTCTGCGACTGGGATTGGGAGGATGGAATAGATGTTATCTTGCTCGTCAACCACAGGGATAGACACCGTTTCGTCCTCAACCACGTTGGCTGTCGGAGCTGCACTCGGTTCTGTCGTTTCATAGATAGCGTGGAGTTTCTTCAGTATTTCCTCGGCGTATGCGGCATCCTTATCGGCCAGCAGCTGCGAGACAAGATCCTCTACTGCTTTGTTTGGAGTAGGGTACCGGCTTGGCGTTGGAATTGGAGTGCTGTTGAGCTCCTCAACTCCCAGGGACTGCGACAATATCTCGGAGAGTTTGGTTGCCTCGGCTTCCACAACTTCATCATGTTCCAGACTATCCGTCTCATCTGCCTCATTTGAGACCGGGACTGCAGCGGCCGCGGCTCCAAAAGCAGCCTGCGGCACGCTAAAGTCAATCTGGTCTCTCAATTCTTCGGTTTCAAGATCGCTCTCGCTGTCAGTTGCAGAGTCCTCAGAGAAGACACTCGAGGCTTCCGAGATCTCATCATTAGCGAGAGTGCCCTGGCTGCCTTCAGGCTTGACAACCTCGTCACTCTGAACGGAGGCTTCGCTGTCTGCTTCTGTGGCGTTCTCATTTACGGCTGCTTCGGCGCCCTCCTCATCTGCGACAATTGGAATTTCTTCTTCGACCGGAGTGCTGGGCTTCGGGAGCGGTGGAGGAGGCTCGGACCTGGTATCAAAGTCTTCGCTTACTTCACGGGCAGCGATTTTCCACTTGCCAACATCCTTCAGACGAGCGAGTTCCTTGGCCGCAGCTTCGGCGACATCCATTCCGCGAGAGAGAATATCATCTGCCTTTTCCTTCGCTGCTTCGATCCTTGCGTGCTTGAGGCCAATCTCACGGAACTTCTCCTTCCAGTCCTCGAATTCAGCTTTGAGGGCGTGGTAATCTTCCCAGTCCTTGTAAGTGACGCCATCCATCCAGGCCCATCTCATTCCAATCTCCTGCAGACCAAGGTCGCGGACATTGTCTAGAACTGCGAGTGTGGAGTTCACAGCGACTGAGACCTTGTCTATGAGCTGGTTTCCAAAGGTGAGCCGCCATTCTCGGAGCACGTGAGCACGGTCTCTGATAGACACGGCAGATGTTCGAATTTCCTTGAGCAGTTCCTCAACTGCCGCGTCTTCGTCTTCCTGAGCCTCTTCAAAAGGGAGAGACTCGGCTAGCAGGTTGATGCGGCGCTTGATAGTATTTGTCTGGTCTTCCACAGCGCTTTGAAGGGCAGTCACGAGTTTCTCTCCGTAATTTTGAACACCACTCGCCAAGTAGGTCGCAACAACCTCGACCACACGTGCCTCTAGACCTTCAACGCCTTGTTCAGAGGCCGAAGCAAATCGATCCTTCCAGGTCCGCAGATCGGAGGCAATCTTGTCGCGTGTTTGGGCCGCTAGTTCTGCGGCAGATAGTGAGGGAGTGGGTGCCACTGGATCCGAATAGGTGTTTGTCGCTTCAGTTTTGCTAAGATCCTCCGATACAGAAGAAGGGGAAGCATATCCAGCGGCACTGCTTCTTTATTAGCAGAAAAAAAAATAAAGAGTGGGCACTGTGCTTACCTCTCAATCTCGTCAGTGGCGCTCCTCAAACGTTTGCCTTCCCGGTAGCTTGCAAGCCTCTGGCCGATCTTGACAAGCTGCGGCTCGACGTTTTCCGAGTAAAGGTTGGAGATTTTGGGCCACACCGAGTTATTGACAAAGTAGACCGTATGATACCATGTGCTATGTGCGTATGGCAGAACCGTAGTCGTCAGAATACCCTGCCCAGAGGCGTATGTCTTCCCAATAAAAGGCCTGTACGTGGCGACGAACGGCAAAACATAGCCATCCAAAGTTGTCCAATACGCTCGGTAGACCTTTTGGTAATAAGGCGACACGGCAGCCGTAACCTGTCGCACATGTGGAGCTACCTGGGCTTCATACCAAACATTTGCCTTGGCTTTCGCGGTTTGAATATGGGGGACAACGTTGGCATCCCACTGCTGCTGCCCGTAGACCTGGGCTCGATCCAGCGCCGGAGCACCATACGCCTCGTAGCCTTGCCTCGCGATGTTGGAAGCGGGGGTATAGACCTTCTCGTTTAGCACGCGAACGTAAGGACGTGCGGCGTCGACGTAAGGAGCAGCGTGGGCATTGTAATAAGGAGCAACGTGTGGTTCAACATAAGACTTCGCGGTGAGGTACGGTTTGCAGATGCGGGGGGAAGATTCGGTCAAGTCGGATTCGTGAGAAGGGCATCGGAAGAAGGGCGTCAACAGGAAGTACCATATGCAAAGTCTAAGCAGAGCTTATTAGAGTCACTAAACATTAATCGACGGAAGAGACAAACATACCGAACCAGCAACCCAACAGTCCACCGAATACGGCTCGTTCGCTTCGCTTTTGATCGCTGGTCGGGAACGGCGACAGCTCTGTCGTTGGTTTCCAGTACCTTGCCGTTTGACGATGCCATGACTGATGGGTCCCCAACGGGGAAGTCGGCGGTAGCGCGTGACCTGGAAGACGTCCGAGTTGTTATGTTGGCAGACTGGGATTGGTCGTTGGAGTGAAACAACGACGACAGCACGGTTACTCGAGCATTCAAGGGAAAGGCGGGGCGTCAACTCTGAAGGAGCCGAAAGCTTCACGGTGGAGGGACAGCTCAAGACTTGAAGAAAATCTGACGGCGGAATAATAATCACAAGCGCGAAGCCTCAGCTTTCAAAAGCACGCGCGACAATTTCGGCTCGGGCTTGGCATGGGAGCTTGTGAGCGACCACAGCGGGAAGGGGTCTGGCCAGGAAACGGCTGGGACTTTATCCCTCAAGGTTCTTTAAAGGTGTCACCGCTTCCCACACCTTCGGCGATGTCGCCTTGCATTGTTCGATATCATCGCTATCATCGCGATCATTTCTGGTCAGTGAGGTCATTGTTTTCGAGTGGCGCTACACACTATGAATATCACTGCATGATTCGTACAGCGTGTTGACTTGGCATCTCTAATTACTCCCAAGGATGATCTTATCCCCAAACATTATGACGACACAGCCAGGGTTCTTCAGTCTTTTAAAATCTGTCATCTATGATTTACCACGTGCGCTATGCAGCGTAGGGGACTTCAAGAGGTTCGGTGGCGATGTGTATTTTTTTCTTCTAGCAACATGCAATTTCCAAGCCAACATTGCAGGAAAGAGGCCGAACCTCTGCGATCAGGTCCAAATCATTTTCCAAAAATCCAAGCAGAATTCACCTCCCTCGGCCAGCAGCTCGAGAAACAACTCATGGCCCAGATGTGCCCAACAATGGATACCGCATAACAAAGGATCACCGTCCTCAGTCCATCTCGGCTCTTGCCAATATTTGGGCTACAGTCGTATGCGAACCAAATGAATTCAACGGCATCGCCGACGTTCGCATCGCACAGCTTGAAGATCTCGAGAGTCTCTTTGATCTTGAAGACGACAAGTTGCGTGAGCGGCTTGATGCAGTATTTGTCGGCAAGGCTGTATAGCTGAACGTGCGCGGCAAATACTAGAGTGAAGTCGTCGCTTGGTTGTGACTTTGCCTTTACGGCCCAGGTTTGTCCCACGGCATCGCTATGCGCTGTTAGATCAATCGCGAGATCATGAAGCGTGTCGCGGAGATGCCTACTTCATATACTCCTCTCCCGGTAGGGAAGCTCATCGTCATGGAAAGTGCTCTGATCGAGAGAAGGGTTCGATATCGGCTTGTTACCAGCACAAGAATCATGGTCGGACCATCCTGGGGTACATTGCCGTCAGGGTTCAGCGTGGGGCTTTAACGTCCTTTGGTAACTTCGGGCTAGCTTCTAGCAGTTCTTTCGCGGTTGCTTTCCGTGCACAAGGCGCTGGTATATAGTCGCGCAAATAGGCGTTTTCGCATAGCCAAACAAATGTCTTTGTCAACGTCATGCCATTCGACACAACGGGTACTCGCATCGATCATGGTGCCATTCATTAGGCCATCGAGGGCTGACGAAAGGCTTCCGAGAGCACCGGAATGTACGACAAACCCTTCTTTGCTTCGCCAACAAGAAACGTAAATAGCGGCGAGGATAGAATCCTGAAACACTGAGCGTGGCGCTGCGGACATGAGGCTTTCACTTCCCCGCCAAGTCTTCCACTCATTAGGAACGAGATGGATGTCAATAATTTGAGCGTACAAAGGCTCTGGGAGAGTAGGTTGAAGAAATCAGAGGTGGTCGTCAGAAATATGTATATCAGCCTCCCCCTCAAGGCAAACGACGGGCCCATGGGACAGACATGGTTGCAAACAGAGTAATATTGCTTTATTTGAACAATTTTGAGGGTTGTGGATAACTGAACTGTTCGTTATTGATATAATAATCTTTACCAATCTAGTACTCACCTTGGGCTCCTGCAAAGACACAAGTAGTATTCTTGCCAAGGCCAACTCTTGCTGGAGGTATATATTCTCGCCCTTTCACCCATATTGGGCATACATGACATGCGCGTCGACGCTGAGAGCAGCGAAGCTAGGAGAGAAGTATCAGCTAGGGCGTCCAGCCGCTCAACCAGAGCCTTTTCCAATGTTTGCTACAAAAAGTCCATGCCAGAAGATGTAGTTTGCTGGCTTTTACCCAGAAAAGAAGGCTGTCACGTGAGAACGTACAGCCCAAAAAGTGGAGGCCTTGCTGATTCATCCACTATCCTCATCAGCAACATCACGCATGGATTATGACTTCGACTGCACTTGCCACAACTCGTTGTGAGCAGCACTTGGCTCGATTCTAATCCTAGGCTCTGCAAGACACGCTAGCATCTGACCTGCGCCTTGCCAAACTCCCTCGTCCTATCACCCCCGACCGTGAACGTTTGCGTCATTGCCCGGACCAAATATTTCGCCTGCGAATGATGGTAACCTTTGGTCTCGTCCGCTGCTACTGAGAGCAACACCACCGTCAACTCTGCCGCGAAGATGGAGTTTCCGGTGCGTCACTTTCGCGAACCGGCGAGCGCCTCGAATTTCCACGATATAATGAATGACCCTGCCTACGATACAAATCGGAGAGGGAAGGAGAGAGAGCACGAGGAACCGGATACCTGTCGGATTTGTCGCGGGGAGGCCACGGAACAAGACCAGCTCTACTACCCTTGCAAATGCAGTGGCAGTATAAAGTTCGTGCACCAGCCTTGCCTTGTGCAATGGCTGGCTCATTCTCAGAAGAAACATTGTGAGCTGTGCAAAACGCCTTTTCAATTCACCAAAGTTTACGATCCTGCGATGCCGGACAGCATACCCGCCTTCTTGTTTATGAAACAACTCCTGTTACATACTCTCCGCACGGTTGTCACGTGGTTGCGATGGGTTCTTGTCGCATTCGTTTGGCTCGGGTGGCTTCCTTGGTCCATGAGGGCAATCTGGAGGGCTCTTTTCTGGCTTGCTGACGGCCGTTGGTCTAGCGGGGATGCGGCTCAGCAAGGCTTGCCGGATTACCTTGGCCCGAACGCAACCCTTGGTGATGCCACATTGTCTACAAGCTCTGCCGAGGCAGCTCAACCCAGCTCGATCGAAGGGCAATCGCCGTCAGTATTCGGGTTCTCGCCAGTTGAACCATTGCTACTTACGCTCATGAGAAAGGCATTCTCTACGCTCTTCTTTCCCGCAATGTCATCTAGTTTTGGTTCCGCCGACTCTTCTAACGTAACAACGCCCCTCAAACGCCGGCCATCCTGGCTCTCGGACGTCAAATTCTTGAACTCGCTAACGCCTTCTCCTACTTTTAACAATATCCTCATTGACACTCTAGAAGGACAGCTTATCACCTTGCTGGTTGTGGTCTCCTTTATTTTGATATTCCTTATACGGGAATGGGTCGTTCAACAACAACCCCTTGACAACATTGCGGAAGGAGAGCGGGAAGCTGCCGACCAGTTAATAGCGAACAATCGTCCAGCCCAGCAGCCAGAAGCCCCTAGGCCCGACCCTCATCAAGAGTTGCCTGCGGATGACTTGCAAAACGAAGACATCAACCCTCGCCCTGTAGAGCCTCACCCTAGGCCCCCTAGATTGCGCGTCGATCCCGATTTCTTTAACAGAGCGCGGATGGGCGATGTAGGGCCTGCGGAGTTTCGGAATCTGCTTGCGGAAGGTCCTTTGACACCTCCCATCCGTCGCAACTATCAGGGTAACGATGGCTTTAACTTCAATCTCCCTCAGCAAAGAACGCCTCAGATCAACCCTCAATGGCCTCATGTGTACACGGAGCTTTTTAGAGATCTCTGGACACGCACCAACGGCGACCTTCAAGAAATGCTCAATATCGTTCGCGACGAAGGTCGAGAGGAAGAACTCGCATGGCTTGTTACCGCGGTTACTGGACTTTTACAGAACGATGAATCACCGCGCTCTCGGCTTCGCGAGCAGGTTTTCCCTGGACCCTCTGGCTCCAGTTCACTGTCGAATGCGGAAACGGTCACTGTGGACGAAGCTCAGGCTGGCTTTCCCGATCTCGAGTTGCCCTCGCAAAGGCTAGCCTTTCCAGACTCATCTACCTCGAATACAAACGCTGGCTCCCCATCTGGTATACCATTCGCACCGCAGCCATCAGGGTTCCGAGCTGCGGAACTTGAAGATAGGCAGTACGCCCCGTCATCAGAACACGAGCCGTCGGCTGGCAATGTTGAAGCAAACATCAATGCACTGAACAGAACACCTGATGCAGAATCAGTTGATGGCGCTCGACCTCCCTCGGACTCATCCCAAACGGGTGCGGAACCTGACAAGAGCGTGGCAAGAAGTATTCTTGATTGGTTTTGGGCTGATGTTAACCCTGACGATGCAATCCCCGGACCACTCCCGGAAGAGGAAGAGGAGATTGTCGATGAACCTGCTGTCGAGGCGTTTGGCCACGGAGGCAACAATGGCAACATTCTTGACTTTGATGCCAACCCGCCCGAAAATGCAGCAGCTTTCCCGGAAATTGGTGTTGATGCGAATGATATCGACGCGATTGAAGAGGCCGACGATCTCGAAGGCATCCTGGAACTCATTGGCATGCAAGGTCCTATCTTTGGCCTACTACAGAACGGAGTTTTTTGCGCCTTGCTAATATCTTTTACGGTCGCTGCTGGCATCTGGCTTCCATACCTTGCTGGCAAACTCGCGCTTCTGCTTTTCGTCAACCCTGTGCAATTCATTCTGGGTGTTCCCATGGCTACAATCTCAGTCTTGGCCGATGTCATCCTTGACACCCTCATTGGCAGTCTAGGCTACATTATGTATTGGACCAGTCTGATATGCAGGGTCCTTCTCAGTCCGTTTGCAACTCTCATTCCATTGGGCGAGTGGACAAAGTCCATCACTACCGCCTCGTTGTCGCTCATCGATGCAAGCAGTCAGAGGTTGGGTAGCGTGGTCAATACTTTCTTTGTCTTCCACGAAGCAGACGTCCCCATGTTTTCTGTGCTTTCCCACCAAGCATTGAAGATTCACGAAGCGCGTATCGCTACGCTGTGCCGCACGGTCTATCTGCTCGGCAAGTTCGTCCTGTATGATCTCCCCCTAAACATCGCATCTTTCGACCTTTCGAAAATTCTCTCCTTGGGATCCGCCATTGGTAGTCTCGGCAACCTCTTGGCCAATGTTCAATGTCAATTGTACGAGTATGGCCATAATCTTTACTCCCATGTCTTCTCACTGAAGGCGGTTTGGCACAATCCAAATGTGCTACCGCCCACGGATGGAACCCTCGGGTACAACCTGGCAGTTTGGGATACGAAGGATCGTACTATCGCTATTTTGATGGGCTATCTTCTTGTGTCTTTGGCCGGACTTGGTTATCTCCGTGTCGCGCGATTCGTTTCTGGAGCAGACCGAGGACAACGAGTTGAAGGCATGGTCGCGGAAGGGCTCCACCAGGCCGGTGGAGTGATGAAGGTCATTCTCATCATTGGAATTGAGATGATAGTGTTTCCGTTATACTGTGGCTCGCTGCTTGATATCGCCTTAATGCCACTGTTTGAGAATGCCACCCTTTCATCCCGGATCGCGTTTACCTCTGCCTACCCACTTACCTCACTCTTCGTCCATTGGTTCATCGGCACATGCTATATGTTTCATTTTGCTCTGTTCGTCTCTATGTGCAGGAAGATTATGCGGACGGGCGTTCTTTGTGAGTTTTGTGAAATGAGATTTTGGAATATCACTGACTTGTCTAGACTTCATCCGTGACCCTGATGACCCTACTTTCCATCCCGTGCGAGATGTTCTCGAGCGAAATATTACCACACAGCTCCGCAAAATCGCCTTCAGCGCCCTTGTATATGGTGCTCTGGTGATTGTGTGTCTAGGAGGCATTGTTTGGGGCATTTACTACGGATTCGAGGGAGTCCTTCCCGCGCATTGGTCGTGCAAAGACCCCGTCCTCGAATTCCCGATTGATTTGCTTTTCTACAACTTCGGAATTCCGCTTGCAATCAAGGCCTTCAAGCCCTCCGATGGACTGCATAGTCTGTACAGCTGGTGGTTCCGCAAGTGTGCTCGTTTCTTACGGCTGTCGGACTTCTTCTTTGGCGAAAGACGCACAGATGAAGAGGATGATTCTGCAAATCACAGCTGGTGGAGCCAGCTGTTGGGCAACAAAGCAGACGAGAACCCCAATTCGGATGAAAAGGATTCGACTATTCAGCAGAAGCGCAACGGAAAATTCGTCCGCGCACCATTTTCAGATCAAGTCCGCATCCCCAAGGGAAGTCCCGTCTTTTTGGAAGTCTCAGAATCGAATGAGCGACTTGATGGGAAACCCGATAACGACACAGGCCTCCACGGCCGCTTGAATGACATGTTCACCAAGGTTTACATTCCACCTTACTTTAGAACTAGGATCGCCGCATTTCTCTTCATGATTTGGATGTTCGCAGCAGCAACAGGGGTAGGCGTTACAGTTCTTCCTTTGGTCATTGGGCGGAGAATCATGTCTTATTACGTCCCGGGTCGACCGGTTAATGACGTGTATGCATTCTCTACGGGCATGGGCGTCGTTTGTGCTGCTGCCTGCTTTGTAGCGTCCTGCCGAGCATGCTTTGACATGATAGAGGATCATGCCGGCCGCTACTTGCGCTCACCCGTGGAGGTATTCCGTGGAGTTGTGGACGTCCTCCTTAGCGGCATTCGTCTCGCCTACATTGTCACAAGTTTCTTGATATTCCTACCCGCTATATTCGCTCTCGCGATAGAGCTCTATGTGCTTATTCCCATCCACACATACCTCGGCAGCGAAGAGGACCATGTTATTCACTTTGTCCAGGACTGGGCACTGGGTGTGCTCTATGTTCAGATGGCTGTCAAACTTGCCATGTGGCATACGAGATCCCGCCCCGCAGCAGCGCTCAACGGAATTTTTCATGACGGCTGGCTGAAGCCGAACGTCAAGCTTGCAACTCGGGCGCTCCTCCTGCCAATGACTCTGCTGGCTGCCATTGCAGTTACGCTCCCGCTTTTCTGCGGATTCGTCTTGAACTCTACTGTTTTCTCCTCTCAGCCAGAGCTGCAACCCAAAGTGTACCGCTACGCTTATCCTGCTACCCTGAGCATGGCGATGGTATTCTGGCTCGCATATCTCACCTGCCGCCAGGTAGAAGTGTGGAAAGTGAGCATTAGAGATGAGTTCTATCTCATCGGCGAAAGGTTGCACAACTTTCGCGAAAAGCGTGCGCGGGAAGTTGGTGCGCCGCCTCGAGTTATTACCGGATAGACCCTCACGGGAGTTTATATCGTCGTCATTTTATCTTTTTAGCTTACCGGCGTTTGAACCTTTAATCTTTGTACATCTAATTTTCTACTGAGCGACGAAATGAGGATTCAATTCTGAGTTCGTCTCTAATCGCTTCTCCGTGTCTCGCACACTTAGGCTCAGTATGCCGTCCTTACCCCGGGCCTTATTTCCGTCTGGTCGTTTGTGGAAGGAGCGATCGCATCCCAATGAGTATCTAACAAGGAAGGAGCGTGAAGCCTCTAGGACTGTTGGGAAGGCACGAACCACGTACCTTCCTACCTGCCAGTTCAAGGGTGTACTTTTCCCCAGCACATGATGAAACCATTCAACACCACGATTGCGGACTTGGATAATCACGATGCCGACGTCTTGTACTGATTGGCGACAGCCGCTAGCGGAAAAAAGTTCGAAAACTACGGATACTGACATTTTAGGCTGAGAGACCGACGTCTGCCTTGTTTGATACATGATGGGGCCGGAAAACTGCAGACAGAGCCACAGCCCCATTCTAAGCCTCGCCGGGATGTTCTGGCCGTGGGGCTGGGACACTGCGTCTTCGACCCAACACACAGCAAACTTGGAATATTTGTAGGGGTAGCCTTTCGCGTTTCTTGGCGTGGCGTCCCTGCAGATGAGGAGCCAATGCTAAGCGTTGCGCAGGACGCCTGTCGGGAAATGGGAGGACCAGAGCGGTCCAATTGATGCTGAAGGTGCGCAAGGCTACCTGGGCTTTTGTGCCTTTGAAGGATGATCGATGGGCGCTTACGGCCCCTGTTGCCACATCACTTCAAAATGGTCCAACCTGACAGATAATGGAGCAGGCTGCCAACCCGAGGGCGTTTCTTTTCTGCTGCCTTCTTACCCACCCCCAGGTTGCGGTCAAGGACCTGTCGATCTATCAACGATGGCCCGACGGGAGGAGTTCTTTTATGATGCTAGCGATGAATACCCAGCATACGGTTTGTCCTAAATCCCTTTGCTGCCATTCGTCTACTAATGCTGCAATGGATTTGACTAGATGAGTGCGAATTTCCCAAATATCCCCGACGGCCTCATTCGAAACGTGGACATTACTTCATATGGGCTGCCATATGGTTATGCTTGATCGCTCTCGCCGGTTTTCACATAACTTCGCTCGTTATTGCCATCTTGGGCGTAACCACAGACAACGACGGGTTCGATACTGGCGCCCCGGGATACACGTTATATAAGAATACGCGCTTCGAGAGTTGTTTCAACAAGCCGCCAGAGCCTTACTATAACTGCACGAGTGTATATGAGGACTTTAAAAACCTGGAACAGGCAGTTTTCAAGCAGTTCCAATACCATGGGATCGGTGTTTTAGCTACCGCTGAGCACATTCCGGTGTACAACGATACCGAGGGGACCTGGTGTGAAGCACTGAGCTGCTTTAACAACTTCAAGGTCGTTCCATCGAAACCGCGTGAGTCGGCTCTTTGGCAAGTCACCATCGCCGATTGGATATCGGCTGCTGGAACGCTGCTCGTCGCTGTGTGGCACACTCGAACCGTGTACAAGGCATCTGCGGGCTCGGGACCTGAATGTGGGAGACTAGCTTGGGATGACTGGCTTGGTACCATCTATGATGCGGCCTCTCTGGTCTGGTGGTGGGTCGGATTTGGCTGGTGGAGTGCGGACCAGACACGATATCCTCGCCCCTCGGTACTTGGGTGGATATCGCCATGGAAGTATAGCGACTTGCTGGCATATCACCCTTTTGTCTGCGGTATACCTCTTTTGAGAAACCGACCGACGGCTTTGCGCTTCACGCGGTGGATACTGCGCGTGATCGCAGCTGTGCAATGGCTAGTAGGGGCCCATATTTTCAGCTCTCTACATGCCGACAGCTCTGGACACCCGGTATATGACTGCCTCGCCTCTCAGATCCAAGAAGCCCCGGGATTCACCTCATGCACTGCCCAACAAATCTGCTCAAAGGACTGGCTGTTCCACTCTCCCAGGTTCATCTGGGCAGCTGGAGGAGGTATAGCCGTCGAAGGGCTCCTCGCAGCCTTTCTCACCTGCACCTTGGTCGCAATAATACCGCCGCTCCTGATACCCATATGCATGATCACCTCGAACGTATTGAGCTCCGAGTACAGGAGCCTCAGCTACTGGAAGAAGTTATACCACGAGTATCATCCTGGCGCACCGGTGGCTGCGGCGGTGGGATCGATCTGCGTTATTGTAATGGCTGTATTGTCCATCAAGGATATAAGGAGCGAGTTTCAGAGAGAGCGGGACGGCGCTGTTTCGTTCTATTGGGAATGCACTGCTCTGAATGTAAATGTCAGTCCATGGAGGCATTACATGGATGTTGATGATGGGTTGGTTGTGAGATTTGCTAAAATGTTTTTCAATTCGTGACCTGTGTCGTATACGAGCTAGTGAAATCGAGCCGGCGTTGCTTTCTGTTACACCAATTTGTTCCATGAAAGCGAAAGGCCAGGTGGGTATCTGCTTGATGACTGCTCTGGGCTAACGTAACCAGCCTCTTCCGGGAAGCGCACTGCTGGGTCGGTCATTTGTCTTACTTATGCCTTGTATCTCGAGATAGAAGTTGCTCGTTCTTCGATTGTACCCTCCTGGGAGATATTTGTACAAGCCAGAGGACTAGCAGGGTATGACGAACAGCGAGATTAGCTTGGAGGTATGAAATCCGCCAGTATTTCAGACCATTTGCCTCCAGTAAACCTGGGCAAAGAGTCAAAATTCTATGTATATTCAAGTAAGCAAGGGAGATAATGCAACCTCCCCGTCTGTCATGGCCTCCAGTGGGATTTAGACGACTGGCTCGATTCGGTAACGCGCTACTGCTGCTTTTTCATTGATAAGATACAGTCTCCCCATCCACCATGAAGCGGCAGCTTTTTGAGGAAAGGGCTGAGTATAGCGGGGGCTTGGAGGGGTTACATGAGTAGTGACTGGTAGCTCAATAATATGGGCGAAAGGCGTCAACAGGAGATAGCGTGACAGGGATGGTCAATTTCTACCCGGGTAGATATAGCCCATCCCTGTCACTAGCGCCAAGTAGATCAATGAAAAGAATCTCAAACTGAAAATCAAGCCAGTAACATACTTGATGTCACCGCATTGGTTGCGAGTTGGCTGGCCTGCGCCTTTCAATGTGTTGGCTGCTGCTGGAATTGCCATGGCCCATGGAACGCACACTGTAAGGCTGTTACTCCTGTCTTGAATATTCGAGATTGGGAGGACTTTTACATTTAGCGCGCCTGAAGCTCTAAACAGCCTAGAGGCTGTCCAATGACCTCTCTTGCGTCCTAGTCACAGAGCCTCTGATTCAAAGGGCCGGTCCTACCATTAGGGGAGCTGTCAAAAATGCCACTTGGATGCTATCAAACCTGCCATTGAGAGAATCCTGGGAGAAGCATTGAGATGCTCCAAGATCGTGAGGATTTACTTAAATACCCCGGTTCTTGGTTCTCGATTCTCGGATTCTCTTCTCTTACCCATCCTTGTTGTAAACCTCCATACACAACCACTCAAACCTCTCGCTCGAAAGGTGCATATCCAAAAGGAGATGTCCATCTCCATTGAAGCCGCCGCCGGCATTGCGGCTGCTATCCTCGCGACATTTCCGATATGTATTTCTGGATACAGATGCTGGCAGCAACGAAGAGATGTGGGGCGTGGCCGTGGTGCAACTAAGCTGCTCCTGATTCTCTCTAGTAAAAGTGCTAGCCTTTCTAATGTCTGCGGGGTCTGGAAGATAGCACGCAGAATCACCTTTTACCCATGTGGCGCCCTCCTCATAACGGCCACCACCGGAGCGGTCCCAATAGGTCGTGGCTAGAAACGCCGTCTCATGGAAATGGATATCCCGGGGCTAGTGATCTGGATGAGACGGGTGAGCCAAGTCTCAATTCGAAACCCCTACTATACCTGATCCGGACGTATACTTATCATCTCTTCGCTTTCGACACCTAGTAGCCATGCCGTTTCGAAGACATACTATCCACCTCGAGACGAGCAGAATGGTCCTGAGGCACCAGCTATTTCTGTGAACCAGCCTTTGGATATCTGTTCTATACTTCATGGTTAGGTGGAAGAGGAGGTTGGGATAATCGCTTGGTTTCGGGAGTTTAGGTCAAGGTATGAAGGTTACATGCCCAGGTGTGACAGCTTCTACGTGCGGCAGATGTAAGGAAACAAGCCCTACTATATCGGAATGTATGTGTCATATACTGGAATGTATTGAACATGCTGCTTGGAAAGCCACATTGGCGAACGCCGACATCCAGCCATGCTACCAAGCAAGGCGAATGTGGCTTGTATATGTTCCGGACAGTGTGTACCAAAGAGTATTACGGATCCCTAGCCCCCAGGAGTGACGGCTAACGCTCGGCCGCTGTCTTGTTCTCGATATGGGCACTAGTGGCATCCTGCTCCTCATCCAGCCTGGCCTTTACGCTGGCACCTGCTGCAGGGCCATCGAAAACTAGGTGAATAGTTAGTGGTCAGGAACGACAAAACCCTGAACATAAGAGAAGAAGCCGGGCAGCACTTACTATGCGCAATCTCCTCGAGGGTTGGCCCCTTGGTCTCAGGATACAAGAAGAAGATCACCGTCGTTTCAACGACCAACCATGCCTATTCCACGTTAACATACGTACACCAACCATGGCATCTCTACTTGCAGAAGGACTCTGAAGACCGAGTGACCTCAAAGGGATCGGCACAACTCACCACATAAACCAAATAAAACCTCCACCCCAAATCATCAATGCCTATCGGATTCACAAACGAATTGAATGCCGTACTCCCGCGCGTAAAGAACTGCAGGACCGCAACACCTTTGGCCCGATGCACAAAGGGGAACACCTCGGTAACATAGATGTACGTGAGCGGCTGCATGATGCTGTACATGGCATTGTAGAGGAAGATCATGGCGATGACGGCCGTTGCGGCGGAGTGTGAGGCGTGTTGTGCGTAGCCCGCGCTGACGCCAGTCCAGATTGAGAAGACTATCGTCATTCCGATAAATCCAGAGAGGAACTGGGTGCGGCGGCGGAGGTGTGGGGTTAGAAAGGCGCTGCCTGTTGCGCAGAGCCAGAACCAGCACTGTTTCTTGTGGTTAGGGGTACTGTTTTAAAGGTGTTGGTGGTGAGGTGGGTGTATACCGAGAGAGAAAGGTTGATGATGTTTTGGGTTCGTTTGTCCTTGACGCCAATCGTGCTTAGTATTTTGGCGAGATAGTAGCTAGTGGGACGTGTATTAGTGTTGTACACAGCCATACTCAACGGATTGACATACGAGACAAGTCCATTTCCAGACCACTGTGTGAAAACGCCAACACACATGGCAATAAGCGTCCGCTTCCTGTTCCCTGGCGTCAAGAGCAACTCAATCCAGCGAGACTTGGAATTCTCAATCTCCATCTTCAACTGCGCTGAGATCTCAAGGAACTCTGCGTTTACAAAAGGCGAATTGCGATCTCCTTCGCCATGATACTTGACAAGGATTTCAAAAGCCTCCTCACTGCGGTCTTTGGAGAGGAGCCAACGCGGTGACTCGGGAACGAACCATATGAAGATTATCTGGAGTATTGATGGCGCAGCCTGCAAAATAGATGGAATGCGCCAGCCCCAGTCGTTGGGCATGGTGTGCGTGCCGAGGGTTACGGCGGCGGCCATGATTGAACCAATAAACCACGAGGTGTTGAAGAGCCCGGTTATTACAGCTCGTTCACGGGGATAGGTCAACTCGGCGAGGAGCTGCGAGGCGCCAGAGACGGCAAAGGGAATGCCCGTGCCGAGAACAAGGCGGGAGGCGAGGAACATGCCAACTGGTGAGGAATTAGTACGCGACAAGAGCCGAAGAAAATAGAAATGAGATTGGGCCACCATTCTGAGAAGCAGACTGTAAGATGACGCCAATGATTAGGATGACAGAACCAAAGGTGATGCTGTGCTTGCGGCCAAATCTGTCGTTGACGTACGGAACGATGGGCAGAGTTATGAGGCCGCCGAGGTTATACGATGCGTTGAGCACACCGAGGAGAGCGCCGCTGGGAGTATTGAAGTCTGATACGATTAGCCCAGTATTCCTCAGGTGAGCCTGACATACAGGTCTGCCAGGTTTCCACCGCTTGCAGTCCATTCAGGACGGAACCATCATAGCCAGTGGTCATTTCAACGCCGAGGGCAGCGGGAACAAGACAGAAGTAAAGAAAGCGCAGGTTCGGCTTCTTGTACCAGGGCACGGTATCAGCCTCGAGGAGGCGAATGACCTCGGACTGATTTGCGAGCTGCTGGGCGGCGTTGCGACGATCCATGCTGTCTTTCTTGGCCCTGTATATTGAAGGTTGGGGGATCAGCAAGTGGTTTTTATACTGCGACGGCAATTGACCCACAACCAGTGTGGAACCTGGGGAAGCAGTCTGGGGATCGGGCGCAGTAACCGACCATGTAGTATGCCAACTCGAAACCTCCGAAACTTCCGGGCCATAAATTGGCGCTAACCTCGAATCTGGCCTCGGAGAAATTCAGATTATTTCTCCTCCTCCCAACTCCCCCTCTCGGAGCAACGCAGCATCCATGTCGTCGCCCCTCAGTCTCCATCGTGCCTGCGATCGCTGCCGTCGCAAAAAGGCCAAAGTCAGCTAACCCAGGATTTGAGACTTAGCCAACATGCTAACATAGACAGTGCGACTCTGTTGACTACTCGTGCACTGGGTGCCGTGGAGCCGGCCATGCTTGCACGTTTGACATTGCTCCAGGAAAGCGAGGGCCAAAGGGAAAACCCCGACGCCGCTACATCCCCAGCCCCCAAGAGCATTACCACCCGTTCTCGCTGACACTTTCCCCGCATTTGTCTCCGCCAGCTCTTTCCTTGCAACCCGCTCGCCATCTGACAGTACCCGACCGATACGATCTTCTCTCCAAAGCTGTCACAAATGTTTCCTCGCTCTCCAACACTCTCGAAGGACTACTCCAACAATGCACAGAGCTCTTCTTCTCATATATCGTGCCCTTCAACATGTCCGTGCACGAGCCCACCCTCCGCCACTCGCTAAGCCAGGCGCTTAGCACTAATCCCCGCGCCTTCTCAATGGCCCAATCCGAATTCACCCTCCTGACTGCAGTATGCGCCAAAGTATGCTTCTTTATGCCCTCGGAGTTATTCCCGGTTGGCAAATCCCTCGCCGAGACGTTTCTCGAGGCATCACGGAGCTGTCTTGCCGACTATTCGGACACAGATCTCGAGAACCCCTGTGCCGACTCCATTACCATTCGGTACCTCCACTCCAATTGCTTACATACCAACGCAAGACCAATGATTTCGTGGCATGTCTTTGGCGAGGCCCTTCGATTAGTCCAGCGCATGCGCCTTCACGACGAAAACTCGTATCTCTCATTGGACCCTATCGAGGCTGAGATGCGGCGGAATGCTTTTTGGCAAATATACAGTGGGGACAAGTCGCTGGCTGTACTGAGGTCAATGCCGATGACCGTAACTGACTACGCTTTTGCAGAGGGGATAACAGTTGCGCTTCCATCAACTGAGGATAATGAGTACGTGCCTGTCAAGCTTGGGAGGACTGAAGCTGACCGCGATAGATTATCCATAGGCACAAACGCTGGTATATGTCTGTGGAGATACGCAGCAGACCTCATCCTTCGAACTAGAGTAATCCGAAAGGACCGAGACTTAGATGTACTACTATCGCCAGCTGACCACAAATCCCTCTCTGAGCTCTATATCCGCTTCGCCACATGTCTCGACGACCTACCGCCGCATCTTTTGCCAGAGGGTATCACCCCCTCCCCATCCGTCACCGACTCCAATCCCACCAACACCAGATTCGCCGTCCAAATAGCCGACCTGCATGTAACCTACCACTGTCTACAGATGCACCTAACTCAACAGCTTGATGAGATAGGCTACTTTGCCCAGCATGGAGGCGAAAGCAACGATATGGTCGTTTTGCGGAAAACCGAGATTGCCGGTGATATGGTGCGGCTTTTGCAGAGGATTCCGTTCTGGTCGTTACAGGTCAATGGGGAACCTTGTGTAGGTCACTCGTACTCTGGCGAATTGGGGGTTCATTAACTTAGACCTGGTCTAGGCCGAGAAAATCCGACTCGTCGGCGCGAGCCTCCTCGCTCTGATACAAGAGCCGTCGTCCTCGCCACTGATTTCTAGGGCTCGTCGGGACTTTGACGTGCTTCTCGATATTTTGTCAAGGCTTGATTCTAAAGCGTCTGATGCCCTGCGCCGGGACGTTCACGATCTATAATTTAACCTTCTAAAATATTGTGGATATCTATCTATGCCTTCTTCCTCCTTTCCTGGAACGTCTCCTTGAGGTAATAAGCCGAGTTTTTTGGGGTCCTCTTAAGGGTCTCAAAGTCCACATGGACGAGTCCATAGCGCGGCCCGTAACCGGAAGACCATTCTAGACGAGAGTTAGTCGACATGGACAATTGCTAGAGAATCTTGGGGGCATACCAAAGTTATCCATCAACGACCACGCGTAATAACCAACAACCTTGACTCCATCTTCGGATATCGCCCTCGAGATGGAATCCAGATAGAGACCCAGATACCGCTGTCGGAACTGATCATCGATCGCTATATTGACATCCTCCTCCCCGGGACACGGACACCCATTCTCGGTGACCACGATTGGAACATGATAGCGGTCCCAGATCCAGCTGAGCAGTTTCCTGAACCCTTCCGGTGCCACACGCAACCAGGGCATGCTCGAAGCCGGCCCAATCTCCTCACCAGCACTATTCACCGACGATTCCTCGATATTCCGAGTCCAGTCGTCAGCAGCCGGCGGGTCTGTAAGCTGTCGAGCGAATTTCGTGGAATAGTGATTCATCCCATAGAAGGTATTGATATCACGCGTCGCCCGCAAAAGCTCAAGCTCCTCCTCCGTAAAGCTCGGCAGCCGCTCCCCAAGATACTCTCGCATAACGGCCGGATAGTCTGTCCCCAAGTACACCGGATCCGCAAACCACGCAATGTAGAATTCAAGCCGCACACGCGCAGCCTCAACATGCACCTCACTCCCCGTATCCCACGGCTCGTAGAAATGCCCATTCAACACAATCGATATCTCCCCCTTTTGCTCCGGGAAGAATTCCTCCTTGTAGATCTTGACAACACTCGCATGCGAGAGGATAATCGTATGTCCTACACGCCACGGCTCATTCACCGTATCTGTTCCCTGTTCCGCACAATGCCCGGGGGCCAGACTTCCATTCAGATGCCCAAAGATCGAAATGATATACGGCTCGTTGAAGGTCACCCACTCCTTCACTCTGTCTCCGAACCGGGAAAAGCAAAGACGGGCGTATCGCTCGAAATCCGCGCGGAACTCGGCTGTGTTTAGGAACGCGCCGTACCGATTATACAGCGCCTGCGGAACATCCCAGTGATACAGCGTAACAGACGGCCGGATCCCAACTTGGAGCAGGGCATCAATCAGCCGATTGTAGAACGCAATCCCGGCCTCATTCACCGGATCACCCCTCCTACCAAGCGGGATAACCCTCGACCAGGAAATCGAAAACCGATACGTCTCCATGCCCAATTCTTTCATGAGCTGTATATCCTCTTCGAAGCGGTGGTACTGGTCGCATGTTACATCCGCGTTTGCGCCATTCGTTCGCGAGGGTGTTAGGTGGGAGTATGTGTCCCAGATCGAGGGGCCCTTGCCGTCTTTGTCATGCGCGCCTTCGACTTGGTATGCGGCTGTTGCGGCGCCCCAGGTAAAGGAGGGCGGAAGCGGGAGGTTTTCGACGTGGAGGTTTGGGGATGAGAACGGGGTGGATTTGGTGTCGGTGGCTTGCGCCCACATGGAGGCTTCTTCGGACATTTTGGGGACGGCTGTGCGCGATGGTATGAGGAAGAGAGGAGAGAAAGACAGAAAGTAGTGCAAGAAGTTTCGAAAAATAGATAGTGTCAGCGCCTTTTATCTATTGCAGGTCGGTCTGTGGAGACTCGGGGGTTCTCGTGGTGGCCGGAGGTAAATCGGCTACCAGGCTGATTACTCCGTGCAGCTGCAATGATAAGTCTACTGGTAGGTATGGCCTGCAGCTAGTCTGCTCAGGTTAGGTAGGAGATCTAAGATTGTGCCAATGGAAACTTCCGCATAAATTTCTCCGGAGTACCATATCTGAGCTTTGGATCCACCATTCTCCACATTCGTATCTCAGACTATACTAGGTAGATACAAGATCTTAGCCCTGAAGTTCAGTTATACGAGGTAATATGCCCTACTGCAGACCTGATAACAAGTTACTTCGTACTCCGTACTGTTCTCCTATAAGGGCTAGTGGATCACCAGATGGGGCCCGTTCAGACACCTCCACAGTCAGCTACACACGAACGACTGACCATAGCCAAGATTCAGCAATGGACATAACCTGCATGCTTACGACGTTTCTTACACCGAGATCTCCCTGGAGTCCTTACTACCTAACATCCAGCACCGTGTTTCAACAAGTCACATTGTTTCTATGACTTGCCAGCTTGACTTGTAGAAATGTCATATCGTAGATCAAGAGCCTTTAAATGCCTCTAAAATCTCTAAATCTATAATCGTTTATGGCATGGCTTGCTTAGCTGACCAGAGTGAAAGCTAGTAAGCACTTCCTTAGCGCGTATTTACAAGCCCAAGTATAACATAGAAATACCTCAACGGGACTCCAACGAGCCTGCACTTATACATCCAAAAGGCTTCGCTTGTAGCTCTAGCTATATACCAGAATATCGCATACTCCATCAAGATGTCGTTGCCATACACCACCTCTACTGGAGTTGCTTGGATAAAGGTATAGGGAACAAGCCACTTAATATTTGGAATCCGCTCGAGCTTCGACCCCGTCGTCGCAGCGTGTAAGTAGAAGTCACCCTTCATTGCTTAAATGGCCCTGCGGACCCTTCAGAAAAGATCCACCCCACTGAGATCCTGCAGGCCCTAGACAACTCAAACTCACTCCAGACTGTCTCAAGCACCTCGTTTAATGCACAATCAAGCAAGACAAAAGGAGGAATGAACTATAAAAAAAGGCACTACGAACCAACCGTCGAGTTGCAGCTGCATTAAGAGGCCAGCCGACCATATTCAATGGTGCAGTATCTTTCGACCGTTACTTGTTGTTTCTCTGAGCTCATCGTTGTCTCGTCTTTTTTCCAACATGGACGGGGCATTAGTTGAGAGCAGATATCATTTGCATCAGCTGCCAGCTTGTATTGCAAGTTGTACAGTATCCTCCCCTCTTGGTCAGCCAAATTTCGACGAGATTGACGCGGGCTTTGCGGCATGGTTGGTGGTTGAATAATTACGCGTTGAACTCGCGATGATTTTTTGGTGGGTGATCAGATCGCCCGGGAATTACGTTTGTTAACACTTAGGTCAGCTGAGTGATTGACCACGGTAACTAACCAACGAAGCGGAACAGGCAATTATGTCAAGCGAAAATGGATTGAGCAACCGGAAAACTGACCCCGGCTGACCTGCAACCTCTCACGTGTTAGCGGTGTACCTCGCTTGGGTTGTGCGCGCACCTCGGTGAGCTATGTCCATGTCCACGACCGGAGGTTACAGCCGAGATTACATCCGCTGAGTAATCACTCTGTCCCTCCTTCCAAGCACCAAACGGGCGTACGCTGTGTTTCACTCTTGAACAGCACTGCGGGCTTTTCTGTGGCAATGAGTCTGTCAATGCAAACAGTGCCTTCACCTCACCCTACACAGAGTGATATGGAAGGAAATAATCTACCTCCTATACGCTATAATTCAACAGCTGAGATACTCTTACCCGTTGCGAGCGGGCGATATCGTTGCGAGATATGCGAGCGCACGTATTCGAGGAGAGACCATCTGGCTCGACATCGCCAGACCCATACATCCCGACGCCCATTCACCTGCTCTAGTTGCGGGAAAGACTTTGCGAGGCGGTTCGTGGTTCAGACCAGCGTCCGGTGGACATATTGACGCTGACTCTTCACAGGGACCTCTTCATGCGTCATTCTGCAATACATGTCAGAGATTACGCGCCAAACACGCTACCAAATCGGGCACAGTATCTGTACTCACGGAGGGTGTCGAGAGCATGTAAGGCGTGCGCCGATGCCAAAGTAAAATGTCATGATGAGAAGCCATGCCGTCGCTGTCTCAAGCGAGGTACACCTTGTACACCGACATCTGGGGGATTTGGCCCAGCCATGCTATTTAACCAACGGCCCGAGGTCCACTCGGAGAATGAGCAGGCTGACTTTTCACTGGAGCCGAATTCTGTGCGAGACAGGGTGTGTCACGGGTCTGGCTTTCCCGCCGTGATGAACTATTCCTTTTCAACTCGGGCTGAGACTAGGCTCACGACTATTACAGAGGAAGCCATGTCAGATTATGCGCGGATTACAGATTGGCCCGCTGATGAGAGTACTCAGCTGACGAGAACTGTGGAAGGTCTCTCATCAAGTCTTGATCCTGACAAAGAACTGCCCCTGGAGACATCGTTTGATGATTTCTTGCTATCCAATTTTGAGTCTGCGAGCGGGTGGGAAGAATTGATCCCAGAAGGACGAATAAGACGAGCAAGTGAAGCCTATCAATCATCACTGTGGTATTCGCACCCAAATCAAACGTCAAAGAGGACTGAGTCTATTGGTCGCGATCTTAGCTCTCAACCTACTGATGCAATACTGGAGGGCCTTTTTGATGAACTGTGCTCATTATCCCCCCGCCGCTTCAGTCAGTCTATACGAGATAATCTCTTTGCCGCCCTCGTTATACAAGCTCATAAACAAACGCCAGATTGTCTACAAAATATCTGCGCTGTGTTCCCATCCCCTGCCTTGTTGGATGCGCTAGTCCACTCCTTCTTTGCAAAGCAGGACCAAAAGGTTGACGCATGGATTCACGCACCGTCATTTGAGCCCAGCACATTGAATATAGAACTCACTACCATGATTTTGGCCACTAGTGTATTGACCACATCATCTCCCTCACTGCGCGAACTGGGAACTTGTTTGCGCCGACTTATACGGCCATTGATTTTTGAGAAGGTACCTATATCTATTTCCCTTTCTTCTTGGGGGTTGTATTCTGGCAGCTAATCGACAGCTTAGTTGGAAAAAGTGCATGAATCTAGCTCCAGGCTAGAGCTCTACCAGGCTGTGCTACTAAGCCTTGAACTAGATCTCTGGCATAACGAAGAGGGCTGTCTTTACCGCGCCGGGAAGTTCACTAGTATTATTGCTACCGTGAGTTCTGAAATAATGTCTTCTTCGATCATCTTTTGTCGAAGAAACCCCTAATTCCCACTCATAGATTGTGCGAGGAGAGCTTATGGGTCGCCAGCCCGAGTCTATAGCTCCGCTGTCACCGACGGATAACGTGGAAAGAGTGACTGAGAAATGGATTGCATGGGTAAGAGCGGAGAGCTATAGAAGGTAATGACTAATCATGATGCGTTATGGAGCCGAATTGTCTGTGTACTGATTCTCGCCAAGGCTGATGATGCGATTCTGTGTTTATGATAACCAGTTGTCCATGACGATGGGTGTTCGGCCTACGATATCTTTATCCGACTACCGCCACGCGGTACCGCAGCCAAAGGATCTCTGGTCCGCGAGAACCGCTACAGACTGGAGTCACAAATACATGGCTCAGCAGCAAAGTTATGTTCCGCGGGTAATAGACCTGTTCGTGTCTATGCCAAATATCCCACTCATCGCAGGCTTCCTGGATAGCGGCTTGGCCATGAAAGTGAGCTTTCACCTACTGGGTGGATTGATTACCGAGCATCACCTATCCACTTTAACTCCGTTCAGTATGACCCAGACCAGGAGCGGAGATGAGCGGGGCCTTGAGAGCACACAGAGCCGCAAGCGGGAACTGGAGACCGCAATCACAAGCTTTCACCATGTCTTCAGTGCAAACATTCGTGCCTCCAGCATAGAAGGGTTAATTGTATCATACCTGTCTATGACGCTCAGCGCATGCATCAAAAGGGTTGAAACTTTGGCAGGGAAGGCAGGCGAACAAGAGTCTCGCGATGCGTACCAGGATATGCAGGGCTGGGCAGACACACCGGACGCGCGAAAGGCCATCTGGCACGCGGGCCAAGTTCTTCGACACTTCAAGTCGCTTGATCGCCTGACAAGCTTCCAGATAATCATGGTGTATCACGCAGGTTTAGTCCTCTATGCATACTCGGTGCTTTCGTGTGTCAGTGGCCGGCCTACAGCAGCCAAGAGCGATTCAATCTGCTATCTCAACGAGGGTCCTTCCACTCAATTAGAGGAGTTCATCCGTGATGGTTCTTTTGAACCGATGCTTCGAAGTGACTCTCGAGATACTGATCGTGCGAGCGTACCCCTCGTCGCCACGAAGGACGCCGTAGAGATAATATCCGAGATCATCTTGAACAGGGCATGGAACTGTGAGGGATTGTCACCAAGGCTAGTAAAGGGGCTAGCAAAACTACTCCAGGACCTTGCCTGTGTCAGCTAGAATTGTTAAGTTCAATAACTACCTCATTGATATTGAGCCAAGGGTTTATCTCAAAGCACGGCTAGCTAATGTGGAATCGACATCATTCCCATTTTGCCCACGCATATCTCCGGCGCCTCGTCCCGCTGGGGAACCGATGAGGAACCGATGGTCTCCGGCGCCTCGTCCCGATGGGGAACCGATGGGGAGGGGCCGTCCCGGAGGGGGCAAGAGGATTCGTGTGGGGCCGTTAAATATTTGCTTCGATCTATTTATCAGATGAATTGTAGACTAATATATACGGACTGCTATATCATAAAAGCTCAATCCGAGCAATAACCGAAGAAGAAACTCTTTTGTTAGAATTCGATTTCCGCCGTTTGCCACGCGTCATCATGGAAGAGACCCCTGAATACACCAGCAAATGGTCCGCTCCTCTCCGCGTACCATGGGCGACAGCGCCTGGACGCGTCGAGACCGAACTTGAAGATCTTGTGGTCTACGGCGAGATCCCGAAAGAGATCGATGGGACGTTCTACCGCATCATGGCTGATCCCTTTTACCCTCCATCTCCCGAGAACAACATCCCAATTGAAGGCGACGGACATGTTTCTGCCTTTAGAATCTGCAATGGAAAAGTGAGCATGAAAACCAGATACGTCGACACTGAGCGCCTCAAACTTGAACGAAAGGCCAACAGACGGCTTTTTGGGCTCTATCGCAACCCGTTTACACACCATCCCTGTGTTCGAGCTGCCGTGGACTCCACCGCCAATACAAACATGGTCTACTGGGCTGGTCGTCTGTTGGCCCTTAAAGAAGTGGCTCTCCCGTACCAAGTGCATCCAGACACGCTGGAGACAATCAGATATGATCCTTTTGCGGGTCAAGTTGCTGCAAAGACTTTTACAGCACATCCAAAAGTGGACCCTTTCACGAACGAACTTGTGGTTTTTGGATACGAAGCTAAGGGCCTGGCTACTTTGGATGTCGTCATTTATGCCCTTAACCAGTATGGACAGAAACAGCACGAGCAATGGATCAAACTCCCCTACTGCGCTATGGTCCACGACTGCGCTATCACACCAAACTTTATCATCTTGGTTCTGTGGCCCTTTGAAGCCGACTTGGAACGAATGAAGGCTGGAAACCATCACTGGGCATGGAATGCAACGCGAGCTGCGACCTTTATTGTGGCTCCAAGGAGGCCTGGGAGCTTTGTTCCCAAGGGTTGGAGGCCGGGTGAGTCCAGGGTGTACGAGTGGGATAACTGCATCGCGCTGCATACCGCTGGGGCTTGGGAGGAAGACGATTGTGGAACCCTATATATGGAGTCGTCCCGCGTTTTTGATAATGAATTGCCATTCTTCCCACCAGCAGCAGGCGCGATGCCCCCACCGACTGGCAAGGCGGACTTTGTGCGCTGGAGATTCGACCTGAGTGAGCCCAGCGGTAGTCGGATCTCCAAACCTCAAATCATCCTGGATCTGCCATGCGAATTCCCAAGGATTGATGAGCGGATCATGACAAAGCCTTACACCTGTCTATTTTTGGATGTGGTGTTGGGGCCAGCACCGGGACAGGGTGTAATCCCATCGCTCAACGGCCTTGCAATGGTTAACACCAAGACGGGGGAGACGACTCTCTACAACCCTGGTCAAAACTGCCATGTAGAAGAGCCCGTCTTTATTCCGCGTCACAAGGGTGCCTCTGAAGGCGATGGATGGGTTTTGGCCATGGTGGAGAGAAAGACGATCAACCGGTCTGACCTTGTTATGCTGGACACTAGGGACTTCAGTCGTCCAGTGGCTCTTGTACAACTTCCATACAGGATTAGAAGTCAGATTCATGGCAACTGGGTGCCTAGCGAGCATCTTGCTGAGCGTCGCAGTCTTGTGAGGGAGCTCGGACATGTCCAGGTTAGTGGAAGAGGAGCCTTGGAACCAGAAGCTTAGCATTGTAACTACAGTCGTCTAAATACCTGATGCCGCAATCAGATTGTAGCGGTATTGCTGCATGTACACAAATCGAAAAGGCTGATTCCAAGACTCTAGTAAAGAAGCAAGTAAACAAGCTGTAACATACATTCAGCACATGGGTGTAATGGGTGAAGCTGATCTGACTTCTTTAATCCGCGTCGTGTACTTAAAAATACACACGTCCCTGCTAGTCCCCACATAGTAATATACTCCCATTTAATCTCCGTGTGTCTATTTCCGCGCCCTCCTTCAGTTGAAATTGTCCTGTTTTAACCAGAGTCCGGGTTGTAACTTAAAAGTAATGACAACCCTCAACCTCACCCCCGCCGGGAACTCCCCACATTACCGATAATTACCGATAATCGCTGTTGGGAAGATGGGGCCCCGGCTACGTTTGCTACCGTGGATCGCTGTGCCTGTCATTTGATGCTCCCAGCAATGAGCGTCTCATGGGGCTGGGACGAAGATCTGACAAGAATATAATATAAGTGAAGATACCCCATAATAAGGTTCTGGTTTCTAAATATCAGCCACTCCACCTTCCAGGCACGATGAACAACCCACGGGTCCTACCTCCAAATGTGACCGAGACGGCTTTGGATTCCTTTTTTGATACCATTGCTAGCAGAATTGGAGCATCCAATGTGTCCTTGGATCACACCACCGGTGCTCTCGAAGGACCTCATGGACAACACTGTTATGGCGATCCGTTCCCTCTTGCGCAAGATCACACCCCAAGTGGCGCTGTACGCCCCGGGACAGTAGAAGAAGTACAGTTTGTCGTCAAGGTTGCCAATAGGTTCCGTGTACCGTTGTGGACAGTATCGCGTGGGAAAAACCTCGGGTAAGTTGCATCAGGAGACAACTGCCAGGAGATCCCCAGCTGAATTAGAGTCAATTCCACAGATATGGAGGCACGTCGCCCGTCGTTCGAGGAAGTGTTGTTCTCGATCTGCACCGTATGAAACGAATCATCGAGATCAACGAAGAGTACGCCTACGTGATTGTTGAGCCTGGTGTAACCTTTTTTGACCTTTACGAGGAGGTGAAAAGGAGGGGTGTCAAACTCTGGCCATCTGTTCCTTCTCTTGGGTGGGGCTCAATCTTGGGAAATGCACTTGAGCGCGGATTTGGGTATACTCCCGAGGGAGAGCATGCCCAGATGCAATGCGGCATGGAAATCGTGTTGCCAAATGGAGAGCTTGTCAGGACCGGAATGGGGGCAATGGAAGGGAACAACTGCTTCGCACTGTTTAAAGGGTTCGCCCATCCTGGTCCAAAAAGCACTTTGCCTTGAAATTCAGCCGGTCGGCTAACATTCAATCAGCGGTCTAGGTCCCAGCGTGGACGGGCTCTTTTTCCAATCCAATCTGGGTATGTCATCATTCCAACCATTCAATCCCCAAACTGACGTAGCTGATCATATCTGTACTGACCGGCCATGACTAGGCGTTGTCACCAAGATTGGTATGCATTGTACTCCTGCACCCGAGACTTTCGTGAGGTGTGAAGTTGCGGTTCCGCGTGAGGAAGATCTCGTACCTTTGGTGGGCATCTCAACTGACCTGCTTCGCCGTCGAATCATCACCAACTCCCCGGGGCTTTCTAACATTGTATGCCTTGTGATGGAGGCAGCTGAGGATGCAACGGTCGCCTCCAAAATAGCACCCTTTGTTGGTAGTTGCGCGATCAGTGACAAGGTCTTGAGGGAGATTCAGGCTGAGAAAGGATGGCCTTGGTGGGTTAACCTATTTTCCCTCTATGGGCCCCGTGTCCTCGTGGAAGCCCAGCTAGCGGCGGTTAAACAAGCCTTTGATGTAATCCCAGGAGCGGTTGTTACTGCGAGGATGCACACCGGTGCTCCCGGAAAGACCCTGGATGCTGAAGTCATTGGCGATGCACCTGAAATCCTACCCCAAACAGGCCGTCCTACCCTGCATTCTTTGAATTGTCTCCATTTTCGGGAGAGGAACGCTGGACATGTCGCTTTTGCACCGGTGATTCCACCTTCCGGTCGAGAAATGTATGAGTGGTACTTGAAGGCCAAGAAGATGAACGCAGATGCTGGCTTCGACTTCGTCGCTGACTTTCATTTATTCGCACGATATACCATCCCCATTAACCTGGTGATGTTCAAACAGTCCGAACAGAGACAGATGAGGGATCTTCTTAAGGACCTGACCCACATGACTGTCAAGCTCGGCTATTCGGAGTATCGCACTCATGTCAGTTTCATGGATGAGGTTGCATCCCACCATGACTTCAACGGGGGAGCAATGGCCAAACTTGTGTCTGCCTTCAAGGACATGTTGGATCCCAATGGCATCATCTCGCCAGGGAAATCGGGGATATGGAATTCAAACAGTGCGTGGAAACTCTGATTGATTTCTTCTATGGTGCACGCAGCAGGCATTCCGGGTATCATATCTTCGGCTGGATAAGCCAAGGCCACGCTACCAGTAGCTCGGAGCGGTATTCAGGATGGAAAAGCTGAAGCTGGGCCCAGTTCTCCAGACCCATAGGCGAACAGGTACATCGAAGTCTACCAATACAATCCATTTATCAGTCTAGGGCTTGGAGGGCTTAGGATGGAAGAATTGTCTAACTTGTCAATTCTCCGATTTGATCGTTATTGTGGGTCAGCATAAGGGAAAATCTATATTATGGGTGAGCTCCCCTCAGGCACCTGGCCTGGTAGAGTGGGTAGCAAGGCACTAATAGTCCTCTAGTTCTGTGATGCAGGCCGTGGTTGGAATATGTAGTTCTCACAAAAATAAGAGAATGCGCCTTGTAGTTCTGCTGCATACGATATGGATACCGTGGACGTCCGTAGGTTCTATGGCTTTGTCATTGGTACTCCAGCTCGCTCTTCACACCCCTGTTGTAGACTAGCACTATCACACGTGCCATGCAAGCCCTGTAATGCCCGTTATCCCTGCAATGGCTACTCTTGTTCCCGCAAGTTCTGTACCTTTGGCTTGCAGGGGAGACTAGCGGCATATCGCGATCTCTACATAATCACCATATCAAGCAAGTCGCGCTATCATGAGATGGTAGATTGCGACATGTTCCCACGCGGTGGATCCGACTGACCCCTGAAGGATCAGTCTAACTGGATACAGCTCGGTGTTTCGTGCCCATCAATGGGCCTGCGGATGGGCGGTAGCCCCAAAATAAGCCATGGGTCCGTTCTAAGGCTTCCCAAAATCAAACGGACCCTATTCTTCCCTGTCAAAAGGCGTAGAGGCTCGTGAGGAAGCTTGCATGCTCGAGTGCCATCGCTTCGTGGAGACTAGCGCCGGCGCCGTTGGCCAATCAATTGCCGAAGGTTTACTACTGCAAAGGGAAAAGACTGGTTTTTCAGAGCCGTCCCAATTTGTGCATTGCTTCGAGAAGCGTCTTTTACCCAAGTGTAGGATGAAGAGGTGAGACGAAACTACAAAAGGGCCGAATATCTATCATCACGGTCTTGTATTGCAAGTGCTCTACTACTTCGGATTCCCTTGTTTGTTTCTTTTTCTCCATCTTCAAAGCTCTCCTAATGGCTCAGCACGGCACCGCCGGATCTTCCTTGGGGACATATGGAGACGAGAGCTTGACGTGTTCCACTTTTGCTGCTAGGTACTTGTCATCATCGTCGACGGGTAAGGAAACCGGCAATGCGAGTCGGTCGGCTTGCCTGGGTTCGGACAAGAATCGCGGGATCGTCGACGAGCTGGCCTTGGAATTTGATGATGATCTGCGCTTCTTCTCCTCACTGTATACGACGCCCAGGAGGACGCCTTCCGGGGATGATACCATATGCTTCTCGCCGCCGTCGAATCCGCTTTCTTCGCCGCCGGGGTCGATCTGTGCTGCCAACCAGGGCTCGTCCAAGGCGGATAATACTGAGGGGTTCAGTAGCGGCGACCTTGCATACACAAGCAAGGTAAGTAGTCTACAAACGAACCTGCTCTCCTTCTACAGTTACATTCATTCTGTCCTGTACCCTCCACTAAAGAAATCCAAGGTGTCCAAACGCCAAGCGCAGAACCGCGAAGCGCAACGACGCTTCCGCGAACGCCGGGAGCAAGAACGTGCCCATCTGCTGGGCCTGCTTCAGAAGCTGGGCGCCGAGAACAGCAAAATCACCAACGTTCTCAGCCAAATGCGAGAAAAGTACCTCGCGCTAGAGGCTCGCGCAAAGCAGCTGCAAACAGAAGGGGAAATCCTACGCCGTTGGCGCCAGGAGATCATGTGCTCCATGGCCGGGCTGATCCAGCACCCGAATCTCGCGGACGAGGTGCTGGAGGCGGTCGCGAGTAGTTGCTCGTATGATTGCTGGCGCAGGGGGATCCAGCGCACGAGAGCGTTTATTGTGATGCAAACGCTTGCGTCGCTTTTTGCGGGGGTTGAGGAGGGTAACTTGAGTATCACGGTTGATGGTGGCGATGGTGGTGGTGAGGGTGCATCGGGGCAGTTAGATAATATAGAGATGGGTATATCACATACAGAGAATTAGTCTTTTCATATTCTTGATCTTACATGGCCCTCATAACCTTACGATAATACATGATGTTTGCTGCTTGAGTACTATTGCTAATCAAGAAACCCGCCAAAAGTCAGCTTCTCAACGAGCCCCGACAATCAGAATCATCTAGAAAGAGGATATCTAATAAACCTCATGACAGATATCCTTGTATCTTGTATAGGATTCTCCTCTCAGTACATCGTCCGAGGCTGGAAGCCCAGGTCGGGACACCAACTGCACCGGCATTCGCAGGCAAAGATAATACTACGCAAGGAGACGTCCAGAATACCCGATTGGTGCCGTGATCCCCGCAAGAACATTATCAAGCTTCATATAAGCAGTTTGAGTTCAAACTACGAAAAGCATCGGTCAGCCTCGGCTTCTGGCCAAGGCATTTAGCAACCCAATCTCGATGGTGGCGAACTGTGGCACTAAGCGATCTTGTTTTATATATCAGGATCGACAGTGCACAAACTGCGGAATGGGAGGAACAGTCTTCATGTCTTCTCATTCTCTCATCTCGCCGCACTCTCCCAAAATGACCATGCGACCATCTCTCCCCGCACGCCTCCCAGCGACGTTTCTCGCAAAATATCCCAAGCTCACCCGCGAGCAGGCCGGTCACCTGCGCCACACCCATAACCTTGCAACTCTCCGCGATGGTGAATGGGGTGTCATGGGCTCTCAAGAGCCTGGACAGGAGTGGCTCGATGCATACCGCTATCAACTAGCTACAATGGCCTACGCTGCTGGTGCAGCACATTATCACCGCCTTCCTGCCCTTCGCTCCATCTTCCAACACCTTCTTGATAAACTAATTAAGAAAATGTTGCGCCGGGAAGTCTGGGGCTACTGGTTCCTGACAAGTCATAGCGGGAAGTTTGTGGACCCGGATTTGGAACGGCTGAGACAGCCCTGGGCGGATCCAATTGTAAGGGAGAACATTATGGTCTGTTTATTACTTTTTTCTTCTTTTAAAGTTTATCTCTAGCTCTGCCACTGGAGTTCAAACGCGAGTTTGCGCTTCGTCTATGCTAACAACTTGTAGTACTCCGGCCATTTGCTTCTCATGGTATCCTTGTACAGAATGTTGTTTAACGACGACAAGTATAACAAGGAAGATGCATTGTCTTTTACTTGGAACCCCATCTTCTGGGGCATGGGACCCGAAAAGTTCTCATATAACCGCGAGACTCTGCAAAAGGCCATCATCAAGGAAATGGAGCGCGAGAACTGGCTTGGCGTGTGCTGCGAACCAAATAGCATCTTTATCGTCTGCAATCAATTTCCGGTATGTGGAAGCTTACTGCGAATTACTCTTCCTGACAATCCAGCTGATTGGGCTGAATACATCAGATCATTGCCATGAGATATAACGATTGCCGTGATGGTACCAATGTCGCGGAAGAAGTACTGAGCAAGTATAGTGCTGCCTGGAAAGAAAAAGGTATGACCGGGGAGAATGGACTGTTTATCAGCTGGTACGCCCCAAAGCAGGGTACGAAGAAGCCAGCGACAGATATTGGGTTTACAGCCTGGTTAGTCCTATATAAGCCCCGCCTTCCCGCCTTGTCACCGCAGATGGGCCTGTCTTTGCTCACATGCTGCTTTAACCCTGCAGGGCCACTGCCTTTATGAACTCATGGGACCCGACGATCGCATCCGAGACCTTCAGAACCCAGTCAGTCGGCTTCCTCTCCCACGTAGAACTAGATAGACTAAACGTGAACCCTGGCCCCGTTGCATTCGCACTCCGCGACCTCATCGCAACGGAGAACGACCTGAACCCAAGCTGCGCCGTCACCATCGCCAGAGCCCGAGAAATCGCAGCAAACACACCTACCAAGCCCGAACCCCCTTTCCCGCGGCCCATGTTCGGCTACATCCTCCTCGCTGCTTCTGAATTAGGCGACGACGAAACTCTCCATCACTTACTAAACCACGTCGATCGGTTCTTCAGCCCTACCTGGCAGGATGGCGGCCTGTACTATCCCGTGAACCCGCGGCAGGCTGACGATGATGGAAACTGGACCGAGGTTGAGCCCTTTACGGGGAACAGTGCGGTAGCGTATGCGCGGCTGAATGTGCGTGGTGGGCAGAGGAAGATGTGGGAGGAGCCATGGACGGCTGAGCAGGTTGGTATGGCGCCGTACGTGGGTGGTGTCGGTTTGGATAGCGGGGTGGATTTCCTGAGAGGGATCTGGGACGAGGAGAGGAAGGCATTGGTTGTGACGATGCGATCATATCGGTCTTCTCAAAGGTAAGTTCCGAGGGAGGATTGTAGTTGATTCCAGCGGTGTGTGATGCTAACTCCTAAAGCAGTCTTCGCCTTCAAATTCATAATCTTCCCGTCGGGGTTTATGGGATTTACTGCAGTGGAACTTTGACAGATACCCGTGCCATTGAATGGAGCGGGGATGTGATGGGAGTATCTGTGAATGTTGGTGAGGAGGATGTGGATTTTGTTGTTCTCAAGGATGAAGACCGATAGACACACTACATATAAGCTCAGTAAGAGGTGGAATTTGCAGCCAAGAAGAAAATAAAGTATTTACATGCAGCCCTTATAGATTCTCTCATGGCCCAGAGAACAGAAACAGAGCAAGAAGACATTACGGGGACCCCCCAGCGCGTAAGGTATCTTAATAAAGTGCAAAAAGGTTGCGCGAGCATATATAACATCTATCACTGTTCCAGTATGTCTGGTACTCAATTCACTTGGAAATACTATGCTTCAGCCGGGCCCGGTTACTCCTCGCAAACGGACTTCGGACCTGGCTGCGCATGGGCAAGGTGGTTGTGAGGACAATCCTTCATAATTTCTGTTTCCCTGGGCGCGTATAGGAATATCTTTCAGTACTAACCTTTATTCTATTGATGACCTAATTACATTAGACACCTGTAATGTGAGATAAGGCATGCTGATTCTGATTCGCCTTGCAAGATTGCTAGAGGCAAGCTACTTATCAGTGTCCGTCAGTGCATCCAAGGCTCGCAGTATCAAAAGTAAGCATCTGGATTTTGATTAGTCTGCGCCTTGCCTGCCACTAAAGTGATAGGACTGGAGTTACGAGAGGCAAATTCAATCACGGATAGGAATGTATTCAACCCATAACAACCGGCAAGCTTTAGCCCATGGAACTTTGGAATAGTCAGACATACATGGATTAATTGACTGATTTCAAAGCAGGTGGTCTCGACTGCGAATGCTGCTTGGAGCAAACATGAAAAGAGGTGAAACAGTCATAGCCTTGTTTGATATAAGGGTCCACACGGGCTATCTACTAGAATATACACGCTGGCAGTCGCCACTGAGCAGATGCACTGTCAGCACAATTCCAAATACTTCCTTGGTCAGCCTTTCATACTCCATAACGTCGCCGCATAGGCTTGCATAATCAGGAGATGACAAATCCTGGCACGATGGAGAGATGAGTTTCCGTCTCGCTTAGCTCGGATTGAGCTAGACCAATCTGGGAAGTGAGGCTTTGATTTTTGTTAGCGTCGCAGGACTTGTCCAATCAGCATCCGTAATGTGTACTTCCCTTTTGGTCACCTCGGCTACGAAGTCCAAGGTACACTTGTCGGGACTTGTCTAGGGGAATGACGTGGTCTAGATCAGAACGCCCTGTGGGTGACAGGATCTGTGTTAGTTTTCCTGCCACGCACCTTCCCCAAGTAGGCAACCGGAGTGCCTTCCATGGTCTTCCTGTTCTGGCCATAGACGGTGGGTCGATTGGTACATGACATTTTCACTCTCGCCTTTGTTGTTCGCCAAATTTTAATCAGTTTTCTTGCCCATTATGTCTCTGCTTCCAGGCGGCGTGGATCAATATGTCTCAAAATGCAAATGCGAACTCATCACCACAGTACCTGTTCGTTGGTGATACTGCTTTAAAAGGCCGCACAGATGGCATCAGATCGTCCATGATCCGGCGCGCCCTGAGCGACAGCCGTGCTCGAAGACGTCAGGAAGTCAACAAGGAAATAGATTCCATGTTGAGACGAAGGGATAGCGTTTTGTGTAACTGCCCTGCACCTCTCCCGGGTCCTGTCGATCGTTGCCATACTCCGAATGCTCCACGACAATCAACTGCTACCTACCGGCGAATCCAGCCTAGGACACGGCAAGCCACCGTGACAGAGGCCCTGTCAGCACGGTGCCAGAGTTGCGGCGGGATGCTTCCCGGGATTAGCCCACCCATGGCCTCATTTCAAGCCGGCAATCGCGATCCAATGCTCCCCTCGGATCCAAACCTCCCTGGGATTGAAGTGCAGGATATTTTGAACTTTGCTGGGACCCAGATCTGGCCAAATATGCGGCCCCTGGACTACTCGTCTAACTGCTATCGGGAGTGGGTGTTTCCATGGGAGGACAAGCTCAAGATCTATATTGTGCTCTGGTCTGCTTCATATCATCGCGACATGCTCCGCATCACAAACGCCCCTAATCAAGAAGTGGACTCGACGCCTCAGCTGCAGCTCAAAGCACTTGCCCTCCACCGCCTGCGCGAGGAGGTTGACAATGTAGCGTTAGTGACTTCACCCGATGGACTCGTCATGAGCATCCTCTTTCTGGCGGTCAATGTGTCTCACAGAACAGGCCTTGGAGGGGAGTCTAGTCCGTTCTCCCCTCCCTTTACGGGGCTTCATGCATTGAACCATTATGGTAGCCGCAAATACCACCCAGTGCACTGGGGCATCCTGCATAACATCATTCAACGATTCGGTGGCGTTGGTAGCATTAAAGCTTTTGCAGTTGCCTGGTTGCTCTCAATTTCAGATATAATGAACGCTGTCAACACCCTGCAGATGCCGATCTACCCTCCCTTGGGCGCACATGGGCAAGTGCTCGACCTGAAGGCCCCGCTTGCTCTTTTCAATATTAGGGGCCTTGGGCTGCCTTCAAACTCGCCAGCTGGACTTGGCTTTCAGGCGCTTGCCTCCCTATCTCCCCGTATTAGGCAAGAGGTCATCAATGTCTTCACTAATGTCGGGCAATATTCTTGCGTGGTGCAGTATTACTCGATCGAGACATGTAGTCCTGCGATCCTAGACTTGCTCGGTGATAGCCGTAACCTTGTACACCACCGGCTGTTCTCTCTCTTGGATGAGAATGCTGATTTGAGCCAAGTGCTTGAATCGCATGGCCCGAGCGCAGAAGAAGATAGTGACCTGTCTCAAGAACTCTACCTCTTCTGTCGCTCAAGCGTGATTCTATACGCGGTTCACGTGTCCTATCCCATCCCTCGCCCTCAAGGCCTGCGGACTCGAATTCTCGCAACCCTCCGTCCCAGACTCGACAGGCTGATGGCGACTAGCCACGGCGCGCTGGAGCCATTGCTGCTTTGGTCCTTGGTTGTTATAGTCATCAGCTCGGGGGACATCGCGCCTGTTCAGTTGCTGAAATACGTGGGCCAACTCTGTTCCAAGCTCAAGGTGGACTCAAAGGAGAAGCTTCTGAGGATTCTTCGCTCCTTCGCCTGGGTTGAGTCGGCTGTTCCGGATACGGCGCCTTTTTGGGTTGTTTCGGCGAGTTGTTTTTTTAGGGCGGCAAGGACGAATCGTGCCTTGAGGCAAGGCGATCTATAGTGGGTAATAATACGAGCATAAATTTCAATCTTCAGGGCAGTTTGAATCTATATCAATAGAAATTCTCCGTCGATAAAGTAGACGAAGCCAACTTTGAGGGTGCATGGCGGAAGGAAAACGCAGGCTTAATATAATGAGATCTCCTAATGACGAAAATCTAAAACTTGCAAGTCAGGCTATACTTGACGTGTCCAGTCTAGTATACAGGAACAAAACCGCGTCGTTCTCAGGCACTAGGTCCCATTTCCGACCAAAATGCCCTGCCCGCCTCATCCGACGCAGAATCAAGCCAGCAGAAAGATTGCAAAAGGACCAAAAGCTCCTCCTCCCAGGAGCTGATCCCTAGTCGCCTGCAGAAGGTCCTAGCCTGCGCGACAAACCAAGCCCTGGTATCCGGGTACAATGTGCTGTCGGCACAGATCCCCGCGACGACAGAGCACCACAGTAGAATCTCGAGCTCCGCCGGAGGGCAGCTTCTTCTTCTTCCTTTCTCTTTCGGATCGCACGGGAGCTGGAGCATGTATTCCTGGATGCCCAGCGTCATTTTGCGGCGGAGCAGGGACGTTTGCGGGAGCGGGAGGACCACGTTGACGGTGTAGAGGAGGGCGGATTTGCGCGCGACGATATAGATCGTGGTTGCTGTTTGCAGCGGCTGCTCCGGGGTGCAATCTCGCTTGTGGAAGATGAGGGTTGGGCGCGGGTGTTCTCGCTCATTAGGGAGGCTGCACAGACGGTGGACGACTGTTACCCGGATATCGCCGATGAGGGTCAGCAGTCGGTCACCGCATCGTTCCCCTGCAAGGTGATTGAGGGCTTGGGCCATCTCGCTTAGGTCAAGCAGGACGCGGATAATCGTTCCCTTTACTGGCGGATGGAGGAGAGCTAGTTGTTGAAAGCCATGGCTCCGGAGTGTGGCGTGCCGGGGTGGCTGTTGAATACCAAAGGCCTGGAGGGGCGCCCTGTAAATCACCGGTTTTCCGTCGGGGTATACTATTGGAAATGGCGGCTTGCAGTCACTATTAATGGCAGAGATAACACCGGATCTAGTTTTTGACAATCAACAGTTAGCGGTGGTTGGGCCACAGCCAAGACGGGTTCCCAGCAACACTTACACAGAGACAAGCCAGCCCAGGCCGTATAGTTTGAGAGTATGGATGCCGCCCCTTTGCTCAATTATATGCTGGACGGTTTGCCAATGAAGAGGGTGGACCTCGCAGCTACCATAGTATTCCATGGACTGCAGGGTCCGGAACGGGGGCGAAAAGGGGCCTTGTTCCGGGCGCCTGATGCTCTCAAGATGCTCGTTGGAAGCGAGATACAGGACGCTCATCACCACGTCTTCGACCTGGTCTTGATGGATATTGGTGCTGTCCACTTGTAACAACCGCTGACGAACCTGATTCATCACCGCACCCTTGATTCGAAGCCGCTGGATGGTATACGACCCTGCTAGCTCGGCAGCCACGGAACTCGGGATGCCGCGCAGGATTGGCAGGACATGCAGGTGGAGTAATGCCGAGTACAACATGGATTGCATGACCATCGGACTCCGATCCGGGTGAAGGTACGCCTGGAGGCTGCGGTTTGCAAACTCTCCTGGCCGAGCAGTGGGAAAGACGACATTCACGCACTCGCGCAGCAGGAAATCAAAATTGGGCGTTGTTTTGCGGTCATCTGGGAAGAAAGGATCAACTTGGCTAGGGGCAATTTGGTGTAGATTGAGCCTGCGGGCGTTGTCGGCCTCGAGGCCGTGGCGCTTGGGACAGGCGGCGAAAACCAGCTCGCTGCTTGCATGTCGTGGATGGATTGTTCGGGTAGAGGAAGAAGAAGAGGAAGAGCGTGGTGGAGGTTGGCGGGAGATGGCACACTGGCAAATTAGCAAATTGCGTTCCTTGTTCTTATTGCTTGTGCTCTTGGGAATTTGGATTCGACGTCGCTTTTCCTGGTGCTGTTTCCGCATTAGATGTGACCGGACCAACGACGCATCATTGCATCCAGTCCGGATCGTTGGCCCGTAGATAAACGTCAAAGTGGGTGGTGGCATTGCTTTTAGTAACTCAGTGTAAGCATTAACCTGGGGTACCGAGATCTCAACACGTGTAGGCCTTTATACTACGCCACTGTGGACATCCCATGCTAACCAGACTCGGTAGTCACCCCTTCGCGTCTCGTTGGTCCAACTCGTCTACACTAATATTTCCCGCAGACCCTGATGGCTTTATTGAAGCGATCCGCTATAGGCGAATTAGCGTGGGTAACTGCGTGTTATATTATCTAACCCATTATTCAGCTCGAGCGGCTCGATGGCCCAAACCCGGCTGTAGTCTTTGAGGCGTGTGCATGTCATGGCAACTAGAACCATGCGACTCTCGACGTTGATTCCGGCAGGACAGCCACCTGACCATGACATATCAAGCCTACGAAACTACTTAACCTGTGGAGACATGGTTGTGCCAAAAGCAGGCATTTCGATTGACGTATTGCACGACCAGCTGAACAAGAAGGCGGTGGTTAGTAAACAGAGTACCGAGCCTGTTAAGTATGCAATTCGACCAACCTTGGGACCGGCGCTCCTGACATTCCCGCATACTCGGCTCATCCAGTCGTATGTCGAGACAGGGGTACTTGCTCCGATCAATAGCAAGCTCAAAGAGACGAATAGCACACCCCTTTCATATGTCCGCACTAATCTTATCCCGTATAGTATGCTTAATCAGTCCACTACCAGGCCTCCTATAGCTATACAACCAAACCTTGTGTAATTAAATAAAGATCAACCTGGTTAATAATAACTTGCAGTTACCATAGTATCCCCTTAATTGACTTAAAAGAGCTAGCAAGAGCACCCAAGCAAAATTAGTATAGATAGTATAGCTAAATTTAAGGGCATAAACTTTATTTAAGTAACCCTATAGACAACTATATCCTGCTCCTGCTAACCTTTTTACTTATTCCTACTATAATACTATTAAAAGCTAAGTAGCTAATAAAGTATATTAAGAAGAAACTAAAGTGTAGGAATAGATAGGATATAAAGCCACTTACTGTATATAAAATGCTTCAAGGTTAGAGCCTATTTACCTCTCAAGAGTCTATAACAAGAAAAGGTATATTCTAATACATCTGGTACTAGAAGACTTAGAGATAATTGTTGAACAGGGACCACTCGGTCTGAGGGACCAGTAAAGCGCATCAAGCCATATTCTCTCCCTCCGTCCGACCGCCGTGATTGGGAACGACCGACCCTTTGTGATTCGCGTATGTGGTTGACTGATTGTAGGCTAGGGAGTTTTACTATACATAACCCCACTGGTAGGCCATTACGTAGCTTGCCGTTGTCGAGAAAAAGAGCATATTCACCTATGCTTATGGTTTAGTAACCTGACAGGGGGTGGATGGAAACAAGGCGAAAGCTCAGGCACGACAGATAGATGCATTCTGCCCATGTACAGTTATTAGAAAAGTTATTTAGGTGCAGGCAGACTATATAAACGTCAGAGTCACATGGTGCTGCCATCCGTGGATTAAATGGGAAGATTCCAACGGTCATTGGATGCTTACAGACGTTTTGTATCGAGTTCCAACCTGTGTAGGAACCTAAAAACTCCCACATACTACATAATTGTGATTTAAACTAGTAGGACTATTCTGTTTAAAAAGAGAGGCGAGGTTCTATCCTTCGGCTACTATTATTACATTAAAGACGAAAGGACCCTTCGTGGCGAGAATATGGATATAAATTTGTTTATGCTGGAGAAGAAAAAGGCGGCTGTCTGAAAGCGACACTTTCTAACTATGCTTGTTAATGTAGCCCAATTTTTTTCATATATCGTGTGCGGTCTCCCTATCTTCGGTTGACTTTGATCCAGATTGCATATTGCATGACAGTAATCAAGTTCTATCTTAAGAAGAGTGTTGATAGTGAGGCTTTTGGTTTAACGCGGTGCAATGACATCTCCATACTCAGAGGAGTCATAATAACCATTGGGAGAATTGTTTTCGACCTAGTTTCACTCAGTCGGGCGAGGAGGATAACCACTTGAATGATGAGAATCAGGAGGAGAATAACGCAGGCTGGTTATTAACTCGACTTACTTGCTGATCCCTTGTATAGATATAGCCTTCATGGTTCCGGGAATATGTACACTCATAAGATCCAGCTTTCAATTCGTGCCACAGTGCTCCCAACCAGCTGCTCGTAATATGTGCCAAGGGGAAGGAACATGGACTGGTGGGCGGTAATTTCGTCCATGCCGTCCATGTATAGAGGTACCCAGAGATTCTCACCGCGGGCCTTTTCTGGAACGTAGCAGAACAGTCGCCCCCGGGACTGTGAATTGGAATGATCGTACATTTGCCTCATTTCGTTGCAGGTAAGAGATTCCTTATCGCTGTGAAACTTGTCATTTTGGCGATCATTATTGGCCAGCGGTTCGCCAAGTCGGCCAGCAGAGGTATAGTAGTTAACAAATCGCAACCCTCTGCCTGTTTCGCCCCCCTTGGCCCAATGACAGAGTTTTTTGTGTCGTCTGACGAGGCCGAAATAGTTGTTCAGACAGCCGACATGGTCATAGTATGAGAACACGTACTGGAGGGTAGAACGGGACACCTGGCCTGCATTCTTTTTAATGAAATGGCGGGCCCCATCCCATGCGGTCCGCCGAGGTTTCTTTATATCACTAGTTGAGCCTGAGTCGAATGTTGCATCATCTTCAATTGCTAGGCTGTGTGTGCCATCACGCTGTAATACGTCTTGCGCCTCGTTGTTTGTCTCTCCTTTTCGAGAGAACAACCTGCCGATTCCCGTTCCAACGACGCGTGGATGAAGGCCAAGAAATGGAGCATCAAAGGTCACCAAGCCGACAAAGTGATGGTTCAGGCGACTGCTCGAAATAGTATGGCTGCTGATATTGCAAGAGGTCGCGAGTGCAACCTCCGCGGCGACAAGACCTCCTATGCTGTGACCGAGCAGTATGAGATCCAAATCTGGAGCCTGGTGAGGCGATAACCTAATAGAGGACGAAAAGAACAATGGTCAGTATCAAACTCTCAGCCAGCTAAGCAACCCGAGAACTCCTTACCACTGGATGATATCATCGCGGGCAACGTCTAAAGGTCCTTGCGACTTATATCGCGGGTATATCTTTGTGTTTACAACATGAGTCCGAGACAGCGCTGCCTTGAGGAGATTGTGGACCTTTCTAGGAAACCCATAAAAGCTGTCTTCTGACCCGAGAAAGCCATGGATGTATATCAGGAGTAGCCTGCGCTTTCCTTCGCGGCTGTGTAATGTACCGCGATGGTGAGGAGCGTCCCAAGTCGTGTCGAGAATAAAGTCATCCGAGGCGTCATCTTGCCATGAAGGGTCTGGAAGATAGCTGTCTGTGGAATGGTGGAGGGGATCTTGCGCTGGCATAAAGGGTAGTTAAAAGTATATTGAATGGCGTTTGCTTTTGCGCTTGGACAGTAATATGTGGTCAACCTAACAAGTCTCCCTCCAGGGGGACTCGGAGAATCTCTATCTAAAATATTCGCAAGTTGATCAGACCCACCGCTATTCATAGTTCGCGAACTGTGGAATGTGGTATCTGGGGCCCACTTCAGGCGGTTCGTATAGGTACCAGTACGAATACGAGATTTGCCTCTTGCTTCCTGTCGGCACCTGTTGCTTGCTTCGCCAAGAGATATTTTAATAGACAAGGCTTTTTCTTAAGAAGACAATTGCAGTAGACGGCAGCTGCTTCAAGTTCATCCAAGTCCCCCCTTTCCGACAGAAGGTCATCTTATAAGATGTAGAGGAAGTGGTATTTAAACTTTCAAGAGTCTTGGATCTACTATCATAGGTTTGGTATGTAATTGAGACCCACTCGTATCTGTTCGTATAAAAATTAGAACTTCTCCGATCAGCCAGGGCAAATCTTCACGTTCTTCTAGACAGCATCGAGAGCGCGCGCATGCGCGTGTCCTGTGTTTGCCCCGCTTCGATGTCCACGCTTGTGGTGCCATCCATGGGTCTATGCGGTCCTAGATGGCTGCCTAGTAGTAAGGGCCTGCCAATAGGAAACGCGGCTCGTATTCGTACGTGACGGGGTGGCGAAATAGATCCTGCCCTACCGATATAGTAAAAGGTGTGTACACTATGCTTTAAGCTTATCGAAACTAAATTTGCAGACTTGATTAGTACTATATTTAACCCGGACCCGTCACAAATATTGCTGCACGGATTTCTGTCTGCTACATCTTGTCTTTAAAGTCTTTATCTTGTCAGGGCGGGTATTGATTATCACACAACAAGCATATCGCCTTATCGACGCCCAAGATATGTCCGTCCATTCGGCTCCAGGAATCAAGCAACTCGAATCCCAGGCTGAGGTAGGTGACCAGCTGATCGAAATAGCCTAGCGGATTGTGCTGACACTCATCGACGAGATAGATTCCGGTTTCACGGCCGCCCAAGTGGAGAGCCATGCTCCGTAAGGCATGGAACTGGCTCACAACGCCCAAAGGCTTCTTCATGACGCTCTACGGCCTGAACATCATTGCGTGGGGCGGGATGCTCTTCCTGCTAATGTGCAACGCGGCGCCCGCGATGTGCCACCCGACCTGCGACGATCTATACTCGGCGCGTCGAAAGTGGATCGAGATTGACTCCCAGATTCTGAACGCGCTGTTCTGCGTGACGGGGTTCGGACTCGCACCCTGGAGATTCAGGGATCTGTATTGGTGGTTCTGCTGGCGGCTGGGCGGCGCCCCCAAGAGGCTGTGCGGCATCGCACGCCTGGCGAACATTCATAGATCGTGGTGTCGCTTCCCCGGACCTGGGACTGGAGCGTCATGTGTCTGCCATGGCGATGCTGTCAGCACCGAGGACGTATCGGGCGGATCTGCTACTCCGACAAAGACGCCCCTCAACCCCTCTCTCGCTAGTATGACGATGACCCCGCCGACGGCGCCTTGGAAAATCGATCTTTTTGTCTGGTGCAACATATGGAATACAATCTTCCAGGTATGCCTAGCGGGTTCCATGTGGGGCATGGATCGATTCAACCGGCCCAGTTGGACGACGGGCTTATTTGTTGCCCTGGCTTGTGGTGTAGCAGGGGTCGCGGGGTGGGTGAGTTTCCGCGAGGGTAGGAGGATTGCGAGACATGAAGACGCGGGTGTATCTTTGGAGGCTGCTAAAACAAGGGCTAAGTTTACTGAGTATGAGCGAGGGAGCTGTGTTTAAAGATCTAGATTTAGACCTGCGTTTCACTATACATATTTGCGATAATCTGGGTGCATCGACCCTGTGCGAACCTGCCTGCACTAGATAACTTTCCCTTTCCGTAAAACAGTGGACTTTCGATTATTACTCTGAATATTGGGCTAAGTAGAGGAGGATATTGAAACATGCGATACCCTTCTATAATTACCCTCCAAGACAGAGTCTAACAAGGGTCAGGACTTAGGTAACTCCTCCCTTTACATCAACCCTGGACCCTAAATAAAACACGTACCGCCCAAAGGGGCTATTAGACAAGTAAAAGCAGTTCATGTGTTATTCTATTCTTAAATCCCCTAGGATATCTTCGCATGATCTAAGATCGTGATATCGCATGCAGTGAGAGACCAAGCATGCAGAAGATGATTTGAATTCGCGCTACCACTGGATGATGATGAGGCCCTCGTCCTCAGAGGCATTAGATGCGCTCTATATATCACCACAAACATGTGCATGCGCACTAGTTTGAAACTGGTTGTGATGGAATCCTATTGGCGGAGTGAAAAGATGCAAAAGAGATTTGCTCTCATAATCCTGGATAGACTAACTACACATGCGTATAATCATAATTCAAAACGGCACAGATGGTAGGGAGAATATGAAGAATATCATCAATTTCTCAATCTTCCAGGTTTCGGCCAGCCTGCTGGAAGCTAGCTGCCACGGTACAAATCTTGGGGCATTGAGAATAGGCTGGGACCTTAAGTTGCCGCTCTTGGCTGCGTTGTATGCTTTTCCCTTACATGTGCCGACAGATGATCCGCACGTCCGAATACTTTATTGCAATTCTGTTCAGTACACGGGTATTTGTCAGAGGTGTGCACCATCCTAAAGTGAGGGATAAGTTCGCGTCTACGCCGGAAGACGCCAGTATATGTGCAGCCTTCCCATTTGCACGTATAGGACTCCCGAGGACGTCTAAAGTATAGAGTTTATTAGTTCCTTGCGCATAAGGCGCTTGATACCAGTAGACGTACCGGCCTGCAGGGCTATTTGTAGGTTCAAAAAATGAATAGTTAAAAGCAAGTTGTTGCTCTGAGCCCACATGCACTTCATGCAACCTACCAGGGTCCTTATGTAGGGAACGGAATACAATTGCAGAATGTAGAGGAGTGTGTACTGTCATAACGTGTCGGACAAGTTCATCGTTACGCTGGAAGACGCAAGTAGATGTGCAGCCTTCCCATTTGCATGTAAAGGGTATATAATTCGTTAGTTCCCTGGTTATAAGGCGTTTAATAAATGTTTATGGACATACCCGCCTGCAGGGCTATTACTAGGTTCAAAAGACGAATGGCTAATCGCAAGGCGTTGCTCTGACCCCACACGCAGTTCATGCAAGCTACCGGGGTTCTGATGTGGGTAAGAAAATACATTTGCAGAACGTCGATAAGGTTGCCGTATCTGAGAATGGTCCCCGTAAATGTCTAACAGGCGTGCGCCGCTGCTCAAGGCTGCGCCGTTGCGCATGGCTGGGCTGGAGAATTGGCGTGAATCAACACTGAGAGGAACGGAAGAAGCGTAAGGATTACTGGGCCAGGAAGGATTTAGCTCGAGTGGCGAGCTGTATGAGTACCAGTCCTGGTTGGCCGACGACGATATGCTCCAGCTGTGATAGGGATGTCCAGAATCGAGTCCCCACGGAAGAGGCTGGTGTACAGGCTCATTTGAAGACGGAATACTTGCTGTCTCATCCTCATTGTCGCCATCCGACTGGTAGTTTCTTGTTTCAGTCATGACCAAGGCAAGATCTTCCAGGTGGTGGCCAAAGTGTCGCTCAAAACTACCAGCTGGGATCCTATCCCTGCCGCAGACAACGCATGTGAAGTAGTTGTCCGTTGAGCGATTAACCCCGTGACCGGTGCTGATGTGATGGTACCACTGCCGGCGGCTGCAAAAGAGCCTATCTGGCGTTGCACATCTCTCGTAGGGACATACACAAGGCATCAAATCGTGAAGTATATGCCGTGTCCAGTGTTGAGAGTATCGAATAACAATTGTGTAGAAGCAGTATGGACATTCCAAAGGCCTCTGACTTGCGGACTCTTTCGGTGGCTCGGTGACTTTCAGACTGCCTTCCCCAAAGGAAGACCTGCGAGTAGGTGAGGTAGTAGATTCGTCCGAGTAACTGTCCGTCTCATATAGGTCATCATAAGAAGTATTATCAGGAGCAGTCGGCTGCTTGTGATCTGAGCGGCCTGGGCCGGGCTTATTGTGCTGTTTCTCGCGGTATTGAAGTATCGCCTTCTGCTTGGACATTGCTGTACCAAGTCTTTCAACGAGGAATTCAGGGAGGAAAGGGTATTTTCGTAAGACGTGTCGCTTAGCCCAGGACTTGATATGCAGGTTACTGTTTTCGTTCGTCGATAGAAGACGGTCGTGGTGAGACGGCATCCGAATAATGATAGATAATTCGTAGAGGTTTGAAACGATGTTGGCCACGCTCCCGTAGATCTCTTGTAACTCGGCCTCGTTTTGTATATCCCTATCAAGCTCATAACTCGAATAGAGGGTATCTTGTTCGCCCGAGTCTGTTGTTTCTATATCGGCTGCTTCGAGGAACTCTTCGAGATCAAGGAGCAATCTGTCGAGACCGGAAAGATTGTTGCTCACCTGGCGGAGAATGTGGGAATCATCCCGGAGACGATACTCCAGCGACGACTGGGCAGTTTGATTCGCCCCAACATTTGCGGCCCAGACTCGCAGTCGGCCGAGTTCATCATTCCATTTATGTATGGGGACCTCGTTTGAATTGCCGACGAGGACATTGGATGACAGTAGGTTGGTGAACCTGCTTATGATACCTCGAACTTGTTCTGAGGCTGTAGGCTGGTGGGCTTCCCCACGGACTGTCAGGGCCTCAAGTTGCGCTAGATTTGAGGACGCGTTTGGACTCCCAAGCGGCTCTCCTGAAACTGTGGTCATCTCGAAGAGTAAAGATGGAGTGAGGATTTCGGAGAATGATGGGTTCGTGGACTGCGAGATAAAGTGCCCCTCATCAGCTGCTGCATGTTTGCTTCTTTCCCGACCCCGATTGGTTCCCTGTCCTCGTCAGCCGCGAGATCAAAGCTGACACCATCACCTGGCGGGGTCAACAGGGAGAATCCTCTTCACCTACTCTTTTATCTCACGCGCGAACTCAAGCTACTTATACGTACATCTATCCTTGAAGATGGTAACTGGATTGGAAGCTGCTGGTGTGGTGCTGGCCCTCTTGCCTCTTCTGGTCAATCAACTCGAAAACTATGCCACCGGATTCGAGAAGCTGAAACTTTTACGTCGATACCGGCGCGTTTTCAGCGCCTATGCACTTGGAATTGGGACCCAGCAGACAATCTTCCTGAATAATCTTGAGAAAGTCCTTGAAGGCGTCGTTGAAGATGAGGACAAAATAGGCGCCCTCATCAACGAACCACAGGGAAACCTGTGGAAGGACGTCAGTCTGCAGGATCGCCTAAAGCCAAGCTGGGTCGTAGCCACGACGTGTTTATGGGGAACATGATAGCTTTGCATGATCTTCTAGTTACACTGTCGGATAGGCTTGGCCTTAAGATCTCAACAGGCTTTAGTGTATGTTTCAGGTACGGAGCTGCCAGCGCCGAGAATTCCAACTAACGATTCCACCAAGGTTGCTGAAAACACAGACCCGGATATAAGGCGATGGAAGATGTTTAACAAGAACGTCTATGACGACTTGATGATGAGCATTGGTATAGCTAACGATACACTCAAAACACTCATTGAGCAGTCGACACACCTCAAAGCACCGAGGAAGGATACAGCATGGACTCAACTCCTACCACGCTTCCGTGAAGTACGTTCGCATGCACAAAGCCTGTTCAAGGCAGTTGTGCATAGTAGTCAGTGGGGATGCGTTTGCAAGGATAACCACTTGGTCCATCTAAAACTCCCACCGGCTCCTCTGAGGCTGAATGGTGGTCCTGATCACGGCGATGCCTGCACGTTTCGCGTGATCTTCTCTAACATTGCTCAAACTGGGTCATCTGCGCAGTGGACTTGGAGAGAGATCGAATTCAAGCCTTGGAAAGGCGACGAGACCGTTACCGTGACTGCATTGCCTTCGAGTGGCCATCAGCCGCGAGTGAGTATCAAACGGGGTAAAGAGGCATCGAAAAGGACAGCCCTCCTGATTTCTATTTCTATTATGATTGCTTGAATCGCCATATAGCCGTGCCGCACTTGGCCGCCTGATAATTAAAATAGGGTCAACTCGTGATGTCAGGTTGACTGTAAGTAGGCTTCGTCTATATAAATATACCAAGCTATTCTAAAACTATATATTAGCTTTAAAATAGCTATCACACATCAAATCCTTGGTCCATATCCAACCAACGGTGCAACTGTGCAAGGCTTATATTAACCAGGTTCTTATCCGACTTATGCTGTATCCTGTACAGAGTTGGGCGTAAAGTTCTGCAAAAGATCCTCTAATTTAAGCAGTACCGTTAGCCACTCATACGAAATCACATGTTGGGAGAGGGAGATGCCATGCCTTGAAATCCGAGCCGATTCTCACCACCAATATCTCATAAGCTCTAATGAGGTTCCTGCACATTTCCTTCACCTCAGAATCCTGAGATATCCGATCGGCAAAAAACAAGAACGCCAATGTCCCCCGCAGCAAATAGACGCTGAAGAAGAATGGTCCGAATGACAGATTCCGATCTACCTCGAGAAGATCCGAGAGAAGTTGCACGGCAGCAAATGAGTTTGAGGCACAAAGGAGAAATCTGGGAGACATTATCCACTTGCTCATGTCGTCATAGCCATCTATTGTGGAACAGATATAGCCTCCTTCGTCGTGCAGGAGAATGCGAAGGACATTAATAATGTATCGACTGTACGCGACGACCAATCTAACTTGATGTTTGATCGACGGCGTCAGAGATGTGTAGGATAACTGCTCGGGGGTGCTTCTCTCGGCGGCAATTTGCAACGTGTTTATGCTTTGTTCACAAATTGCAAGAGAAACCTCAATCGAGGATAGAGAGAGAGACCGTTCGTCTGACCTGCTTGTCTGTGATTGATCCTGAAGGTGGAAGTTGATCACGCTGCCTAGAATGGCCGAGAGAGGCAAAAAGAATTCAAAAAACCCTGTTCCGAAGACACATGTCGATGGCCCGTAAACTCTCGGTGGGATATTTTCGACACAGACTCTGTCTAGGTCCTGCCAGATCCATTCTGGTAAAGGGATAGCCACCTGACATTCAGAGTCGTGAATACGACGAGGTTTATTGGAGGAGATAGCTAGGTGACTGTCTAAGATATAGACTAGCCAAAAGGCCCGACGGCATTCTTCGTGCGTTTCTTGTGAGGCGAGCGACAGTTGTTGCGATGCATCGGTGTAGGATAGTATCGTTGCCTCTGAATTGTACCCTAGTAGCTTAGTGATGGTGACAGCCTTGTCCCACCATTTAAGACCCTCTGATTTGAAGTCGCTGGCGCAGATGACGCATGTTAGAAGAATGTAGCCCAGTATATCGTCAACGTGGGGTTGGTGGCTTCCATCGTCAGAATAATCTTGGGTCATCCCGGGATGTTTGTTGTTTTCGTCTCCGCCTTGGTCTTTCAGGAGTATCATACAGAGAGAGTAGAGTCTTTGTATCATCTCTTTGCGGGCACCAGGATGCTGGAAAACTTCGAGGCAAGCTGTGTGTGAAACGCACCAGAGGATAATGGCAAGGAGGGCCGGGGAAGTATGCCGCGGGGTTGCAGAGAGGATAGATTTTTTGCGAATTACCGAAGAGAGCACATAAGGGCAATTGCTGATGCCCGCAAATGATGGATCTGAGTCCCTGGAGAAAAATATTTCCAGTAGGTCGCAAGCGTCTGTAGAACAGAGAATTCCCTGTAGATGAGGAAGAAGAGGTCGCAGGCAGACGTACCGGCAAGCACCATCATGCTCAGGCTTGTTGGTAGAAAGTTGGTTGAATGCTGAGCATTGAACAGAGCTTGCACTCTCAGTCGGAGAGGTTGAGGTCATATATGGTGAAGGAGGAATTCCAGCAGAGGACTCCGATTGTGAGCTGAGAACACTATGCCCCTGGCCCTCGTAATTCCACTTCGCTGTGTCTGGGATACGGTAATCTGGTTCTGTGGGAGTGATGTATTCGGTACTGCCATCAAAGCTGGCCGGATTGGAGGTCGTCTCGATATCTTGGGTAACCAAATAGCCCGTCGGTGATTTAGTGGCATCTTCCAGAATCTTGGGTTTTGGCCCACGCTTCCTGCGTGTACGATTATATTGGCACGGGTGAGACCGGTCTGGAAGGATGAGCAAAGGGTGTAAACCGGTAAGTAACAATAAGACGTACTGGCACAACGTTCACTCGAAGAAGTCAGCTTCCTTCACGAACAGATGTGCATAGTAGGCCTTACCAAGGGAGCCCTCCGTTGCATCGCGTACGCGAAATGTGGCACTTGTCACATGCCCGGCGGACCCTATCAGCTGGCGAAGGGTGAGAAGGAGAAAGTGAAGGAAAAGGAGAAGAAATATGTCGACAGTCTTTATGCATTGTCAATGTTCGGTATACTTGAACCATAGTCTCAGGGCTAGGGGGTTGGGAGAATTATCCCTGTCTGATCATGTTATTAATGAAGCGGTAAAAAGAATAATAATGAAGATAAATACCGACGGGCATTCATATTTTCCCATGAATATATGAGCCTTCTGAAGGCTCCAGGCATGGTACAGAAAAATCCCCAGTCTGATCATCGCGTAAAAGCTCAACCTTGACCGACCGGGCAAAGCAAGCCGAGTCACGCACTAGTCCAACGCCACCAGGGCAGGAATTCTGGGTGTAGGCTGTTCCTCGGAAGGTTCTTCCTTCGCGTCACTTATCCCTCCAGTATTGACATTAGGGGCTGTCACACAGGTACCCAGTCTCTGAACTAATCGCGTCGGATAGAATAACCGTCGAATAAACCTCGAGGATTTCGCCATAATGACTTTCGGACACAGTCAGATCTTGACTTGTTTCTGCGTGGGGGTTATGGCTAGCTAGTGAAATTCCGGGCTGCCGAGATCTTCGGGCAACGGGAACCCGATCACCCTCGCTTCGTGAGACAGGTAACGAGAGTGATAGGTCCACATCTTGCGGATAAGAAGGTCCAGAGAATAGGCTTTCGCTAGTCCGATGGCCTAGTCTGGCTTCCCCGTGACGGAGGATGCAAGGATCCTGGGGTATGGGGGGTTCTAGACAATACACCTTGGCTGGTTGGTTGTGCATAATGTCTGCTTAATAATTACGCTTGCGAGAGTCTCACTACCTATTCGTTTTTATAGGAATCCGCATGCTTGTTCGATAAGCATATCGGACATTGCTGGCATAAATTTGGAGGGACCCGCGCTATGTACAATGCTACACTCCCCTACTCGAAATGCGCCACACTGACTAGCCTTTTAAGCGAATCGTTACCTCGCGTGAGTGGGACTGCACGCTCCTCGCCAAATGCTAGGTGGCTTTTCCCTCCAATGATTCGAGAACGTGGATTCACAATGACAGTAGCAGCCAAGAATAGGGAGAAATGCCTGCCCATAGTATGAAATCAGTGGATTAGAATTCTCGCTCGCTATCTAACGCTGAGCTTGCTAAGCGCGGTGTTAAATCGTCCAAGATGAATCGTATCGCCGCAAAGTCACTTGAACATGAAGCAAAGCTGGAGGATATACCGCCCGTCAACCTTCAACAAAACAGAGAATATATGCGTTGCAGGGACCAGAGAGAAGGCCACCTTCTAGAAGGCCTTGATCCAGAGTGGCATGGCGGATCTGCGTGCTCCAGTCACACTGATTACATGATGAATGCTATGGAAGGGACATTGGACCATTTTTGCCGCAAGGTGAGACTGGTGCTTCACCGAGCGCGCAAAAGAAACAACGTTAAGTCAGAATCATATTGTCGACGGCAAAGTATACGCAGATGGATGAGAGCAGGAACGGCAATGCAACCGACCTCTCTATTTTAAGTCGGGCGGTGATTTATGTAGCCCTTACCCAATTAACAGATTAACATATGGGGAAAGAAGGGGTGAAAATTCTCTCCGCGACATTGATTGTGGACCCCGCGAAGACCAACTACGAGACGTCTCCACCTACTCCATATGGAGCCACAGGGTGAAGGTCTCGCGGAGAGCGGGGACAGCTCCGCGATGGCTGATTCTGATCCCTCTGATTGGAGGCTTATCCCAAGAGTGGCCAATGACATTACAGCCAAGGTGCAAACTCACTGATTCTGCGAGGTGCAATATTGTAGCTTAAGGTAGTTTATACCTCAGGATGCCTTCAAGACGTCAGTAACGATCTTGTCATTCAAGATCATCACTGAAGATCGTCATTCAAGGACGTCATTCTTTACCTAAACCATGGCCATCTTAACTTTTAGCATTCTTTAGATTGAGTAAGTGCTGGAAATCTCTATAACTTTGCCTGCATATTTTCTCTGAAGAACTAGATGAGCAGTCTCTTAGGGTACCATGGATCATCCCTTCTTGTCCAAGATAATTTCAGCCCTTATATTAATAACTTTAGAGGCATTTCCTAGGGGGAAAACGCCGCTGCTTGTGGATTTGGATATTGCTATACTGCACTTGGTATCCTCGTCGGCTATAAGTTTCCGATTGACGCGACCCTCCGCGATGATGGGATTAGGCAGTTGGATGTTTTAGTCCTATCTCCATAGAAAAGTGTCTTAAAATGCCCAAGCGAGGTTTAAGGAAGCCTGTTACAAAGTTTGCTAACCCCAGCTCTTAGAATAGGCCTCTGGGGAAACAAAGGTTAAGCCTTAGCTTTAAGGCTGGGATTGAATAAACCCCACTAGGAAGCATACCACCATAGTCACATACTAATAGTTTTGTGAAAAGCCTCGTAATGGACTACTAGTCATACCAAAAGTCTAATAGAGGGCTAGAAAAGCAAATGTATTCAAGGAATATGAATGGACACTCCTAATTAAAATTATTAGTACTTAAGGGCCACTATCCAGCTACATTTAATTAGCCACTGCTATACTAAGCAGTTGACTTTAATGCTGGCGCTGCGGCTTCGGCCTGAGTTCAACTTGACGACGACCTGTCGCCTTGGATCACCGTCGGAGTTCAACTTGGTCTTCGGCCAAAATGCTAGCCCGAACAAGGGGCAATGGACATGATGACAAATTCAACCCCGCAGTTGGGGATATTTCTGCGGAGCTCGGCAATCTGCAGTTTTGAAGTGGCGTGCATATTAAAGTGAGATCTTCATAAACCCGTTCCACTGAGAGATTGTTCCCCAAGAATTACGGAGACTCAGATATCCTCCACAACAGGTGACAACCAGCTACAGGGATATTCACTCTCAATACGCGATCCGAGTGTGGGGTGTTCACTTGTGGCGTGAAGTTGAGATTCTACTCACCTGCTCATAAGAAATGAGGGCAGATCATAATACATACTATGTTAGAGAGATGTTTATGGCTAAGTTCTGTCTAACCTGCTGCCGCAAAGCCCCACTTTACGCTTCAATCCATCCAGACGAGATGACCCCATACCCTGCAACGACACGCGCGGGAGCCCCAGTGTACAAAGAAACTTTGAGTTTCTTCATGGCACAGTGTGACTGGAGCGGGCGGATCCGCCATGCTACTCTGGATTAAGGCCTTCTAGAAGGTGGCCTTCTCTCTAGTCTCTACAACGCATATATTCTCTATTTTATTAAAGGTTAATAGGTAGTATATCCTCTAGCTTTACTTTATATTTAAGTGACTTTATAGTAATATAATTCATCTTAGATGATTTAACACCGCGCTTAGCAAGCTTAGTGTTAGATAGCAAGCAAGAATTCTAATCCACTGATTTCATACTATGGGTAGGCATTTCTCCCTATTCTTGGTTGCAGCATACTTTAAATTCACGCATGCAAAAGGCCAAGTACTCATGAATACTGTTAGCGAACATTGTGTATAATTATGATTGCGATCTTTCAATGACTTGGAACATGGACCTTTCCTCGACCTAGCGAGTATGTCCCTAATCATATCCATCCTACAATGGCTGAATGTCGGCATCGGTGGATCAAGGATCCATATGTCGCCCTTCTATGCTCCAACCCAATTCCTCCTTCTAGCCCTTTGCAAGCTGGAAGTACCCGCTATGCCGCATAGTTACCGAACAGAAACATGGATGCTTACTAGTATCCATACTCGCTTGGAGCAGTCGATCGGAAATTGCTAGAAAATAAGGGCATCATCCCCGCTCTCCTGGACTTTCCCTTGCCCATCCTAGGCATATAGCACAGAACCACATCGTGGTTGCCAATCCGTGCATCGATGTATGCATTCGCGTCGCCCCCTTGCCTGCTGTAGTATTTTCTAAACCTGGCATATGTTTCATCTAACAGGGCTTCGGTCGCTACCGCCTCGAGAGGAGGCGCAGATAATCGCGATGGCAAAGTCGGCGTGGCTTCTCAGTCGCATTTCGCAGCACGGGCTATAGAAGACTTTCGGAGAGAAATTGAAGCAGACTTTGCCTTCTCAAATTTCTCAATAGGAAGGTCTGGCGGTGAAGGGTAACAGAGCTGAAGTCATAGGGCAGCTGAAACGGCTTTTGTGTTCACGGCCTCACGCTTACACTCCCAACCACAGGCCCAGGGTGGACGCTGGCATCGCATCTTTCTCCTGCATTAAACAGGTAATAGATGGTTTGAGAGGCGTTTTATATAGACACAATTTGGTGAATAGAAATCTCCATGCCCCAATTCAACACCATTGCCTGTGGACACTTTCTCTCAGGTAAGATATCAACCTGCTGTGCGCTATCCTGAATATGGCAATAAGCGAGTCACTGTTTATAACTATCCCGAACTGTGTCAGCCCTTTCGTTACCACGATGGCTGCCTTGGGAAGCGGTAGACATTCCCTGCTTAAATTCTGTGAACTGGGAGGGTGCCGAGCTGCAACCCATCCTTGACGATATTGCATATTGCAGTATACTCTGAGCTACCAGCTTGGACCGGCTAATTCCTACCCAAGTCCTGGTAGGCTCAAGGGCATAGCATCTGTGATCATGGCTGATTGAACGCTCCCACCGTTGAAAATACAGCCCTCGCGTTCATTTATCACTGCCCCTAGCAACTCGATGAGGTTAGGGGGTATGCGAGCGTTTGGTTAGGAATGAATACTCGAGCCACACCCTCGAGGGACCCCGGGGTCAGCATAGGAAGCTGTCTGACCGAAGGAGCCCGTAAGCGCTAGGACACCGTTCCCTCCACCCAGAATTCCTTGTGCTAGCGACAGGTTCAACAACCCTATAGTATCCCCTGTATCTTGGATAGGGGTCTGGAATATGTCAGGGACTTCCCACGTGAAGATTCTGGACGGAAGGTCCTGGATCTTATTAGATGTGAGATCTGCAGCCCAAGCCTAATTTTTTGTACTTGTTGATATCTAAAAAATAATCGGTCCTAGCTGCCACGCGAAGGAACATGGCCAAATTTCCCAGACAGGTTGCGGAAAAATACCTTAGGATCTCTGGCCCTAGGCCTCCTATTGTATTACTGTGGCAGCGCCTCTTGAGCAGCTGATATGATAGGATTACTAGAGAATTTAGTCTAAGTTGCGCCAGCATCTAAGCTGGAGGCGAGGTGCTGGTTCCGCCCCCCGTTGCAAGCGAAGTACCCTATGTACCAAGCCAAGTATAGTGGATTCTGAGCAGTGCCCATGCCGTAGGTATTAACATTATCATAGAAGCATAGCAAGTTCCCGTAAAACCCTTGACGCCGTTTTCATTTTGGATAGCTATGGGCTTGTGGGTCCAGTGCACGAATTTGTTCCTAGTGGCGCGGCCGTAGTTCAAAATACCTAGACACGCGCTGTCGAATGATGCGTGTAGCTCGGGTAATTTAACCTTGGTCAAGCCGTTGGGCTCTCAAATCCAATTCTGTTATGGTAAGAAGTAATAATATAAGCGAAAATCCAGAACCAGAGCCTCGGGAAGGAGAAGGTAGAGCTGAGACAGCTGGCACAGTGATATAATCCACCATGGGGTTTTCTTAGCATTGATGTGATATGCAACTGTCGTGTGTAAAAATAGGCCATCTACTGCAGACAAACCGACTTTGAGGCTCTTCAATAATACTCGACAAATGGATAAACATGGAGATTATGGTGAACAGTGCACATCAGAGATGCCCATGGGTGTCGCAAAGCGTCCAGATCTCGGGTAACCCCACTTTCACGGTCGCGGAGCATTTGATGAGGTCCGCGAGCCAATCTCTGGAGCCCCGCATTCTCGCAGACCTTCCTCCACATCAGTACGGATCAGATGACCCGCAACCTGTGCCACATGGTATATCGGCACGCCATCCGCGATTTTCATCATACTAGACTGACGCTACTTTGCTGGGTTGGGGGCTCGGCAAAGGGGCTTTAACTTTGCAATACTCTTGTACCTGCTTGCGAGGCTTCTAGAACCCAGACTACGTTCTTGGCCGACTGCGCCCCCTCATTGCAGGGCCGTTTTCGAGTTCGTTTGCCTAGAGGGACTCGGCAAAGGTCCGAAACTCCTCTGGTGAGTTTGATTGGTGTCTTTGCTGAGCAGTGAAGATGGCTTCCAACTATAAATCCCTATAGCCCCCGAGAGAAAAAAAGCTGCTATCTTCATCACCGTTCCAAATCTCTCACTACTGTCTACAAGTTGCATGGAATTATGCTCCGAAATTTGTTGAAGACCCTCGTTCTCGGGGGATTGGCCTTCCCCCTTGCTGAAGGGCGCGCAAGCCAGTCCCGTACGGAGCTCTATCGGCCTCAGTTCCACTATAGCCCGAAGCGCAATTGGATGAATGATCCCAACGGGCTGGTGTATGAAGACGGCGTTTACCATCTCTATTACCAGTACAATCCAGGCGGTGATACCTGGGGCGCAATGTCCTGGGGCCATGCGACCAGCAGGGATTTGGCCCACTGGACTGAGCACCCGGTTGCTCTTCAAGCCCGAGGATTCCCCGGCAACATCACGGAGATGTTCTTCTCTGGAACCGTCGTTGTTGACGAACGCAATACAAGCGGTTTTGGTCGCCGGGGCAAGGCTCCCTGGATCGCCATGTACACATCATACGTGAGTGCAGCCCCTTATCCGCACCGCCTTGCTGTCCCAAAGCAAATCCCAATCGGAATACTTGGAATAACACATGAGTGCAGTACCCATTCGAGCAGACCTTGCCAAGCGGCAAGACCGTTCGCAAGGATCAGCAAGCCCAGTCGATCGCATTCAGTCTTGATAAGGGCATGACCTGGACTACCTACGATGCCGCTAATCCTGTTATCCTTGACCCACCAGCTCCCTATGGAGATCAGCAGCTGGAGTTCCGCGATCCTAGCGTCTTCTGGCACGAGGAGACCAGGAAATGGGTAGCCTTGGTTAATCTAGCTAAACTACACAAGGTTCTTATCTACACCTCTAAAAACCTCAAGGACTGGACCCTTGCGAGTGAATTTGGACCAGCGAACGCAGTTGGTGGCGTGTGGGAGTGCCCCAGCCTTTTCCCACTAAAGCTTGACGGCAGCAGAGCCGCCAAATGGGTCCTCATGCTTGGCCTTAACCCGGGAGGCCCGCCTGGGACCATCGGCTCTGGCACGCAGTATATCGTGGGACAGTTCGACGGCACCACGTTCACTGCCGACCCAGAAAGTCTCTATGATGGCTCTGGCCCCGAGGATAGCGTGATCCTTGAGGACTTTGAAGGTGATCTCTCTTTCGCTGACCGTGGCTGGACAGCCACTGGCGATTTCACCGGCGCGTCCCCAGCAAAGGGAACTCTGGCCAATCAGAACCCAGTGACAGGATACCTTGGGACCCAGTTGGTGAACACATTCCTGGAGGGGGATGCCACAACCGGGACACTCACATCGCCTCCCTTTAATATCTCGCACAAGTACATCAACTTCCTTGTCGGCGGAGGGAGCAACGTCAATGAAACCGCCATTCGGTTGAAAGTCGACGGCAGTATCGTGCACGCCTCGGCAGGGACAAACAGCGAAGGACTTTCGTGGCAAAGCTGGGATGTTGGTAGCCTTCAGGGGAAAAGCGCAGCGGTCGAGATCATTGATACTGCAACTGGAGGCTGGGGCCATATCAACGTTGATCAGATCTCCTTCTCCGACACGCGCGCTACGAACACGATTGCGAACTGGCTCGACTACGGCCCGGATTTCTATGCGGCTCTCAGCTGGAGCGGCCTTCCCCAGGACAAGCGCACTATCGTCGCTTGGATGAACAACTGGCAGTATGCCTCGCTCATCCCAACAAATCCGTGGCGCAGTGCGGCAACAGTTCCTCGTCAGCTCTCGCTGAAAACGGTCAATAAACGGCCAACACTAGTCCAGGAGCCCATCGACAATTGGAAGACACACAGTAACAAGGTCTCCAAGTTTCCTCGCGTGGATGGCGTTCGCGACCTCGGCCGCATTGGAAAAACACTGGAGATCGAACTGACATTCGACAGCAGGCAGCCAGCGGCCGGGGCTGAGGGGGCTGACTTTGGAATCATTGTTGCAGCAAACAAGGACTTTACCCAGTATACCCGCGTTGGGTATGACTTTGCTGCCCAGCAGGTCTTTGTGGACCGAACCCTCTCCGGGGACGTCTCGTTTGATGGGACCTTTGCAGGTGTATACTCTGCACCTCTGGCTCCATCAAGGGACGGTCGTGTTGCTTTGCGCATCTTGGTTGACTGGTCTAGCGTTGAAGTTTTTGGCGGCCAAGGTGAAGCCTCGATCACGAGCCAAATCTTCCCTGCAAAGGATGCCGGGTATGCTCGCCTCTTTTCTACTGGCGGGAAGACAGCGGACGTTACGCTGCGCGTGGGCGAAGTCCGTTCTACATGGCGCTAGGATGGCATTGCGCAAGAAGAACAACCAGCGATTGAATGGTTATACCTAGCATTCGCGCTATTAGTTCGTTAGATTGTTCAATAGCTGCTTTATCATGGGAGGCTAGACCGAAATTTTGTCGGTTATGTGTAATATAATCAGACTTTCTAACCTTGTAATGCTTCTACCCCGTACGGTACTACTTGATAAGTCTAGACGCGATAGTGAATCTCTCGCAGCAAGGTAGTCAATGTCTGAACTTGGAGAAAAGGGTAAACTCCAATGTTTATTACTACTTGCTCTGTGGTTACAAGGAAGATACTTTGGTTACTAAAGGAAGAACAACGATACTAATCTGCTGTAAACCCGTGTAGAACAGCCGGAAGAATGGCCCAACCATTTGAGCTACCTGTTAATCGCGTTGTGGTGCTTCCTGGCCCAAGGTCGACGAGTATCCATGTCCACGACGCAGCATCGCCACCTAGGACGGCGAAATACTGGATCCTGAAGACCCTAAGATACCAGGAGTTCTGACCACCGTCTTTTGTGTCTTATTGGAGCGAGAAAAGGGCTACCAAAGCATGGGTGGGATAGTGAGCCGGTCACGCATGTCTGGCGTTCCCAGTTGGTTAACAACTGGCGTTCTCAGCGTCAAGGGCCTTATTCAAGACCAACAAACACGTCAGTGGTGGGCTTCGAGCCAATTGTTGGAAAAGGAAAGAAAAAAAGGAAAAGCAAAAACGTGGTTCTAGGGCTCTTAACGCGATCCTATCGAAAACTCGATCCTAGTAGATAAGTTTGCCTTCTGACATTGAGCTTATCGCTCCCACAGCAGACCACCTACCCCAAGCTCTCCTTGGCAAAATAGTGGTGGAACGGTTCCCGGACATCACTTGACTCATTCTTGAAGGTTGGTCGTATAGTTCAATGGATAATCTGGAGAATAACTACTTGTTCGAGAGTTTAGAGAAACTTGATAATGATTTGATCATGACCGCCATTGCCACGAGCCGAAAGGATGGTGCTACAGCCTGCCCAGCACTGCTATGATTATGGAAGAAGCCTCTCTCTATACGTCCTGGCTGCACACAGGCTGCTTCAATAGGAGGCTTAAACTCATTTAACTTCAACTCCTCTTAATCACAACTTTAATCATGCATAAAGCCATATATTGCATCCTAACATGCACCCACACCCCTTGAGCTGTTGCTTATCACTTCTCCTAGTTCCAGGTGGATGGAACCTGGTGCGTCCTAAGTTCAACTCCACTAGTAAAGCCATCTATAGAGAAGAGATAGGTGTTAATAGAGTTATTACTAGGGAATATCTAAGTAGTTAATATAACTTCCCTATTACCTCTAAAAGCCTTTATAGAGTACTAGTTAATAAGAGTATGAAATGTAATATTACTATTATTTAACATAGATAGTGTATAATATATAGTTGTAATAGTCTTAAAGAGAAGTTGATCAGGTATAATATCACCAAGGTAGATATAGAATTAGGATAAAACTAATCCTTGCTTCGCAAGATATCTGGGACCTTCAGGGGACCTAAGTAACCAGCTATTAAAAGGATAACGTTAAGTTAAGGTCTCTTAATCTCCTTAGTTAACCTCTTAGCTCACCCCTCAGCTAACCTCCTTAGGTTGTGTGAGTGGATCAGCTAAGTTAACTAAGTTAATTAGTTAACCCCTAGCTATTAGGCCTTCCTAATAAGCCTAATCCCTTAGGCACCTCATGTACCTAAACTATTCTAACTAGGGGCCTAACCCTTTAGGCATCTAGGCCACTCTAACCATAATATGGCACCCCTATCCCTAAGGGATTATCCTAATCTAGAAATAGAATATTATAATCATGAATAGTTATAGAACTATAAATAGAACCTTAAAGGATTCTTTTATAACTAATTTTAGCCTTATAAGTCTTTAAAGACTTCTATTATAGCTTTAGAGGGAAATAAAGGAGGGGAGTAACTATTTATTATATATAACTATAGCCTTCTAGTATAATTAAGTATATTTAGTCTTAAAACCTTTTACTTAATAGTAAGGTAAATAAAGAAGGTAATATAATAATAATATTATATAGATTTTTCTTCTACTCTCCTCTTTCTCTTTATCTTATCTTCTATAATTTATTTATCTTCCCTTATCCTAATATCTTCCCTCTCTTAACTTATTCTTATTATTTCTAAGATAGTTTATATTTACCCTATTCTTACTACTCTAATAATACCTAAACTCTTTTAGTGTATAAAATATATAAGAATATCTATGAAGTCCTATAACTCTAAGGCTAAACCCTTTAAACTATTTAAGATCTCCTATATTCTTAATAGTACTAAGTCTATACTCTATTACTAATATTCCTATTAGAACGCGAGTTATTTAATAGTAGGTTCTTTATAATATAGGTAGGCTTTTATTAATATTCCCTAAAGACTATAATAAGGATACTTAGTAATATAGTTAATCTCTCTTATTATATTAAATAGTATAAGGGATTCTTTAATCCTAATAATAGTATAAATAGTTAAAACTAGGCTCTTAAGCTATTCCTAGCCTTTTTAGAGGTGATTCTTAATCTAGTTAATATATTTAATAACGTAGAGACTTAATATTAAAAGGAATTTAGCTTAATTAGTATATAAAAGGATACTTAGATAAGTAATTATAATTCTTCCCTAATTTATAGGTAAAAACTAATTCTTATTACTCTTAGTCCTAGTAAGTCGATGTTAGACCCTGTATACAGCACACCCGCAGTGTGGTGCCCTGAGGCACCGCACCTGCGCGCCGCAGCTCCCGCTTACTGGGAACACGTGACGCAAGAACCACGTATTGTGGCTGCTAGCCTCATAGAGTGAAGACTAGTGATTAGTTCAGCTATAATTAATACACATGTTCTAAACCCTTATATTCTGCTTTATATATATATTACTTGTAGTTATATTAGCTGTGGTTCATAGTTCTAATTACTCACCCCTTATAAAGCCTAAAAATGAGTGGAATAGATAGTAAAATCCTATAGGGAGAGGATTAGGAGCGACTCACGTGGTTATAGAGCTAAAGACTTCAAGGAAAAATAGCCTCTAGTGACTTAACTATAATAATAACCCTAAATAATCTAAATAAAGACGTTAAATGAAGTAAAGATACTAGAATAATACTAACTAATAACCTTACTAGCTAGGAGGAGGGGGAAACTGCATGAGTAGCCCCTAAAGCCATAGGAGACTTAGTTAGTAATAAAAGTAAATAGACTTAGGGAATATCTCCTAAACCTAATAATAAGGAATAAGAGCTATGGTAATAGATAGAGAATCTCTAATAAGAAATATAATAACGCCATGTAGCCTATTAATAAGAAATTAAGAATATAGCTAGGGAATACTATAAGAAGTAATTAAGAGATAAAATCTAATAACTTAAGGCTATCTAAGAGGGCTAAGTAAGCTAGGATATAAATAAATTCCTCTACTAACTTAGGGAAGACGAGCCTATTAAATACCCTATACTAGTAATATGGCCTGTAGATATAGCTAACTAAGAACCTATAGTAGTTATAATACTATAACCCATAGAAGAACTATCTAACATGGTTAAAGATAATATCTAAGCTCTAAAATAAAAAGAGTTCCCACACTAAATACTAGATATAAAACTATTTAATAGCCATAGCCTAAAGGAACTTAAGGATTAGAAGACTACTATAGAGGCATACTTTAAAATCTATCTATAATACTATATACGTAAGGAAACTAGGGTGCGTAGTAGGCTAAGGATAATTAGCCTAGACTAGTACTATAATTAGACTGGCGTATAGGAGACATTAACTACACCTATTACCTAGGAAGTCTTTACTAATGCGTTACTATGGATGGTTAGTGACTCATGGATCCTTTATAAAGATGCTATTATCTACTATAGTATAGCAAGATAGATAGAAAACTAGGATATAAGATCCTTCTTATAGTACCTAAGGACACTAATTAATATCTTTAAACCTAATATATTTATATAAGATAGAAAGAATAACTTACTAGGTAAGATACTACCTATAGTATAGAATAAAGTAGTAAAGTATCCTATTTAGGACGCTATAGATAATAGCTATAAAAGCTATATTACCCACCTATAGATAGTAGAATAAAAAATGCCTAGCTAGTAAGAAGCTCTCTAAGCTATATAATAGAAGGGGAAGCTCCTATAAGTATAGAAACTAGAATAACTACATAGAGCGTAAACTAGTTAACTAAAAAACCTAAAATAGGAAAGCTAATAAAGTCATAGTAATTAAGGGGGTTATAAATAAAAACTATTATTAAACCACCCACAAGAAGGTAAATATAAGCTAAAAAGGTATAGTAACTATGGCCTGTCTAACTATATAGTAGATACCTACTAGAGACCTAGTAGAAAAGCATACTAAAAGGGACTATAAGGCGAGATAAAAAACTTATAAACCTAGTACTTTGCGTGGTAGTAGTGCTAGGACTCCCTATAAATCTAACTAAGCTAAAGGTAATATCCTTTAGGATAAGATTAGGCGTGGGTAAAGAGCTATAATTAGCACGCGTCTTATTAGATAGCAGTGCTATAGCGAACTTCATGAGCTAATACTAGGTTAAGGAGAATAAACTACAAGCCACAGGCCTACCTAAAAGTATTAATATAATTAATAGCTATAAAGTCATGTCCTATAGGACCTATTAGCTTAAAATAAAAGCGTGAGATGAATCACGCGAGCTATAGATATAGAAGTAAGTATTTAAGGTAGTAGACCTAGATAGCTATGATACTATTCTAGGATGACTATGACTATAAGTAGTTAATCCTAAAGTTAACTAGATTAAGTGGACCTAGAGGTACTATAAGCTAAAACCTTATAATCTAGATATTATTATAATAGTGTAAGAGTGCGCTATAATAATAGTAGATATATAGGAAAGACCTGTATCTAGTAAGATCCTAAGCTAGATCTACGTAGTCTATGTCTACAAGATAGATAAAGGAGCTATACTATTAATAAATAGCATGTAGGTAGGTGAAATTAAACTCTTAAAGTAATATAAAGACTTTAAGAACATGTTTTTAGAAGTATAGATAGGAATCCTAGTACTATACTAGGACCATAACCATATTATTAAGCTTGAGCTA